ATTAACAACTAGGATACAAAAAAAGGGAGGAGGAGGAGGTCAAAGAAAGAAGGTAATGACAGTTAAGGATTTGAGAATGTTGGATTTGTTTTTGAGTGTTTGTGGTGTATTTTTGTTTTTTGAATTTGTATTGTTTGATGTGGTTTGTTTTTTCTTTGTTTTTTCTTTCTCTTTTTCTGCTTTGTTCTTTTTTGTAATTCTAAAAATTTTTCAATAAATATCATTTTTTTAAAAAAAGATTAAAAACAGAAATCACAAGCATTGGGCTCATTCGGAGTTTATTTTTTTAGTGCATAGAGATCAGTTGTATTATTATGCCGTTGGACCCCACACCAGAGGGCAAGGTCACAAGAACCTTTCAGACTAGGTTTCTTTTATCAGCAATGTAAGCTCCTAAATAGGCAAAATTACAGTGCAGAGGTGACTCTCCAGGCTGTCTTTCACTTCTGAGTTGTTCTAATTGGCTCGGTAACCTGCAATTTTAGGGCAGTCGATGAAGTGACCCTCAGTCCTAATGATTTCGCTTTTGGAGAGCTAGAGCAGCACTGATTTTATGTTGCCTGAGAATCCTAACTGTCTCAGAAGAAACTCAGGTGTTTTAATTGGGGAAGTTTTGAGAACTTTGTTTTGTTTGGAGACTATGAGTGAGAATTTCCTAACCCTTAATCCTGGTTTCAATCTTTGTTAGAATAGTGATGTGTGTGGTTTTTTTTTTAAAAAAAAGCATTTTATTGTTATTCCATACCTTATTGGGTGGAAAAGCCTAATATAATACAGTGGTACCTCTGGTTACATATTTAATTCATTCCGAAGGTCCGTTCTTAACCTGAAACTGTTCTTAACCTGAAGCACCACTTTAGCTAATGGGGCCTCCTGCTGCTGCCGCACCGCCGGAGCACGATTTCTGTTCTCATCCTGAAGCAAAGTTCTTAACCCGAGGTACTATTTCTGGGTTAGCGGAGTCTGTAACCTGAAGCGTATGTAACCCGAGGTACCACTGTATATCCTAAATTTCAGTACAAAGTTGTCCTTCAGTGCAATTTCCCCAAACATCACATCTGGTAGAACCTGGCCAGTTTTTAAGCCAAGCAAAAGTTTCACAAAACCAGCACAATCTGCATACAAGTGTCTTGCTTTGCGGCTGTCAAGCTAGACAAAGCAGGCAGGCGTGTGGCATTTCAGGAGAGCTCAATTTTGGTTGTGGCACTCAGATCCATTCCTCAGTTTATTATCAGACGGGAGCAGGCAGCTGAGGAGATGAGATGGCAAATAGCAAAGGCATACCAGCTGAAGGGCTCAGGCAAGGAACGTTTTGACAGATTTAGTGGGTTCTGAGACTCCCTGAAAATGGGAAGCCTTTGATCGTAGGTGCACTTATGCAGTGCTCAGATGAGAAAGGCACATTGTGATCCTTCAGAGATTTGCACTGAGAAGTCACACTTTGGCATGCACATTTGTGCCACGTAGTCATTAATTCCCAAGTTAACTTCAGCAGCCATGCATTTGATAAATGTGATTTTCAAAAACACAGGGTCACTATCTACACACAGAAGCATTTTCTTAAAGCACTTTTCTTGTGAGGATTTTGCACTGAGAATGAATGGAAATATATTTACACCTCAGTTTGCATTCAGGGCTTCTGTAATTATGGCTAAAGCAGAGGGAGGCTCCATTAGGGCACTTTTACACACGCTGCATTTATGTCTTGAGCAAACTTTATACAAACTTGTGACTGCGGATGACGTTAGACGCTAGATGAAACAAAACATCTTAGTGCTTTGCCGTCTGTCATACTGCAAGTTCTGCAGTGCTCTCTCTATGGCTGCAAGGCTAAAAGCCAGTTCTCGGTGTTTGCGCCCGTAGCATTCTGCCAAGTGAGCAAGCATTTTAGTGTAGGTGTGGCCTGAATTCAGGCTTGCAGGAAATACTTTGCTTTTTGTTGGAATTTTGAGGTCCACAAACCAAACAAAATACTGAGGTGGGGAAGAAAAACGAAAGCTGATAGGATGGAGCCAATTACCAGCTGCACCCCACAAGCCACATACACTGGGATGATATCCAAATATAAATAGAGATCTACATCCAAATAGCCCTATTTGTTGGGTGAGAGTCTCTTGTTGTCATACAGTCAGGAGTTAGAACCCCTTGTTGAACTACAGCAATTCAACCAGTAATAGATCTCTAGTAACCATCTACCCACCTCTGTTCTAGACCTTGAGAATAGAGGTGGGTCTCTGTCAACAGAGTTTCAGTCTCTAGTGTCTTAGAGCTGCCCAAGCAGCATGAAAGGGGAGTGTTTATCTACTGAGAAGTCGGTCTTCTCACCCTTTGTGCTGATTGGAGCCAATCAGAACAAAAGAAGGCGATTGAGTAACTTAAAGATGGGCTCCTAGGGTCAATCTGGAGAAAGTGTGCAGGAAGATCACCACGAGTTCCGAATGTTCCAGTGCTAAGGATTTCAGAACACAGAAAACACAAGGTACTTCAATTTCAAGAGAATGGTGTTCGTGTCCTGTTGCATTCAACTGGAATGTCAAGGAAAGCACAGTTTAAATCTTCCTGAAAGAAGATACACACCATTTATCCATGTATATGCATTAAAAATAATAGATTTAGCTGAAAGGTAATAAATGGAGATCAGCACGGATTGTTGCAATGCATCCCTAATTATTATGGCTGTATAACTATAAGATTATGGTATAATCTGAGAAGGTTGCATAGTCTTAGAAAGGAGTGAGGGGGTGTGGCTGTGGCTATCATGAAGGGACACGGAACATCTGAATTTGCCACCAGACTACTGCATGGAAGGTAAGCTATCTGTAAGGTGAAGTCTGGAAAGTGTCTCATGTGCTGCCTGATTTAGGAAATTAATGTATTGTGAAGGGTGACTCTGTCTAGTTGAAATATGCAGTGTGTATGGCGTGTGTGGCAGGTATCTCATATTGGTTGTGAATGGTCAACTTCCATTTAAACTGTCACTTTTATTGTCAAATGGGACGCCGGTGGCGCTGTGGGTTAAACCACAGAGCCTAGGACTTGCCGATCAGAAGGTTGGAGGTTCGAATCCTCGTGACGGGGTGAGCTCCCGTTGCTTGGTCCCTGCTCCTGCCAACCTAGCAGTTCGAAAGCATGTCAAAGTGCAAGTAGATAAATAGGTACCGCTCTGGTGGGAAGGTGAATGGCGTTTCTGTGCGCTGCTCTGGTTTGCCAGAAGCGGCTTAGTCATGCTGGCCACATGACCCAGAAGCTGTACGCTGGCTCCCTCGGCATATAAAGCGAGAGGAGCACCGCAACCCCAGAGTCAGTCACGACTGGACCTAATGGTCAGGGGTCCCTTTACCTTTATTGTCAAAAGTGATAGAAAGAGGAGTCTGATCTTGCAAGCATCTGAGCCTGTGTACTTTGCTACAGAAAGCTGTGATTTCAACGTGCATACGCCATTAGGAGCTGATGTGAAGCACATTCTTTTTATACCTGGGTGGCTGCATACAAAAAATATTGTAAGGATTGGCCCCCAAGAGCATCCATGTGTCAAGTGAGCATGATTTGGTCCAATCCATTTCCCTTGTTCAGTTATCTCTGGAGCTCTCTTTAGGTGCTTTTAGAGTAATGCATTGCATGAAAAAAGCATGACCCATTAGACAAGTTAAGGTTTGGCAAAGAAAGTATGTGCATTTGAACTTATCAGCTGATCAGGGAGCCAAGTAAATAATTCAAGCTGCAGCATAAATTAAACATTTTAAAATATATCGCACTTACATTCATGTTAAGTAGCTGAATATACTTCCCTCTCTAGACCCCCAGAAATACATGGAAGCAGCTTTTTATAAAGTGTTTTGACCGGGTCTGTGGAACAATATTTTTCACTCTCTTCTCAAAAGTTGGCTTGCTTTAGATGACTTAAACACTTAAGCCTGGTTTACACACCAATGCTCAGCTGTCATGGACTGGTTGGATGCAGAGGAATCATGCGAGGAGCCAGCTGGGGAACACTCAAGGAAAGAAGGCTCAGAGCTAGGGGACTGGTGGTGGGACAACACTGAGTGGTCAGAAGGAGAAGAGGGAGCAGACTGGGAGGAGGAAGTGCTGAAAGCTGAAGAGGCAACAGGGCTTAGTGAGCAGGAAGAGACTGTGGCAGAGAACAGTCCAGAATCAGAGGCAGAAGCGGAGGCTGGAGATGCCAAGAGGCAGAGATGAGTCAGGCTGGTGAGTAAGCGAGGCTGTCTTCCCCTCTTGCTGCAACCAATTCCACTCCCTGCTGGTCTCCCAGAACCAGAAGAGGTATAAAGAGGGTGGAGCAAAAACAGACAAGGCATCATAGTCTCAGATTACTTGGGAATGACCCGAGGGAGGAGGATACTTAAGGAGCTTTGGGAAGGTGGGGACCTTTGGTCCTCACAACTGCCTCATTGCGGCAAGATCTACTGGGAAGGGTTGCTGTGCTCATGAGGCCTGAGGTATTTTGTTTATTTCAATAAAGAGTTAACTTCACTGATACCTTGTGAGTTATTGCTGACCTGCTCCTGACACCCACCCTGACATCAGCATTTGACAACTGCAGCATCAAGGGATGAATTGCATTAAAAACTGAACCACCATATATCTAATCTTGCCTGATGATGATGAGGTCAACCTTTTTGGTGAGTGCTTTTGATTCTCCTTGGGGTACAGAAATCCAGTCTAGGATATTAGGTGAAAGTAGATGTGGCTGTCATAGCAAAATGGCCTAGATGCAACATTCATAGTATTGAATTCAACTAACTTCTACTTAGAGTAGACACTGCAAAGGACCTAAATTAGTTGTGGCCATTATAGTTAGTTGACTATATCTCATATAATTGGAAGTGACTTCAAAAAGTCTAGCCTGCTATGGAAGCAGGAGGCCCGCTTACTTTTGAATCCAGACATTTATTAACATTAAAAATGACACATTGATTTATGCTTCTCAGAAAAACCTACCTTGTAATTCTCTAGAAAGGAGGACACATGGGACACTCACAAAGATATGCAAGCTACTGATGTTTATTAATTCAGAAGAGAATTCATGAAGACATTCAAATTACAGATTTAATCACAAAGCAAATTATTTGATTTCTTCAGCAGCCTATTGAAGTATGAGGTCCAACTCTTCACCAAGTGGTACAGAAAGGTGCACAACAAGTTTCTAGTGAGAAAGAAACAAAATTAATGTTAAAAGGGTTTAAAGAAAACCACCTCCAGTATTAGGAATTACCAGAACAGGAACAATCCATCCAAAGCTAAACATTTGGGAAGCCCTTAGGGGAAGGTTTAAATACATGCTTAATTACTTTATGAAACAATGAAACATAAAAGTGCTTCATTTTGTTGGAATCATACCACTGTATTTTGACTGGTATAACATACCTCTCATGTAGAAATAAGCTAAGATACCTAGTCTAGACACCTGAAGTCTAAGGCAGGATAAAGGTCACTATCCAGACACTGTCTTTTTTGCAGATAATGGTTGAGAACTCTCCAGCACTTCCAAAACAACTACAGTGGTACCTCACAAGACGAATGCCTCGCAAGACGAAAAACTCGCAAGACGAAAGAGTTTTTCGTTTTTTGAGTTGCTTCGCAAGACGAATTTCCCTATGGGCTTGCTTCGCAAGACGAAAAACGAAAACGTCTTGCAAATTTGTTTCCTTTTCAATGCATTCCTATGGGAAACCGTGCTTCGCAAGACAAAAAATTCGCAAGACGAAAAAACTCGCAGAATGAATTAATTTCGTCTTGCGAGGCACCACTGTAAAATGCAACATTACTGATTTCAACATGAAAAATAAATAGGCTACATCTTTTTATGATTCAGTCTAACTAAAGTTCTCTCTATTATCCATTTGCAAACTATTTGTCTACAGTTTTAAAGGAGATGTGTGCCAAAGCACAAGCCTATCCTGTTAAGAACAGCAAATCACACAGAGAGGTTGGTGAATTCAGGCCCCTAGAGTCTCACTATTTACTATAAGAATGAGGGATCTTAATAAGAAAAGAGGCTAGCCCTGTTGTAGCCATACTAAACCAATATCCTCTGGACCAGGCATAGGCAAACTCGGCCCTCCAGATGTTTTGGGGCTACAACTCCCATCATCCCTAGCTAACAGGACCAGTGGTCAGGGATGATGGGAATTGTCTCAAAACATCTGGAGGGCCGAGTTTGCCTATGCCTGCTCTGGACAAATACTGATTACCTGGGCTTATCTTATTCTGATCAACTGCCTTATTCCAGAAACTATTTCCCAAGGATACACAATTTCTCTTTTCTATTGGCAAAACAATATTATGCTTTAGGAATGTAAGAAGCTGTGTTGACTATTTGTCCCTATAGTCCAATATTGCCCCACTCTGACTGGCAACAGGTCTCCAGCATTTCATTCAGAGGTCATTCCCATCACCTGCCACCTGTATTTTCTTGAACAGTCCCCTCCCCCATCAAAAAGTATTGGTTTTGATATGTAATCTGATAGGCACTGTCAAGGCTGCCTCAAGTCTTAGCTCACAAAAGACCAACGCCTATGTCTTCTTATATACAAAGGTGTTTATTGCAGTTCATGGTTTGCTTGACATCCTAGGCGCGCAGCCTAACGACTCATACCCAAGACCGCTGAAGTCACCTCTGAGTCAGACCCTCCCCTCCACCAATTTAAGAGACTTGCGCTGCTCCACCTCTTTCTCTCCTTCCTTTTCCGCAGGGTCCTTCTGCCCACTGGGGTTTCGCCCCTCCTGGATTCCTCTGACGCGGAATCAGACTGCTCTTCCCCCCGCCTGCGGGCTTTGGGACCTGGCCCCTCCTCCGGGCTCCCTGCACTTCCGCGCGCCTCTACATTTGAACTAGGCGCGCGCGCCAAACCTCTAACTTTCCTTTTGACAGTTACACTACTCCCTTCACTGCTCCCCTCCCCTCCGGGAGGGTGGCTTGCTCTGACCCCCCTCCTTTCTCTGCTGCTGGAGCTGCTTCCTCTGACACACTGGAAACTCCACCCCCTTCGCTGCACTCTGGTGGGGAGGCTGGTCCTGATGCCCAGCTGCCACTTTGGGATCCTCCGCTGGCACCCTGCTCCTGACACTTCCCCCCTGGGGCTCCCCTGGCCTTGACCACCGGCGCCCAATTCTGTGAATCCTCTGATTCGCTGGAAAGACTCATGGAATCTCTTGAGTCATTGTCATCCTCTTCCTCGCTGGCTTGGAATTCCTCCCCATCGCTCTCCATCTCCTGCCTACCCTGTGCCTCTCTCCCTGAACCCCTGACAGGCACCTTTCGTAATTCCAGTATATTTTTAATGCAGGCAGGGGGAAAAATATTCTAAAGTAATTATAATTATGAAGTCTGACACTTTTAAAATAGAAAGTGTCAGCCTCCCCATTGCTTCCACGCAAAGCCTCTTTCTCTAGTTCTTTGTTCAACCAATTTGTTCAGTATTGCAAGTTACAGAAACAGCATTAAGCAATGGGGCTTCTTATCCTGACTCCATTTCCCAGCTAGAGAGCACAGCAAAAACTATTATTTTTTTTGCTTGCGTCCTTAGTGATTTATTTCCAGAAAAATATGATGGTGTGTTCAGAAGCGATTTCTGACTTTTACTGGCTTTAAGGGCCATTTGAGGGCAGTGCAATTGTAAAGCATCTATAACGGAAAATATTTGGAGTGAAATAGCCAACTACAAGGTATTTGGAGTGGAAAAATCTCTATTAGGGGAAATTCAATCTTCCTACTCTACACCTGACATTAATTTCTGAAATGAAAGGCACTAGGCTCAAGCCAAGAGCTATGCTAAGAATTTCATTTTTTCCCAGTTTTTGATGAATTGTTGGGTGGATGGCAGGGTGGTGATGGGATGAAATCCTCTCCAAATATCACAGGGTGGGGGGAGGCATTTCTCTGAAATTTTCGGGAAGGAGTTGCTCCTTACCTTACTTCATATTATGAGGTGGGCAAGGGCTTCCCATTTCCCCCCATCCTTTTTAAACTTAGAAATAAGCACCCTACATCACTCTCAGTAGCACAATGCTCACTCCACAACTTCCCACTGGCTGTGCTACCTGGAAAGACTTGGGAAAAACACAATTTCATGCCGCGACCAAGGCGTTTCAAGAAGAAGGCATCCTGAGGTTCTTACCAGAGTTTCTCACTGGCCATACTTTCTGGCAAGATCCAGTAAAGGTAAGCAGCAGCTGCTTTCAGAAATTTTGGAGAAATTTCTCACCCCTCCCCCACCACTGCCAAGAAAGCAGCAGAAAACCAGGTCCCTTTTCTGAAGAAAGAGGATGCTTTCAAGAACTCTGGGGTGAGGAAATGGATTTGGGACCAACTTTGATCAAGCCTGCCTAGAAACTGCCCCAGATGTGAGGGACTTTATGGAGCTTCTCCACTGTAAGCAAAATTCTGGCTGAATTGATTTTATCACATATTGGTTTAGGAATTATAACTGAGCCCCTTACCCAGCCCTGGATGATGATGATGATGATGATGATTATGTTTCACTGTGGCCCTAACAGTGTTGTGACACAATGCCCTAATGATCTGCTGACAGCTGCCATTTTGTAGCTGCTTGGAAAACATGTAATTGTGAGCTTATGTAAATAGCAGTCACAAAACAAGACAGGCAGCCTTCCCACATATGCGCACAGAAAAGTTTCCCATTCTTACTGCGGCGGCTGTTTTTGAAATGCTAACTGCACATTCTGCCAAATGGAACAGAAAGAACTATTCACATGCCCATGCTGGATAAATATTAACACTATGGGGAGCGACCAAACTGTTCAGCTTGATTAATAGGCAATGGGGGCACTTTCCCCTAGAAAGCCCCCCCCCTCCATTTCCTTCTTCATTCCTCATGTCCATAGGTCATGGCTGCAAGTATATAGTGATGGTTCAAAAAAAATTATTTGTGGCTTTCCCTTTAGCAGCAAACCACCTTCAACATGAGCACTTTCAACATGATCTAGATTTGCACACACCAGCAGACACCCATCTGCTAGTAGTCAACAGCAAATGGGATGGGATGGCTCACCTGACCTCCGTCTGACTGAGGACTCAGCTACATCGGCAAGGAATAAGCGCTTCATATGCGTTGTGTATGCATTCTAAAACTGTGGAGTTCTGCTTTTGCCAATCTGATTTCTCGTACAAAGTTTGCAACATGTTTAACTGAAACGCTGGTTTGACGTGTCTAGATCCAGTCTAAGTAACTACAGCAGAGGTTGGCAACCTAAGGCCCATCGGCCGGTTCTGGCCCATGAGCTTCCTGGAACCGGCCCACGGCCGTTCTGTGGATCAATGTGGGGATTCAGTGTATGCGCACAGGCACTTCTCACCCGGAGGAGCGCCTGTACACGTCCGTACAAGCTATTTCTGGCGCACTTCCGGGGTGGAGGCGCACCCGTGTGTATGCGCACACACTATTTCCGGTGCTCTTCCAACCCAGAAGAGTCCTGGAAATAGCTTGAGTGCGTGCATGGGCGTGCATGCTCTGGCTCACCGAGAGGTCTGCTGGGGAATGGACCGGACCGGCCTCAAAATAATAATAATAATAATTTATTATTTATATCCTGCCCATCTGGCTGGGTTTCCCCAGCCACTTCCAACAAAACACTAAAATACAATAACCTATTAAACATTAAAAGCTTCCCTAAACAGGGCTGCTTTCAGATGTCTTCTAAAAATTTGGTAGTTTTTTTTCTGTTTGACATCTGGTGGGAGGGCGTTCCACAGGGTGGGTGCCACTACCGAGAAGGCCCTCTGCCTGGTTCCCTGTATATTGGTTTCTCGCAGTGAGGGAACTGCCAGAAGGCCCTCGGCGCTGGACCTCGGTGTCCGGGCAGAACAATGGAGGTGGAAACAAAAAACATTGCCAACCCCTGAACTACAGCAAATTGGGACATAGATGGGGAAGAGGAAGGAGACGCCACTGATGGCGTGACACAAATGTGCCAGAACCAATCCGGCGCTCCTGCCCATGTGTTTGCACCACACTCACCTCAGGCTACCCCCTGCCCTTTCTGGTATGTTGCAGTGAACCACCACACAGTGTACTACTGCCAATGGTGAATGCCACACAGTTGAACAGAGTGGAATCGTGTAATGACAATGCAATGTGCTTAATTGATTACATAAAGCGCATTACGGACAGCGAGATAAATAACATAGTTTTTGTCTGAAGATTAACTGCAGCAAAACGGAAACAGTGCTATATATACCGTCTTTTTCGGTATATGGGGCGAATTGCAGGCTTTCGCTGAAGCCTGGAGAGCGAGGGGGATCGGTGCGCACCGACCCCTCTCGCTCTCCAGGCTTCAGGAAGCTATCCGCTAGCCGTGGGAGACGCAGCTCTCCCACGGCTAGCGGAGAGCTTGCCGGCACCCAGAAGCTTGGGGTGCGCTGAGCTCAGCACGCCCCAAGCTTCGGGCTTCGCGCAGCTCTACGCTAGCCATGGGAGAGCCGCGCGACTTCGCACAGCTCTCCCACGGCTTGCGGATAGCAGCCTGTTCTGGGGGCTGGGGTCGGGGGAAGCTCGGGCTTCCCCCGCCCCAGCCCCGCACCTGGGGGGGGGGGAAATAATTTTTTTTTCTTTATTTCCCCCCAAAAAAACTAGGTGCGTCCTATGGGCCGGTGCGTCCTATGGGGCGAAAAATATGGTATATATATAATACAGGAATAACAACAACAACAACAACAACAACAATAAATATTTTAAGTAATTCACAAGCAGAATGCCTACCCCATTTTCCTGGTAATGTATGTCACTTCTGCGGATGGCTTTTCCATTCATAACGACAGCATTAGGTCTTGAGGTCACACCAAGGATCTGAACTGTATCATATATCAGAGAATCGACCCCACGGTAGTTGTTGTTAACAATACTTGTCTTCAAGTGCCCCTAGAATAATTCAGGAGGAGAATACTTTAGGCATTCATTTGACACACAGTGCAATGGCAAACGATGCAGGCATCACTATTTTTTTACTTTTAAAAGTCCTACACAGAACTGTCTTGTGCTGCTGTCAGAATTCCAGTTTGGTGTCAGAAGTACAGATGAACAAACATTCAGCTAAATTGGAACACAAAGGACCAGCTGCTACATACATCATAGCGCATTTACACAAGAGAGACTTTGTCTTTCACAAGCCACTAGCTACCACAGCTGCAATTTAATGGCTTAGTTATTCACCTCTCTACAGGTTCTCCTAAGCTAGTTACCGTAGTTTCCATATGCCCTCTTTTTAAAGATACTGAAGAGGCTGATAAGGTCTGGGAAAGCTCTGATAAACGAGGCAAGAAACATGGTGCGTTTTTTCAGAATTGTTCAAAGAATAAAATAAAATAAAAAACCCCTGAGAGGCCATTCAGACACCCTTTTAACAACACATGATTCCAGCCCCCGTCTCCTGTGCACTGTAGGCAGAGTGATAGTCATACCTTGGTTTTAGAACAGCTTAGTTTATGAACAACTTGGAAATAGAACGCTGCAAACCCAGAAATAGGTGTTCCAGTTTGTGAACTTTGCCTTGGAAGCAGAACATGTTGAGTGTGTTCCGTTTGTAAATTGGGTCCCCCACTGCTAATCAGAGGCTTCCTGTTGAGTGTGTTGGCTGTTGAGTCCCGAGCACCCATGCAACACAGAGGTGATATTTGGAGCTTTTGCTTTTGCTTTTTTGTGTGTTTTTGTTTGTGTGGCTTTTTCGTGTTTTTGACAGGGACTTGTTCTTCGTTTTATGGGACTGACTTGTGACTGTGGCTTGTGACTTCGTTTCTGTGACTTGTTTTTTGTGACTGTGTGGAACCCAGTTCAGCTACTGATTGATTGATTGATTGATTGATTGTGTAACTGCAGAAATGGATAAAAGCCCCCCCATCCAAACAATGACTATCAGCAGTGCACATAAGAAAAAAAAAATAATTTTAATTTTTATCACCTACAATACTGTCTTATTTATTTTATAGTACAGTACACTGATTATTGCTTTCATTTTATGGATCAATGGTCTCATTAGATAGTAAAAATCATGTTAAATGGCTGTTTTAGGGGTTGTTTTTAAAAGTCTGGAACGGATTAATCCATTTTGCATTATTTTCTATGGGAAAGCACGCCTTGGTTTTAGAACGCTTTGGTTTTGGAACAGACTTCCGGAACGGGTTAAGTTTGGGAACCAAGGTACCACTGTACATTGAAAACCACGTCAAAACTCAATCAGCACAGCCCTGTGCTGGCACAGGATACAACTTCTGAGTGCTGTGCTTTATTACACCTGCTCTCAAAGAGATAACCTTTAGCACTAAAAGCTGAAGGATCGGCAAGCCCTAGGCTCTGTGTTTTAACCCACAGTGCCACCTGTGTTCCATGGCACTGGTATAGGTGCCCCATAATACCCATTCCACATTTCTAGGAACTTGATTGTTTGGTGTGACAGCACCTGCACTTGGGGATTCCCTGCCTATTGAGATCAAGCAGGCTATTCACTGTACTATTTTCAGCACCTTGTTTAGACAAGCCTAACAAGATGCTTAGAAAGCTGAGTTAACTTTAATGTGTTTGGGTATTTTAACTTTAACATACAAGTTTTAAAGTATGCTTGTGATATCCCCCCCCCCCAAGTTTTATTGTTTTATCTTTTTGTAAACCGCTTTGTTGTTTAGTCGTTTAGTTGGGGTCATGAAGAGTCGGACATGACTAAACGACTAAACAACAACAAACCGCTTTAAGGTTTTCTACAATTTAACTTTAATTAATTTAACTTTAATTTAACTTTAATGTGTTTGGGTATTTTAACTTTTCTACAATTTCAGCGGCATATAAAGTTTATGCAATAATAAATAAATAAGTTTTCAAGTTATGGATCGGTGCCTTGTTTCTTTCTCTTTTGAAAAAGAAAACGGGAAATGAATAGATGTTAACTGTTTCTTACTTAAAACAGTCTTAAACAGGGTCAGCTATTCAATCAGAATAAAATTAAGACATGTGTAAGAACAGTTTTAGTGAAAAATTGACTAAATAGACTGTAAGAAACTTACAGCATATGAATATTTACAGTATTTACTTACTTACTTATTTTACATATAAATAGCCTGGGACCTGAGCATCTTTGGCCACATATTTCTCCCTGCCTGCTCTGGTTGGCATTGAGGGCCCTCCGCCAGATTCCCCGACCTCATGAATTTGGGCTGAAGCTCCCCACCCCCCGACTTTGTAATGCAGTTTTGAGTATGATCACTGCTCTTGGAAATTTACATTTCTCTTGGTTTATCATATTGGGGTTTTATTAAGCTCACTTCACTCTTCTTAATAAAATGGTTTCTCTCTATACCTGCTATATTTTGCTTTCGGGGGTGTTTCTGTGGGTCTTTGGACCGTAATAAAGAATGTGTGTTTACTTCACTCTTCAGCAGCAAAGGCTTCCAGAGCACCTTTCAACAGAGCTGATGGAATAGCCCCTGCTTCCCACCTCTCTCACTACTGCAGGTTTATGAATGTTGTTTTAAGAAAGTTCAATACTGTGTGTCTCTGTGTTTGCCTGTCTGTTCACTCACACACACATTTCTCTAAGGCCTCTCTTATATATCACTGCATTGCCTGCCTCTTCTGTATTAGAATGCCGATTTAACTACCTCACATTTGCAATGTTAACTTGGCGGTTTGGGTTGGCTTAAATGCAGGTTGTAATTTCAGGTACTACAGAGAAGAATCCAATTTAAGCAATGAGAAATGGAAGTGCCACAGAGCCAGCAATCAAATGCAAAGCGATTTCCTGCAGAATATAAAAGTGGCTATCGCCTCTCAATTGCCTTCGGCACATTTTGCCCGCCACGCCAAAGACAGAAGCCTAGTCTAATCTTTTCCTTCCTTTGCCATTCAGCCTATGCCAGTTTTGTGCAAGACAACAAGATAAAAGCACTCTGAAGAAAAGAGCAAAGGAAGAGCCTTAATGCTGGAAAAGCATCTGCTGTATTAAGACGAAATATCCGATGCCAGTCTCTGCAGAGATAATCATGCAGAAAAAATAGTCATCACTCTTCTCCAATTCACTGTCAGTGCTGTAAGCAGGAGGTCTGGGAACAACACCACAGGAATATTAATGTCATTTTGTTCTTCTAAATGGCTCCTATTAATTGCATACTTCTGGGACTGAATGCCAATTGCATCTTTCTGGGACTGCAGACCTGAGTAATATCATCATCAATAGGCAGCTCTGTAGAGGAGAACTGGAGGGAAAGGAACCTTTCTCGGCTGCAGCAATCAGAGAGTAGCGGTAATTCAGTCCTCCCTAACGTTCTGATTTTTTCTTCATAGAGAGATATGCATGCTGACTTACAGCAGCACTAATGTTTGATATTTTGTGTGTTTCCCACAAGCAACGAAAACTCTACCTTGATTTGGCTTCCTTTCGGGTGAGAGAACATAGAGGATTTGTGACATGTTTGTAAGAACTGCTTGGTTTACAAATATATAGGTAGAACCTAAGTGGGGAAAACTCTTATTCGGCAGCAGATCAGCTATGCCACATTACTCCCCCCCCAATCTGTACTCATGGCTTTTCATTTCAGAGTGATCTCTCAACCAATATCTCCACTGAGTAAATCAACCATTTTGGGCTATCAACAAGCAATCTCCCTAACAAAGAGATGGTCAGCCAATAGCCTGTTACATTATGTTTGCCAATATTACTAACAGCATGAAGCTGACTTGGAAGGGGCATTAAGGGAGGATAAAGATGGCTGCAGTGTTCAAACATTTGCCAGGATATTAGAAAGAAGAGAAGGAGCAGCTTCTACAGGTTATGGCATCTCCATCCTTGAAGATTTTCAAAGAGATATCAGGAATCAGGAAGAGGATTCACTGGATCCCCTCCAAATGTGTGTCCCTTGTTTTTGCCTCATCAAAAAAACTAAGATCATGGTCACTGGTCCCATAACTTCCTGGCAAATAGAAGGGGAAGAAAGGGAGGCAGTGAGAGATTTTACTTTCTTGGGCTCCATGATCACTACAGATGGTGACTGCAGTCACAAAATTAAAAGATGCCTGCTTCTTGGGAGAAAAGCAATGACAAACCTAGACAGCATCTTAAAAAGCAGAGACATCACCTTGCCAACAAAGGTCCGTATAGTTAAAGCTATGATTTTCCCAGTAGTGATGTATGGAAGTGAGCTGGACCATAAAGAAGGCTGATCGCCGAAGAATTGATGCTTTTGAATTATGGTGTTGGAGGAGACTCTTGAGAGTCCCATGGACTGCAAGAAGATCAAACCTCTCCATTCTTAAGAAAATCAGCCCTGAGTGCTCACTGGAAGGACAGATCCTGAAGCTGAGGCTCCAATACTTTGGAGAAGAGAAGACTCCCTGGAAAAGACCCTAATGTTGGGAAAGATGAAAGCACAAGGAGAAGGGGACAACAGAGGACGAGATGGTTGGACAGTGTTCTCGAAGCTACCAGCATGAGTTTGACCAAACTGCGGGAGGCAGTGGAAGACAGGAGTGCCTGGCGTGCTCTGGTCCATGGGGTCATGAAGAGTCGGACACGACTAAACAACAACAACAAAAACTGATACATGTCTTCCCTAAATAGAGGCTACCACTTCCCCAGCCTAATTTTTACTCATTTCTACTCCTTACTTAGCTTTTGCTTCCTGAACCTGTCTTCTCCATCCCCACCCACATCTGCTGCATACACACCTTATTTGTCCAAGTGCTTTTTTTCTACTTACTTCTCTGTATGTATATCTGGCATAGAAATAATTTCCATTCTCGACCGTGTCTGCCAAAACACAAATCACAAGACTGATGTTAGTATTAGGTCATCTAACAAGGAAAAGGAACAGCTTCCTTTTAGACTAAAACATAACAAAGGACACACGTTGAGACAACATGTGCTCGCCTATTCAATAATAACCTTCCCCCCTCCCCTCCTCACAAGTTAAAGGGACAGTTAGTAGGTCAGACCCTTCCCTGCCACTTTTACGCTTTATAAAATGTGTTTTAGATACAATACCAGCATTTCTGAACACTCACCGGCAGAGTCGCCATCATCCCAGAAGAGAGAACCAGTGGCTTGGCCTTGTTCATCCAGGGCAACAATGAGTCCAAATGGATTCAGTCGGCTGATGGGTTATTAAATTAAAACTAATTATGAAATGTGGGTGATACAGTCTTTTTATTTATTTGATTAACTCCTATCCGGCTTCAGATTTCATCAGAAATCTCTAAGCAGTTTGCCAATCCAAACTAAAAGGAATCAATAAAAGAACTAAAATACAAATTCCACATTCAAAACCAAACCATGCACAAATCATGTATTAAACATCAATAGATATCAAGGTACATCAAAATGCAACACAATGACAATTAACCATAGACATTTCATTATCATTAGTGTTATTATTATTTATAAAATTTATATACCACCCTTCATCCAGAGATCAGAGGGCGGCTTACAGTATTAAAACACACAACAACAACAACAAAACAATTATGAAACACAAGAAAGCATGACCCGGTAATATGGTCCTGTGAACAAGTGAGAGCTATCCAGTAATGGAGAAGAAAGTGCCCTATGAGCATCTGACATAAATAGCGATGGGAGACCAAAGAATATGCAGAGCATGAGACTGAATTCAACGGCTACAGTTCAAATCCAAAATTTTCAGTCTCCCTGGTCATATCATTATAGCAAAAATGTGACCTGGAGGTGTACCTGAATAACTGAGAAGGCTATTAAATTCATTGGTAGCTGTTTAGCATTTATTTACCCATACACTAATAGAAATTTTCTTACCCATACACTAATAGAAAATTTGCAAAGTTGGTTGTGGTGCAACATTAATGTACTCATCAGGAACATACAGGTTTGCCATAGGTGCACCTTTTTTGCACATTTAGGTGCGCGCACCCCCCCCCGAAAAACAAAAGCATTGAGGCAAACCTGCTCCCACAATCCACAAAAATCCAAGAAGGGACAGCTGGACATGTTAGTTGCGGGAAAGGCTGAATCTCCAATGCTAAAAACAACCCTGAAATAAGCACTAGGGATTGTGGGAATGTTCAGGGGTGCAGGAGAGGATATATTGTGGGATTATATCCTAATCCAACTTGTGCTAACAAGTTTCCAAAATATCAGCAGAGTTTATAAACATTCCCCTTTTAAGTTCGCAACGATAACGTGTGCACAGGTTCGCTAGAACCTCTATAATAATTACTCTGGTAATTTCCCCTTTGTTCCCTCTTAAAATACAAGACACGACACAGTCTTTATAAAAGTATAAAAGAGTTTACTCACGTTCTGTATCACAATATGATCCCAAAACGCAGACAGGCTTAAAAAGGTAAAATACACTTCAGAATCTATCTTATAGGAAGATAGTCCTCTCCTCTCTTGGCTGAGAGCCAAGAGGGCATCCTGCTTCTTTGAAAGATGAAGATGAGAGAGAGAGATGGCTGCCTGCCCTGTGCTTTTATCATTACCTGCACAGGTGAGGCCACACCCACCTCTGGTCACATGCGGAGGAAGTCTGTTCCAGGAAGTTTACCTGCTTGCTGGACAGACATCCCTCCCCATGTTCTAACATGTACACTCTAGGAATGTTGTCATTGACTGCTCCTGTGTTTACATCCCACAGGGATAGAGATTGGATAGACATAGATTGAGGCATGGGCTACTCGGAAACCCACCTCCCAAATGCCATGCGTGCTCACAGCCCCATATTTCATTTCTGCCATGTCAAGGAGCAAAAAGCAATCTAACTTCATTTGAAAAAAACAAACAGGAAGGTTTTAAGTGAGATTACGCTCATTACCATAGTAATTTACAAGAAATTGACACTTGGTGCACAACACAGACAAATTTCAGCATGGTACCAAGTTCAGGCCAGTTTTCTAATTTGATCATTTTTTAAAAGGTAATTATGTTAGTTACCTCTTAGCAGTTCTTACGGCTGGTGTTTGCGTTGGCAAAATATATCCTCCTCGGATAAAGAGTGGAATCTTTTCCAGTGGGGCGTTAATGTTGACGTGCTTACGGTGCGATGACTCTGGCACTTTATCTCCCTACCAAAAAATTGGACACAGCTGTAAAATTATTTCAAAAGCAATCGTAGCAGCATCTCTGGCTATATAAATAGCTGGTGATCTGTTTTGATTATTTTTGTGGCTTTTACTGTATTGCAACTATTGTAAACTGCTTTTTAAAATGAAATTGCGGTATATAGTTTTAAAAAATAATACATAAAGCCATTTCCACAGTTGGCATGTAAACAGGATTTTAATCTGAACTCAAAAGTGCATATTGTTTATACTACAATGTTTACTGAAATAAAAATGCAAATTACCTCCTGGGACCTATAGCTTCTCATATATGCAAATAAACATATTTGTAACTAGTCTGAAAAATAAGATTTTATTTCCTTTGTTTTACTACATTTATCTACCTCTTTCCCGCCAAGGAACCTAAGGCAGTATCCTGCTTCTCCTTGATCAGATCAATGGTTCACCTGGTCCAGCATTGTATCTTCAACAATGGAAAACCAGATTTTCTTGAGGAACTTATAAACAAAGCAAGATGGAGATGTTCATCTCTTGCTTCTTATCCTCAACATCTGGTAAACATTCCTAGGCACTTATAGGGTGCATTTAGCTAGTAGGTTTTGTAGACCTTTCCTCTGTGAATTAAATGAATTCTTAAAGCCATCTAGGTAGCTTTTGTCTCAACTAGCTTGTGGTGATGAATTTAAGCATGTGTTTGTTTTGTCTAAAGTAGTATTTTCTATTTTCAGTCCTGAGCCTATTGCCAAGGCTGTGTGGGGTATATTACACACAAGAGTATAGAAAGACACACCTTTATATATAAAATGCAAAGGGGGGAAATCAATGCATAAAGTGGAAGAAAACATTGCTCAGCTAAGTCGCAATTCCATAGGCTCCTTGAAATTTCAACATTTTCAGATTTAGTTCAGCACAGAACAAAGATGGACTCTATGATGATTTTGAAAATGGAAATTAGTAAGTTTAGTAAAGGGCACATGAAGAAAAACAATGGAAATGCCAGCTGACAGGAGATCAGTGAGATTTTATGCAAGACACTCGATGATACGTAACATAATGTAATCTTTACAAATACATACCGTATAGTAATCAAACCAGGGTGCTTCTGGGAAATATACGTCTACTGATCTTGCTCCCTGTAACCAACATGAAAGAGTTAGATCAGCTTTATACATTTCTGCTATATCGGTGTTGATATCCTCAGTTTTGGTTTGATATTTGTACAGATACAACTATACCACTGGTAAACAAATTGTGATGCTATCCAGTCAAATTTCAAAAGTGCGATGACCACCATCTTCTTAGGTTTTTTGTTTCGGCTTCACTACGATCACAACTGTGGCTTGATTTAATTAGTGTAAGATGGTCACAAGCTGGAGGAGGAAGTGGTTCACTTGCTCTCGCCTATGTTTCAGTACCACCATTGCAGGCACCACCATAACTAGGACACAGTACTGCAGTTACCATAAAGGTAAAGGTAAAGGTAAAGGGACCCCTGACCATTAGGTCCAGTCGTGACCGACTCTGGGGTTGCGGCACTCATCTCGCTTTATTGGCCGAGGGAGCCGGTGTACAGCTTCCGGGTCATGTGGCCAGCATGACTAAGCCGCCTCTGGCGAACCAGAGCAGCACACGGAAACGCCGTTTACCTTCCCGCCAGAGCGGTACCTATTTATCTACTTGCACTTTGACGTGCTTTCGAACTGCTAGGTTGGCAGGAGCAGGGACCGAGCAACGGGAGCTCACCCCGTCACGGGGATTCGAACCGCCGACCTTCTGATCGGCACGTCCTAGGCTCTGTGGTTTAACCCACGGTGCCACCCACGTACCCAAGTTACATGGCACTAATGACCAAAAGGGTTTCACCTAGCTTTGTGCAGCTAATGATTCAGGCATGGCTCCTCAGTCTAAGCAACTCATTGCTCAGCGCAGACTGCGCACAGAAGACTGCCTCTTGCTACCTTCCTGCTCTTTGGCTTTCCTCCAGGTTGCCAACCCTGACAATTAGGCATCTGCATTTTAAGCAAGGCAGATTTATGATCTAATTTTTTGGCCTGCTGTACAAGGGTAGAAAGTAAATGCAAGGCTCGTTGTGCCAGTACAATGAGTTCATTACTGTGCTCTGTACACACTGCAGCACTCTTAAGGTAATAGATTTATATACATAGAATAACTGGTGCATGAATCAGTATTCGTGGTGGTTTAAAACCTTTTCTCAGTGCCTGGCCGCATGTTACAGATTTATTTTTTATTTTTTTTAAATAGTATCAAAATATTCAATCTGCTTTACAACTGTGGTTTCCCCTCTCTTTCCTCCTTTTGCTAATTTCTAGCAATTTGATTTACTATGAGTGCAAACACACGTCTCTGAAGGGAGGCAAGAGATGCAGGAAAATTTGGGAGCAGCTGGGTGAGAGCTAGTATTCACTGCTTCAGTTTTACTTGGATCCAATTTCTTCCAAAAATTGACTAGGATCAATTTATAATGACTATCTCTGAGATTCAATCATTTCCTATAATTGACTGTGATCATGCACCAGCAGCAAGGGCATGAGCAAACAGAAGTTCATCCTGTATCTGTTTGAAAACTATGAATGATATGCCCATCTTCACTTCCTCCCAGTACCATTGTGTTTCCAGTACTTGCCTCTTGAAGAACTGGAGCAATCATAAACGCAGATCCCCAAAGAAAAGCTGTGTCTATTTCATGGGTCTGAGGGTCAGCTGGAAACCTAGAACAAGAATTGTATAATTTGCTCAATATGTGGAAACTGCAGAATGTTTCTGTCGGCTTGCAAAGGCTCCCTGTCTGCATTTGCCAAATAGGATGGAACTACCAACATTCGTATTAGAAATAATAATTCATAATAAATGCAGATGTAAAAGTTCCAAATTGTCCATAATTTATACCCTGGCAGAGAGCTCCTGCCCTATACAATGGTACCTTGGTTTGCATACGTTTTGGATTACAAACATGTCAAACCCGGAAGTGCATGTCCTGGTTTGCAACATTTTTTTGGATTACAACCCATTTTTTTGGGATTATGAACAAATTTTGGGGGGGAAGGCCCCATTGGCAAAAGCGTGCCTTGGGTTACAACCTGTTTTGGTTTACAAACGGACCTCCGGAACGGATTATGGTTGTAATCCAAGGTACCACTGTACAGTACATACCCTCCAACATTCCAGAACATGTCAAATGTCTATTTTCAAAGCTTGTGTATCCTTGCTGTCTCCGACAGCTGCGTCCCCACCTTAAGAATAACTCATGATTAACCAATATGTGTGTTCCTTGTGATAAAGTCTAATCTTAAACACACACGCACATAAAGAGATGTTTTGACTCGAAGCAGTTTTGCTGAATCATTAGGACCCAAACATAACATAACCTTGTGTTATTTTATATTATGATATATTTCTTGTGAAAATTTGGGGGTGTTCCCTATCAACATGACTTAATTTTTTGACATAGTGCCTTTAGGGCAAAGCAGTTACTTTAGTTTCACTTTCCTTTCTGTTGTTTGTATTTGATAGTGAAACCTACAGAGGTCTCAGAAGTCTAGCCTGTTTGCCTGGCTGGCTGAGGAATTATGGTACTTTTGTACCCAGTTGTCCTCCTTTTCAGTTATGCTGTCCGTGGTATGGCAAAGTAATATTAACCCTAGTCAAATGCATCAGAGCCTATGTTTTTGTCATTCTTTTTTAGGCTTTCCCTTCAATATTAACAAAACTTTCTTCCAGACTGATATTTGCATATCCAACATTCAGTAAATTGTATTGTGCTGACAGGATAAATGAAATTGCTCTAAAACACTCAGCATGCTGGCAAGTGCAGTGCCAATTATAATTAATAAAATTACTTGCATTATTCCCCATGTGCTATCTTAAACTTTATCTTAAAATTCCATTCGGTAATCAGTACAACCTTCTGAGATTAAAACTTCAGAGATAATAAAAGATAGCTGAAACAGTTCTTCATACTTGAAGCCAATTTCCCCAATAATATTCGGCTCAGTACTTTGATTACTTGGCAGTAATACAAATTTCTCTAAGCCTTGCCTTGCCATGCAACTGCCTTGGTTCATGTTCAACAGCCTTTTTGTAGGCACCTCAGGCTTGGTTAGGTTGTTCTAGCTCAGCAGCTGCCGAACCACAGATTCCTTTATTTTAAGTTATTTCAATAAGATGAGTATTTATTTCTATAGACTAGGATTCAGTTTATTGTACATAGAATGTGAACGGCATAAGCCTCTGGGTCACACTGCAAAGATCAATAGGGTACAACATGGAACACAGTATAAACATGCCGTACTTTATTCTTTTTAATGCCAGGAAATGCCCCATGACTGCAAAGCATTCCTCCACGAGGAAAAATTAAGAAGCCCCTGCCTATGTAAAGCTCTGCAGCACTTCGGAGCTCCGCATGTCTGTTTTAATTTCCCCCACCTACACCCCTGCTGGTTACCAGTTTGTGTGCCGTAGAAGCCAAAGGTACAGCAATATAGGAAATGTTACGCTTCCTTTTCTGAAAGGGGAAGGGCCATAGTTCAGAGCCCATGCTTGGCATGCAAAAGGTTCCAGAGTCAGGTGGCGCAATGGGTCCGTGCACCTGGCTGTTATCCAGGAGTTGGCGGTTCGAGCCCACCCAGGGACAGCTGTGGGAAGGATTTCTGCATTGCAGAAGGTTGGACTAGATGACCCTCAGGGTCACCTCCCACTCAACAATTCTACAATTCTACGATTCAGTTCCCAGCATCTCCAGGCAACGTTTGGCAATACTTCTGTCAGGGTCTATGGAAAGCCACTGCCAGTTTTTGTAGATATTTGTGGGTTAAATGGTTTCACTGTGTATTGAAGTCAGCCTACCTATGTTCCAAAAAAGAAAATACCAATCTGATATCACTGAAACAAAATACAGTGGTACCTCGGGTTACATACACTTCAGGTTACAGACTCCGCTAACCCAGAAATAGTACCTCGGGTTAAGAAATTTGCTTCAGGATGAGAACAGAAATCGTGCAGTGGCGGAGCAGCGGCACCAGGAGGCCCCATTAGCTAAAGTGGTGCTTCAGGTTAAGAACAGTTTCAAGTTAAGAACAGACCTCCAGAACGAATTAAGTACGTAACCAGAGGTACCACTGTAAAAAAAATCCTTCCAGTAGCACCTTAGAGACCAACTAAGTTTGTTATTGGTATGAGCTTTCGTGTGTATAGGGATGCGGGTGGTGCTGTGGGTTAAACAACAGAGCCTAGGATTTGCCGATCAGAAGGTTGGTGGTTCAAATCCCCGCAACGGGGTGAGCTCCCATTGCTCAGTCCCTGCTCCTGCCAACCAAGCAGTTCGAAAGCACGTCAAAGTGCAAGTAGATAAATAGGTACCGCTCCAGCGGGAAGGTAAACGGCGTTTCTGTGCACTGCTCTGGTTCGCCAGAAGCGGCTTAGTCATGCTGGCCACATGACCCAGAAGCTGTACGCTGGCTCCCTCGGCCAATAAAGCGAGAGGAGCATCACAACTCCAGAGTCGGTCATGACTGGACATAATGGTCAGGGGTCCCTTTACCTTTAAGGTGCTACTAAAAGGAATTTTTTTTATTTTGTTTCGACTACGGCAGACCAGCATGGCTACCTACCTGTAACTGATATCATTGACATAGCTTGTCATATGTGCACACAGAGGGTTTGGAAAAGGGATGGTTGCGCCATTAATGTTCTGAAGGAAAAAGGAGCCCACAGGTATCTGAGCTATTCGTTTTTCTGAAGCAATTGACACTTTGTGAGGTCACAATGTGCAAGGGTAAATATGCTCCCGGGCTTCCTTCAGGGCTTCCTCCTCTATTTAGCTGTGTGGCAAAACAAACTTCACAGAGACACCTTATGTTTTGCTCTTTCAATGGAAAAGAAACTGGGCTATTGCTCTCCCTTTCTCCTCAGTGAGGCAAGACCATACGTTCATAATGTGATTTAAATGATAAAAGGAAAGGTGACTAAGAAACACTGCTCTTAATGCAAGCACAATGAGCATGATTAAATGGTTTCAATGCTGCCACAACATAAAAAGGAAACCATCCAATATAAAAAGGAAATCGATCAAACTCAGACCTGCATGTCTACGTCATGAGTCCCTTTAAAAACACAACATAGCATTAGCAGGCTCCATGGGGTATCTGCATGGCATTATATATCATTTCAGGGGGTAAAAGAGGCACACCTAATTGTGGCACTAAAAACCTAGAACTACTAAGAGCAGGCCTTTTTTCTACCTGAGGTAAAAAAATCCAGGTTTCTAACCCCATTAGCTTCCTCTGTTTCCCAACAAAACGGGCTGCTCTTAAAAGTAACCAAAATCTGCTCCCAGAGGCAGCCATCTTATCTTTCCTCATCATACAGCTATTTCTGGTTTCCAGCAGACAGCTGCTTCGATGACACTAAGCAGGCACGGAAACCTGGCACAAACTTGTCTCTCTGTGTAGACTGGCCGTTGTCATGTGCTACAAAATATTTCTTGTTGGCTGCTTGAAGCACGGAAGAGAAAAATATGTGGTGGGGACTGGTTTGCATGAAAACTGTGGTGCATGAATGGCTCACTGTTTGGTGTACTCAACCTGTGGGCAGGGTATATAATTGCAGGAGTTCTTTCGACTGAAGGAGGGCTTACCAAAAGGTATTTAGAACATCCTATCAATCTAATGACTAGGACTAGCTAGAAACATTTTGCTGCCTGAGGCAGAGAAGATTGTGCCTCTGCGTATTCCACATACAAAAGTCAACCAGACTGGCAGCTGAATCTTACTTTGATGCTAGCATCTTCTGCTGCACCTGAGGACAGAAGGCCAACTTAAGGGGCATTGGACAGATCATGTGGTACATACAGGTTTGTCTGCTTCTGCCCCTTCAGCATCTGCCACCTGAGGCAGCTTCATCCCACTGCCTCATGGTAGGGCCAGGCTTATACATGATTTTTGCCTTTACACTATCATTTTTAATTCCCGTCATCACACCCTGGGTGAAACTGAGCAATGCTGTCTTTGTTTTGTAACTGAATTTCGTTTGGAGACCTTCAAACAGTTTATCATTGACGTAGCCACAAACCTTCCAAAGAATTCTGAATGGCAAGCAATAGACTTTTAAAATATGCCTGTAAATATTATATTTCCATTGTAACCTGCTGTTGCTGTGCCTGTGGAGAACACTTAGCCCTGTTTTCTTCACCATCATTACGATCAACAAAATAATTGCGTGTTCAGACCTTTAAACCTCCCCCTTAAATAAATTCAGACAATACTCAAATTTTGGTTTGGTTTTTGGCAGAATTTAGGCCACAACTTTATTGATTACAGCACGTGAGTGGTTGCATAGGCTCTGGTTCAACAAGCTCTCTGCACTGTTGCAGGTAGTGCTGACCCAGGGCACCAGCATAGGTCAGCCTAGGGTGAACACATGGATAGACGGAAAGCCGGGAACAGGCTATGTCCACCACCCAGATGTCCCCTTGGACTCTGGCATGGGCACAACCCCCTCACAGGGTTGACCAAAACACTGAGTCCCTGGATTCCTTTAACGGAATACCCTTCACATAGGGATGGCGAGAGCGTTCTGCCATCCCTATCACCTGAACCAGAGCCTATCCACAACCTTACAAGTTGTGATGATTTGCCATGAGGCAGGCGAAATCCAAATGGCAACAGCCAATCAGCCAAGTGGGGAAAATTCCTGCTGTGCCCCTGTCCCAACGACAGACAATACACGGCGGCTTAGCAAGGTCAAGCACACAAGCCCTAAAAATAGGGAGAAGGTGGGCAGGTGTTCCAAATGCACGCGCCAAAAGAGGAAGCTCTGGGTCACGTGCATAGGTATACATAGGTCCCTTGATCTGTTGGACTGTGTCCCATTGGCCTGATTAAACCCTGCATCAAGGGACCTACCAATTGGGTGTTGTGGCTATCCAATCATACCCACCCACAACACAGGGTTTGGTTGCCAGGTCTCGCCGCAACTTGTGCCCTCTTTAAGGGAGGACCTGATATACCTAATAACATATCTTTGATTAAAAACCCATGACAAGGAGGAAAATGAATGGGTAACTTACTCGTGCATTAAACCTCGGGCCACTGTATTTCCAAAGGCATGAGCTTCAAAGAATAGGGTGTACAAGTATGGCAGGAGGGAGTATCGAATCTGCAGTGTTGATCGTGCAATTGTGGCAAATTCAAGCCCAAACACTCCAGGGTCTTGTTCCTGTGAAAAAGCAGAATTTCAGTTTGATTTGCATTTATTTATATTTGCGCATTCAAGCTTATTGGACCCCCTGCCCCATCCTGAAAGCTAAGGGAACAACAGGCTTTGGCATGTAAACCTATTAAAGACTTCTTTCGTCAACTGCTTGGCTTTTAACTAAGCCAGGGTTTCCCAAACTTGGGTTTTTTGGACTACAACTCCCATCATCCCTAGCTAGCAGGATCAGTGGTCAGGGATGAGCTAATCTAATCACAATATATTTTTTAAAAGATGTTTATGTGAAGGTCCTGGGAGCAGGAACCAGTGAGATGTCGTGGTACGGATCAGGGAGATCTAAGTTCCTGCTCATACATGGAAGTTTGCTGGGTAACTTTGGGCCAACCACAACATCTCAACACAATTCATCTCATGATATAGAGGAGGGTTCAGATGCCCCCCCATTGGAACAATGCATGAAGGTTGCTAATGACTCCCCCCTCCCCAGTTTGACCAGCTATAATATGCATGTAGAATCCCTTCGTACACTATATTTATGTATTCGACTGCTGCATATGTTGTTGGGAGCATGGCTGTTCTTTTCATCTCCTCACCCCTGAGGTACTTTCAATATCTGTTGTGGTCATCTGATACCCCCCCAATTAGGAAACCCCCCCCCCCACACGTAAGGATTAAAGAAGGCAGAGAACCAATATTTTCTGAGCATCTCAAAAGTAGAATGGGATTAAAGTGTTACAAATAAATGCATCCCAAAAATGTTATTTAAAAGTTTATTGTTCAGGTATAACCAAAGCATCCTCTTCCTTTTAATTACATTTGCAAAGAAAGCAAAACTCTGATCCTCTACATTTTATGTTTCAGACTGGTGGTCTCTGAGGCTGTTGACCAACATTATGCTGTTCTCTGAATCAGCTGGTTTCCAGAGACATAATTTTAATGTCCCCCCTTTTTCTGTCAACACTGCTTATTTACAGTAGCTGGGTCAATAGACATTCAATGGGCGCTGGTTTGTTCACAACAGCAGCAGTGCTTGACAAGCTTTCATAAGACCCTGATGTGACCAGATAGCAAATTACCTCAGCCTTGGCCCTGTATTTCTTTTACACATACCGGAGCCAAAATGATTTCTTTTGAGTAGGAAAGGTGTTTGTTCCACAAGGCTAGTGACTTGGCTGATACTTTTGAAAACTTTTGTAAAAAGATTAAGGGGATTAATCAAACTGAGAAACCAAATGATCAAAGTTGCTCATAATTTAAAAACGCCTTTCCAGGCCAACCATCAGAATTGCATCAGTCTTACAATACTGAATGTCAAAACAAATGGGGAGAACATTCCAAATTTGTACCAAGCCCAGAAAAGTGAGCATTTGTCATATATATATAATGTCCAAACTGCAATATTTCTAAGTGGCACCTACTTACCTTCTGACCAAATGCATTATGGTTTCTGGACAATGGATAGAATGCACCAAGCTGTGTCCAACGCAGGCAGAGTTCAAAAGTAGTATCATAGTAAAAGCCACAGATATCAGCACCCACCTGTGAAGACAGACAGAAAATCAGTGCTTCCTGCCATTCATGCTGTAAACTGGCCACAATTCACTTGGATACCAGTTGCCTACTGCAAAAGGTAAGCAGCAGCTGTATGCAGCAGCTGCAGTGCTGCAATTGTCCATTGATTTCTCAATGCTAAGGAGGTGAAGCCCATCAGACCTTTTCAATATACATACAAAATAAACCACAATGCTCTTTATACTGGATTTCATAAGGCCTTGCTACTTAAGTCCGTATGTCTGTAACAGGTATTTGATTCATTCATTGCAAAAGAGGCAACTGATATGTATGCAAATCCCTTCATGAGGACAGCTTGGCTCCCTCTTTTGGAATGAATGGGCCAGCAAAAGACCTTGTATATAGATCAAGGTATGGATATTTCTGTGTACGTAGAACTCTGTTACGCTAAATGGTGTTTGATTGCTGGGCTCTGAATAATATATCAGTTTAAGTAGGGTGAATTAGCGCTTGTGGCTTGTGAAGGCCAATTGTTTTGTCAGAGACACTTCCTTGTGCAAACCACTGAGGCCACAATGCTCAAACTTCCTCTTCCAGATTATTCTCACGTATGCCAACAGAACCCTGCAGAAATTTGTAATTAAGTTTGTTTCCATGCAAGAAAAGTAGTTATGTAGCACTGAAATGTAAACTTATTAGCATACGCTACCCTAACTGGTAACAAAGTCTGTCCTTTTGCTCTTTTTGCGAAGTATTCATTGAATCACCAGAGGTATAGACACTCCTGTATGGTCTACTAACATGGAGGCTACTTGTTTGCCTCTCTTCCAGGCTTCAAAATCCGGCATAGTTTTTTGAAACTATGCAAGTATATATCTTGCTCGGTTTCTGATTCACCTTCCCAATGAAATCTCCTGGGCTCCAAGCCATTCCAGAGGGACATTCAGGAAAAGTCGGGGAGGGTTGCAGGACTGCTACAGGATATAGGGAATGGAAAAATTGCCTCTTTGTGGTCATGCTTTTGTGGATCCATCCCATTGTATAATATGAACCATGCCACAACATAACCACCAACCCCTGAACTGACACTTTATATTCCTTTGCTTCTGTTGTTATTGCCAACTTTTGTGGCCATTTTGAAATGGTACAACGTTGTACGCAAATGGTTGCCTATCGTGCCTTCAAAACCACTTACTTGTGGAATTCCAAAAAGATTAAACTCCAAAATTCCAATTATGGATGTGTGCATATCTTCCCAAAGAGCATGGTTGTCCCCTAGCCAGTGGGCTGTATATTTCCCATTTCCAACAAATGTAGAGCGACTCAACACAAATGGCCTCTTTCCTGTGGCTTCCTTGATGGCCCTGAGAATGAAAAATTGCACCCACATCAGCAAAGCCCTGGGAATTCATTTTCCTTTAGCTTGGAAGTCAAAAATAAAACCAGAGCAGAGGCAAAACTTCAAATGCAACTTTGAAATGTCCGCAGCTATTTCTAATGTAATCCTTATTTGACGTTGGATTTCCTATCTTGGCGCGACATAGTAATTTCTCGATAAAGGCTTCTTTCCCAGATGAATGCTTCCCTTCTCTTTTGAACTTCAAAGAGTATATAGTATCTCACAGTTGCAAAAAAAATCAAGTAATTTAGGGGCTACTGCTTGCTGAACAAGAAAACAAACTGGCCAACCCTCTCTCTCTATGCGTTGAAATGTGCTTTCGCTTTTAGATGTCATTTTATTTAACAGAATATCCTGTATTAATAACTAACAAAGGAGTTTTCAGAATGTAGAAGATTGCAGAAACCCAACTTCTATTGAATTTCCAGGAGGATTTGGGCAGCTGGTTGCTTCAAGCTTTTTAAAACTGCCAGCTAGTGAGCATCAGTCATTTATATCCATGATTAGATTCATTCTACTCCAGTGGAGTCTATTCATGAGCTCTTGCATCTACATAACCAAACTGGAACTCGTATAAAATATTGTGGCAACACAGCTTTCAAGCAGGAGACAACATCCTAACTATATTATACACTTGGACACCTTGTGAATGGATCAAATTTAACCCTGACGTTGTTAGTACTGCCAGAAATACTTCCCACTTCCCATCTCTTGTTGCCCCTCATTCCCAACCATGGAGACTAGCTATCTCCCAAGTCCTGACAATTCACAGCGATGTATTGCACCAGCTTGCTACATATGTCAGGTTTCATTCAGGTTTCATTCTTACTGACTCCAACTGCCTCTAATCCTGACTGGATCACGCTCCCACTTGCAGCCAAGCCTTTCAACCAAGTGTTTACTGAATGGATCCATGTGGAGGTTGGCACCTTCTGAAATCACCACAGTAAACACTGCTTGCAGTTCAACCTACCACTACCATGCCAGCAAAGAACTTCCAATGGTGGGTTTAATTAACAGTAAACATGGCTGGAGGTTAGATTGTGAAGTAGCTGCACCGGCTGCTTGAACAGATGTGGATCAGGGATTAACACTGATGCATATTTTTCTCTACTGATCTAAATGTGTTGCTTACCTGATATCGGAAGCAGAATCTTGTGTGAACTTAAGAACAAGATGGGGAACTTGTGGTCCTCCAGCTGTTGTTGGGCTACAGTGCCCTGAGTTGGCCATGCTGGTTGGGGCAAATGGGAGCTGTAGTTCCCTTATCCCTATTCAAATTCAACATCATGTGGCCAGCATGACTAAACCGCTTCGGGTGCAATGGGACACCGTGACGGAAGCCAGAGCACATGGAAATGCCGTTTACCTTCCCGCTGCAGCGGTACTTATTTACCTACTTGCACTGGCGTGCTTTCAAACTGCTAGGTTGGCAGGAGCTGGGACAGAGCAACGGGAACTCACTCCATTGTAGGGATTTGAACCGGCGACCTTCCAAGCCCAAGAGGCTCGGTGGTTTAGACCACAGCGCCACCCACGTCCCTTCTTAACAAAAGCCATCTAAGAGAGTGGCTATCACCACATCTTTTGCCGTTTCCCAAAATTGCAACATGGAAAGGATTACACATGATAAATCTTGATCATTATTCACAACACTTGAGCACTCTATGCTTCCCAACACAGTGCCATATTGCCTAGAAGCAAGTACTGATCAGTAATTAATAATAATTAAACACGGCCAAGGGGAAAGAAGGTGCAGTGTTGTTAATGTCATGTTGACTCCACAATGATCCTTTGTGGGTTTTGGGAGCATGAAATCAGTGCAGCTGGGGAAAGTGACCGGCTGCACAAGAGAGGAAGACTCCTTCACCTTTAATACTTGTATGGAAGAAGGAATTTTGGTCGGTGCAGCAAGTCACCCGATAAGGTGAGAAATGCGGTGCCTGCCAAAATCCCTCCTCCTATCCAAAGTATGAAAGCTGGAGAGCATGGATTCTGCACACAAATTTGGGGGACACTGATGTTGCACATGTGTTTTGACAACTGTCCCAACATTAAGGAGCGAGTGTGGTACAAAGTGTAGAGGCTTAATGCCAGGAACCTAGGTTTCAGGTCATTGCACTGAGTAGCATTGCCAAGTTACTTGGATCTTGGCATGAGAAGTTAATGTGTCACTGACTCTTTCCAGTTCCTTGAAATGCTACTAGAGGGGGCAAAGGAGGGTTCATGTACTATTGCTGATAACCTATTAATCTTGTATCTAAACTAGATTCTTAGACACTCTGAAGGGGGCAGGAGAATAATAATGATTAGACTTGGTCTTGCCACAGAATAAGGTGTCTGCGTATGTATTCCAGTTGCATGTGTATATTCTGTGTATAATACGTACCGTATTTTTCCATGTATAAGATGCCCCCATGTATAAGATGACCCCTATTTTTTTTAACCCCAAATTAAGACAATGCACTATGCACTATCCGTGTATAAGACGACCCCTTATTTAAAACTTCAAAAATTTAGGAAAAAATATAGTCTTATACACAGAAAAATATGGTATGTAATGCATATATACATATATACTGTTTATATATACACCCACACCCATCTTTGTGGCAAGTTTGTTTAAAGAATTTTACTTCCTACTTGGAACACATGCTGCCAAATTCTATTACCGTACACCATTGGCTTCGACTTTTAGATTCAGTTTTGAACACCTTTCTGTCTTCCAACCTTTTATTTGTTTAGCCAAATAAAGCATTTGCATATGAGTGCAACTGTTCTGCCCCCGAGGGGCAAGAGGATCACTGAGAGATGCTTTTGTATAGTATGTTTTGTGTGGAGCTGAAACGACATACACGCGAGAGAAGGTCAAAATTGACCTTTAGTTGCTGGCTTTGTTCTGTACAACAGACACAGCGGGTGCGCAGTTTAAATCAGACTTCCTCCTGGGAAGTAAAATGGTTGGTTACAGACCCCTGGGGAATAATTCAAAAGTGGAGCCGGGCTCATCCCCAGGAATCTTCTGATGCTATAAAGCCCTTAGTTAGCCATTATATGAAATGAGGGGAGAGTCCTGATTTGGCTCTGAATGCTCTTTGTTAGAATGAACTCCAGTTGATTCCTACTCTATTCGTTATAGAGACTGCTCACCTATAGCCTCTTTTAAATCTCTCTGGGGTAGGTGGACGTTCAATAATAGGAACTGAAGAGTCATAGCGTAAGCCCCTCTGGGTTCATTCTTCTCATAATGCAGCTTAAAGTTACTTTATCCAGTTTCAATTTTGTATTGAAAACAGCATGATGCTTCTGTGTGGTTTCTCCTTTTTTCCAGACCTTAAAAGAGTCTAGCTTCCCTTTTTCAACCACTCTAGTTTCAGAGCAACAGGTGCCTTTAATCTACAGCAGCACCGAGAGTCCACTGCTCTGCAAAAATGTGCTTGCTTGCTTGCTTGCTTTAAGGCTGGCCAGCAACTTGTGTTTCAATCCCACCTCTGTCATGGACTCATCATATGAAATTGGGAATGTTTGTATGGCACTTTGCTCAAAGAACATTTATTTATTTATTTAGTCAACTTCTGGACTACTTAATATTTATAAAAAAGATTGCAATAAGTAGTGTAAAGGTAAAGGTAAAGGGACCCCTGACCATTAGGTCCAGTCGTGGCTGACTCTGGGGTTGCGGCGCTCATGTCGCTTTATTGGCTGAGGGAGCCGGCGTTTGTCCGCAGACAGCTTTCGGGTCATGTGGCCAGCATGACGAAGCCGCTTCTGGCGAACCAGAGCAGCGCACGGAAGCGCCGTTTATCTTCCCGCTGGAGCGGTACCTATTTATCTACTGCACTTTGATGTGCTTTCGAACTGCTAGGTTGGCAGGAGCAGGGACTGAGCAACAGGAGCTCACCCCGTCGTTGGGATTCGAACCGCCGACCTTCTGATCGGCAAGTCCTAGGCTCTGTGGTTTAACCCACAGCGCCACCCACATCCCTTAATAAGTGGTTTACAGTAGCAATATTAGCAACAGACATTCCACTGCCTCATACGGTCCAGTGTAAAATGGTAATTTAGACCAGCCTTTCCTAAGATGGCTGAAACTTAAAAGTCCAAAATACAGGCAGGATCTTAGGTTGCAGAAGCCTGATTTAGGCAATCTCTGGAGCTTTCTATAGCCCCAATTGAGAACCAGCTCAAATTTGCAACCATGCAATCACTTCCTATGATTTTTTTTTTAAACTTTTGCAGAAACTCATGGAGAAACACTTGCTTAACAGAGGTTTTCTTTTTCTTTTTTTAAGGCTGTAAGGTTTTCAAACTATTGTCCAGGGAACTGTAGTGTTCTGTGGAAGCTCGTTAGCAGTTCTTGAGTGAAAAGATCTGTAATTGTAGATAAGATTTCCTAAAAACAGTTTGCTATTCACTATCACATTTGCAACCTGGCTTTCCTCCGGGAAACTCAGTGTGGTGTATATGGTTCTTCCCATGGCTGATTGTTGAAACTTAACCCGGATCCCCTCTGATATTATACTACACTGGCTCTCTACTGATCTTCCTCGCAACTTCAGGTAGCCTTGGGTATGGGGTCCAGAGTGTACCCACAGTTCATGCAAGGCAATAGCTAGACCCTGCAATCTCCCAAATGAACTAAGGCAGGCAATACAATAATTGCAAATGTGTGGAAGGAAGCCTTGATAGCAATTTTATAAAAACGGAGAGTATGGCTTAGAGCAGTGCTATGGGGTGTGTGTGTGTGTGTGTGTGTGTGTATGTGTATGTGTGTGTGTAAAACACTTTCCTTACTAGCCATTTTCCGAATTAATTTCCACCACACCGCTGCTTCTCCCTCTCATCTTTTACTTTCATCCTTGAGAACATGCGCCCGAAATCCTTGGCGCTGACAGCACTTATCTAGCCAATTTGTGATAAATTCCCTCCTAACTACCACTACTGGAATAACTTTGGCAATAGTTTCTGCAAGAACATCTGAAATTACTTTATACTGAAGTAAATTATACTGAAGTACATAAAGTACCCAGGCAGCCCATTTTATACGGACTGGGAGTGGTTTGCCCTGCTCTCAAGTCCACCCTCTGCATTTGCAACATGAGACCCTAAGTACAGCCCATTTCAAGTTTCCAGGTGGTGCCAATTCTTCCTGAACAAAAAAACTTAAATGAAAACTGAGTAACGTATCTTTAAAGATTTTCAGAGCGTTTAGTGGAAGACATTTAAAGAACTTACTGGAACGTAGGTGGGGCTTCAGACCATCCAAAGAGGGAATGTGTGTCATAAAGATCTCCCAGAAAAGTTTTAGAATCTGGACACAGTGTGCTTTGAAACAGAGAAGAATCAGAAATTCCTGAAAGTGGAATACAAAATATTAAGAATTATTGTTGAGTAACAAGTCCCTTCACATTCATAGTCATTTTTTAAAAGTAAAGTTGATTCATAAGAAATAAACTTGAAAGTTTTTGTTGGGTTGCTTTATACATTCACCAATAATTACATTTATTCCCATGATTATTCCTGCTGTCTAGCTGTGGAACAATAAGGCATTCAGGATGTAGTTGCATCTAGAGTATAAACTAGGAACGTTCTTTTTGTTGTACACGAACTTGTCTCACAGTAATCACATAAATCACTATTTCCACAAACTGTCCAATTTTTTCAATACTATTCACTGTGGCAAAATTCATGGGTGAGAATATTATCAGAATAAAATTCCCAGCCATGAATTAGGCTCCCTTCCTCAAATAAAGGGAAGAGATTCCTCACTCACAGTTCACCACAACTAAGCCTTCAGTGACAGGCAGTTCCATAATGATGTTTACCGTTTTGGATTCCCCCCCTGATATTTCATTGTCAGCAGCACATAATAGATATCAACTGCTTGCTGCCAATTAGGCTCCTGAAAACAGCCAGGGTTTGTTAGAAGGATGTTGACCAGACTAATTGCTGGATGGCTGACAGGAGCTGTAGGGCTTCGGGCTTCCCAGAACAGGGTTTTAACCTTCCAAATTCTTTCATATAGAGAGACTACTGCAGCCTGCATAGGGACACTGAACTCTGCACCCAGGTTACTAGGATAGACATGATTCCTCTCTCAAATAAGTACCTGTACCATTGCCTCTTCCAGCTGACACTGAATGTGAAATATTGAGCAACTGTCAAAATCAATAAAGAAGGTGTCCTCCAGATGTTCTGGACCACAGCTCCCCTCAGCTCTATCCAGTAGGGATGATAGATGCTGTAGTTAAGAACACTTGAAGTGCACCAGGTTGTCTATCCTTGCAATAAGCAAGGCATTGTAATGTTCAGATCCACAGTCATGCCTGGAATTTTGAATACCGGTGTTCTCATATTCTTGCTCTTTGTGATTTATGTGGTTTCTAGAAACACAATTAGGGTGAGTGAAATCAATAAGACTTAAAAAGCATTTCACTTTCTCTGTGTTTCACCCATCTGTCAGTGCTCAGCTGTAGGTAGCTGTCAGAGGGGAGCGAGGAACCTGGAACCAGTTGTGACAGAGGGCCAGAAAAAACTAGGAGACAGAGCTAAGGAACAAGCAACTTTTTTGAAGCGTCAGGAAGGCCTTTTGTTCTAATCCCACCCCAGGCAGGAGGCCCTTTATAGACTAACCTGGGTATGAGGATTCAATGGTCAGCCTGAGTGGACAAAGCCAATTCAGAGCCTGGGGAAACTGCTCCCAAAGCAGCTCTGGTGTCTCATCACATGGACAATGGACATCTATTTCTAACCCTGGTGGGTCCTGACACCATTGCATTGGAGATGTAGTTATAAAGAATGCAAGTGAACTCTATGATCCTGCTACCGCCCCGCAACTCCCCTCCACCCTCCAACACTCTTCATCCTGCTGAAACAGTTGTGGTCGCAAAGATGGGGGAAGAGGAAAAAGTGATGAAGAGAAGGAGGAGAGCTTATGCTCTCCAGATGTTACTGGACTACAGCTTTCATCATCCATGGCCTTTGGTCATGCTGGCTGGGGCTCATCCCCATCCTTGGGCTTAGGTGTTTTTCAGGGGCACTGTCCAACACAAGTAGCCATTTCCCTGTCTGTCCTGTACAGGCCTTGAATTTTTGAAGGGGAATTCCACACATTTTCTCCACAGAGGGCATCATGGATTTGTCCACAGTGTAGTACAATGCCAAGAGACAAATGTGATTAACAACATCATGATAGAGACTGTAGCTACCTTGGAAGAGAACTTACTGTCGGAATCATTAACAACTGTATCACTTATACAAGCCCCTTTTTATCTTCTCCCTTAGGTACTATCAAGCCTTGACTTCTATATAGCTCAAGATCAATAGTGAAATACCAGGGATGTCCTAGAAGGATTGATTCTGGTTTTTTAAAATAATTGTCTACTAAACTTTTAGAAACATTGATGCTGTAAGTGGCTATAGGAATCAGGCAAAGGATATTTGTTTTTCAGAAGTCACTTACTGGGAATGTAAGGTGGGTTGTTGAGGTTGTTGTGAGCACAGCCTGGGATCTGGCCATCGAGAAAATTTGAGGGTTCATTCATATCCTAACCAAATAAAAAAACAAGAAACAGGTTAGGTTTTATGGTATACTTTGGGTGGGGGAAGAGAGAGAGAGATAAAATATAAAGGGAAATATTATCAAACGTACAAGCCAAATACCATCATAAGGAAGGACATTGTGGAACTGAACACACATCTGGGTCCACCAATCAGCTGTTTTGGGGTTGAAGTAGTCAGGGTACACTGAATTTCCTGGAGCCAAGGCCTGGAAGTGAGAATGAAATATATTAAGATAAGGACATTTCAGCCTGCTAATGGACATGGAAAATTTCAGAGATTGCGTGGAATGCAAGCTCAGAGTGTACCAATTGTTGGCATCTGTCTGTCTTGGGAGACAATGGAGTATGCCTCCAGGGGTGAAGTAAAACCGCTGGAGAATCACAGCACCTGCTGTGGCTGCTGGGACAGGTAACTCGAAACTGCTGCCTCCCATGTTGTTTTTGCTTCCCTCTTGGCCTCACTGATGTGGTCCAGAAGAAAGCAGAACAATACATTTGGCACCAGCGTGGGTGCAGGAGGTACCAGAAGGAGGTGTACAAGGTGCCAGGGATTTAGGAATTCTACTCTGGATTTGTGTAGGGTTTACTCTTTAGACTTTTCTTCTCCCAGATATGTCCTGCAAGGCAGAAGGTAAGGAAATACTTCTTCTTGGAATACTATTGCTTATGTTCAATTGATTGTAGAGGGCTGCTGCCAATCACTGTCAACAATACTAGGTTACATGGACCAATGTTTGACTTGTTGTCCTATGTTCATATGAAATCATCAAGAGCAGTGTCATAATTAGTGTGTGGCAATGGTATTGTGAGAATGGATGTTGCTCTCACTTCCTTTACTGTTACTGTGATTGGACATTGCTGCCATGAGAACATAACTATCAACATGATACACCAGGGTTTCCCAGCTGTTTGGGGACTACAACTCCCATCAGCCATAGCTAGCAGGAGCAGTAGTCAGGGATGATGGGAATTGTAGTCAAAAAAACCCCACTTTGAGACCCAAGTTTGGGAAACTGTGTAATGTAAACTCTTCCACAACAACAACTATCTTATCCAATCCAAAGGATTGCCCCATAGATACCTACCTGCCCAACAGCTGGAGTCACTCCATCTGAATTTTTCACCCAAATTCCCAATTGTTCTCCAAGTTCGTAGGGTTGGTAAGCCCCTCTAGCTTGATCTTTACTTAGGAAAGGATCCTGATGAGGGAACAAAACCGAACAAAAGTAAAGGATAGGAAATAGAAACACTGCAACAATACCGGTTTTGAAAAATGGGTCTGAGATGCCTGATTATACTGAACAAAATGGAACTACTGTTTGGGTATGACAATAACCTGGAAATCATCCACTAGAAACCTATTAGCCTTAAAGTTAAAATTTAAGGTGACAGAAATGCAAATATAGTATATTAACAGAGCACAACATAAACCCATCCCTACATAGACATGGGCTATGTAACATTATTTCCAAACGATGGCATGGAAGAAGCTATTGGTAGGCTAGCAGAATGCCAAAGATGGAAGCAGGACCAACCCTACCATTAGGCAAGATGAAATAGCCAATCTCAACATGCAGCAGGTTTTGGGGGTACCATTAAATGGTGGCAAATGTCCAATTAATTAAATATTACCACATGTTGTTACCATATTATTAACCACCATGGAGGTGCCATTTGGATTATTCCCATCACGTATGAAATTGCTTGGGCCACTTCTGAATGGAAGCTACCAGGTTGCTGTCAGAGAACATTATTACAGAAGTGGCCATGAAAAGGGAAAGAGAAGAAGCTTATCAGTCAAAGTGTGGATCCAGAAAAATCCTGTTGGCACTGAACTACCGACTCTTAGAACATCGGAGTATTTATTGGAATTTAAACTTCTTGAATAGAGAATTTCCAAGAAGCTTAAAAACTCGATCACCAAATGAAGCCAAAACTTAGGAAGTTGTCACATTGTGCACCTTCAAACTGTGCACTGGGTATGGCTGCACTTTGCAAATGTAACACACGCTGCCTGAATGGTTTGCGATGAGAATCATAGAATCATAGAGTTGGAAGAGACCACTAGGGCCATCGAGTCCAACCCCCTGCCAAGCAGGAAACACCATCAGAGCACTCCTGACATATGGTTGTCAAGCCTCTGCTTAAAGACCTCCAAAGAAGGAGACTCCACCACACTCCTTGGCAGCAAATTCCACTGTCAAACAGCTCTTACTGTCAGGAAGTTCTTCCTAATGTTTAGGTGGAATCTTCTTTCTTGTAGTTTGGATCCATTGCTCCGTGTCCGCTTCTCTGGAGCAGCAGAAAACAACCTTTCTCCCTCCTCTATGTGACATCCTTTTATATATTTGATTATTGATTATCTAATTGATCTAATTAGATAATCAATCTAATTGATTATTGTCTTCCCAACAGGTTTCTGATATTAAAAGAAAAAACATATTCATAAAATAGCTCACCAAGGCTTCCAAGCACGAATTGTGATTTGGCATGAGCCACGTTGGGGTCCTTTACGATTAATCTTCTAGTGACAAACTATTCAGATGATCTTGTTTCCAAGGGACCAAGGGGTTTGGAAAGTAAGCAAGCAAGAAAACATCTAACTGCACCACTGCTAAATTGCATTGGGAGCTATATTTTTTTATAGCCCTCTTTTTATAGCATTTTTCATATCTGTGTAGAACTGGTTTCAAGTCCATTTCATGATATTGGTTTCATCATTTTTGACCTGGCAATATATTGTGAATCATGATGTGTGCTTACGTGTGTGCTATGCACAAATAACAATGTGGGGGAAAACCTGAAGCCAGCCAGTGCCTCTACAGTACATAGCTCCATCCTTATTTCATCCTTATGTCTAGGGAAGCTTTTAATGTTTAATAGGTTACTGTATTTTAGTGTTTTGTTGGAAGCCGCCTAGAGTGGCTGAGGAAACCCAGCCAGATGGGCGGGGTATAAATAATAAATTATTATTATTATTATTATTATCATTATTATTATTTCAGACATTGTGATATATCAGTATATCGTGATGTTCAGCAGGTGATATATCATGAAGTCAAAAATCAGACAGTCCTACTGTTCGCCTCTACATAGTTCCATCCTTATTTCAGACATAATGATATATCAGCAATATATAGTGATGTTGAAAACCAGGAATGTAAAACACAGCCGTTAGTAGCCATTTCATAAGCCTTACCCTCCACAAATTTGTCTAATCTTCTTTTAAAGCCATCCAAGTATACTGCCATTGCTGTGTCTTGTAGGAGAAAATTCCACAGCACTGTGTGCAGAAGCACTTTCTTTCATCTGCCCTCAATTTCCTTTCCATCCAATTAATTGCCACGTTAAGAGCATTGCACAATACCACTCCAACGGTGGTGGCACGGGAGCTCTGAGCCACACTGTTGCACCAGTGTGACGTCCTGGCGTGGCTTATTGTACCAGCACAATGTCAACACATGAGATCGTTCCAACACAGCAGGCGCACTCCTAAACATGTAAGTGCTAAGAGCGGCTCATAGAATTGAGCCTTTAATCTCATTCCATTCCTTCCCTAATAACTAAATAACGGCTCAGTTTGTCTCGTTTTTTGAAAAAAACAATCTTTTATGATAAATACTGTGCTTTTGGGCACAATACTCTTATTTCTGGCAGACTGTACAATACTTTCAAGTGGGGGGGAGGCATGGCACCTACAGACTTGAGGAGTCCAAGCATTCAGTAGGTGTGCAGTTTTAACTTACGCAAACCCCCTCAGATGTGGTGTTTTTTTTAAGTGCTGCCCTTACGTAGTAATTAAAACCCAGGCAGGTGATACTCAGGGGACATTAACACTCTAAAACAACTCAGTTTAATTATCTACACCTAATCTGAACCTCTGATATCTCGTAGCCAAAAGTGTTGTTGTAGTGCATAAATCTAATACATTATGCAGCTCCTGCCTCACACCAAGGAGAACAAAAGGCTCTGGTGACTGATTTTGCATTCCAAATAAACTCCGTGCCTTTTTCACATGCTCCTACCTATTCCTCAGGGAATGAGTGCCATATTAGAGACTGACAGAATAGCTTAGGAAAGGGTCCAGAGAATTGTCTGAATGGCACACCAACAACGCAGTTCTTTTGCTGGAGTTAAAGGTCCGGCCCTGGATGCGTAAGCTGGCCTGATTTCTTTGGCAGAAGAGTAGGATATAATTTTGATAAACAGATATTCAAGAATAATGCACATCCCCCCCCCCAGTGCATGCAGTGGGGGCTACTGTAAATAAGCAACATTTGACAAAACCAGATCACATTCATACTGGGAGCAAACAGCCCAAACCTGAGCATGTTTACTCAGAAGTAAATCCCACCATATTCAACCTCAGTGGGGCTGATCTTAAACCCTTAATGTCCTAGTCCTCAAGCTCATACACCCAGGCTTGCAACATACCATTTCAGAATTAATCCCACCCCTAGTTTTTTGTATGCCAAAGTTCCTGAATATTGTTTTTAATTGTTTAGTGAATTCTAAATTGTTTCCATTTGCTGTTGCAATGAATTCTCTTTTCTGTGGGGGTTGATGAAGAGCAGGCAACCTTCCTCATTAAAGTTATTCTGCTGGAATAGATGTTGATCGTTCTGCTTGATAACCATTGTTACTTTTAGAGCATCAACCTTTGTATGGAAACAATGCATTTGCTCTGACTCAGAATAAGTCAGAGGCGAAAATGGGGCCATTGTTCAAGGCAGGCAGCAGAGGATGATGAGTAAGCCCTGACATTCTTAGGGGGGAAATTGCCAGGAGGCAAAGGGGTGGTAGAGAGACTGAAATTGCCTCATATATTTTTCACATGATACACTCACTTAAAAAACAACAACACAACAGTGATTTTTATGAGGTGAATGCTACATCCAAATTTGCCTCCACTTCTCCATGCATTGAAACCCGAGATGTCAGTAGTGGATAGCATAGTGCTTACCTGACTTCCCAACAGATGAGTTATAGCTTCTAACTGGGAGGAGCAAAGTGATGGGAGGCTGGCATGGTGCAAATGAATGAGCAGAGCAGGCACCAGATTGGTTCCGCTCACGTGTTTGCTTTGTGCTGCTTCTCCATCGCCTCGCCCATCTCCCTCCATTAAGCAGCAGTAACTCAGCTGTCAGGAAGTCAGAAGAACACGGCCACCGCCCCCATCCGCTCCAAGAAATATCCCTGTTCTCCTAAATCCAATGTCCAGAAGAAGCTGGTACATTTCACAATGTGGAGGCTCATTCAGAAGGACAACACAAACCGGTAGATAGTCACTGCTCATTGGGAGTTCCCCACGTTCAAAGATAAATAGAGGAACCTGACCTTAAAGGGAAACTCAAAATCTTTGATAGCATTATGGGTAAAACTACATAGCTAATTTGGCTTTATAAAGGTAAAGGTAAAGGGACCCCTGACCATTAGGTCCAGTTGTGACCAACTCTGGGGTTGCGGCGCTCATCTCGCTTTATTGGACGAGGGAGCCGGCATACAGCTTCTGGGTCATGTGGCCAGCATGACTAAGCCGCTTCTGGCGAACCAAAGCAGCACACAGAAACACCGTTTACCTTCCCGCCGGAGCGGTACCTATTTATCTACTTGTACTTTGACGTGATTTCGAACTGCTAGGATGGCAAGAGCTGGGACCGAGCAACGGGAGCTCACCCCATCGCGGGGATTTGAACCGCCGACCTTCTGATCGGCAAGCCCTAGGCTCTGTGGTTTAACCCACAGCACCACCCGCGTCCCTATTTGGCTTTATACATTGACTTAATTATCATAGATGCGTAGGCAGAACATAGCAAGTGCCTTACCGGGTCAGGCGAAAGGCCCATTTAGTCCAGGACACTGTTCTCAAAATTGAGAACCAGATGCCCATGGAAAGCCCCCCAAGCAAGACATCAGTGCAATTGTACCCTCACCACTCGTGATTTCAAGCAACTGGTAGAACACAGCCATCATGGCTAGTAGCCATTAACAGTCTTATCCTCCATGAAATTGTCCAATTCTCCTTTAAAGCCACCTCTATCAAGTCCCTCCCCCTTAATTTACATTTCTTCTAAGCCAGTGTTCCTCAAACTTGGGTCCCTAGCTGTTTTAGGACTACAATTCCCATCATCCCTGGTCTTGCTAGCTAGGGATGATGGCAGTTGTAGTCCCAAAACAGCTGGAGACCCAAGTTTGCGAAACACTGTATCTAGGCTAAAAAGCTTCAAAAATGATGAACTTTCTTCATAGGAGAGTTGCTCCAGACTCGCGATAATTTTGATTGTCCTATGCCTCACCTTTTCCAGCAATTCATTTTTCAGATGGCGGTTTCGTTCTTGATTGCTTTACTAATGATCCCTAGCAGGGCATTTGCCATTTTCACAGTAGCTACACTATAACCCTGTCTTCACTGAGCTGTTCATTAAAACCACCACATCCCTCTCCTGGTCAGTCATTACTAGCTTGCACTTCACACTGAAATGCGTTTGCCATTCACACGTTCACCTCCTAATAAGGGAATGAGTTTATTCTGCATGTATTGGTCTCTAGAACAGAGGAGCAGACCGTCTCCCTCCTCCTAGCAGCTCACAGAGGCAGCTGTGGCTGAGAACATTTGCATTTCTCCCTAGATTATGCCCCCTTCCATTCTAAGTAAAGACCCATTTTTGACATGTTTTCATCAGCACAGCTCTTGGGAGAAAGCAAAAAGTGCTCTTCAGCTTTAATCGGTATTCTTGCAATTATAACACCAGGTCCTATTAGTCTGCAGGATGCATTAAGAATTCTTAATGTGCTTCCTTTGGTGATGGATTTACTAAACTGAAGAACTGTGTTTTCTGGCATGCTTATGGATTCTGAATTAGAGATGAAATATTAGGCTAGCATTTAGAGGAAAACTATTAGGCTTGCATTATAACAATGCTTTGTGCACCTATGCTGCACATTTCATCTGAGCATCCATGACAGTCAGAGGGATGTGGTTCCCCTGAGGCTGACATGAACAGGAACTATGTCACTTGGCCAGTCTCAGTGGCTCCTCCCAACAGATATTTCCAGAGCAGTAAGGAATCTAGCTTCACAGAAGTAGCTCCCACACCATTCTGGTAACTTGAGTTGGCTTTAAAGGGCACAAGATGGCCTAAGAAATTCCTTCTGCCTTATGAACAGATTATGATCATGACAACCAATGTACTCCTCCCCCCCCCTTACAAAATCCAAAGCAGTGGTTTTAGTGGGTTCAAGGTAGTCAGAAAATTCCTTTTTCCATATTCATGCAGACCCTCACAGAGAGATACATTGAGCTGGATGTATAACAGAATTTTTACATAGCAGGGATGGGGAGGTTTTTTCAAACCAAAGGATCGCATTCCCCTGTGGGGAGCATTCTGGGGGTGCCATGCCAATAATAATAATAATAATAATAATAATAATAATAATAATTTATTATTTATATCCCGCCCATCTGGCTGGGTTTCCCCAGCCACTCTGGGCGGCTTCCAACAAAATATTAAAATACAATAGTCTAGTAAACATTAAAAGCTTCCCTAAACAGGGCTGCCTTCAGATGTCTTCTAAAAGTCAGATAGTTGTTTATTTCCTTGACATCTGATGGGAGGCCGTTCCACAGGGTGGGTGCCACTACCAAGAAGGCCCTCTGCCTGGTTCCCTGTTACTTGGCTTCTCACAGCAAGGGAACCGCCAGAAGGCCCTCGGCACTGGACCTCAGTGTCCGGGCAGAATGATGGGGGTGGAGACGCTCCTTCAGGTATACTGGACCAAGGCCGTTTAGGGCTTTAAAGGTGAGCACCAACTTGTGCTCGGAAACGTACTGGGAGCCAATGTGGGTCTTTTAAGACCGGTGTTATGTGGTCTTGGCGACTGGGTGGGGCCAAAAGCAAATGTAGGCAGGGCACCGGATGCAAGAGGATACCTTCCAGCGAGGCACTTGAGGAAGGCACAGAGAGGGGTAAGTCCTGAGAGCCAGAGAAAGAGAGAGGCTTAAAGGACCTCATGTAGCCTCTAGGCCTGATGTCCCTCCATCCCTGCTGTACAGCACCCCCCCCCCAATCCATAATGGTGTTTGTGTTTTCTTCCTCTCCCACACAGTACTCACTCACTTCCCACCCCTCCCATTCTCATATTTTCACTAGGGACCCCCCAAAAAGAAAAGAAAAAAACTGAACAGAGCATACTGAGAGTACAATGTACATTACCCATGGGGGGGGGAGCATCCTGTTATAAAAGAAAGTAGAGGAGAGAATCTTTGCTTCAATGCCACAATTCATATAGCAAGTCATGTGAATGAAAGCAATGTAAACGAGGTTAGTACTTAAGCTCATTTACCAGAATAATGACATAATGCAATCCATCCTTCTTCAACTCTTGCATGAATTCCGGTAGGCCAGCATACTTTTCTTTGTCATATGTGAAATCCAGCTTACGGTCCATATAGTCAATGTCTCCGTACTGGACATCCTGGCAATTGCAACAGAAATATGTTGCGTTTAAGAAGAATAAAGCACAAAGGTTAAGTTTTACCTTTTTGCTCAGGCTGATACCATAATAAAAGCTGCCACAGAAATTACCCCATGGCCTTTCAATTATATAATTAATATAATACCAACAAACATTATCAATACTATTCTTTTAGGGATACAATCTGTTCTTGTTCATTGGTTTCCCCGGGGAACCAATTTAAATGCACATTGCAGAATGCCCACTTACGTAGGGGATGCCATACTCTGTCATGCGCTTCACAACTTGTTCTACTGCACCAATGTCAGGATATCCCCATCGTGAGAGCTGGTACCCCAGAGACCAGTAGGGAGGAAGATGTGGCCGTCCAATAGCCTTAAAAGCAAAAAACAGAACCAGAACATTTTTAGTTTTTTGGTTTTTTTAAGTGTCCTGCAGAATCTCACTGTAGCAAAGTGCTACAGTGGAACCTCGGTTTTCAAACGTAATCTGTTCCAGAAGACAGTTTGACTTCTGAGGCATTCGAAAACCAAGGCGCAATGGGCAGTTGGCAAAATCCATTGAGAAAAAAGAAAAACACATGGCGGAAGCCATTCGATTTCCGAGGCGCGTTCGAAAACGGAAGCGTTCGAAAACGGAAGAGTTCGACTTCTGAAACGTTCGGCTTCTGAGATGCTCAAAAACTGAGGTTCCGCTGTAATTCTATTCTTTGTAGTGTAGACCTTGGAACTGTGGGAAAATTATCACTTTATCAGGCAACAAAGCAGGAGGCTAGTGTCACGATCTGTGGAGAGTGAGCATATATTTCTTCTCAGAAGTAGTGAGTTCAAGGGGACTTGATCCCAGGTAGTGTACACAGGATTGCAAACCTTGTTTCTGTAGGGGAGGAAATACTTTTCAAATCTATTTTAGTTGTGTGTTAGTTTTTCTCTGCACTTTGAGCAGGCAAGATAGCTAGGGAAGCTGATTAGAGGCCTTTTAAACAAGTAAGATGTCACGAAGATGCCGACAAACTTTTGTAGTTAAAGTACCACAAGGAATATTCACACAATAGCTCTTTTGAAGAGCAGGAACACAACCAGCATTATCAAGAAGCAGTTTTGTCGAGTAGAAGATTCCACCCCGAAGGAGAGCACTTTCCTTCCTCTTAATCTATCATTACCGAGTAGGGTGGGTGGAGATCAGATCAAGTATCGTTTTCAACAGAGGTGCCAAAATGTCTCAAAGCCAGCATTGTGGAACAGCCACCATGAGCTGATTTTGCCTCTCAACATTTTGCCATCCTAGTAATTAGTAATTCCACCAGATGAGAATATTGTAATAGAACTGTATACAGGAGTTAAGGTCACCTTCTGACAGATTTTCCACCTCAGATATAAAACAGCCTTATAATATCCTGATTTTGCAGTCCTTGCTACTTTCGTAGCCTTGAATGAGAGGCTGTTGAGGAGATCTGTGATAAATAGGACAAACGGGGAGGGAAAGCATTCCCTTCTTATTTTCTTCACCCAATGCATATTTGTTCAGCCTTTTGTCAGATGGTGGGAAACACATGGATTTTCATCTTGGGGTATAAACTTCACAGATCACTTCAGCAGTGGGTGTTTTGTGGTGGGGAAGACAGATCCTGCAGACCCCTTTTCAGGCCCACAAAGAAACAAAATTGTGTCCTAATTTCACCCAGTGACTGGTGTCTGCCTCTTTCTTTCCAATACACGCCTCAGCTGTGCCTGGAATTTACTAAAACTACCTTCTTGCTCCTGCTATAGTCCGTACCCTAGTTGTTTCAATTTACCCCCATCTAAAGTTCAAGTCTAAATGGCACATTGAAGAGACCATATTTAGCTGTTCCCATTGACAGGTGGCTGTTCCATGCATTTGTATAGCAATACTGTTCCGCTAATTAAATGTTGGGAAAAATAGCCTGAGTTTTCTTCCACATACTGGCTCCGTCCAATCCCCAGTTTCTTTATAGCCATTGCCAATTAGCAAGCCTTTAATTAAATCAATACAACATTTTGAACTTCCCAGCCCAGAATGATACTATTTTTAATGCCACAGTCTGCTAAGCTACCTGATCAAAAGGTTGGTGTTTATTCTGAGCTCTCTGAGTTTTAATTATTTGCATTCACCTCCTCAGGTCAATCACACACACCAAGCTCAGCTAATTGCAATCGACTACTCATAGTTCAGGCACTTGATTTGGTATAGCTAAGCATTTGCAAATTGTCGAATGGCAAAATAACAATTGTGCACTCCTTGAAACCATCACACAAAATGGCTTTGCCACCCACAGGGATGAGCTGCAGACAACCGCAAGTTTCTCCAAATGTCAAAGCACTTTTAAGATTGCTGTCTTATATATTAAGGTTACCAGATGTTTTTCAGTGAATCCGGGGACACTTTTCAACTTCAGTAGGAAATGATAGGATTTTGTCAGGGGACTGATTTGGAAATCTGGGGACCGTCCCCGGGAAATGGGGACATCTGGTAACCTTATTATATATAGTATATAATCTTATAATCTTACATTGCAAGTGCAACTGGATACTATAAAACTGAGCTCTTGCAGCTTTATCAAAATCCTAGCATTGTACAGGTGTTCAGCAACTAATCAGAATAACTCAAGAAAAGAAATGAGGAGTTGGCTTGTCATGGAAAGAATTAGTAAGGACTTCCGGGGAGGTGCCTCCGGTAATGGCGGAATTCCTCTGACCGGAAGGAATCTGCTCCGTGGGAATCTGGGTCTGGCCGCCACGGCGAAGGCGGAGACCCGTTAAAATCACAGGCGGGAGAAGCCTGTGAGCGTGGGATTCGGCGGGCACCTTTTGCGCCTCCCCCACTCGCGGGGAACCCCGGTTTTGGGGCTCCGGAGCAACGTGGGGTGAGCGGCGCGGTGCATCGAATCGTCTGCTTCTTCCACGGAGCGAAGCTGCATAGCTGTTGCCGGAGAGCGCTGACCTTTTCCTGTGGACAATTTGACTTTAAAGTAATTACCCGTGAGTAGAGCTGAAGCGGAAGAATTGGATTTCTAAATGTTTAATTTGGTACCGTAACGGGGAGGTTCAAAACAGGAAGTCCGCCTTCCCCTTTTGTAAATAGACTGAGGCAATGAAGTTGCAAGCTGGAGTCCTGGAAAGCCTTTTGTAAAAGATTAAATTTCCATCAGTAAAAAACATTAAACCCCCTCTTGGAGGCAGGAAAAGAGAGGGGGAAGTTGCGGATTGAGTATGCCTGTGGGAGAGAGTGAAGAGATTTAAAACACCGCCGCTCTGACCCTGGAAACGGGCTGCTAGTAGGACTGACGTCTTTTGGAATGTTCATTGATTGGAATGAAGTTATATGGCTCTCGTAGAAATGCTATAAGGAATCAAGTATAAATAGATTAATAGAGTATTAAAGGGAAAAATAAGGTTAGAATATGTTAAGATAATTATAGGATAGAAAACAGAGGAAGATGGAAAGGAATTGCTGAAACAATTAACAGAAGTGGAATACAAAAAGGGAGGTGTGAGGAGGTCGTGGAAATAAGGGAATGAAAGATAAGATATTGAAATTGTTTTGTGTTTTAAATGGTTTGTGTCTTATTTTGTTATGCTTTTTTTGTTTGTTGTTGTTTTTTCTGTTTTGTTGTGTTTAAACGGTTGAAAAATTAATATTTTTTTTTTTTTTTAAAGGAAAGAATTAGTAAGAAGAGTTTTGAAAGCTATGTGGTTTTTTGGGAGGAGCGGGGAGGAACCAGTTATAGAGGTTTTCAGCATTGAATGCACTTTTCACCTGGCTGCTGATACTGAAAGCTAACAAGTAACCTCCCATCTATGTACACAGTAAGTTATGACTCAAAGGTCTACTGTCCCTTAGCAGACCGGATTTAGGTTTGTTGAGGCCCTAAGCTACTGAAGGTAATGGGGCCCATTATATGTCCAGCTGTCCTCTGTCAACAACAAACAGACTTCTGGAACGGATTAAGTTTGAGAACTAAGGTACCACTGTATATAGAAATGAGCAAACCAGTGATATTTTAGGGAGCAGGCTAGCAGGCGGGGCCCATTACACAACACAAAACACTGTTGCTGTATGTAGGTTTTATTTTATTTGTTTTTTTATTTTATATTTTGGAAATGTACATCCAGGGGTTTTTTTTCCTTTAAATTTTTTTTTGGGGGGGGGGGAGAGTAGGGCCCTAAGCTATAGCTTGTTTTGCTTATACATAAATCCGGCACTGTCCCTTAGCCAAAAATGTTGTGATCAAAAATGTTGTGAGTTTATTGTAGGGAATATGAACAAAAAATGAAATTATGTCGTTTAAAATCTGCCTAGTGCTTTTTAATTAGTTCAGTGCTTTTGCACTCATTGGCCGGAAAGCTGGAAGACAGAAATAGATTTACTTTTTGGCACTAATGGGAACTTATTTTCTAAGCATCACAGGTGTACAAGAAGAGGGTGTCTTTGGTCCCAATCATGTTTGGAGAAGGAAGGTATCAACCTCCTTCATGTATGCTGCGGTCCCAATAAAGACACCCTTCACCTATAATTCATTAAAGGAAAAACAACAGTATAGCTGCAACTTATGCTTCTACCATGGTGTGCTACTTGGCTCTTAGTGAACTTAAAAATAATAATCAAGTACTGGGTTGTTACAGACCTGTCAGTATAAGATTCCCACCACATAGTGGCAGAACTCACAGCCAGGTGACTGAGACATCCTTCATGGGGAAAGGTGGGGAAGAGGCTTGCTGGAATTCCCAGGAGAAGAGGCTTGGTAAAAGCCACTTCCATTACCATCCAGACTCCAGAATGAAGTACCACATTTTTTTGCTCTATAAGACTCACTTTTTCCCTCCTAAAAAGTAAGGGGAAATGCATGTGCGTCTTGTGGAGCGAATGCAGACTGCGCGGCTATCCCAGAAGCCAGAACAGCAAGAGGGATTGCTGCTTTCACTGCTCAGCGATCCCTCTTGCTGTTCTGGCTTCTGAGATTCAGAATATTATTTTTTTCTTGTTTTCCTCCTCCAAAAACTAGGTGCGTCTTGTGGTCTGGTGCATCTTACAGAGCGAAAAATACGGGTAATGCAAAGGATGTGTCTGCTTGCTTTAGATTTGGGAGAAGTTACGGGGACTAATTAGGCTTGCACCCATGCAATTTGTTAAATATATATGTCAGAGCTGGGACTCCTCCCCCTACCCGTTGCAGCAGCTGGTATTGGGAGGATATTTGGCTTGAACCCTGGCTTTCTCAGGTTCCTGGCAAGAGCAATGGCAAAATGCATGCATCGTCTCAGGGCATGATCAAACTAAGCTTCTCAGTAATACTTCTGCAGGTGAAAGAGTTCAGCAGGAGTTCAGAGCAAGACTCCAGCACTGAAAGTCTTTCTCACAGCATTAATGCTTCCTCTCAATAACTGAAGGGCCTCAATGTACCGGTACCCTGCTGCTTAATATTTGAGGGTATGTGTTCCCAAACAGTAAGTACCACCCTTGCATGACATTATCTTAGGTCACATCAACACCATATATTTAAAGCACATAGCTTCCGCCAAAGAGTCCTGAAAAACTGTAGCTTACGTTTCACAGAGTTGCAATTCCCAGCACCCTTCCTAGGATTTTGGGGCGAAAGCCACACGCTTTAAGTGCGTGCAGAAGTGACCTAAATTCAGAGCATCAGGTTGGTTTGGAAACCATGGACAACACGATTCTCTTGCTGATGCCACCACAGGGCAACAATATGTTCCACAGAGCCCACAAATGTACTTGCCAACCCTGCATAATAAGACTGGAAATTTCCAATGTGGAAGAAACATTATTCGCCTATTGGGTGGGTAGGTTGTCTAAAGGTAAAGGACCCCTGACAGTTAAGTCCAGTTGTGAATGACTCTGGAGTTGCGGTGCTCATCTCACTTTACTGGCCAAGGGAGCCGACGTTTGTCCACAGACAGTTTTTCTGGGTCATGTGGCCAGCATGACTGAGCCGCTTCTGGCGAAACCAGAGCAGTGCACGAAAACGCTGTTTACCTTCCCGCTGGAGTGGTACCTATTTATCTACTTGCACTTTGATGTGCTTTCGAACTGCTAGGTTGGCAGGAGCTAGGACAGAGCAATGGGAGCTCACTTCATCGCAGGGATTCGAACCGCCGACCTTCCGATCGGCAAAACCTAGCCTCAGTGGTTTAGACCACAGCACCACCCACGTCACTGGGTAGGTTCTCTACCTCAAGCTATATATTAGGTTCAAAGCTTTGAAATATTGAGCTCAGTGCCAGATACAGCACATGGGACATGTGGGACAGATTCCTATACTTCTATCAGCAAATGGTCAGCCATATATCAGGCTTAACTTTACTTAATTAAATGGAAAGGAACCAAGACGATGAAGTACACAAAGTAGATGAGGTACACAAACTGGTTCCATATGAGAACTGGGGTCTAAAAAGCTGCTTAAACACACACACGCTTCTCTGACCCAGTAGAATCATTTTTCTTTGAACGTGTGATCTCCATGTCATACCACAAACTGGGTGGTTGGCTTTTTTATAATAAAAGACAACTCTCCTCCATTTTAAAAGCAGTTTTGCCACATTGCATGGTAGAGGGACTACTAACAAATCTATCACGGAACTTTATGGATTCTGAATGGCATCTTTAAAATAGATATCAAGGTAGGACAGGATTTAAAGCCACCATTCCATACTCTCCAACATTTCTCCAATGAAAATAGGAATGTCCTATTCAGGGCCATCTTACCCATAGGTACTAGGGGTGTGGGGCGCCCGGGTGCTGGGCTCTCGGAGGCGCCAGGCCAAGAGCCCAGGGCCCGAGAGTTGAGTCCGGAGAAGAGCCCACCCGTTCGTCAGAGCGCTGTGGCTCTTCTGCTGCGGGCGGCTCAGCGCAGCAAGTTCAGGGGCAACCGAGCCAGTGAGATGCTGAGGGGGCTGGCCGGCCGGCTCTGCCCTCCTCCACACCTGGGACTGGGCAACTGGGGGGGGCACTGGTCGGATCTTTGCACCCCGGCGCCACATACGCTTAAGACAGCCCTGATCCTATTCCATGATGATGATATTTATACCCCACCCATCTGACTGGATTGCCCCAGTCACTCTGGGCGGCTTCCAACATATGAAAAAGCTCAATGAAACATTAAACATTAAAAAATTTCCTTATACAGGGCTGCCTTCAGATGTCTTCTAAAGGGTGCATAGTTACTTATCTCCTTGGCTTGGGGGCCACATAACTCCATACCCTCCATTTCTATGACGCAAATAGGGACATCCTAAAGAAAACCGAGACATTCTGGGTTCAAATCAGAAACTGGGACAGCTTCTGTAAATCTGGGGCTGTCTCTGAAAAATAGGTACACGTGGAAGGTCTGCCATTCTACATGATACAGTTTCTTTTTTCTACAAGACAGACCTCTACAGCACCTTTTCACCAACTAGGTACTGAGTTGATATTGATGTTAGAGCTCAAGGGTGCGTCCTTTAGTAACCTAGACTTTTCATCCGCATTAGCATGCCTTTAGGAGCATCCTGGTTTGGGCTATAGGAGTCCTTCTCTAGGCAGTGTGACCCATACATAATCCTGTTATAGATTCAGTTACGTAACTGCATCCTTGAGCTTGTAAACATCGGGTGTAACCTAAGGCAAGGCTATATTCTGCCTGAGGAAACAGCATGTAGGGTCGAACAATTACAAGAAAACTGCTTGCAAGGTGGGCTTAACTTTTAAAACAGTTCCTTTCCCAAGTTCATTAGGCTGGAGCATCTAAGGTGAACTTGATTTTGAATTAACAGAATAGTCCAAGAGAAGACTTTAAAAGTAGGACAGCTGGAGAAACAAATGTTCCTTCGTCTAATTACGCCTTAGATGGTCTCTCAAATGGATCCCCCTGAAGCTTCCCAATAAAGTAACCAACATCTGGCACATATTCCAGATGGTTCCGCTGAAGCAGAGCAGAATTTAGTAGACCTGGAATTTACGTCTGATGTTGCCAGAATAGAGCTTTCTTTCCTTGAAATGTAGCCTCAGTGTAGAGCTTTCGGTACGCTTTGCAAAACTGGGCAGAACAAAGGCTATAGAATAATTTGCAAAAGTACAATAGAGGGCGAAGAAAAATAACTGAAACCATAGAAGGAGTAAATCTATAGGCTACTAGCCAGAAACAAGGAGATGAGGGAATGTCAAAGAGGAATTTTTTTGATAAATTCTTCCTGCAAACAGTGTCTCCTGCATTTGACCATTCTTAAAAAGCCTCACAGCTGAATTCTTATGGGAATGTAATGTATCTGTTTGGAAATAATTGGTGTAACTCAGAGGATATGTTGGCATTAAAATGTTATCTAAAAGAGCACGACAATACAATACATTAGCTTTGGTTTTGAAATATTATTTCTAATAAATAAACCCTGGAACATGTTTCCTCTCGATTTATCTGAACTCTAAGGGCATTGTGATCTTTTCTATTGTTTGCCACTAGGATATGTTTTTTCATGTGAAGGTTATGGAAATCTAAAAGGGCACCCAAGTAAAGTTGACAAATCAGGGAGGAAGTCTGTAGGCTGGGTAGGATCGCTTTCTATGTGCTGGAAGGTATATTTTGTGGGGCCACTTTGCAAAAAAGCAACGTATGGTGAAAAGTGGTAGGGCCGGCCCCAGCATAATACTTAGTGAGGTGACTGCCTCAGGTAGCTGATTGAAAGAGTCTTGAAAGGGCAAAAAATGATTAGTTACTTAAGTTATTGTAATTTTACTGCTAGGGAGAAGGAGTAGAACGTGTGGGATTTTGGCCTTGGGTACTATGCACATTCACTACCATTCATTTAAAGCACATGGCTCCCGCCAAAAAAAATCCTCTCACGGAGCTACAATTCCCAGCACCCATAACAAACTACCATTCCCAGGACTCTAGAAGCTATTTTTTAAAACAACAACAACAACTTTGGTTTGTGAAGACTTATTCCTGTCAGAATGGCATTTCTTTTTCTCCTATACAGGAATTATTATCATCTCTCCTCAAGCTCCCCAATTAGAAGCTGTGAGAGAAGCAGGATAAGAAGAAGAAGGGATTGAATGCTACCAATTTGGCAGGTTAAAGGTCATGCCAGGTCTGAACAAACTAAATTGTCTCCCTCGGCACATCACTTGCTTTTGAAATTTGCAGTCAACATATTCACCAACTGAGTAATGTTCTAATAATAGCGTCTGGCGTTTAAAGATTTCCAGGAAGCTGGCTTCAGAAATAATTTCACAGTGAAATTACCTCAGAGCACTTCCTCAGAGCACTTCCACTGTAGCAAAGAACTTGGGGCAATATCCATTACTGCTGGCCTGTCACATGTTTATTTTGGAAATATGAGGTGGTGCTTAGGTTATTTTTTTACAGTCCCACCCTAGCTGCCATTTGGTACCAACAGAGATCAAGACTGAGCTTTATATTTTCAGTTGCTCCCACTTTGCTGAGTTGGGGAAATTTTAATTTCAGACATCAGGGAGCAGGGGCAGGCTTCCCAGAGGTTTGCTAATTGATTAGGATTTCACCTGAGAAATTCTGAATGGCGGCTATATTTATACAGGCAATTCCCAAGGAGTTTTCCTATTATTACAATATAACTGGTACAACACGAACAGAAAATAAAGTTACCATCAATGGCACTGACCGTGAAAGTAATTGAATAAAATATATTAATCACACATCACAACTCTAACTTGGAAGTAATCACCACCGTGTTCAGTTGGACTTACTCCCAGGTAAGTGTGAATAGGATTACAGCCTCAATGTCCTATTTTTATTTTTGTGCTTTTTCATAAGCTGCCCAGGGCATATTTACTGACAGGTGGCTATAATTAGTTCAATGATTAATAATGATACTAATGATATAAGGCATCAACGACCACCCATCAAAGCATCCGTTTTGTCATGCCACAAATGTACACTGTGTACGTTTGGGAATGTGTTTGAAATTTACCTGCCGATCTTTGAATTACCTAATTTTAAGGAAAGTAACTTTATTTGGCCTTACAAATCTTATATCATTCATTTAACACTACCTCTCTCTATTTTAGCAAAAGGTTATCTATAGCCAAGCCCTATGCTATAACCTTATTTACTTTTGTGTCTTTAGAAGAGAATTCCTGCATTTACTCTGAGAAGAATGTATGACGGACAGTGTAAAGAGACAAGATCCGGTGTTGCCAATGACACAATAAGCTAAACAATTACGGTAATAAATGCCATATTCTTCAAAGTTGGGAAAGGGCATGGCTAATGTAAGTTTGAAAGGGTGTTAAAAAGGGAAATTGAGCTTTTCCACTGATGAAATAACGGAGGCTTATGAATTATTTTCTTTGACTTCAAATGGACGGGGTTGTCACCTTTACTTTTTCTCAACAGACAGAATTTTTACAAATACACTTAATCCCAGAGTGAAAACGTGAAACGGTTCAGTTTGCTTAATTTCTGCTGTCAGCTTTTAAAGGCATTCCTTTGCAAACATACACCGTAGTTGCATATTTAGAACTGCAATGTCTCCTCTTTCTGGGCAAGAGAAGATGCCTACCAAGAATGCCAGACAGGTACCTGTTACAGGACAGATCCTGCAACGAAGGTATCAGGGCAGTGCTCAGCTAAAGCCTCCTTAGCACATCATCCAGGGTCTTCGACTTTTCATAGAAGATGACTCTTCACTCTGAAGTAAAGGCCTGCCCATCTTTACAGGCAGGTCCCAGTCTTAAAAGCAAATAGTCAGCACGCACAGCAGCCGATGCTACAATCCTGATGCCAATTCTGTCACCATGTCTACTCAAACAACACTATCCCCTGATTAAACATGGGTCCTGCCACTAAGAGCTTATACCTGGCACATAATGTGGCAGTTGGCAATGGGGCGCCTGCAGGAGCCCGTGTTTCTGCCACTACCACCCATGGTCCCCACAAAAAGTCCTTCCCCATCAAGCTTTGTGTTTGTTGAATTTTGTTAAATAAAAATAAATCAAAGATTCCCTCAAAATCTACAATGCATGAGACACTAATTGCTTTTCCTTCTCGGCTCCTGTCGGCACTGCCTCAGCCTCTCATTGATCCCTTTAAATATGCCCACATTTCAATGGATGCCAGCATTGGACAACCATCTTCCCATCTGTTTCGAACAGGGGAGAGGTGCAAATAGTTGCTCTCTGTAACTGTGGCATTAACCAATGTGGGTGCCCCCCCCCAATTGATGGAGCAGCTGATCCTTTCTCTTTTTTGCTTTCTCTGTTTGGATGTGGCAGCCATTTTCTGTCATGACATGCCTTAACGGTAGCCATTTTGTGTTATGCCACAACCTCAGGGCAGCCATTTTGTGACTGGCACCTGTGGCGCTTTCTGAAAATGCCAAATGTGCCCTCTGGCCCTAAAAGGTTGGCGACCCCCATTCTAATATGATATATGCCACCATGCACCAACAAACCCCTTTTGCTACCTAGCCTGGCCAAATCAGACAAGTCTCTATACAAGAGAATAATAGACGGACACAAATTAGGAATGAAAAATGGTAGCATCCAGGAACAATATTCCAGTATCTCTGAGCAGGGAGAAATCAGAAGTGCATGGACACAGGGCATGCTTGTTCATTCAGCTGCAAGGCAGGGATATGGAGAGGGGCAATCCTTTATTCCAAAAGGACTAAATGGGAGAGAGAATCAAAAAAGATTCCAACCGCTGTTTACACACCCCTGCTTAAACCATATAATCCCCGCTAGCTTACTTCCAATATTAGAGCTAGGCTGAGAGAGAACAAAGAGTGCACTGAGGTAAAGCAGTTGAGGGTTTCACTCCCTCCCCCTGTGCCCTTTTTCTAATATAAAAGCCCCTGCTTTATACAGTCGAATGGGACGATGTGCATTTAATAAACACACGTCCAGTTCGGCCTTCAGCAACAGATTTCAGCTACGAAATTTCAAATGGAGATGTCAGCATGAAACTGCTGAGTTAGAATTCATGTGATCGGACTTGGGCTGAGTAGAAATTGGGAGAGGATGGTCCCTCTGGAGAGAGCAATTGCCCTTCCCTCGGAGTTTATGCGTCTTGCTTTGCGTGTCGAGGTCCCCAAGCCACCCCCCAATAATGCACACATCAATTTTTGTTTAGGTTTTTGGCATGATTTTGGCCACAACTTTATTTAAATACACACATGTGAGTGGTTGCTTAGGCATTGGTTCCGACTTTCTGTCCTTGCCCAGGGACAGAAATGACTTCCGGATTCCAGCGGAAGCCAGCCAAGGAAACAATTTTGGGGAGAAATGAAGCTGGGCACCAGACCCTCACTTCTCACCCTCATGCTCCTGGTGGCTTGCACGGCCCAAGTCCGATGCCAGGGACAAGGATGAAAAGAATGGCAAGCCCCTGGATTCCTTTAACAGATTTCCCTTTCCGCACCACCATTGGAGGGGTAGGCACTTACCCCTCCACCAACCAATTTTAACCAATGCCTAACAGCAACCTTACAAGTTGTGACGATTTGCTACGCAGTAGGCAAAAACCAAATGGCACCAGCCAATCAGCCAGATGGACAAAATTCCTACCAGGCCCCTGCCTCAAAGCAGATGACCCCATGACAGGCATAGCAAGGTCAAGCAAACAACCCCCCCCCCAATACAGGGAGGGTGGGCGGGTGATCCAGTGCAAGCAGCCAAGAGGACGCCCAAAGCTGGGCGTCCAGCATTTTAAACCTCTGACCCCTCCTTCTCAATTGGCAACAAGCAATTCTCCCCAGAAACCCAATTAACCAATTCACTGCCTGGGTCTCTCCACAAATCCGCCCAGCAACAATGGGTGGCTTGTATCCCCCACCGCAACACGTGCTCTCTGCTAGGGAGAACACGTTTTGCCAACTCATTACTGGTTGGCTGTGGGCCCCACCTCCTATGGTGGTAACATTGCAATGGCAGAAATACCTCTCTTGCATTGCTGCTTCTCTGAGCTAATAATTCTTCCCCCTGCCCCACTATTCCATCTGTTACCCCAATATATAAGGTATCTGCCCACTTAGGATAAGAAACACAAGCAAAAGAAGACTCTGGCCAAGAAATGTTTATGCCATATTGCAGTTCATCTAGAAAGTATCTCAGGGCTCTTTTGCAGTAGGATTATTAGTTGCGAACATTTTTAGCTAAGAAGGAGGAGAAATCCTAGGGAAGATAAAGGGTTCTTCCCATCTACCAACTCTACAATTCTGTGATTCTATTAATTCCACGATACCTATCTACCAATCGATTAATGAGGATTCATCCTGCTTTGCTTGCAGGGTAGTTAGAGAGTGTTGCATCAGGCATAGCTGTCAACGTTTCCCTTTTTTAAGGGAAATTCCCTTATTCCGAATAGGATTTCTCGCAAGAAAAGGGAAAAGTTGACAGCTATGGCACCAGGGCAAGTGTTATCCTACACTTTCATGGGCATTTCCTCATCGCGAGTCTGATATTTGGGGTGAGCAGGTTTGCTGCGACTGAATCCATCCCCAAAACAGCAGCAGTGTGGAATGCCCAAAGGAACCTTGCTTATGAAACAAGCCTAGGCAACCATGGTAAAGTTTCTGAAATGTTCACCCGAGAATTACGGGCAAATGCTATGAGCATTTCCGCCAATCATTTTGCAAGCAACGCCTCTCTTAGGAAGGAGCCCTCTCAAGTCAGACTGAGTGAAACAAAGGAAGGAAATGCAGTGTGCATAACAGTAACACAGCAATGTGTACTTGTGGAATTTGGCACTGTTGTGTACTGGGTTGAATAGGATCCAAATTGCAGCAGTCTGATTGGTCCTAGAACAATAGGATTCAGAATGCAGCAGTCTGATTGGTCCTAGAACAATAGGATTCAGAATACAGCAGTCTGATTGGTCCTAGAACAATAGGATTCAGAATGCAGCAGTCTGATTGGTTCACAGGAGCCACCCAATCCAGCTCCAGGTGGAAGTGAAGCCACAACCTGATTGGCCTACAGGAGAATCCTGGAATTAGCCAATCACGTGGGGCCCATTGTGTAAATAATGTATATAAAGCAGACATTTCGGGGGAACTTCCATTCCTCCTCACTACTATGAGCTGAATAAAGAGCATGAAATCCACACTCGACTCCGAGTATATTTCAGGCACCTTCTCAGGAAAACAAGGATTCACAGGTGGCGTTAAAGGGGCTGTAATCAGAGCTCCAAGTTATTGAGAAAGCCTTTTGTGCTTTGAGAAAATATTGGTGCTATGTGCTAGAAAAATGCAATGAAGAGAAGGGAGGGAGCAATAGGAGGAACCAAATAAACAAATCTAGATGGAACATGGGTTACAAACCCTTGGTGATCATTCCAATATCCTATTATTTATTTCAGTTCTTATTCCCTGAAAGCCATCCAGATACTAGACTGATAAACATTAACTTTTAGCAGATTGATAACATTTTAAAAATGTTTTACAGCAACTTCAGTCATTCTACCTCTGTATTAAAATTCATAGATAGGACCAGTATTAAAGTTGCCCCACTGGCTTCTGAAGATACAATTTTTTTTCAGTGCAACTCAACAAATGCAACAAAGAGTCAAGGAGGCTAATAAAACCACCCCATTGCAAATAAGTAAGTATAGTTGTCGATTTAAAGATCAGTACAATTGATCTTTAAATCAAGAGGGTGTGTTTTTGATGTTTGTTTTGCAAAGGGGTGACGCATTGAGTTTCACTGTCATCATTGTAATGCAATACCTCATGCAAACCCACAACCAAATCAACAAGTAAATGCTTTTCTTAGCACTGCATGCCTGAACAGATTTCTCAACTAACCTCTGTGTATTGCTGGATTACATTTTCTGGAGTCGGGCCAAGGAAGACATAGAAATCGAGAACCCCTCCAATGGTGCGGAAGGTCAAAGATGGCTCTGGATGCAACGTGACATCTAGAAGAAGTTGACAGATATGTTGAATTCAGTATAAATTACCTCAGAGCTAAGGATCCCCATGCAATGGCCTTGACTTTTCTGTACTTTATTATTATCGCTATGTAGGTCATTGAGGGACTTAATGTAACCCCACCCACACTCCTCGCCAAGCAAGCTCAAAATATTTAGCATTATTTAACTAAACAGAAACAGACACTCCTTCAAACCCATCTTTGTCAGGCACATAGCCCAGTGCATGTGAAAACAGAAAAAAGCAGGTGATTATGCAGTGGTAGGATTTGACGTATGATTCTGAAACACAGGAACAAAATAATAATAAGTCAGGGTTTCTTTTTTATTTAGAAAATAACAACTCGGCAACTCTAGACATTCTAACAATGCTTAAATATAGATCTGACTGCAAAATATCCTTCTTTTGTCGCCTCTGCTTGGCTAAGAATTTTTATTTCATTGCTTTAGGGAAGATTCTCCTTTTTGAAAATTACAGAGCGAGATTAATACAGTAAGGTGACCATGGCAACAGGCAAAGCTATACCCCGTCAACAGAATACAGGACAAATCTAAATTGGTTTGTTTCAACTGTATGAACCCCCAAGGAAATTTGTAGCAACTTCATTTTTTGTGTGGTTTTTTTAGCACATGCATCTATTTTTAACAGTTAATCATAATTTTTAGTGGAACAGACCCATTTTGCTTCATTTAACAATAGCTTATTACTGGATCTGGGAACATGAGAGCAAGACTTTGGGAATCCCGTGATACCATTTTAGAAAAATTAAAACACTTTTCACTGAAGAGGTTATCTTTATTTAGCAGACACAAACTAGCGTCATCACTGAGTTTTGGAAGATGTTAACAGAATTATATTCCTATAATTCCTCTCCTTCCTTACTCAGAAGTAAATTCATTGAGGTCAATGGACCTTACTCTCAAGAACATTTGCATAGGATTTCAGCCTCAGTTCTAGATCGGTCAGTCTAGAATTAAAGTCGCACTTTTGACCATTATTGTCCCTTTATTTGCTGCCTTATATCACAAGGGTCTCAAGGCAACTTCCATAAATACAAGAAAAATAAATACTATAAAAAGTCAGACCAACTAAAAGGTAAAGGTAAAGGGACCCCTGACCATTAGGTCCAGTCGTGGCCGACTCTGTGGTTCTGTGGCTCATCTCGCTTTATTGGCCGAGGGAGCCGGTGAACAGCTTCCGGATCATGTGGCCAGCATGACTAAGCCACTTCTGGTGAACCAGAGCAGCGCACAGAAACGCCGTTTACCTTCCCGCCGGAGCGGTACCTATTTATCTAATTGCAGTTTGACGTGCTTTCGAACTGCTAGGTTTGTAGGAGCTGGGGCAGAGCAACGGGAGCTCACCCCGTCATGGGAATTCGAACCGCCACCCACGTCCCAACTAAAAGGTACTCACTGACTAAGAAGAAACCAGATATGAAAACATCAACAGTCAAATGCCTAGGGAGTAAATAAAAGTCTTGGCTTGGTGGCAAAAAGATGTCACCAAAGTCAAGACCAGACCTAGAGACCCTGGAGAAAAAATTCCAAAGGCCAGGGGGCTACTACTGAAATGGCCATCTCTCCTTCAGTCACCCTCCATACATCTGCTGGAGGAGGCACCTGGAGGACCCAGGTAGGTTCACATGGGGAGAGACATTGCAGGAGGTGTTGTGGTCCAAAGCTATGTTAAGCCTTAGAGGTCAAAAACCAGCACTTTGAATTGTTGTGGGAAATGTACTTTTCTCCCAGTATTTACTGATGCATGTTTAGAAACACCTTTCTATTCCTGTATCCTTTATCTGGCCTCCTTATTTACTTCTTATAAAATGTTTCCTTTATGAATAATTATTAAGATTTTTCTAATTATAACTTAAATATCCACAGGAAGGAAGTCTTTGATTTGGTTGTTTGTATTGTTGTATGTTATGCTCATTGTATGTTATGTTCACGTTTATTGAGGGTGGATTTCTGTATTGGGGGGTGGGGGGGGTTATTTTATGTTGTAAATAAAATTTCCAATAAAATTATTAGAAAGAAAAAAAGAAAAGGATCACCTTTCTATTAATTTAATGCTCTTTGAGGTATTGGAAGCATCTATATATTATAATACTTTGATCATTATATATGAGAAATGTGTGCTAAGTAGTGGCTTTTTTTGGTATGTGATCTATGGCCATACATTTTTCATTTCGGTGCATATAAAAGCCGGCCTTCTATTAGGTAAAGGTAAAGGACCCCTGGACAGTTAAGTCCAAAGGCGACTATGGGGTTGCGGCGCTCATCTTGCTTTCAGGCCAAGAGAGCTGGCGTTTGTCCACAGACAGTTTTCCAGGTCATGTGGCCAGCATGACTAAGTCGCTTCTGGCACAACGGGACACCGTGACGGAAACCAGAGCGCATGGAAATGCCGTTTACCTCCCCACCACAGCAGTACCTATTTATCTACTTGCACTGGCATGTTTTCGAACTGCTAGGTTGGCAGGAGCTGGGGCAGAGGAGCTGGGAGCTCACCCCGTCGCGGGGATTCGAACTACCGACCTTATGATCGGCAGCCCAAGAGGCTCAGTGGTTTAGACCACAGCGCCACCCATGTCTATTAGGTAGAATGACGTGGCCACCTCAAGCAATAGAGGCTGGGTGGTCAGAAGTATTAGGGAAGTGTTGGATTGTCACATGCCATACACCCCCTAAGTTAGGGGGTCTGCGCCGCTTCAGTGCCATTGAGAAAATCTCATGTCTGTTTTGACATGAGATCCAGCTGCCTGTCCTGTGCTCAGAATGGTGTGTGCGCCAATTTGTCATTTTCCTCAGACAGCAATGTCTTGAGCAGTCCTGAATGGCTGGAGCTCCTCACATACAAAAATGTTGTCATGTGTTTCCCCTCCTCCTGTGAAGTGAATGGGAAAACCCAGGAATCCATGCATGCATGTGCAACACTTCTCCAGCGTACAAAGAGGCTTTAAGCGTGCAGCTTAGGCACACACACATACACATACACACCAGTAAATCCAATCACATGGAGTTCAATAGGATTTGGTTCCAGGTAGTAATATGACAGGGGGACGCGGGTAGCGCTGTGGGTAAAAGCCTCAGCACCTAGGACTTGCCGATCGAAAGGTCGGCGGTTCGAATCCCCGCGGCGGGGTGCGCTCCCGTCGCTCGGTCCCAGCGCCTGCCAACCTAGCAGTTTGAAAGCATGCCAGTGCAAGTAAATAGGTACCGCTGCGGCGGGAAGGTAAATGGCGTTTCCATGCACTCTGGCTTCTGTCACGGTGTCCTGTTGCACCCGAAGCAGTTTAGACATGCTGGCCACATGACCCGGAAAGCTGTCTGTGGACAAATGCTGGCTCCCTCAGCCTGAAAGTGAGATGGGTGCCCCAACCCCATAGTCACCTTCTTAACCATCTAGGGGTCTTTTACCTTTTTTACCTTTTTTGTTAAGACTAAGGCTGAGTAGATACAATATACATTTAAAGCACATTTGAAACACATTGCAGTTCGAAAGCACCCCTGGGTGCAAGTAGATAAATAGGGACCGCTTACTAGCGGGAAGGTAAACGGCGTTCCGTGTGCTGCGCTGGCTCGCCAGATGCAGCTTGTCACGCTGGCCACATGACCCAGAAGTGTCTGCGGACAGCGCTGGCTCCCGGCCTATAGAGTGAGATGAGCGCACAACCCTAGAGTCTGTCAAGACTGGCCCGTATGGGCAGGGGTACCTTTACCTTTACCTTAGTAATATGACATGGGACTTCAGGTATGCTTCATCCCTAAATTACATCAATAAGGGAAATTATTTGCCAAATATATTATTATTAAAAGAACTGCAGTCTAAACAGCTCTGTTTAATTGTTAACCTTTGATTACCTTGTGCGTTGGCATTGAGGAAAAGTACACCGTGAGCGTTTGCGTCAGTCTCTATGCACATGTAAAAAGGATGAACTCCATACAGATTTGCATTCATCTGAAATAAATAATAATAATGATTACCTCTAGTTTGAGTTTTATTGCTTTACTTAGGTATGGTTATCGCAACAGTGTCTAGGCTGCTGAACAGGCATAGCGCCTTCCTACATTCTACAGTCTTCAGTTAAAATTTTGCTAGTCTTATTTTAAAAAATAAAATAAAATAAAATATTTGATTTCCTTTAAGTTCCTCAGGAACCATCAACATTGGCGTTAAAAATCAGTATCACCCTATGCAACTTCCTGCCTGCCCACCGCTCTTCTCTCTGACCTCTTCCACATTTTAGGTTTTCCTAAATTCCTCAGGACAGTGTCCAAATTAAACCAGAACTATCAGGATGCACTGGAGGATATGAATGGACTTAATTTAAAAAGCACATAATTCATGTTTAAAAAAACAATGATCAACATATGCCTACAATTCATCCGAGATGGCCAAGGGTTATGTGAAACGAGCCAAAACTGCCCAGAGAAGCAGAATGTGGTGCTTGATAGTTAATAACTTGGATTAATGTGTAAGTGGAAGCCTAACTAATAGCTACTATTAATAAATGGCAGAAGATGTATAGAAGGCACAAGGCTCTTTCTGGGTGCGGAGTGCAAGATGTAATATTGAACTACTTACTTTGGGAGACTGGTCTCTAGAATACATCCCGTAGGTTATATGGTTCATATTGTGCTTAAAGGATGGGTGCTGGTGTTCACCAAAGCCGTACACAGAACTGGACGGGACATTGGTTGAAATGCGCAGGTATTGCTGGGAAAACACCAGATCTGCAAGGGACGTGTCCCACCTATGTCAAAAAGAAGAGCAAGCATAAATGTGATGCGCTTGCTTTTGCTAGATATTAAATTTCATTAAGCCCGATACAAACTATGGCGTCTGTCACAGACAGTAACATACTTGAAAGGTTATACCTAAAAATTAAACAGGTAAGTTAAAAAAAAAATCATTGCTAAAAGAAATACGAATACAATATGTGGTCTTTGAAACAAAATCACTCCTTGATCTGCCTGCCAGTTCTTCTGATGCCTGTGGGACGGGGACACACACACACACACACACACACACACACAGCACATGGTGACATTTAGAATGTCACTAAGAATAAGCACTTATGCACATAGATATACTGAATCCCCATTCTTATGGTGCATTTATTTTTCTGACATGTTTCCTACTGGTTGGGAATTTTCTTAGAATTTTCAGTAATAAGGAACAAAGCTAAAGTTCAAATCAAGCTGAGAATTTGGGTGAGGCAATTGACGGTAGACAGAGTTGTGGCACTGCAGTGATGTCACTGGGAGCACACTAAGCTGTCACAGCCCCCCTGATCCAGGCCAAAGGCCCATCAAGTTCAACATCCTGTCTTCACAGTGGCCAATCAGATGCCTGCAAACAGGACATCTCCATTGCCCAGACAACTGGACCAATCCTTCCTGCCTTGCTGGTCGTTTTGGTCCATGTCCACACGACACACTTAAAGCACTATGGTACAACTTTTATTATTATTATTTTTTTAAATAATTTTTTATTAAGATTTTAAACAAAGAAAAAGAAAAACAACACAGACAAAGAAAAAAAACAATACAAAATTTAACAATAAAAAGACAAAACATAACAATTAAAAACAAACTCTCTTTTCCGCTCCCATTTTTATATTACTTATTTTCTAGACTTCCTCATACCTCCCTCTTTTGTATTCCAATCTACATTATTTGTCCAGCAGTTTCTTTTCCACTTTTTTAAACCCAATCTTTAATTTAATAAAATATTATAATATATAACTTCAACTTTTTTTTTTAAACATAATCCTTATTCTTAATGTCATATACCTTTAAATTTTTCCCTTTTATTATCAAATTTCCATTTCTTTAAACATCCTTAATCTTGATCTTAATCTATCCTTAACTTTAACCTGTATAGCTGGAAACCATTTATTTTCAATCCAACATCACTCTAACATTCCTTAATTTTGCAATGTTTCTGAAGATAGTCTTTGAATTTCTTCCAATCTTCCTCCATCGACTCTTCTCCCTGGTCACGGATTCTGCCAGTCATTTCCGCCAATTCCATATAGTCCATAAGTTTCATCTGCCATTCCTCCAGCGTGGGAAGTTCTTGTGTCTTCCAATACTTTGCGATGAGTATTCTTGCTGCTGTTGTTGCATACATAAAGAAAGTTCTATCCTTTTTAACACCATTTGGCCCACTATGCCCAGGAGAAAGGCCTCTGGTTTCTTGGGGAAGGTATACTTAAATACCTTTTTAATTCATTATATATCATTTCCCAGAAAGCCTTAATCTTTGGGCACGTCCACCAAAGGTGAAAAAATGTACCTTCAGTTTCTTTACATTTCCAACATTTGTTATCGGGCAAGTGATAGATTTTCGCAAGCTTGACTGGGGTTATGTACCACCTGTATATCATTTTCATAATATTCTCTCTTAAGGCATTACATGCCGTAAATTTCATACCAGTGGTCCATAACTGTTCCCAGTCAGCAAACATAATGTTATATCCTACGTCCTGTGCCCATTTAATCATAGCCGATTTTACCGTTTCATCTTGAGTATTCCATTTCAGCAGCAAGTTATACATTCTTGACAGATTCTTAGTATTGGGTTCTAACAATTCTGTTTCTAATTTTGATTTTTCCACCTGGAAGCCAATTTTCCTGTCTAATTTAAATGCCTCCATTATTTGATAATAATGAAGCCAGTCTCGCACTTTGTTTTTTAATTTTTCAAAACTCTGCAATTTCAGTCTATCTCCGTCTTGTTCCAAAATTTCCCAATATTTCGGCCATTTGACCTCCATATTGACCCTTTTCAAGGCTTTCGCTTCCATTGGTGACAGCCACCTTGGGGTTTTATTTTCTAGCAAATCCTTATATCTTATCCAAACATTAAATAGCGCTTTCCTGACAATGTGGTTTTTAAATGCTTTGTGTGCTTTGACCTTATCATACCATAAATATGCATGCCATCCAAATACATTATTAAAACCTTCCAAATCCAAAATGTCAGTGTTTTCAAGAAGTAGCCATTCTTTCAACCAGCAAAAAGCTGCTGATTCATAATAAAGTTTGAGGTCTGGCAGGGCAAATCCACCTCTTTCCTTTGCATCTGTTAGAATTTTAAATTTTATTCTAGGTTTCTTGCCCTGCCAGACAAATTTAGAGATATCTTTCTGCCACCTCTTGAAACAGTCCATTTTGTCCACAATCTGCAAAGTTTGTATGGTACAACTTTTAAAACAGTCATGGCTTCCCCCAAATAATTCTGGGAAGTGAAGTTTGTTGATGGGGGAGAGCCCCATCCCCCACAGAACTACAGTCACCAGAGTGATTTAAAAACCAGTCCCTCTTCACAGGTAACTGAGAATTGTAGCTTTAGGGGGGGAATCGAGGTCCAGGGTTGTAAAGACTGCAGAGAGAATAATTGGGTGCACTCTTCCCACCTTAGATCAAATCTATGCTGTCAGGTGCCATAAGAAATCTGCAGAGATAGCGCAGGATAGTACGCACCCCGGAAATGATCTCTTTCAGCTTCTGCTTTCTGGAAGAAGGTATAGGGTTGTAAAGACCAGGACTAGCCGCCTGAGAAACAGTTTCTACCCAAATGCAATTCTGGTTCTAAACGCAGCATAAGGAGCCTCTATAGTATATTGTATTTTAAAATGGGGTTTCGGGGTTTTTGAATGTTTTATGTAGATTTTTCAATTTCATTGTTCTGTATGGGACAATGACAATAAAGATATTGTATATCGTATCCTAACAAAACTCAGCACCTTTAACAAACTATAGCCCCCAGGATTATTGGGGAGACTGTTCAAAGTGACATCATAGTGCTTCAAATGTATGGTATAAAGGTGTGTACTAGCAAAACCCAAAGTTGGGGAAGGCAGCTCCCAAGTAAGGTAAATCCCCTCCCCCCCGGACCACGCAGGATGCCCCCCTCACACCACAGTGACTCCATCAGTTAATTGACTAAAATTATTTAATCTATGACCATTTGAACTGTGTGTGGAGGTATTGATTTTGTTTGTTATTGTGGTACATATTTTGTGTTTTGTGATCCTTGGATGAAGGGTGGTATGTAAATTTAATAAGCAACATCAATAATCAATTCTGTTTCTTAAAGCCCATTTGTTTGCCCTGCAATGGGGATATAAACCAGGGTTATCACTCTGACCCACTTGTGAAAATTTGCCATTACACTCCTTCCCCTCAGCGTAACAGTGGAGCATACAACCATAATCTGGTGTGTGTGTGTGTGTGTGTGTGTGTGTGTGTGTGTGTAGGAAGGCTTCTTTCCTGGCTGGCCATTAAGATTTGAGGTGCCTACCATCTCCCTGAACTGACAGTAGCTAGAAGAAGAAATTAGGACACATCAGACCTGATCAAAGCACAGAGAAGGTTCCTTTCCCTTTGATTTTCTATTTTTGCCTTCTTTCCTCTCATGGCCCTTTTATATTTATTTCGGCTAAATCCCCTGTGTTACTCACAGGCACATTCAAATTAGCCTGCTGCATTACGCTGGTCGTTACCAGGGCTATGACGAACCTTTTGACTTGAACGGTGTATTTATGTATGGCTTTCTCTCTGCCTTCGTCAACTTGTGGACTTGCTACAATAAATTAAATCAAATTGTCTGGAAAAGGACCTCGTGGAATTGGCATTTCTCTTAACAGAAATTACTTGCTATTAGGGGCTTTGATAAAATGAAGTGGAAGATCAAATTAACCAATGAATGAATTAAGTGGAATGTTCTCCACACCCAAAATGCCTCAATTACCACGGCTATTTATTGCTTTTGTATTACATCCTTTCAGAGATGGTGTTCGTACAGTTGGATAGAACAGAGTTTGCTGAATCTGAGACAAATGCCTTATTTGTGTGGGTTCCAGTGGCTGGCTCCATATGACTTACAGCCTCCCATCAAGAAAGCACAATGAACTTTGTCTTTGAAAGAAGATAATTCCTTATTTATCTTTGTAACCCAGTTGTACCTGGATTATGTGAACATTAGCGATCATCAGCTATTGTAACATGCTTACTGTGAACAAACAGCGAGTGACAAAGTAATTCTTCTGGACTGGGGGGAAAAGAAGCCAATTGCTTCCAGTCTTTGATGTACCTAGTAGCTATAAAGTGTGCATCTCACAGTGCGAACCACCTACATACATGCCGATAGAAGCTTCTGAACCTATGGGCTGCATACCCACATGATTGGCAAAAATTATTTGCTTATTTATGTAGCATTATTAGTGTGCATGAAGCTTTACAGAGTATAGGAGAGCAGGTTCCTGCCCTGAGGAATTTACAACCTACAATCTGATACAGGAAAAGCAGGGAAGGGGTAAGGAAGAGAAGGGAGGACTGATGAACCGGGGTGGGGTGGGGAATATGTGCTTTGTTATAGGCTGAGTTACAACAGGACATGGGAAGTAGGGAATTATGCCTTTGGGCTTCACAGAGGCTGGTCTTTGAGGAGATTTTGGAAGGTACTAATGGAGTCAGCTCCACATGTATTTTGGGAGGCAGTTCAAATTTACAAAGCATGGAAGTGAGAGCCAGACCATAAAGAAGGCTGATCGCCGAAGAATTGATGCTTTTGAATTATGGTGCTGGAGGAGACTCTTGAGAGTCCCATGGACTGCAAGAAAATCAAACCTATCCATTCTGAAGGAAATCAGCCCTGAGTGCTCACTGGAAGGACAGGTCCTGAAGCTGAGACTCCAAAACTTTGGCCACCTCATGAGAAGAGAAGACTCCCTGGAAAAGACCCTGATGTTGGGAAAGATGGAGGGCACAAGGAGATGGGGACGACAGAGGACGAGATGGTTGGACAGTGTTCTTGAAGCTACCAGCATGAGTTTGACCAAACTGCGGGAGGCAGTGGAAGACAGGAGTGCCTGGTGTGCTCTGGTCCATGGGGTCACGAAGAGTCGGACACGACTAAACGACTAAACAACAACGGAACAAGAAAAGGCAGAGTCTTTTGAGGGAGCTGGAGACCTGGAGATGGTGGAGTTGGAAGAGTGAAGACTGCAGACAAGTATTGGGATATAAGTGTGGAGAGATGCAGGGAGAGGGGCAAAGCCAATGTGAGGAAGAGTGTCCCATGGCCAGAGTGATGAAAAAGGTGGATGGGGTTTGGCACATGAATGCTGGATAGACATGAGGGAACCGAAGTGAGACAATGGAAGACCAGAAATGAGAAGATTGTTGTAGTCTACCTGAGCAACAACCAGGGCATGAACCAGAGATTTTACTGAGGTAACAGAGAGGAAGGGTCACCTTTTTGTAATGTTTTAGGAGAAAGCATTACCCCCTCACTGCACTAGCACAAGTAGTTTTCAATTTTCGCTCCTGAGTCACCTCTCACCGACAGCTGAAGCATATGTCATTGGAAACATTAGCTGTTGGTTTGTTCTTGTTGCTGAAGCGACTACAATATATCCTCAGGAGCTTGTATCGACCATCTTTCAATTTTAAAAGCAAAGAAGCAAAAACCTCTTATGAGAACATGAAGAATCGCTAAAGCTCTGTTAAGAACTATTGGGTAGGCCTAGTCAGCAAGTTACTATTAACTACATACAGTACTTTTTTCTGGGGGGGACGCAGGGGTACGCATACCCTTAAACATTTTGTGAATCTAAGTTTGGCCTCACTGAGGGGCAGTATTCCAATATGGGTAGGAAAATGAGAGTACCCCTAAACATTTTTAAGGAAAAAAAGCGCTGACTACATATATACTGTTAAGTTGTGGGTGAACATATCAGACGACACAGCGATTCTTCAAACAGCTCTTGTTTATTCACAGGCCAGGACAGAACTGAACTGAAGGGCTCAGTCAGCCTGCTTATATAGAGCTTCAGTACCACGTTACTGTAACAACTTTCTAAAACTATCCAATCACTGAACGTCACTTTTGATCCTTCATTTGCATAACTATCTACAGTATCCCCCTGCTGGCCCAGGGTGAGAACTTCAGTACATAACATATACTGTGAAAAGACTCTTCACAGTATTTATTAAGTTCATCCTCACAAGAGTTCTATGAAACAATCCATTATAATTTGGCTGCAAATTGAGCGAAGATGTGAGTGATGTGCTCAGCACCTCACAAAGAATCCACGGCTGAAAATGCCCAGCTTCCAGTCCAAACCTCTTGCTACTGGGCAACGTTATACTTATGAAAAAGCAACAACAGAAACAGGGTAATGTGGGCTGTAACTCTTCAATTGTTGCTTTAGCCCACAGAACACTCCTATAAATACTTTCAGGAATCATACAATTGTTTCCTTTCACCAGTTATATCTGAAGGGCCCACCACTGCACGCTGACATTTATTATTGAAGTTGTCATGGCAATTCACTTATTCCTATACTATACTATACAATGTGCACTGTACAACTGAGTCTCTGGCATGATTTGAATGAAAACGGCAAGATTATGATTCCATCGCATTAAAAACAGGGTGTGAAAGCTCATAAAATGGTGGCCCATTCAATCTAGCCTCACAACCTCTCCCTCTCTCTTTCTCTCATATTATCTTATTCCAAACTGCCATCTCAAACATCTCAATGTGATCCACAAGGAATAGCCCAAGAGAGGATCCACTCCAATCAGATAGCGTATTCATCCTTGTTCTGTCACTCCCTCTAACACCGAACCTGGGGGGGGGGGGAAATGTGTGCTAATGGTTTTGTAGGCAAAATGGCACCACTTGCAGATTTGCAGAATTACATAACATAATGAAAGATAAAATGAGACAAAAAAAAGTCTGTGCATGTGTGCACTGGCATGGAGAAAAGGTGGGGAGTGGAATACAAAAGTGACGGATTGGTCAGTCAAGCCACCCACGCACAGCATGATCGACTGCAAAATGGCTGAAGAGAAGAAACATTGTGCTAGATCTTGGAGATGAAGAAAGCAGGAGGGAGAGGAGGAGGAGGAGGAGGAGGAGGAGGAGGGAAGACCCAGGTTGAAGTCTGGGGCAGCGGATGCATGTAGCACAGAGGACAGAGCGCAAGATTTTGTTGTGGCTCTCCTCTAAAGTTCACCCTTACTGCTGCTGGTTCCCCAAAGGTCTGCAGGAAATAGGAACCAAAATGAGGTTTCTAGAAAAGGATGTAGCACATATATTTTTAAGTATATGACAGCTCCCTCGCTTGGGAAGTACCTTGTTTTGCTGTTGTAAATATCCTTCCGAACACAGGTGCTTCGTTCCAAACCCTGTTTCAGGAGGCTTAGGAAGATATGCTGCTATTTTTAGCTTCTCATCAGGAAGACAGACTGACTCAGGAGCCCAGGAGGGGCGATAGCAGGCTGAAGACTGCCTTTCTGACTGGTTCTTGAACTTAACAGCATACAGAAGACGTGCAGAAAGGCATTCTCTGTCCACAACACCAGGAGAAAGTGTAACCATTGTGGAACAGTGAGCCAGCTTGGAAAATAAATACAGTGGGGTGGGGGAATGCTTGGTTTATTTTTAGGAGGCAGAATATAACTAATTTAGTTGGAGCATTTCATGGATGACTGAAAGGCAGAGGCGTGTGGCTTGCTGAAACATGGTCACTTATTCCCTGAACATTAAAAGTTCACATGGCTCAAAAGCTTTGTTCCATTTAATTTTCTCCTGAGGACATCAACCTGCTTTCTTCCTACAATAGTTCCAGGCATTACCACCCCTCTGCTTTTCTTATCTGGACAGCTGGGGAGCTTGATAAACTTTCACAGTTGTAAAACTTTGATGGCGACTCTTGGATAAATCATGACAGTATTCATGAAACTGGCATTTGCACTTGGCTGGGTTCTTTATGAACTTCCTGCCGTTGCTTCTTTGTAAACAACCCAAAGGAACATTTATTGCTGCGCATTGCAATTCTGCTTGAAATGCCAACGTCTGCACGACTGCTCCTTCAAATGAGCCAAACCCGTCCAAGGGACAGGAGCCAGACAACTTGCAAAACACCTTCTCCTCTAAGACCATATTATAGTTTCCTTATATTTTGCAGCCCAGGATTCCGATCGTCCAAACATCACAGAGACTTGGAATGTGGCAAAGGATCAAAGCATCATTCCAAGGTCACATCCTGATTTCTCCTCCTTCTCTAGATCATTTGAATTTTCCTCCAAGTTCCTCTGTCTTTTAGATCAACAACAACAACAACAACAACAACAACAACAACAACAACAACATGATTTTCTCAAGAGTCTTAGAGGCTCCCGTATTTTGAAATTTTTATCTCCTAGGAAGCTAACTTGGATTTTTAAATATTTTTTTACAAAGACAGGGCTTGCAATAACAAATGAATAAATAAATGGGCATGCCTTCTGTAAGCATTACATGGCATTCTCACGGGGATACATTTCTTAGTGGTTTTCATCCAGTGTCATTTATAGGGGGGGCCCCCTGACTTTGGTTATAAAAATATAACCCAAACTAACAATAAAACAGAGTGCTTAAGAGCAAGCTGCTAACACCAAAACATGCTAACAAGATGATTTTGTTGGATACTAATCCCAAACACCTCTCCCTATTCCAGCCAGCCCATGTATTAAGATCTTTATATTTGTGGGAGACCCTTCCCACAATCTGCCAATGTCATTGTCAGGTAAACATGTGCTTCTTCACTCAGGCCTTTGTAGGGGGTTGTCTTAATGCAGCCAGCTATGAAATTATGGATGCTCAAGTGTGGCTAAGATTGCACATTTGCCTTTGAGGTTTTAATTGAGATAAGTGATTTTATAATTTAAAGCTTTTTATGCTGTATCCACCCTGGGCTCATAATCGCAAAGAGTAGTCCTGAGACTGAAATAATAAAATAAATACCCAATAATAAATTGTCTACCCAAAAATAAATTGCCATGGTCCTACATTTCCATGAACCATGGTGAGTAAGTCAGTTATGGGGGTGCTCCTTCCTCCTGGGCCGTGTCCAGAAAGTGGTATTGGGGGATGAGTATTCAGACCCCTTGGGGCTCTGTTCTCTCCCCTGTGCTTTTTAACATCCATATGAAGCTGCTGGGAGAGACAATCAGAGGGGGTGGGCTGGGTGTTCATCACCATGCGGATGATACCCAGCTCTACCTCTCTTTTAAACAAGAACCAGTGAATGTCCTGTGTCTGGAGGCGGTTGGAAGATGGATGGTGGCTAACAGACTGAGGTTGAATCCTGACAAGACAGAAGTACTATTTTGGGGGGACAGGGGGCAGGCAGGTGTGGGGGACATCCTGGTCCTGAATGGGGTAACTGTGCCCTTGAAGGACCCGGCATGCAGCCTGGGAGTCCTTTTGGACTCAGAGCTGTCTATGGAGGCGCAGGTCAATTCCGTGTCCAGGGCAGCTCCACCTGGTACACAGGCTGAGACCCTACCTGCCTGCAGACTGTCTCGCCAGAGTGGTGCATGCTCTGGTTATCTCCTGCTTGGACTACTGCAATGCGCTCTATGTGGGGCTACCTTTGAAGGTGACCCGGAAACTACAACTAATCCAGAATGCGGCAGCTAGACTGGTGACTGGGAGTGGCCACCAAGACCACATAACACCGGTCTTGAAAGACCTACATTGGCTCCCAGTATGTTTCCGAGCACAATCCAAAGTCTTGGTGCTGACCTTTAAAGCCCTAAATGGCCTCAGATCAGTATACCTGAAGGAGCGTATTCACCGCCATCATTCAGCTCAGACACTGAGATCCAGCTCCAAAGGCCGTCTGGCAAGAAGTGAGGTTACAGGGAACCAGACAGAGGGCCTTCTCGGTGGTGGTGCCCGCCCTGTGGAATACCCTCCCATCAGATGTCAAGGAAATAAACAACTATCTGACTTTTAGAAGACACCTGAAGGCAGCCCTGCATCGGGATGCTTTTAATGTCTAATGTTTTACAATTTTTTATATGTACCGTAAGCTGCCCAGAGTGGCTGAGAAACCCAGCCAGAGGGGCAGGGTATAAATACAGTGGTGCCCCGCAAGACGAATGCCTCGCAAGACGGAAAAACCGCTAGACGAAAGGGTTTTCCGTTTTGAAGTTGCTTCGCAGGACGAATTCCCTATGGGCTTGCTTCGCAAGACGAAAATACCTTGCGAGTCTTGAGGTTTTTTTTTCGCTTTTCCCCCCCTTTATCTAATCTGCTAAGCCTTTAATAGCCTTTAATAGCCTTTTAGCAGCTAATCCCCTAAGCCTTTAAGCTTTTAATAGCCGCTAAACCGCTAATAGCGCTAATAGCGCTAATCCGTCAATGGGCTTGCTTCGCAAGACGAAAAAACCGCTAGACGAAGATTCTCGCGGAACGGATTAATTTCGTCTTGCGAGGCACCACTGTAATAAGATTGGGACAGTCATGGTCTCTCAGCTTAATCTACTTCACAGGGTTGTTGTGAGGGCAAAGATGGGGAAATGGTAGGCCCATGTGTGCCATCTTGAGTTCCTTGGAAGAAGTGTGGGATAAGTAAAGGTAAAGGAACCCCTGACCATTAGGTCCAGTCGTGGCCGACTCTGGGGTTGCGGCGCTCATCTCGCTTTATTGGCCGAGGGAGCTGGCGTACAGCTTCCGGGTCATGTGGCCAGCAGGACTAAGCCGCTTCTGGCGAACCAGAGCAGTGCACAGAAACGCCGTTGACCTTCCCGCCGGAGCACTTTGCACTTGCTTTCGACACTCTACTTGCACTTTGACGTGCTTTCAAACTACTAGGTTGGCAGGAGCAGGGACCGAGCAACGGGAGCTCACCCCGTTGTGGGCATTCTGCCGACCTTCTGATCAGCAAGTCCTAGGCTCTGTGGTTTAACCCACAGTGCCACCCGTGTCCCTTGTGAAGTGTGGGATACAAATCTAATAATAAATAAAGTAACCAATTGGTTATTAAGGGCTTACCAACCTCTCTTGCAATTGCCTGTTCTATTAAGATCCTTGTATTGAATGCAATCCACCAAGAAAACATCTCACAAAATCCCACATTCGTGCCTTGGCAGAGCTCTGCTGCCCATTCAGTGGAAATAAAGCACATTCTCTCTATGCATTTGCTTGGAAGAGTGCATTTCTAGATTAAAGCACACACACCACAACACAAACACCAGATTTCTAAATCACCCTACTAAACACCGCCCTCAAACGAAAACAAATCGAATCACCTCATTCTTTGCAAAAATCGAACACGCTCAACAAGAAGAATGGCTGTGTTGGGGGCTGTACAAATTCCACGCAGCAATTTGCATTGCTTTCAGGAGGAACTGCAGCTTAAAACAATGGCGTTTTTAATCATTCTAATAGCTTTTCTCTCTGCAGAAAGCCCCCTCGCAGCCTTTGTTTGCCACCAGAATCTATATATAACAAATGAACTCCAGAGCAGCGGATTGGAAATTAGCAAAGTTTCTGATTAGATGTGGTTATTTGTTTCTTGCTTTCCCAGCTGCAGCGTTTAACAAAGCGTTGCACCACAGTCAATATTGCAGAGAAATTGTCTGGCTGGGGGAAAGATTTTCTGACTTGTATTACAAATGGCAGGCCCACACTAAGTTGTTAAAGGGGAAAATATATTGTTGGCCATTTGAGAATGATCACGTAGGAGCAAAGTAACACTCCATCTAATTCAGGATCCTGTTACTTTGATGTAATCAGGCCACCCTACAGAGATACTGGACTACCACCAAGGGGTAGTTTCACAGTTAAGTTCTTGACAAGTGAGGTGACACAGAACTCCATTATTTCCTGGCATATGGTTGGTTTCCGGCATGAATGCAAATGTCTAAGAAACTCTGCATGTGGACAGAGGATGTGGACAGTACCCTAAACTCTAAGGTCAAGAGGTAGCAGTTATTCCCCTAGCGTTGGATTTGTGACACAAGCTTACCCCATGGTAACATGGGGGTATAACCGGGTGGTTCTGTAATGCAGAGGTGGGCAACCTTATCCAGTCTGGAGGCTGCACTCAATGTGAAAAAGGTAAAGGTAAAGGACCCCTGACAGTTAAGTCCAGTCGTGAACGACTCTGGGGTTGTGGTGCTCATCTCGCTTTACTGGCCGAGAGAGCCGGCGTTTGTCCGCAATCAGTTTTTCCAGGTCATGCGGCCAGCATGACTAAGCCGCTTCTGGCGAAACCAGAGCAGTGCACGGAAACACTGTTTACCTTCCCGCCGGAGCAGTACCTATTTATCTACTTGCACTTTGACTTGCTTTCGAACTGCTAGGTTGGCAGGAGCTGGGGCAGAGCAACGGGAGCTCACCCCGTTGCGGGGATTCGAACCGCCGACCTTCCGATTGGCAAGCCCTAGGCTCTGTGGTTTAACCTGCATCCCAATGCACTCAATGCGGGGAATGCTATAGAACATCTTCCTTTCATGCAGAAAATCCCAGAACAACTACTGTACATAAAAGGCTAATCATTATAAAATTCCCAAAGCATTACAGCACTCATAACCCACAGAACAATCTTAACTAACTAACAGCCAAACACAAACTCAGCACTGTTGAATTCACACACTCTATTTCCCCATCCCTGTGATTCATAGTCTTCTACTCAGTTCCACTCAGTTCATCAGAACTAAGGGTTGGTCCACACAGTATCCATGTGTGCATTTATTTAAAAGCAGCTATGAACTGCTTAATACTTTTAAAAGCTCTAAGTGGTACCCTGCATAAAAACATGTTCCCAGTGCCATTGCATGCTCCCAGTGCCATTGCAGCATACAATTGTGAGCAACGGAAGGAAAACATTTAGACAAGGTTTCCTGGGCCTTCCCTGAGGTTACCACAAGGACCTTCCATGAAAGCGACAAAGTTGTGTCGAACTAAGTTATACTCAGAGTAAACCCATTGAAATTAACGAACCTGAGTTATTCACTTCCATTAATTTTGATGCGTCTTCTCTGAGCAGAACTAACCTTCTATACAGCCCTGGGGCTGAGGCATTCTGCACATAAGTATTGTAAGAATCAGTTGCACAATAGCTGTGCATCTAATCTCTGTTTTTCACCTAACGCCTGGTGCTGTCAAGGTTTGAAAAAAATTGTTCATGTGTAGAGTATTTCACTGACGTCCATCCTTACTACGTAACCACCGTGTTTGCAGGAGGTCATCCCTTGATGTCCTCCCAATTTAACATCGCAGCCTTGCCTACTTAGCTCCTCTGACAAGAGTCCTGGCCTATTAACCCCTACGAACACTATCTGATGCTCATGCATTTTGGTCACTGCAAACAATCTCTCTGCAGGAGCTGAAATGCTGAGTATAATGTAAACAGCAATCAAGAATGTACACTCCTCCCCAGGCTAACTTGTCCCCATTCAATATGCTGCCTCTTTTTCTCTTGCAAGTCTGACATTTAAAGACTTCCCATTGGGATTTTTCACTTAGATACAGAACATAGCTATATGTTACACAATATAGGAGCCAGATAAAGCAAATTTGCGTGACCCACCCCCCAGCAGCCCCCATGACTGTCACCCCAATAAGCAGTAAAGGTACAGGGACCCCTGACCATTAGGTCCAGTCGTGACCAACTCTGGGGTTGCGGCGCTCATGTCGCTTTATGGGCCGAGGGAGCCGGCGTACAGCTTCCGGGTCATGTGGCCAGCATGACTAAGCCGCTTCTGGCAAACCAGAGCAGCGCACGGAAATGCGGTTTACCTTCCCGCCGGAGCGGTATCTATTTATCTACTTGCACTTTGACGTGCTTTTGAACTGCTAGGTTGGCAGGAGCAGGGGCCGAGCAACGGGAGCTCACCCCATTGCGGGGATTCGAACCGCTGACCTTCCAATCAGCAAGTCCTAGGCTCTGTGGTTTAACCCACAGCGCCACTCGCATTCCAATAAGCTGCATTTTGGGTCAAATCAGGCCACAACTTTATTGACTACAGATACAGAGGTTTGGCATAGGCACTGAATATAATCATTGAGATACCAGCCTATCTTCTGGGGTATACCAGATGGGGTCAACCCAGGGGTGAAGGAGGGGCCTATGACACTCCTTTGAGGAGTGCTATGGCCCCCACCCCCAGCTGGGCTTCCAGAAAGAAGCAACTCCCACTAGATCCCTTTAAGAGGATACCCCCGAAACCTGGAGGAGCAGGCAGAGGCTACAGCAATGTTTCCCAAACCTGGGCCTCCAACTGTTTTGGACTACAATTCCCATCATCCGAGACCATTGGTCCTGCTAGCTAGGGATGATGGGAATTGTAGTCCAAAAAACAGCTGGAGACCCAAATTTGGGAAAACCTGGGCTACAACCTCCCCTCCACCAGAGACTCACCCAATGCCTAAACCGCAAGTTGTGACAATTGCTACGAGGTGGGCAGCCACGCTGGCCTGGGCAAAAGTCTTGATAGCTGCTTCGCAGCCAGATCATAAACTGAGCAAAGCACCTAATATCACTGTCAAAAGCATGTTTATTCTGTCTAACCCATTTATCTATGGAAATTAGCCAGTCTTTGTTAAATCTCTGTGGTATAGTAAGTAATGCGTCGTATTACTTAGTGCAGTGATTATAGTATAGAAAGGCAGGGAGGTGATTTAACCCTGGATATAAATATCTACATGTCACTATGTCAACAGCATCCCTTGGAATGGGGTTAACCTGAATTATGCCAGAAAAATTGTGGGATAGGGAGGTGCATTAGGGATTTTGGGGCAAGGTTATCCAAAAATATAAAGCCTGCTTGACAGAGATAAAAGGTACAAAAAGGTCTGGGAACTCAGAGGTGGTTGAGCGATGACAGAGCTTTTTTAGGGGCCCTCAAATTATACAGCAGGTACAGAAGGATTTTGTGTTGCTCTCTAGACACAATTTATCATCTATTCAGACATTCAAATGCAGCTGGAAAAACTGCCCGCCGGCCTCATTTGCAGCTTATTGATTGCTCTGAGCAATATTTTATTTTCAAAGATGCAAAATTGGTCCCTTTCTTTATTGGCAAACAAGTGGCCTTGCACCGCTGCAGCTGGTTACACATTCTCTCTCTCTCTCTCTCTCTCTCTCTCTCTCTGTGTGTGTGTGTGTGTGTGTGTGTGTCAGTTTTCTGGCATATTAATTAAAGCCTTTTTCCTGCCACAAGCTCTTCTGCAAGCCCCAATGACCGCCTGCTTTTTCACACATTTATCAAAAAATCTGCTTTAATTTTGAAACCCCTGGCTGGAAAACACACACAGAGAGATCCTATCTAAATATTCCTCTCCACTGTTTTCTAATTCCTGCCAGGAAAAGTTTGCCTTGGCTTAGAATTATTTTTATTTTTTAACCTTACACTTGATATTTCACACCCACCTCACCCACCTGATTCTTCTTAGGTCTCAATATGCCTGTTATGCAGGTAAACATGTATCGGGATGGCGTTTCACTAGGAGGGAAAGTGGCGCCTGGTCGGCAGAACATGGTTCCGGGAGCAGCCAGTGTAGCAGTGTAGATGGCATGTTGTGTTTGAAAACTGGGAGAAACCCCCCGGTTGCTACTGCCTGGGTCTTTCCTGAGCCTCATGCCAGGGAACAATGCAAACAAGAACAAACTGAACAGAGTGAAAGATTATGGGTCATCAGGGTGGGGAGAATTTGTGCATGAATTCAGCAGCGCTCTGTTTATTTTCTGGATGCTATTTTGTTCATGCTCACAATATTGTTTCGCAGATTAGCTGTAGTACTTTGCGAGTTCTGTAATAAGCCTTCTGTTGCAATTGTGCTGCTCAGCTTATTACAGTGGTACCTCGGGTTACATACGCTTCAGGTTACATACGCTTGAGGTTACAGACTCCGCTAACCCAGAAATAGTGCTTCAGGTTAAGAACTTTGCTTCAGGATAAGAACAGAAATTGGGCTCCGGCGGCGCGGCGGAAGCAGGAGGCCCCATTAGCTAAAGTGGTGCTTCAGGTTAAGAACAGTTTCAGGTTAAGAACGGACTTCCGGAACGAATTAAGTACTTAACCCGAGGTACCACTGTACTTTAGTTGTTTTGCTAATAGTGTTTTACAGATTATAATTGTTTTACCGGTGACATAGATAGTTCAGTTGGTGGAGAGTGAAACTCTTCACCTCAAGGCTGCGAGTTTGAGCCCCATGTTGGGCAAAATATTCCTGCATTGCAGAGGGTTGGACTAGATTACCCTTGTGGTCTGTGGTCCCTTCCAACTTGACAATTCTATGATTCTACTGATAATTTGTAATTGCTTTACTGGTTATTTGTAATTGCTTTACTGATGATTTGTTAATTATTCTATATGATTGGTGCTGTATTTGTGATGTTCTCTTATGTTATTGCTATTGATTGTTTGTAATCCGCTTTGCGGTTCATTTGTATGAAAAGTCGCATCGAAATATAATAAATCAAATCAAGTTGGGTGCAAATGAGCCAGGACTAGAGCAAGTTTCCCCAATCTGGTGCTCTACAGATGTTTTGATGCTGCCTGTGGATGATAAGAGTTGCTACCCAAAACATCTGGAGGGGACCAAGTATGGGAGACCTGGACTAGAGTATAAACCCCAAACTTCTAACATCTGGATGAAAGCTCTTACTCACCCAGGGTCTCCTGGAGAATACCCTATGGCTGAGCCATTCTGTAAAAGGAATACAGTCGTACCTTGGAAGTTGAACAGAATCTGTTCCCGAAGTCTGTTCAACTTCCAAAACGTTCGGAAACCCAAACGTGGCTTCTGATTGGCTGCAGGAAGCTCCTGCAGCCAATTGGAAGCCATGGAAGCCGCGCCGGACGTTCAGCTTCCGAAAATTGTTCGAAATCCGGAACACTCACTTCCAGGTTTCGATCATTCGGGTGCCAATTTGTTCGGGAGCCAAGGCGTTCGAGATCCAAGGTACGACTGTAGTGGTGACGGTCCTCTTGGGCGTTGTGAATTCAAGTAATATCTTTAAAAAAAAAAAAATCACTATACAGTGGTACCTCTGGTTAAGTACTTAATTCGTTCCAGAGGTCCGTTCTTAACCTGAAACTGTTCTTAACCTGAAACACCACTTTAGCTAATGGGGCCTCCCGCTGCTGCCACACAATTTCTGTTCTCATCCTGAAGCAAAGTTCTTAACCTGAGGTACTATTTCTGGGTTAGCGGAGTCTGTAACCTGAAGCGTATGTAACTTGAAGCATATGTAACCCAAGGTACCACTGTACAGTGGTACCTCTGGTTATGTACTTAATTTGTTCCGGAGGTCCGTTCTTAACCTGAAACTGTTCTTAACTTGAAGCACCACTTTAGCTAATGGGGCCTCCAGCTGCCACTGCGCGATTTCTGTTCTCATCCTGAAGCAAAGTTCTTAACCCGAGGTACTATTTCTGGGTTAGCAGAGTCTGTAACCTGAAGCATCTGTAACCTGAAGTGTATGTAACCTGAGGTACCACTGTACGGATGTTCATTTAATGTTAGGCAATCGAGGCGCATCCCTTTGTAAACCCTGGCTTGGCTTTCTGATAAGCCGACTATATTGACTCCACTCTTTTCTGTGTAGCAGAATTTGCCAGTGCAAATATGCATGTGGCAGTAGCCGGGCATGCCTAAGCCCCACAGAAAACAAATGAGAAAGGCAGGACAGTCCTAAACTTGCATACTAAGAAGAAAATCCCACTTGGTCTAGTGGGACTCCCTTCCCTATAAAGCATGAGTTAATTGCATGCTTATGGGTGTAGACTGAGAGTTTCAGTCCCAATGATTTCAAGGGAGGGATGAAAAGGCAGAAACCAAACAAGAAGAATAAATGCCAGTCAAACAACTACACATAGCTGTCAAGTGTCCCTTATTTGGCGGGACAGTCCCTTATCCCAGCACCATGTCCCGCTACTGTCCCTTATTGATGAGGCTTCATTTGGCTGCTGGCTGGGCTTTCTGCCTTTGGCTCAGAGGGGCTCAGAAGTTGAACATACCTGTGCCCGGAAAATCCCTTATTTTGGCTGCTGCTCCCTTATTTTCGAGGCTGCTGGTCCTTTATTTTCAAATCTGTAAGTTGACAGCTATGCAACTACAGTACGGGAATAGCCACACTGCTAGTTTAAGTTGGGCGGACATGGTTCTAAGATGGCCTCAAGAACATCCCCTTGCCCCTCTCCTCTTTGTCCGGCTAGTGAAAGTTTTTTGAGGGGAACAACAAGGTCCAGTTTGAACAGAGGAACCAATGAATGCAAGGAGCAAGGATTTTTATTTCACACAAAAAATGAAATAAAGAAGAGTGCAGTTCACTTGGGCTGAGACCCTGAAATCAATACTGACTGGCTCTGTCCTTCATGCCATGGAAAAATGGCAGAGGGGATATTGAGGGGTCAAAGTACCATATTTTTCGCTCTATAAGATGCACCAGACCACAAGACGCACCTAGTTTTTGGAGGAGGAAAACAAGAAAAAAAATATTCTGAATCTCAGAAGCCAGAACAGCAAGAGGGATCGCTGTGCAGTGAAAGCAGCAATCCCTCTTGCTGTTCTGGCTTCTGGGATAGCTGCGCAGCCTGCATTCACCCCATAAGACGCACACACATTTCCCCTTACTTTTTAGGAGGGAAAAAAGTGAGTCTTATAGAGCAAAAAATACGGTATATTTCTAAGTGGGTGAAAATTGAGAAAGAAAAAAAAATGCACTTGTTAATAAACAGTTCAGAAATGGGGGCGGAATAAGGGGAAGGAGAGCGACTTGCTGGGGGGGGTGTTGTTTTTAACAGCCCCCCTGCCTCCCCCTGGCACTGTCTATGCCTTCCCCCCTCCTGTCTGAACATGTTATATGAAATCCCTGCTAGCCTTTTTCCCACGCTAATGTTTCATTCAACACATCCTCTTTTGGTAAAAGCGACTAAGCAAGCATCACCTTGAAAATTAATTCTCCATTGAAAGAAAGAAAGAGAAGCAGATTTTGCAAGAACTTACATAAGCCCCTGAAAGGAATCATGATTTCCTGATACTGTTTTTCCTTCCCGGCAATGTTAAGCAGCCAAACATCTTGCTTTACTGCCGATAAACGTATTAGCCAAGACTGCCCTCTGGCTTCCTCTAAACTACTGCTCAGTCTCCTCTTTTCGTAAAGCTGGCAAATGCCATTAAATCCACATTTCAGAAACCAGAACCAGATGCCCAAAACCTAGCAGACGATCTTATCCTTGTCCCAGGGCCTCTTCATACATTCTCAATTTCCTACGCAGATTTCATGTGAGAATAAATGCCATCCTACATGTAGATTATAACATATGATGATGATCACCCATTTCACTGCATGTATGTATGACCAAAAGTTGAGACCGGCTATGGCTACATGGATATGTAGATACAGTGGGATCATTACATGTGAAGATCTGGACACAGATAATGCACCTTTTCTTGAAGAAGTCTTAAACTAACTGAAATACACTCGGAGTCGAGAGTGGATTTCATGCTCTTTATTCAGTTCATAGTGGTGAGGAGGAATGGAAGTTCCCCCAGAATGTCTGCTTTATATACATTATTTACACAATGGGCCCCACGTGATTGGCTAATTCCAGGATTCACCTGTAGGCCAATCAGGTTGCGGATTCACTTCCACCTGGAGCTGGATTGGGTGGCTCCTGTGGACCAATCAGACTGCTGCATTCTGAACCCTATTGTTCTAGCACCAATCAGACTACTGCATTCTGAATCCTATTGTTCTAGCACCAATCAGACTGCTGCATTCTGAATCCTATTGTTCTAGCACCAATCAGACTCCTGCCTTTTGGATCCTGATCAACTCAGTACATAACACTAACTCATATCTGCACAAGGGCGAAGAGTATTAGCTAATCACCCATCTGATGAGGGATTATGGAAAGAAAATATACTCACTCAATATTTCTTCATCTGCATGTGTGCACTTGGCATTTTATCCCTTCAGCGAAGACAAGGAATAATTTGCTCCCTGCTATTTCTGTGACAAACAGAACTTATACTCAGGATAGAAAGGATCATTTTTCTTTTCCTTTCATGCTGAGCCAAGCTGTAATGCATGAGAAATGGTGCTCATCTCAGTTCCATCACTTCTTGTTTTCTTTTTTTTCCCCCAGCAAGCAAACTTAATATAGCTTGTACTCACAGAACAGTTCCTGTGGCTTTCCTTATGATTTTAAACCGAAGAGATAAATCGTTGACAAATTCAATGTCATAGCTGGTGTCAGCAGCAGCGAGAGGAGGGGATTCAATCTTGAGAGGAACTTCGAAGCGTTGGTTGTTAGGGTCATAGATCTATTTCCAAATAAGAAGAGACACATACAAAATAAACATAGAGTTATCAGTAGGTTGTGCATAAATGATAGGCGCAGGTCAATTCTGTATCCAGGGCAGCTGTCTACCAACTCCACCTGGTACTCAGGCTGAGACCCTCCCTGCCCGCGGACTGTCTCGCCAGAGTAGTGCATGCTCTGTTTATTTCCCGCTTGGACTACTGCAATGCGCTCTACGTGGGGCTACCTTTGAAGGTGACTCGGAAACTACAACTAATCCAGAATGCGGCAGCTAGACTGGTGACTGGGGGCAGCCACCGAGACCACATAACACCGGTCTTGAAAGACCTACATTGGCTCCCAGTATGTTTCTGAGCACAATTCAAAGTGCTGGTGTTGACCTTTAAAGCCCTAAATGGCCTCGGCCCAGTATACCTGAAGGAGCGTCTCCACTCCCATCGTTCTGCCCGGACGCTGAGGTCCAGCGCCGAGGGCCTTCTGGCTGTTCCCTCATTGCGAGAAGTGAGGTTACAGGGAACCAGACAGAGGGCCTTCTCGGTAGTGGCGCCCACCCTGTGGAACGCCCTCCCATCAGATGTCAAAGCGATAAACAACTACCTGACATTCAGAAGACATCTTAAGGCAGCCCTGTTCAGGGAAGTTTTTAAAGTGTGATATTTTAGTGTATTTTTGGTTTCTATGGAAGCCGCCCAGAGTGGCTGGGGAAACCCAGCCAGATGGGCAGGGTACAAATAATAAATTATTATTATTATTATTATTATAGCTGACCAACTTCTTTCCTTGCTTGCTTTCTCTTTCACTCACCTTAAACCTGACTCTGTCCTCTGTCTGAAACTCCACATCCAACACAAGTTGAGGAATATCATTTCCGTAGAGGGAAGCTGTTCCACGTCTTGACAGGGCCACCCTGGAAAAGACACACCGCCATTTATCTTCATACTATATTGTCTGTTTCTATGAGCAGTCAGCAAGGAGTGAAAAATATTTTGTTCTCTGAACATTCGGTAAGCATAGATCTCCAAAATCTCACTCTAGTGATCAGTTCATGTGTCTAAATATATCCCATCGAAAGAATATTACCCACCGCTTTATGACATTTCTGCAAAGTGTTTTACAATACAGTTTACATGGAGACTCAAGGAAATGGATCCATGATCGGTTGGGATTTTAATCCGGATCGGCTAAATCAGGATCAAAATTCTACAATCAAGGCCTTATAATTCAATAAAATGCCACATGGCCACACAGGTCCACAGGCAGAGAAGGCATCTGGGACATAAATGTCTATTATTACTCTGTGTCCCGTCTAGTGAACCCTTTATTCATCCAGAATAATTGTATTGTGATTCAGTTTGTGGTAATTAAATCCAACTTTATGTCATCTAGTTCCCGTTTTATTGATTCAGAACCATTGTGTTGCAATTCCATTTGCGAAAATCAAATCAATTCTTATGCCATGAGCATAAATAAAGCATTAATGGTTTCTACTCTCCAGACACTCCGGACTGGATCCTAAGATACCCTTCTGCTCATAGAAGGAGTTTTACCGTGAAGGGTAGCACCTCTGATCCAGGAGAGGCTCTTTCTGACAGAAGGAGAGAGGGAATATTTGCCTAATCTCCCTCTCCTGTGCAACTCCATATGGTCCCACAATGTCCCAGAGAAGATTGAGGGTGTGGGGACAGAAGGAAAGAGGAATCAGCACACTTTGCCTAGCCCTCTTCCATTTGCAGGTGTCGCAAGCACCCTTTCCACAAGTAGAACTCAGCTCAAAGGATCTTAGACTACATCACAGCTGTCAAGTGTCCCTTATTTGAAGGGACAGTCCCTTATTCCAGCGCCATGTCCCACTGCTGTCCCTTATTGATGGATGTCCCTTAAATGATGTCCCTTAAATATCAAAGGAAGCAGCTCCTCTCCCTCCCACCCTGCCGGCCAGGGAGGAGGGAGGCTCCAACTGTGTTGCTTGGCTGTGTTGCTCACCCAATAAGAAGTCTAAGAATGACTGGGGGGTGGAGCTTGCATGCCTTGTGTGTGGCTAGTTAATGTAAGCTGAGGGGTTTTTTGAATGCTGGATGTCATTTTGTTGCACGTGCTGCTGCAAACTTTGCAGTGCAAAGCCAGGCTGGGGAGCCATCTTAAGTTGAGGCTGCATAGGCCTTGTGGTGCATGTGATTCAGAGTCTATTCAGTTGAACCTCTGGTTACAAAGTTTGTTGGACAGTGTTCTCAAAGCTACCAGTATGAGTTTGACCAGACTGCAGGAGGACAGGAAGACTGGAGTGCCTGGAACAGGTGAGGCTGCAGGTCCCTTATTTTGGCTGCTGGTCCCTTATTTTCAAATCTGTAAGTTGACAGCTATGGACTACATGCATGGACTCAGCTACATTAGCAAAAATAAAACGTTATAAATGTGTTATAACAATGTGACACCGGATGGCGCTGTGGAGTCGAAATTGGAACTCTATGGATTTTTCCATTGTGAGCTTTAAAGCGGTTATTTTTCAGAGTGTTTTTTTATAGATGCGGCCGTGAACTCCACATGAGTAACGATTGACTTATTATTCTCAATATCAGGGAGTAGGCCCTTGATATAGTGTGAGGCAGAGGGCCTTCTTGGTAGTGGCTCTGTGGAACGCCCTTCTGTCAAATGTCAAGAAATAAACAACTAACTGACTTTTAGAAGATATCTGACGGCAACCCTGTATCGGGAAATTTTTATTGTCTAATGTTTTACAATTTGTATGTGCTGTAAGTCACCCAGAGTGGCTGGGGAAACCCAGCCAGATGGGCGGGGTATAAATAATAAAAGTTATTATTATTATTATTATTATTATTTGTGTGGGAGGCCATCACAGAAGAAATGGATTATTCTTGCTTATGCAGAGCTCTGGGTGTACACTGCAACCTTCGGACTGTAGCTTTGCCTGGGCTTCTGTGCGGGTAAATGTAGTTAGCTATCTTTTATCTTTGCTAGCTTAAGCATTGCGCCATATGCACAATCGTTGCACTTTTCCGTTGCTCTTTGCAATGTTTTCAGCATTAAACAATCCACATCCATTTGCAAAGTATATGGCTCCTTCACAATCAGGAAAGGCTTTACATTTGAGGAAAAATCAAGAGATATCAGAAAAGTGTTGTCAGTGTACAAAATATTAAATACACAAAGAACTTGGGTGGAGAGGAATAACAAAAGCGGACTTTTACCTCCAGCCTTTCTCTGTCTTCTCTGGTTTTCCGGTCAAAGAGTAACCATATAGTCCATCTTCCCTCACAGCGTAAGCCTGGCTTAAAACTAAGAGGGGAGAAACAGAAATTAGTGGATACAATCTTCCTGATTTCTGATTCTTCCAGTCATTTTAGCCATTTCAGCATAATCCATCAACGTGATCTGCCATTCTTCTCTGGTAGGGACTTTATCTTATTTCCATCTCTGGGCCAATAACAAAATTTTAATAAGGAACATTTATATCTTATCTTAAAGACCATTGTAAAAAGTTCAAATCGTTAGTAGGATTGGAATATCACTTGTAGTGGAATCTTGTTTTTATGCTGTATGTTGGACATGTGACTGCAAATTTTTAATCTGAAAAACCAAATAAATAAATTTAGAAAGAAAGAAAGAAAGAAAGAAAGAAAGAAAGAAAGAAAGAAAGAAAGAAAGAAATGAGGTCCAGCTCCAAAGGCCTTCTGGCGGTTCCCTCACTGCGATAAGTGAGGTTACAGGGAACCAGGCAGAGGGCCTTCTCGGTAGTGGCGCCCACCCTGTGGAACGCCCTCCCATGTCAAGGAAATAAACAACTACAGTGGTACCTCGGGTTAAGAACTTAATTCGTTCTGGAGGTCTGTGCTTAACCTGAAGCACCACTTTAACTAATGGGGCCTCCTGCTGCTGCTGCGCCGCCGGAGCACGATTTCTGTTCTCATCCTGAAACAAAGTTCTTAACCCGAGGTACTATTTCTGGGTTAGCGGAGTCTGTAACCTGAAGCGTCTGTAACCTGAAGCGTCTGTAACCCGAGGTACCACTGTATCTGACTTTTAGAAGACACCTGAAGGCAGCTCTGTTTAGCGAAGTTTTGTTAATATTTGATGTTTTATTGTGTTTTTAATATTATGTTGGGAGCTGCCCAGAGTGGCTGGGAAACCCAGCCAGATGGGCAGGGTATAAATAATAAAATTATCTATTATTATTATTTTTATTAATATATTAACTGAGGGACCTTGTGTTGGATACTCCTGAACCTCCACAGGTTTCCACCTAAACATTAGGAAGAATTTCCTGACAGTAAGAGCTGTTCGACAGTGGAATTTGCTGCCAAGGAGTGTGGTGGAGTCTCCTTCTTTGGAGGTCTTTAAGCAGAGGCTTGACAACCATATGTCAGGAGTGCTCTGATGGTGTTTCCTGCTTGGCAGGGGGTTGGACTCGATGGCCCTTGTCGTCTATTCCAACTCTATGATTCTATGATTCTTTGATTCTATTTCAGGCTTGATGATGGACTGCATCCTAACTTGGGACTTGGATCGACCCTAAACCTCGTTTCCTGACCTTCGGCTTCAGATCTCAGACTGTGGACTTTGTGGCTGCTGAACAACCCTCGGATTTTGGACTTGGTCTTGGCACACTTTCTGGCTGGCAGGTAGGCCAGAGGATCAGGACAGACTGTCACAGTAGCATAGAAGTGATTTAAATGTATGGTCTGGATGTGACCTAAGAGCTTCTGAGACATCTTTTGGCAACGTGAAGAAGAGAGGGAGTGCCCCTCCAATGTAGGTGCCATCATAGCAACCTTCCCTCTCCATTGTCATAATACCAACTCAATACCATTTGTCTATTGCCCTCTTTAGGGTGATGTTCACAAATGCCACTCAGAAATAAATTACATAAGGTGGAGCATGCAAGATTAGTTCCTTCCTAAGAATGAATGTTAATAAGAAGTTGCTGTTGCCACCAAACATTATATAAAGTCAATTAAAATCCCACTGCACGGAGCCTTTCACTTTTGACTAAAGCTTCTGGAAATATTAATTGCTGGCTCCCAAATTACAATTCAACGTAATTATCCACATTTAATTTAACAGTATATCAGTGATTGAATCCATCTCCGAAGCGAGGCTCTTTTCTTATGAGAAGCAAGTCAAAGCTGCAGGAAGGTTAAGTCACACAATAAACCATTGTGGGAGCGAAGCTGTGGCTTGGAGCAACATTCACAATTCCAACCAAAGGATCTTTCTGGTCATGATGACTCTTCAGTTAATGTATTGGGAACTAGTTAATCCACTTCTATAGTATATGTATGACTCCCATGGGTTTATAATAGGCAGCGCTATTCTTCTGGAAAAGAAGGTGCCGGAACTCACTGCAAACACCTCTTGTTCTCTTAGAATGGGAATGGCGCCCACCTGAGAGGTGCTGGAGTTCCAGCAAGTTCTGGCTGGGAAAAAGGCCCAATAGGAGGTGATACCTTGCACCTAGCTACCCACCAGAGTATAATTTATGAACTTGGGGGGTCATGGTCCCAGTGACTGACAGTTGGTCAACTGAGTCCTACATCTGGATCTTGACACTGAGCCCAACCCCAGAAACCTGGAACCTTCCAAACCAGAGACAACCCATGAAACAGGCAGGCCAGTGAGCCCCTGGGCCAGTTGCCAGTGAAGACGTAGCGTTCTTGTCCCGATGGGCCTCACATGCCAACAAGCCTGCTCACCATTTTCTCTATTTTTCTGTATACAGTGGACGCTCAGATTGCAAACATGATCCGTGTGGGATGCCCGTTCGCAACCCGCAGCGACGCGTCTGCGCACGTGCAGGTTGCAATTTGGCACTTCTGCGCATGCGCAAAGCACAATTTGACACTTCTGCACATGCATGACCACCGAAATCCGGAAGTAACCCGTTCCAGGTTTTGGCGGTCCGTAACCCAAAAAAACGCAACCTGAAGCGTCTGTAACCTGAGGTATGACTGTATTCCCTAGGTCTGACTTCTTCCACAGGGCCTGGAAGGGGTAAGCCACACCCAGGGAGTTTTTAAGGGCTCAGTTAGCACTGAACACCCATTGGCAGGGCTGGCAGACTGAGGTAGCTGCCTCAGGCGGCAAATAATGAGGTGGGGGCATGGCCAGAGCTATGATTATCATGTGGCCTGCCTCCTCCCCCACACACTATCCTGCTGCCCTCAAGTGTCCTTTCACTAGTATTGGAGAAAACGTCAACTACCAGTCCAACTGGGGGTATGCACAACTTGTCCTTTGCCTCAGGCAGCTAAATTTCTTGACTGGGGCCAATGGGAATGCATGTCTAACATCTGGCAGGTCCATCTGGCGGGATTTAGAAGGCGATTGGGCTGGATCCGGCCCCTGGGCCTTAGTTTGACTACCCATGGTCTACATATTTCCACCTAGCGCTATTTGACTGGTCACGATCCCATTGCCTTTTGACAACATTTTGGGACTTCTGGCATTCTGAAAATGCTTCCTAACCCCACAGGGTAATGGTGAACTTTACAGAGATATAGCTCAAGTCCCTGCACATTTGCTACCCCCCAAAAAACAAATAAATTCTGCAGAATTAAAAGAACCTTGACATCAGAGTATTTGTTGAGCAAATTGCAACTATCATCTTTCCAGTCCACCCTGTCAAGATTTCCGAGTTCCCTCAATATGAGGTGCAGCTGTTTCTGCCAGACCACCCCCAGAAATTCTTTTCTTTGGTGACCTGATGCCAAGAATGTTCGTGGCCTTTTAAATATTGAAGTTTACAGGGACATCATGTACCGATATTTAAAGTGCCATGAAAACACTTGATAAGCACAATCTGCATATTGTGCTGCCACAATTCTGGCAATTGCGCTACAGCAGGGACCCGGTTTGCTTTGGGAACTGTTCTATGGCATGCTTAGAATAATGCTTAATCCCGCCAGGCCTTAAGAATACTGTTCATTGTATTCCACTTTGCAAACAGAAACATTTTGAATGAGATCGTATCCCATACGCTTTCTCCCCCGTGAATAAATAAATACGTAATCCCACGCAATCTCTAGAGAAGGGAAGCGTTTTAGTTCTAGATCTGAACTCGCACAGAAGGTCTTAGAATTAATAATAAAAACGATTTAAAACCCCTTAGCAAAAGCTTGTGCTGCCCACTGGTGGTTTTAAAAAAATCTCTCATTTTGGGGAAAGCAGATGATGCCTGTATTGGTTTTCCATATGGGTGACTGACATTCTTTATGGCCTGCTGGTAAGAATGGCCACAAGCCATTCCCAAAGCCAATATTTGGCCACCCATTTTGGGGGAGAACGGGAAGGCACCATCACAGGAATTGAGAGAAGAGGGATATTGCATTTTACCTGCTTTAGCAGATAGCTGGCAGAATTGCTGCCTTTTTCCAGCTGAAACCAGTCCGGTTGTTCCTAAAGAAGAGCTACAACCTAAAGCACGTTGTGTGGGGAACTATTTTGCTGAAAGGAAAATCTTCCAAAGCAGGAAGCATCTAATGATGTAAACAAAACAGGGGAAGTGTATCTCAAAGATGCTGGAAAGGGTGCATGTTTATTGTTAAATTTGCCTGCAAAATTTGCAAAAGCGCCTTCTTCAAGGGCATGTTTCTTTACAAATTGCTCAGAAACCATCCTTTTCAAAGAACCTGCAGGGTCTTATTTGTAAAGAGACAAAGAAGCCACTAGGGGAGGTATTTGAACTGAAAGACTGCCAGTTAATTTATCAAAAAGCATTCATCCTTTCCAGTATCTTCTCCCCTTTCTTTGGTACTGCTTTGAACTAGTTTGCTACTTATGATCGAAAGAGGTAGACATCCTCGCAGATCAATGGCTTGAGCCAAGATACACTAAAGGCTGCCTCTCCCAGTACCTGTAACCAGCCTGCTACTCCCTAAAACACCTTCCTCTATGCCCCAGCTGTGCAGGATGCCTGACTGACTGGGACAAGAGCATGGGCCTTCTTGGTGGTTGCACCAGATTACTGAAGGTTGATTTGGCCATCTCCTTTACTGCCTGGTGAAAGCTTCCCTGTTCCAGCAAGCTTTTGTCATATTAGGCAGACGAGGGTTTCTTTTCTGGGGAGTCTCTGAATTTCTATCTCCTCATACTGTTTGTATATTGTTCTTATGGATCACAACACTTTGAACGATTGTAAACTGCTCCAAAAAAATGGAATGCATTGGAAGGGTGAGATACACACACCATTGAATTAGTGAAAGAATGAAGAATCAATAACAGCTGTTGAACACAATCCAAGAACAAGAAAAAGGGCAGCTGCATTATAGATGCATTTTGAAGAAAGTCTTTTATCAAGGGAAACACAAATTGATCTGGGCAACTTTTCTACCGCAGTTCACCTTTACAGGCCCCCAGTACAACTTCTTAGTGATGTATGGAAGTGAGAGCTGGACCATAAAGAAGGCCGAAGAATGGATGCTTTTGAATTATGGTGCTGGAGGAGACTCTGGAGAGTCCCATGGACTGCAAGAAGATCAAACCTATCCATTCTTAAGGAAATCAGCCCTGAGTGCTCACTGGAAGGACAGATCCTGAAGCTGAGGCTCCAATACTTTGGCCACCTCATGAGAAGAGAAGACTCCCTGGGAAAGACCCTGATGTTGGGAAAGATGGAGGGCACAAGGAGAAGGGGACGACAGAGGACGAGATGGTTGGACAGTGCTCTCGAAGCTACCAGCATGAGTTTGACCAAACTGTGGGAGGCAGTGGAAGACAGAAATGCCTGGCGTGCTCTGGTCCATGGGGTCACAAAGAGTCGGACACAACTAAACGACAAACAACAACAGAAGAAGAAAAGGCAGAGTCTTTTGCCCTGCAAGCTGGAGACCTTGAGATGGTGGAGTTGGAAGAGTGAAGACTGCAGACAAGTATTGGGATATAAGTGTGGAGAGATGCAGGGAGAGGGGCAAAGCCAATGTGAGGAAGAGTGTCCCATGGCCAGAGTGATGAAAAAGGTGGGTGGGGTTTGGCACATGAATGCTGGATAGACATGAGGGAACCGAAGTGAGACAATGGAAGACCAGAAATGAGAAGATTGTTGTAGTCTACCTGAGAGACAACCAGGGCATGAACCAGAGATTTTACTGAGGTAACAGAGTGGAAGGGTCACCTTTTTGTAATGTTTTAGGAGAAAGCATTACCCCATCACTGCGCTAGCACAAGTAGTTTTCAATTTTCGCTCCTGAGTCATCTCTCACCGATAGCTGAAGCATATGTCATTGGAAACATTAGCTGTTGGTTTGTTCTTGTTGCTGAAGCGACTACAATATATCCTCAGGAGCTTGTATCGACCATCTTTCGACAGGAGTGCCTGGCATGCTCTGGTCCATGGGGTCACGAAGAGTTGGACACGACTAAACAACTAAATGACTAAACAACAACAACAAAACTACAACTTCTTAAAAGAGTATTTTTGTTCCATAACCCCAAGGCACATTTGACTTAAACAGAGAACTGCACCTGTGAAGGTAGCAAAGTTGACTTCAGCACTGGAGCTGAGCAGGGGAATGTTTAACCGCCAACCTGGTGCCCTGAGGATGTTTGGGGTGACCAATTCCATTGGCCCCAAACTGAGGCTGATGTGATGGCATCCGACTGGCAAAGGGTCATATAACCTTGGAGGACCACTGCCAGTTGCTCTAGACCAGGGAACCCCAAACTTGGGTCTCCAGCTGTTTTTGGACTACAACTCCCATCATCCCTAGCTAGTGGTCAAGAGTAATGAGAATTGTAGTCACAAAACATCTGGAGACCCAAGTTTGGGAATCCCTGGTCTAGACAATAGTGAACTAGATAGAACAATGGACTGACTCAATATGAAACACCTTCCAATGTACCTCTATCCAACTATAAAATTCTATCTTACCTGCAAGAGCAAGGGCCAAAAAATGAAGCTTCTTATTTCTCTCCATGGTTGAATAGATATAACACAAGCTCCTCAGACAATGGCCTTTTATAAGCAAGATCTAGCAGGGCTCACAGAGTTATCTGCAAGCTGACACACTGCAAATATTTGTTACTTTGATAAGGGGGAAAAATGACCTTATTTGCAGGTTATGTAAGGTTGAAGGGAAGACAAGTTGCAAGTTTATTTGTAATCAAAAAATGCTATCTTCAGGAAAAGAAGGGGGAAGAGTTGCTTATGTAACAGAAGCTACAAGGCCAATGTGGGCATAGATTTGAAGTTTAACACGTGCGTTTGACCACAGAGATAGGGGCATGATCCTACTCCTCTTAAATCACTTTAATTAACACTCTCCCTACTATTTTGCACCCCACAATACATTACGGAGATCTTTGCAGTCTTTTATCACAGGGGATCATGGATCTAAAGTCAAAGCTCCACGTTTCCTCTGAGAAAATGATGCTGCAAGAATTTTTATAGAAGCAGGAAAGAGATGTTATGGGCTTTTTCATGGAAGATTAGGCTATGAAGGGCTACTAAGCACGATGGCTCTGTGGGAATATTACCTGCTGGGAATCGCAAGTGTGGCAAATGCTGTTGCACCCAGTCCCTGGTTGGCCACTGGGAGAACACTGCTGGACTAGATGGGTCTTTGATTAACTAGGCCCATTATCATGTACCCATCATGTTCTGCACTGGGATCATGGGGCTTTTACTTTAATCCTGCCCCGATTCTAGATTTCAAAAGAGCGTCACCTATCAAAAGGAGGAGCCACTGGCTTGGCATCTTCATGGGAGATCCTGCTTGAGCTTCATTCTCCTTTCCAAAGCGAGGGCCTTCAATGCATGATGGAGGTGGATAGGGCAGGAATAGCGGGCAGCAGAGGGCAGGCATTCAATGTTCTCTTTGAGTTTTCCTTTCAAACACTTGAAAAAGGGGTTTCCAGGTCAGGAATATCCTGGACCTTGAGATATCACGGCCCTAACCTGAAACCTAGGGGTGGTCCCTGGTGATGTGGCGTTATTGGGTCAGAGCCAGAAGAGATGGCCTGATGCCTTATTATTTTTATTTATTATTATTAAATTTCTACGCCACCATCATCCAAAGGTCACAGGACAGTTGTTGTTGTTGATATACCGCCCTATACCCAGGGGTCTCAATATGAGAACAAAAAAACACATACCATAACAACAAAAACAATACCCACCCCACACAGTTTAAAAGGTCATAGATTGTTTCATTAGCTAAAGGCCTGGAAGAAGAGAAATGTTTTTGCCTAAAAGATAAAGCTATGTAATGAAGGGGTCAGGCCAGGAGTAGGCAACCTAAGGCCCACGGGCCACAAGCGGCCCACGGGGGTCATTTAACCAGCCCACGAGCCACTCCTGAACTGAGCCGCCCACTCAGACTGTCCCCATGCGCTGCGCTAAACCTGGGCAGCGCAGCGCAGCGCGGGGACTCACTTCCGCAGCACTGGAAATCGCATCTTCACATGCGCAGACGCCGGAAATCGCAGGTGCACACGCTCATGCACGAGCGCAATCTGGCCCACAGAGGGATCTCCACTGGAGGGAACTGGCCCAGGCGAGGTAAACCTTGCTGACCCATGGGTCAGGCGATCCTCCCTGGGGAGAGCATTCCACAAGCAAGGAGCCCTGTGGGCTTTTGCGTATTTGACCAGAATGCCTGAAGGGCTCAACTGATATTTTTTGGGGGGGGTAGTCCCAGGAGCCTACTCCATCACTTACCTGGGTACTTGAAGAGCCGCTTTGTCTCATATGTGATCTAAAGGTAAAGGGACCCCTGACCATTAGGTCCAGTCGTGGCCGACTCTGGGGTTGCAGCGCTCATCTCACTTTATTGGCCGAGGGAGCCGGCGTACAGCTTCCGGGTCATGCGGCCAGCATGACTAAGCCGCTTCTGGCAAACCAGAGCAGCACACAGAAATGCCATTTACCTTCCCACTGGAGCGGTACCTATTTATCTACTTGCATTTTGACTTGCTTTCGAACTGCTAGGTTGGCAGGAGCAGGGACTGAGCAACGGGAGCTCACCCCGTCGCGGGGATTTGAACCGCCGACCTTCTGATTGGCAAGTCCTAGGCTCTGTGGTTTAACCCACAGCGCCACCCGCATCCCTATATGTGATCTATTCCTGCGTTAATTTTGTTACCTGCACCCCATTCTCTGAGCAGCATAAAGGTAAAGGGACCCCTGACCATTAGGTCGTCATGACCGACTCTGGGGTTGTGGCACTCATCTCACTTTATTGGCCGAGGGAGCCGGCGTACAGCTTCCAGGTCAAGTGGCCAGCATGACTAAGCCACTTCTGGTGAACCAGAGCAGTGCACGGAAACACCGTTTACCTTCCCGCCGGAGTGGTACCTATTTATCTACTTGCACTTTGACATGCTTTCGAACTGCTAGGTTGGCAGGAGCAGGGACTGAGCAACGGGAGCTCACCCCGTCGCGGGGATTCAAACCGCCGACCTTCTGATCGGCAAGTCCTAGGCTCTGTGGTTTAACCCACAGCGCCACCCGCGTCCCTATATGTGATCTATTCCTGTGTTAATTTTCTTACCTGCAATCCAATCTCTGAGCAGCATAGGTTTCATTTATTTTGTATGGTGGGGTTGTGGTTCAGAGGTGCTGAAGACAAGGCCTACAGAGCTGTGGAACTGAAGGGATATTTAGTTCAATCTATGGCTCGTAAACAGTCAGTGTTTCCTGTTGCAAGGGAGGGCATTTGTTTTTCTGGGTCTGGAACTCTGGATTACAAAAGCAAGGGGGAATAGGTAAGTGATTCCTGTGGTGACTAGGCCTCGCTCAAGCTATGCCACAATGGACTGCGGTGAAAAAAAAGGTGCAACGTACGATATTCCCTACAGCCAGCATCCCTGGGTGACCTTGCGCTGGAACATGAGGACAGTAAGGCTGGCAAAGGCTGTAGCTGAGCCGTGATCATGCACCAAGATCGTGTACCAGGGTGAAGACGATACAAGATTTGCCGGCAGCTCTGACGACCTTCATGATTCTCTTTTCAGCTTTATCAAGGAATATGTCACTCCCCAAAAATAATTAATTGAATTATTATTATTATTTTAAAAAACCCAACACCTGTTTGTACAGCTGTTGGCCTCCGACTTTTTTCATTTACCAGTACAGAACTGGATTTGAGTGAGAGAGAAAAGTAGTGTGAGAGAAAATATTGAATCTGGAGATGCTGAGAGATGAAAAAGAGGTTGCAGCTCAAGTGCTAGAGCTCACTTATTTTTCTTCGTTTTCTTAGCTCCAATATTCCCAGCAGTTCTTTGTTTCTTCTGGGGCCTTTTGACTTCTTTTTTGAGAGAAGGGTTTTCTTGCCTTGAACGTGTTGCTTCTTCAAGGTTGCAGCCATTTCCCTCTGAACCAATCCTTGGTCCAGACCAGGCATGGCCAAAATTTGTCCTCCAGCTGTTTTGGGACAAGTCCCATCATCCCTGACCACTGGTCCTGTTAGCTAGGGATGATGGGAGTTGTAGTCCCAAAACAGCTGGAGGACCAAGTTTGGCCATGCCTGATCTAGAACCTTGGTTCATGAGCAATATTGAAGAGATTGAGCTTTCCTGTATACACAAACGCACAGGCATAGTCTATTCCTTGGTGATGCTGAAACTTCACCATTTTATTTTCTGGTTTTTCCTCCCCTCTGCCCTCTGGACTCTTCTGGGCCTTACTCTCCAGATCTTGATTTTTCCTTTTAGTCCTCCTCTATTCCTTTTAATTTCTAGTCTTCATATTTAAGGAAATTTGCTTTATCACTGTTACATAGTAAAGCTTTGAACTAGCATGGACTGGTAGAAGTTCCAGGGCACAATTTAGAGTTAATTAATTGCTAAAATTCTTACTTGCTTTTCCTGATACAATTGCTGCTTGTAATAGTTAAGTTGTGCATTTTTCTGCTGAATAAAGTTTAAAGCTTGCATATTTATATCCTGTTTTGTTTGCCATGTGGTCATTACTTACATATAATGTTCTTTCTCCTTTCCCCAGGATCCTTTTTATGTATAATGTGCCGATTTCTCTATGGTATTATTATGCTTATATTTTTTATAAACTGAAATGTACTCACTGGTCTTTCTGCTGATGTATTCCAAAAACATTTTAGCCTTGGTCCCTGTTTGGTCACCACCCTGTTGCCCATTTGGGCAAATTCAGAACTTCACTTTCAGGCTGTGAGAAATAATCAGAGATCCCAATGTGTATTGTAGGTTGGGTTTCCTCGGTAGTCACTGGAGACAGATGGTGGTTTTGGCAATACAATGTTTGTGCATACGTGTATCAGTGCCGGATTTACGTATAAGCTAAACAAGCTATAGTTTAGGGCCCCACTCTCTTGGGGAGCCCCAAAAAAATTAAAGGGGGGAAAAACTGGATGTACATTTCCAAAATATAAGATTAAAAAAAATAAAAATAAAACCTACATACAGCAACAGTGTTTTGTGTTGCGTAGGCTCCTATGATGTAATTAATGGGCCCCGTCTGCTAGCCTGCTCCCTAAAATATCACCAGTTTGCTCATTTCTATATCAATTACTTTGATAAAATACATATTTTGTTATGTGCAAATGGCTTTAGATATCTATTAGGTCCATAAATTACCATGTAGCATATAAAGGTAAAGGGACCCCTGACCACTAGGTCCTGTCGTGGCCGACTCTGGGGTTGTGGTGCTCATCTCACTTTACTGGCCGAGGGAGCCGGCGTTTGTCCGCAGACAGCTTCCAGGTCATGTGGCCCGCATGACTAAGCCGCTTCTGGCGAACCAGAGCAGCGCACGGAAATGCCGTTTACCTTCCCGCCAGAGTGGTACCTATTTATCTACTTGCACTTTGACGTGCTTTCAAACTGCTAGGTTGGCAGGAGCAGGGACCGAGCTCACCCCGTCGCGGGGATTCGAACCGCCAACCTTCTGATCAGCAAGTCCTAGGCTCTGTGGTTTAACCCACAGCGCCACATTCAACACAAAAAAAACCAGCGACAATTTGTTGTTGGCAAAGGACAGCTGGACATATAAAGGGCCCCATTACCTTCAGTAGTTTAGGGCCTCATCAAACCTAAATCCGGCCCTGACGTGTATGCAGACCGAGTGGCAGGTGGCAGGGCTCACAGCATTAAAACTCCCAACAGATCTTCCTCCCCAATGCCATAGCTTTAGATTCTTGGAGACAGCAAGACAGGCCTATGTTTCACTACTCCAATCCCAAGACTGCCACAAGTTCCCTTTGTTCCCTTTCAGCCACAGTGATGACAGCACCTCCAGCTAAGTGAAGGGGGGACACACGTGCCCCCCTCCTCAGGCATCTCTGACTGATACCTCCTCTAGCAAGAGGTCACCAGCTTTTGCTTTTTCTTTAATTGCCATACATCCTTACCTATGATATACCAAAGACGGTAATCAGTGAGCTGATTGCTATATGCATTCTTCCTTTTGTTGCCTGTATTATTAATTTTATTTCAAAATAAGTTTCCGCATTTAAAAAGGTGGAGATTTCAGATATTTTCTTTGTATTCCCCTCTGCCATCCACCTTCAGATAATGACCAGGGTTACAATGGCACTGGGAAGCCTTGACCCTTAATGACCACTCTTTGGATTAACAAAGGCCATTAAAGAGTAACAAAGCAATCCACAAAGCACCCTTTTTAGTCTGAATGCCACAGGGTTGCTTACGTCTCTGTACAGTACTTGGGTCCTGTGTCACGTTAATTTCTCTTCATGTATTGTGCCAAACAAAAGTAGAGGCAATGAAAGTGTTCACATTCAATTGTGTGGGTCTTTTTTTTTTTTTTAATGTAAGCATCAACTATCACAAGCCGTACATTTACAAGTTCATATCCTCTACCCCACAGCAAACCCAATAAAACACTGTTCCTAAAACTTGCCGAATTTACAAATGAATGTTCCGAAAAGCTGGATAAATTATACAACCCTCTCGTTCAATATCCACACTCAAATCTACAGCAATTAAAAAAATCCACACAGGCACATGGTTAAGATAGTCTCTCTTTACACCCCATGTATTTACACACGGCCTTTTGTTGACACAGTTGCTACCGTTCTTTTAACTAACTCCAAGGTTCAACAAACATATCTAAAATATATTTAGCAGCATATCAAAGTATGTTAAAAAGGAAGGACACCTTGTTTTTCCTCTTAAATAAAACATTGTGAGATGACGGAAACATAAGAAAAATAGATTAAGGTTTTTCTGTAAGAATACTGTGGTAGGCAGAGCACTAATAAAATGTTAATGACTCGACAGCATTTTAGTTTCTAGTCCTGAGCACAGAGTAGACACAGCTGCACAACTTTGGTCAGCAAGAGTATAATGCTAACAAGTAACGCGGGTCGTATGGCATTCATTGTTAGCATGACACAGTCAGGGCAGTAATCCGTCTCAAACTAAGACTCCACCCTCCCTTACACTCCAGTCTTAGTTTCTTACAGCAGCAAAACATAAGTAAACTTTTTAGGACCCCCGCTGCTCTTCCATTAAAGGCTTGGGAAATGAGACAAGAGATATGCTGGCACGTTCCATACAAGCATAAAGTGAAGCTCAGCTGAACAGAAGGGGTCAGAGAGTGAGGTACACAGGGCACTTTCACATCCTAGGTTACAGGTCTTGAGACAACCATTCCAGGGCGAAAGGCTTCCAGTTTGTTCAACTTACAAAGCTAATAAATGCACACAAATCCAGCCGTTATATGTGAGGCAAGCATACCACCAACAGACTAGTGTTTGAAATATAGTACAGAAGGCAGTTCTTAAGGGCAGCAGTTTCAGCAGAATACGACACACTTAAACGGTACAGTCGAGAGCTGCATCTTCTTCTTCCTCTCCAGCTGCAAGCAGGTGCCTATGACGTCTAGCACTGCAACGCTCGTCTTTAATTACTGGCCACATCTTCGCTCGCATCACCAGGATCGGAGATCTGTCCATCGAAGCTGCAGGGAGCCTTCCAGATTCTCACAGTCCGATCGCTGCAAAATATTTATAAGCAACAGAATCTATTAGCATGAAGTGGGAAAAGGAAGAAGCAGAGAAAAGCCGTTTCCCCATTTATATACAGTAAGGTAAAGGTAAAGGGACCCCTGACCATTAGGTCCAGTCGACTCTGGGGTTGCGGTGCTCATCTCGCTTTATTGGCTGAGGGAGCCGGTGTACAGCTTCCGGGTCATGTGGCCAGCATGACTAAGCCACTTCTGGCGAACCAGAGCAGCGCATGGAAACACTGTTGACTTTCCCGCCAGAGCGGTACCTATTTATCTACTTGCACTTAGACGTGCTTTCGAACTGCTAGGTTGGCAGGATCAGGGACCGAGCAACGAGAGCTCACCCCGTCGCAGGGATTCGAACCGCCAACCTTCAGATCGGCAAGTCCCAGGCTCTGTGGTTTAACCCACAGCGCAGTACCCGTGAATTAAAAAACCAAAAACTCTTCCACTGAAATGTTCCCTTAATCAAAAGCAGTCTCTCGAGAAAGCAAATGCGGAGCAGCTCAATGATCTATAGAGACTTGCTAGCTCAAGCAGAGCAGAGATTCTCAAATGCGTCCCACAACAATTTCATTGCACTACTGTGAAATATAGGAAACAGACTGAGAAGTACACTGAAAGAGGCTTTATATCAGACATCCCCAAACTCAGCCCTCCAGTTGTTTTGGGACTACAACTCCCATCATCTCTAGTTAACAGGACCAGTGGTCATGGATGATGGGAATTGTAGTCCCAAAACAGCTGGAGGGCCGAGTTTGGGGATGCCTGCTCTATGTTATTGATTCTGTTGGTTCACTAGGCATAAAGACCCAAATAAAATAGTAGCGCATAACATTTATAAGGACCAAGTAAAAGTCACATAGTCATGAGCAAGCTTTTGAGCTGATCAGAATTATAAGGCTCCAGAAGAGCTCCAGTATAGCTGAAAGCTTGCTTACTAACTTGACATTTACACTAGCCCTAATAAGCTATTATGCTACGGCTGTGTTTTAATACATTGTCTTAAGTATTATGACATGACACCATAGCACTTCCATTTGACAAACAAAGGCTCAATAACTCACTAACAAGTAGACAAACAAAGGCTCCCATATAGCTCACTAACAAGTAGCTATATCACAAACTTATCTATGTTTATGCTTTTCCCTTACAAGTAACCTATAGCATAATATTCAGTAAAAATACATGTCTCCATATAAAACAATGAACATTTTACATTAGTTCGTTTTGTTTTTTAAACAAACCCAACCAACCCAAATATAACACAGTTTAAACCTCTGCCAGCTATGACCATAAATGTGCAGGAAATTAAGTTGGTGGTTCACAATGTAGTCACCCCCTTTGAATTTCTGCACATACTGGAAAGCAAAGAAGATCCACTCACTGCCAGTGTTTTAAATGAACTGGAATGCTCAGAATTCTTTCCAGCTATACAGCGTGTGCAAAGAACATTAAAAGCAACTCACTCTGATGCAGTAAAAATCTGGCCGGAATTGGTGCAGATGGCATTGATGGGACTGTCGTGTCCCTTGAGTTCGCTTATTGGTGCAAATGTATCTACATTCCAGAGTTTCAGAATACCCCCGCGACAGCCGCTGAGAAGCACGGGGGAACCGGGCACAAGTCCAAGAGCACAGACCCAGTCCTTGTGGGCATTAGGAACTTGCTGAAAAGACACATCACAAAATCAGGTTGAGAAACAACATCATCCATAAGGAGAGGAAAGGCAAGCAGTTCAGCTCTGAAAAATGCATCAGATAATATGAAGCAGAGGACAATTCACATGATTAAATTGCGGTCCACAAACATGGAAGACTTAAGTCCACTTCTTAAAAAAACTATGGCTTGCTTACTCCAGAGCAAGTTGGCAATATAGCATCTATTGAAATTAGACTGTGTGCTTTCAAAGTTCTATCTCCTACTCCCATATTTCTCTACTGCATGATCAAACACATCCTCTGCAATTGTGAAGGTTAGAAACTTCCAGTTAAGATGGATGCTGGGAATTTTACCAGAATTTTGCCAGCAGCCTGAGGACCACAAATAAAGCTCTATCAACATATAGCATGCTGCACATTGTCAATCTTCTGCTTAGGCAAAGAAAAGCCTAGCTGATTTTGATTCAAACTAAAATTTTCAATCCAACCTTTTCAGATTCTAAAATCAGTTTTCTAGACCCAAATACTATTATTTTTGGCTTCCAAAATTTCGAAGCCTCATTTTGGAGTACCTGAAGAATTTCAGTTTGGGGGCAGCTCTGTTTCGCAAGGTTCCTATGATATTTTAACAGTACCTGGATGAGGTCTTTTTGAGCCAAGTCCCACTTTTTAATTCCATTATCTCTGGACCCGCTAAAAAGGTTGTCTCCCATGATAGTAAGTGCTTCTATGCCATCATAATGGGGAGGCTCAAAGTTGTGTGTAGGGCTTACAGTTCCCAAAGCTCCTTCAGTTACATCAAACATCTGGAAGAGGAGCAAAACAATTTCAAATCTGCAACATAAATCTTGGTCAGGAATTGACAAAACATAAATACCCACTCAACACAGTACTATTATACAAACGTCTACAAAGGATTTGTAATAGTGCAGTAGCCCCAACCACGGACTGATTTTAATAATTAACTAATTCAATAAAAATGATGCCTTATCTGAAATATATAACCCAGCACAGATTTACTTAATTTCCCCCTTTAGCTCAAATTACAGGTGTGTGCTTTTTGGTCAAATGCTGCCAATACTATCTCTTCCCATCTCACTATCACAGTATCGCAAAGAATGGACACCAGATTATTACACAGAAAACAATTTGAGGCCTTTTTGCTACACGGTCTGTCAACTTCTTATTTTATAACCACAACAGCCTCAACAGCAAACTATCACCAGATGATCAATAGAAATAACTGTTTGTAAAACCTATAGAGGTATCTATAGGAAGATTAGAAGATTTGGCAACCTTTTGTCTATGTGGTAATTATGAGCCATAAAAATTATAAAGTATTCATGTCAAAACTAAGGAGAGGCCAGAAATAACATTTGGAATAATTCTTCAAGAAAGAAGGGAATAAAAGCAATTCCTGAGATTAGGTTGCAAACCTAAGCACAAATACCTGGGAGAAAAGAAGTAACTTTCACTTCTTAGTAAGTCCACATGCATACTAATATTTAGGAAATAACTTAAAACTCCCTGGAGGAAATAGTATGTTTTCTTGAATAATGAGTGAAAGTTAATCCAATTATTTTATTCTCCGACATCGAAACAAAAACCCTAGAAGTTCCAAAAGACTTTTTGACTTTGAATTTATATTTTTCCAGGCACAGGTGAGAATGTCAGTTTGACTAGCCTTTTCTGGAAGTGAAAAAAGAAAAGACAGACCAGCAGTCCAACCCAAACATGCCTTTATGTTCCATTGCACTTAATGTGGTTTACCCCCAGTTGTGGGTATAGGATTGCAGCCTCAGGCATTGTTCTGAGTCGAAATGGAGTGCAGTGCATCTCCACATCTCGCAGGGAAAGAACCAAAGAAAATGGAAACCTATTTTTGAAGCTTGTTGTATTACTCCTGTGGTAAAGATGCAGGAGGCAATACCTTGATATAGTGATCCTTTGAGCCAGTAATTATGAGATCTTGCCCATTGGAAATGCGGTCTACAGTAAGGCACATAACAGGGCCCAGGTGACCAGTTAGTTTTCCTGTAGACTGGAACCTAAAAAAATGAACAGAAACAAGCAAAGTGACTTAGCTTTAATTATTTCAAAGGAAAAGAAAGCATCTCTCCTGCCCATTTTCCAGAAATTCACTGGAAATCAGGCTTTGATCCCTGCAGATTATATGGGTATAAGTGGGAGTGAAACACCACATTAGTAACAGCAGGAATATCCAGTTTTGGACAGAGTAGTTTAAACGCTGTATTTTGATCTTTTCCTACTGACATTCTTGATGGCAGGTGAATGCTACCGAATCAGAAATAGCTGTAAATATAAGGTTGGGAATTCCACTTATGACATCTTTTTTTCCAGGTTTGAGCCATTCTTTGTGTTATTTGCACCTCTTAATTTTTCTTCTCTGTTTGTTTCATTGGCTAAGTTCATATTAGACGCCATCAGTCACGTACAACCCCACTTCTGAGGGTGTGCAGCAATTCACACCAAAAATCATGGTTAAAAATAGGAGGCTAGCAGACTTCAACTCCACAGAAAGGCTTAGACATCACTGTAGATGAGGCATCCCCAACCTGCGGCCCTCCAGATGTTCTGGCCTACAACTCTCATAACAGGACCAGTGGTCAGGGATGATGGGAATTGTAGTCCAAAACATCTGGAGGGCTGAAGGTTGGGGAAGAGCCCTTTCTGCTTATACACGAAGCCCTGGTCTATGTGGGATGAATCCATGCTGTGGCTCTTCATTGTGTGGGCGCCTCTCTTCCTGGAAACTCAAGAGGACCTGCGCTGCCCAGGCAACTTTAGCATTCCCTGGTGCATCACCATTCATCTATAATAATAATAATAATAATAATAATAATAATAATTTATTATTTATACCCCGCCCATCTGGCTGGGTTTCCCCAGCCACTCTGGACAGCTTCCAACAAAACACTAAAATACAATAACCATTTAACCATTAAAAGCTTCCCTAAATAGGGCTGCCTTCAGATGTCTTCTAAAAGTTTAGTAGTTCTTTTTCTCTTTGACATCTGGTGGGAAGGCGTTCCACAGGGCGGGTGCCACTACCGAGAAGGCCCTCTGCCTGGTTCCCTGTAACTTGGCTTCTCGTAGTGAGGGAACCGCCAGAAAGCCCTCAGCGCTGGACCTCTGTGTCCGGGCAGAATGATCTACAGCAGGCATCCCCAACCTTCGGCCCTCCAGATGTTTTGGACTACAATTCTCATCATCCCTGGCCACTACAAGACCAGGGCTTCTTGTATAAGCAGAAAGGTATGGGGGAAAGCCATAATGCATCAATTCCCACAACGCAAACAGATCGTGAGAAGGCCTATAGACCCAAAAGCCTATAGGATGTTCCCTACTATGGACTATTGCCATGGATGTGTCAGTTGGCAAACAGGGGGTGAGGAGAGCACTGGCTGCAGCCACACTGGGCTTCACAGGATCTTTGCATGCTCAGTAAGTGTTTTGGAAAGCTTTACCTCTTCAGGTCCCACATTCTCACTGCATTTCCTGCAGCTGCGTACAGAAACGTGCCTGTTGGGTTGAGAGCGATCTGGTTGATCTGGTTCTCTCCAGCTGGAATCGTCACTGTTCTGTTGGTACTGCCAGAACATGCATCTACTGGCATCGCCTGGCCTGAAGACCTGAGTTTTGCACGCGGAAAAACAAGAGGAAAATAAACTTACAATTATCTAAGAGGGAAAAACACACACCAAGTAGTTCCAGCAATCCCACAAGCACATTGTATTCTGCATGTGGACAAAGGATGAGGGGGATCATCCGTGCAAAGCTTCCAAGCCTCTTATAAGCAACAATTCCAATGTATTTATTTATATCTTGTTTGTATGTTTATTGCCCAGTCTAGCCGAAATATTCTAAGCAGGCAACTGGGGGAAATGACAGACATGGTTATGGTGAGCCTTTCAGGTTCAAGAGTACAAGGGAGATTCAAATGCCACAATATGACCAATGTTTGCTGACTTTTCTAGTTACTTCTAGTTCTAGTTACAGCGAATAAAATATTCCCCAAACCAGGTGCTTTTTACTTAAAAAAAACATTTAGGGGTACTCTCATTTTGACTCAGGAAAATCACCATTTTATAGTTCAAATTGGGAAAAATCAATACAGTAAATGGACAAAAGTACAAAGATTCGCAAAATGTTTAGGGGGGATGTGTACCCCTGGACCCCCCCCCCCGAAAAAAGCACTGCCCAAAACCATGTGTAAGTAATCAATCCATTTTAGAGGTCTCCAAAAAAATCAAGAGTTCTAAAAAATGGCAATCCATCTGCACATGGATTGAGCCATCACACGACCAGGATGCATGTATGAATTGCATGTACGAATTGAAGACGTCAGTATGCAGGGGGAAACTTGAAATGTAAACTGATGCCTCAAAAGTCAGTGGTAGACTATATGCTTTCCGGTGCCAGATTACTCTCTGGCTAAAAAGGTATCAGAAAACAGGGGCAGGAAAGATATTGCCGTGTGGTTTTGGAGAAGCTTTCAAAGTAAAGTGAAATCCATAGTCTGACTTTCTATAAAGCCACTTCCGACCTTGGGAGGAGGTGGTGTTGCGGGCTTCACGCCAGCCAATCAGCTGGCTCGGGGTGTGTGGCTTGCCTCATTTAAGGCTGGCACGGCCCTGGGATCTCCCTCTTTGGACCACTCAGCTGCTGTGGTTTTCCCCACCCGCTTACTCTTTTAAGGTTCCCCTTCTGACCTTGCTATGGACCTTGATTGGTTGCCGTTAAGGGGCCTGGTAAATTGGCAAATTGGCACCGGCCATTTGGTTTTTCGCCTACCTCATTGGTATTGGTATTGTTAAGTAGATGTGTTGGGGGGGGAGCGCCATCACCTCCCCCAAATATTGAAGGGTAGTCCAGTAAAGGATTCTGGGGGGCATGGCCTCGTCCGAAGCCTATGGAGGCCAGGGCCTAAAGCGCATCCCCGAGCAGTGACCCCGGGGGAGTTCCTAGTTGATGTGCATCAGCAGGGCTCCCCCTGCTGGTGTTAACCCTTCCCGGTCTTCAAGCAAACTGGCTGAAGCCAGATAGTCGGATATAGTGGTGCCCCGCAAGACGAATGCCTCGCAAGACGAAAAGCTCGCTAGACGAAAGAGTTTTCTGTTTTTTGAGGTGCTTCGCAAGACGAATTTCCCTATGGGCTTGCTTCGCAAGATGAAACGTCTTGCGAGTTCTTGCGAGTTTGTTTCCTTTTTCTTAAAGCCGCTAAGCCGTTAATAGCCGCTAAGCCGTTAATAGCCGCTAAGCCGCTAATAGCCGCGCTTCGCAAGACAAAAAAACCGCAAGACGAAGAGACTCGCGGAATGGATTAATTTCGTCTTGCGAGGCACCACTGTAGAACCAATGCCTAAGCCAATACCGCTCTTTACCTGGAACCAATAAAGTTGTGGCCAATTGTAGCCCATTAACCTAAAATAATGTGTCTTGTGTCTTTATTTCTACTGGTGGGAGGTGGGACCTCGCCACGCAACAACTCCTGAGACAGGAGAGACTGGGTGAGGTGAACTCAAAACTTGCTGAGAAACAAGACTCTTCCTGCTACCTCACATCCCTTTCTTTCAACCTTTTCTACTTGCCACTCTTCACCTAAGCTCATCATTGTTGTCCATAAAGCCTCTACTATATGCTACCCAGGTGCTAAGTGCCCACCTGGAAGCAGACATTAAAACAACAAAACACAGCATCTAATTTTCTTTCTTGCATCACCCCACTATAAGACACGGCCATCTGTCTTAGGCTGCACATCTTAAAATTAGTAAATTCATGCAGTTTTTCAACTCAATGGGTTTTACAACAAAGTAGCTGGGTTTTAGCCTAAGAGCTTTAAGATTAACTACATTTAACGTTAAGTACAATTTTCTCACCGCTTACTGCAAAATGGAATGCCAAATGTTAATATTAAAATTCTGCTTTTCGGAGTTGCAACTTACGTTAGCGTTCGGATACACTTAGCAGAATCGCGGATGTCCCACACCTTAATATAAGACGTGGAGACTGTGAAGACCAAGCTAGTATAATTACAGTATTTTACAGATACTACATTGTTCGGATGACCACCCAGAGACATTATTTCCTGTCCAGTCACCAAATTCCATACTTTACACGTGCGATCTAAACAAAAAGAAAGCAGAACAAGAACAGCAAATTTAAAAGTGGATAACATTGTAATATACTGTGCAACACAGATATACTGTTTTGGTGTGTGAAACAACTTAGATACCACCCAATCACCACTAAATTGCAGGAGTAAGAAGCCCCATAAGAGCACCATACACATTTCTTATGCATTTTATATTGTATTTTATATTACAGTAGGCTTCACTGGTCTTTTAACATACTCTTGTTTGGTTCCCAATTTTGGTGTGGAGATTTCATTACATCTTGAAGAGGAGATGAATAATGATAATGGGGAAATCCCTTTTATTTAGAATAGCCCTTTTGCTTGGTTTTGCAGGGTTTTGGTAAGGAAGGAAGGAAAGGGCATGAAATGACTGTGGTCCGTGGCTAAATGGCCTGTTTGCTAATTTGGGAACTTCCTATGTGAAATGTTTAGCTTGCTATATGAGGTGTAACAGGAGAAAGGATGAACTAAGAGGGTTAGAGACAACACTTAGGTAAAACCTGCTTAAGCAGGGTATGGCAAAATAAGGAATAGCAATGGTCAGTTGTCTTCAAGATGATTATGCTGAGGATCGCCTCTTCACAATGTGCACGCCCTAGGAGTTGGGGCGATGTATGTAATGTGCCATAAAAGCTTATGTACGCTATTAGCAATGCCACAGATGGCTGCTCTGAATCTTTCTGTGTTTTGCGAAACCATAACTGGACCTGTTTTGACATCCTAGGTGTGGTGTGGTGTTACTTGCACCAGTGCTTCTACCTTTCATGCACACAAAATAAAGTCTTTCTTGATTCAGCCCCCTCTCTCTCTGTGGTGACTGACTTTCCAGCCACAGACCCTTGAAAGGGAAAACCTTCAATCTCTACCAGCGAAGCTCCCACAGAACCAGTGTTCTATATACTTTGCAGCCTGTACACAAAACTACTTAGCTGCCTCACTCTGAAACAACAGTGGCTTGTGAACAGCCTTGAAGAGAGCTCCACAAAGAGCACAATGCGTTAGTTATCAGGACACCTATGGCGGTACCCAAATTCCTCTTTCCCAGGAAGTTTCTGTGGTTGGTGAATCACCACTCCAGACTGTGGCTTCAATATCAAGCCAGCCTCTTGCACTCCCTGCCTTCTTTAACTTTCTGGCCTGATGAAGAATTCTGCAAAACTCCAAAGCTAGCAATTATTTGTGATAAAGACACTGCCTCACGGTGGATCTCTCCATCAATTGCTTGTCTCCCTTCTTAGTAATCAGCTTTCTCTCTTTGGGTAGCCCCATCGGTATATGAAGAGGATTCAGAAAGCTGCAAGACCAACAAAAGACATGTCAAACCTTTTGATCCTGTAAAGAGGAGGTCGTCAGTAGAATCGACACAAAGCACAGCCTTCGTATGACCTTCAGCAATGTGGATACAATGAATTGGAGAAGATCTGACGCATTTGGACGAAGAGAATGGGTTGATTATGCCTCTAGAAAAGGAAACAAATGAACAGTGGATTAGAATTTGTGACAGGTCATTTCTCCATCGTACATCATACATTTTCCCCACCCTGCTAGGCTCCTGAGAGATCTTACAGGGATCTGTAGAATAAGGCAGGCAAATGTGTTGACCTATTTATATACAGCAGACTGCAAGTTCAGGTATTCTGCTCCTACCACAAAGGACATTTCCACCACTAGCACTGATGGTGGGGTCAACCCTGATCATTTTGTTGAGCCAAGAGCACCCACTGGCATTGCTCTGCAAAAGCTGAGGAACAGCACATCTCAGGGTTCTGGGTTTGAGCCCCATTTTAGGTGAAAGATTCCTGCATTGCAGGGGTTGGACTAGATGACCCTTACAGTCTCTTCCAACACCAGAATTCTGAGACTTTCCAGAATTCCATCAGATTAGGGCATTGGGTGCCTTCTGCAATCCAGACCACCCACTCATACAGATCCAAATTCTGTGCCAGAGAAACCAGCTCATCTAGAACATGGTCAGCTGAATAAGAATATCTGGTAGAAAAAACTTCATTAAAATTGTGATGTGTTTTTTCCCCAAACGAAAGGTCCTAATTTTATAATGTCATACATGCTGTGTTTGACGTTTTTAAAGCCACACCTTTAGCTCAATTGTTGATGGGATTCAAATTTGAGCCGATACCAATTTCCGCCCACTGGAAGCCGTGCGGTACAATTTTTCACTGTGCCAGGATGTGTTTCAAAGCTGGTCTCCCCTTCATATTTTCAGAGGCTTGTTTCAGGACATTTAACTATTGGCTCTGGTTGCATTTAGCCCTTATTGGTTTGATTCCTTTAGTACTGCTTGATTTGCAAGAAAGCAGCTAGATTAAAGTCATGTGAATTCTGCTACACTCATATGTATAGAAGGGAAATGTTTGTTTTTCCATGCATCTGGTCTCTTACCATTTTTTGCATTAAATTTAAAAATTAATGCTTTCAGGGCCAACTCAACCATATGGGCAGTTCAGGAGGCAGCTGCCTTGGCAAGCAGAAGCAGAGCTCAGGGAATGTTCATCATGTTGAAAGCAGCTTGCATGTTGCTTTTAGCATGGAATGTTTCCATTGCAAGCCAGAGTGGACCCCCACAACCCTCAGATGTGAGAGCTTCTATGTGTACTCTCTGTTTACCTGGCTATGTACTCAACCTGCTCGGCAGCCCTGTGCTTGCTTTAAACATTGAGCAGACCTTGTTTAAGAACACAGTGAGAGCCCTGACGAATCAGATGACAATCTCAATTTTCTGGAACAAGGACTGGCCGTCTTAGAATTTGCTGATGCCATGGATTTCCAGCAGGGAACCATTTCACACATTAACACACCGAACTGGGTTCAGAGCCTTGGGGAACCACAGGGAATGCCCCAACTATGATTTAGAATGGAGCATGAGAAGAGAGGGGCCCTGAATTTTTGTGTCACACAGGTCGCTGCTGAAATTCAAGACCCCAAGGTCCGAAAACCCCTTGGTTTTCGAGCATCTCGGTAGCCGAACGTTTCAGAACCCGAACACCGAAAACCCGGAAGTAATTGCTTCCGTTTTCGAACGCGCCTCGGAAGTTGAATGGCTTCTGCTGTGAGTTATTCAATTTTTCCAGCCCTTTGCGCCTCGGTAGTCCAACATTTTGGAAGTCAAATGGTCTTCTGGAACGGATTACATTCGACAACCAAGGTACCACTGTATAATATTGTTGGATTCTTGCGTTCTGTTTTGGTTCATCTCTTTGGGTCCCTGACAAGGCAGAAAGGTAGCAGGGCAACTGCACAAATAAATGTGTGAAGGAATTGTCCATGTGGGATGGAAGGATTGAAGGCCAGTATTCTCCCCAAACGCAGGTGGCGCTATGGGTAAAACCTCAGCGCCTAGGGCTTGCCGATCACATGGTCGGCGGTTCAAATCCCCGCGGCGGGGTGAGCTCCCGTCTTTCGGTCCCAGCTTCTGCCCACCTAGCAGTTCGAAAGCACCCCTAAGTGCAAGTAGATAAATAGGTACCGCTTTATAGCGGGAAGGTAAACGGCGTTTCGGTGTGCTGCGCTGGTGCCGGCTCACCAGAGCAGCTTCATCACGCTGGCCACGTGACCCGGAAGTGTCTCCGGACAGCGCTGGCCCCCGGCCTCTTAAGTGAGATGGGCGCACAACCCTAGAGTCGGACACGAATGGCCCGTACGGGCAGGGGTACCTTTACCTTTACCTTTTTATTCTCCCCAAAAGGATGCCTTTGCTTATTTTCTCATGGAGGCCATTTCAGGTGAGGAAAATTTCCCATGTTTCCAACTCACTTTTCTATGAAGGGTTTAGCCTTTACAGAAATTGGAAGTATGAATGGGTGCTTAGACTGACTGCATACATAAAAAACTGACCCAGGGATGGAGAACCCCATACCATCTGAATGTTGTGGGTATTCAACTCCGATCAGTCCCAGCCAACATAGCTAATGATCAGGGATGAGGCAAGTTGATGACCAGCAACATCTAGAGAGCAACAGGTTCCTCCTCATCCCTGAACTAAATTGACTTTCAGTCTGCATGCAGTTTTGGGTTCCATTAACAAAAGTGTTGCATCCATGGCAGAATTAACAGTAGTTAAGTCAAAGCTAAAATGTATTTTATCCTGTCAAACGGGGATACCAATACCCCTTGAAGCCTCCTTAGTGGGCAGAAAGGTGAGCTGTGTGTGTGTGTGTGTGTGTGTGTGTGTGTGTTAAATTTAATTTAAGTGAAAGTATTAAATTGGATGCCAAGTCAGAAGGAAGTGAGTAGCATATACATTTTGAGAAATGCAGTCGAAGTTATCCTGGCAAGAAATGTATAGTCAAGGTAGATGCACGCAGCACGTGGAGCATTTAGTCTTCTAACCTGATGTGGCACTTAAGGAAGAATTGGACCCAATTCCAGATTTTCCTTACAAATGCAATTGCTTTTGAACAGGGGAGAAACTAAATTCCCTGCTGCTTTGAAGCTCCAGCATTTCGGACACAATAAAGGATTGCAGAGATGCCTATTGAAAGCCCAGTGACGTTGCTTGCTTTTAAAAAAAACCACACACACACACCCTAAAGTGGACTGTAGACATGCATAGTGCAAACCAGGTATCAGCAAGAAAGAGAAGAGTAGAAGACTTCAGCAGAATTCTCAGGTGACACAGCAGAGAAGAGGTTACATATATCCTTTGAAAGGGCAGTGCATAGGTTGTGTGGCTGATACGCAATAAACTAACATAGAAACAACAACTACAAGGAAACCCTTACAAATGACCGTACTGGAGAGAGAAAGGGGGATGACTGTCCAAAGTACTGTGACAAACATCAAGGAGAAAAAGTGGGATGTGCTGAGAGATGCGCACATTGACCTACTTCCTCGGTTTAAATGATGGAGGAGCTGTTGCAGGCAGAGGAGCTCTGTGTGCAATATAAAAGCTCACACACAGCTGAAAAATATGAGAATACAGTTGATCCTACCCATGGCCCCATCGCACTGTACTTTTACAGCTTTAAACAGCCACGGCTTCCCTCAAAGAATCTGGGAACTGTAGTTTGTTAAGGGTGGTGAGTGTACTTAAGTCAGCCCTATTTCCTTCACAAAGCTACAGTTCCCATGGAAGAGGGATTATTGATTGTTAAACCACTCTGGGAGATGTAGATCTATGAGGGGAATAGAGTTTTCCTAAGTACACTCAGCACCTGGAACAAACTATAAATCCCAGGATTTGGTACGGGGTGGGGGTGGGGAGAAGCGATGGATGTTTAAAGTAGTATGGCACTGCTGTAAATGTATAGTGCATACAGGGCCAATTTGTCTGAACATGTAATCTGAATTCAGGATAATAAGAAATGGAACTCCTATCCCTTTCTGTATTCGGCTCATTTAGAAGTTGCTTATATATCTCCTAGCCTCTTTATTTATAGAAAGGAAACACAGTTATCTCTGCTCAGTACCTGAGCTGTAGGAAATAAAAATGCTAGTAATTACTGCTATTTGCTCTTTTTTGGTGAAACAGATTTTCCCCTTCAGATATGTTATTCTGCCCATCTTTAGAATACAATATTATTGTGAACAACGGCACAGGATATACGAAAAAAACACACCTGACTTTTACCACACAGTTCAATATAGCTTTTCGCTATCAACAAAGCAGATTGAGGACAACAAAAAAGGTGTATATTGACCTATCGTGTTTTCCAGGGATTTAAAAGAAAGAAAAAAATGTGTTTAAACAAAAAGAAGTGAACCACACACACACAAATTTTTGCCCACTGAATGCTATAAATAGTACACATGCTGGACAAAGAAAAAACCCACACCAAATGTTTCACGTTTCCATCACAATAAAAATAAAATGATGCAAGGAACATATGAATGTTTTGGAGGGGACACGGAATAAAGAAAGCCATGCAGAAAAGAGTTAGTTAACTTAAGAACTGCAGTAAGGTATTAAACGTATCAATAAGATTCCAGAAGATGGAAAGGAGGAAGAAGTACCTGTGCACCTCCGATAGAGAGGAATCACTTTCATCAGACCTACAATGAACGGTGGTAGGATTACGGAAAAAGAATACAGGCATCAGCAGAGTAAAGATTCCATTGCAAAAAGAATGAACAATCGCATCGCTATGTAAGGAGGCTGCACCACTTTGCAGACTTTACTGAGTTTAGTAACTCTGGGGGAGTGAGCCGCAAAATCTGTATCTTTCCCCAGTTACTGTTCATATCACAGAGACTCTTGTGCAAGCCATTTCCAGCTTCCTCAAGAATTCTTACAGAACTCGGTTGGGGGAGATCTTGATAAAATGGCTGCAACGTGCCTGCTTGCGTTTATGTTAATTCGTGCATGCATTATGAGCGGGGCTGGTATCTGCTTTGGAACCATGTTCAAAATTACAGTTATCTAGTTTAAAATAAAAAAAAAGATGTGTGTTTTCCCCCAAAAAACTAAATTGAGATTTGGTCGTGTTATTTTTGCTTTTCACTTTGCAATGATTTAAAAATCATCCGGATTTAAAACATAGCAGTATTCCTTTAACAATTAAGGATATTGAAGCCTTCGTTTTGATAAGAAATCTAACGTGCCAAAATTTTGATTCTGGGTTACAATTGCTAAAGCTCAAAGCATACAAAACAGCCGTAAATGTCAATAGGTTGTATCCAATTTAGCCATACTCATTGAAATGAATCCGCAAAGTTAGCACAGGTCCATTGTTCTCAGTGGATGTACTCTGAGCAGAACTTAGTTGGATACAATCCAGTATTTCAATTAGTGTACTGACAGCTTTAGAATGGTTACTACTTTTAGCTGGTATATAAAAGAGCTACAAGCATGGGCTACAGGGACATTTGCAAGCAACTGTTAGAGATATGTATAGTAGCTGCAGACTTGCCGGGGGAAACATTAGATCGCAACAGCAGAAAGATCAGCAACAGGAGTAAAAAAAGAAAAAAGCCACCAGCCTACAATCAAAAGCTGAGAGTTAAACAAAACTGGGCAGCGTTTGAAGTTCAGCAATCTTGCAAGAGAGATTCTGGATCAACTCAAACATGTCGTCACATGAGAAAAATAACACTTGGAAGCTAGCGGCATTGAGATGTCCCTCTCTGGGTCGTATCCTATGCCAACAGCTCTACCCTAAGACATAGTTACAGGTAGGTGGCCGTGTTGGTCTGCCGTAGTTGAAACAAAATTAAAAAATTAAAAAATTCCTTCCAGTAGCACCTTGGAGACCAAGAAAGTTTGTCATTGGTATGAGCTTTCGTGTGCATGCACACTTCTTCAGATAACTAAGTTTGTTATTGGTATGAGCTTTTGTGTGCATGCACACTTCTTCATGCGCATGCAGACACAGAAGCTCATACCAATGACAAACTTAGTTGGTCTCTAAGGTGCTACTAGGGACACGGGGGCGCTGTGGGTTAAACCACAGAGCCTAGGACTTGCTGATCAGAAGGGTCAGCGGTTCAAATCCCCATGACGGGGTGAGCTCCCATTGTTCGATCCCTGCTCCTGCCAACCTAGCAGTTCGAAAGCACATCAAAGTGCAAGTAGATAAATAGGTACCGCTCCCGCGGGAAGGTAAACGGCATTTCCGTGTGCTGCTCTGGTTCGCCAGAAACAGCGTAGTCATGCTGGCCACATGACCCGGAAGCTGTACGCCGGCTCCCTCGGCCAATAAAGCAAGATGACCGCCGCAACCCCAGAGTCGGTCACGACTGGACCTAATGGTCAGGGGTCCCTTTACCTTTACCTTTAAGGTGCTACTGGAAGGAATTTTTTATTTTTTTACCCTAAGACATGTTGTTTATGGGTGCTGAATAAGAGCACCTGGAAAATTCATTTGTGTAGGAACACCCTAACTGTAAGAATATTGACACCCGCCGAGTCGCTGTGCTGTTGAGCCTAGCAAAGAAGTACTCTTGAGACCTAAAAGGACACGGCATGGAAAAACAGACGGTGCAAGCTGAAAAGGCCACTTTGCCCCACAACTGCCTTGAGATGGGCTGGGGTAAAAGAAAGCCAGAGAGGATCAGGCAGTGGTGGATGGGTGGTTGGGCGGTGAGCATGTAATGGCAGCGCCCTTCTCAGCTGGTCTGCTGCCTTGAAGCAACCTTCTCCCTGCGCCTCTTGAGCAGGCCCCAGCCCTGGTTTAGAGGGAATATAACTCATATATAAGGGACGCGGGTGGCACTATGGGTTAAACCACAGAGCCTAGGACTTGCTGACCACGTCAGTGGTTTGAATCCCTGCGACGGGGTGAGCTCCCGTTGCTCGGTCCCTGCTCCTGCCAACCTAGCAGTTCGAAAGCACGTCATGTGCAAGTAGATAAATAGGTACCACTCTGGCGGGAAGGTAAACAGCACTTCTGTCCGCTGCTCTGGTTTGCCAGAAGCGGCTTAGTCATGCTGGCCACATGACCCAAAAGCTGTACACCGGCTCCCTCGGCCAATAAAGTGAGATGAGCACCAGAGTCGGCCACGATTGGACCTAATGGTCAGAGGTCCCTTTACCTTTAACTCATATAGAAGCACAAGAAATAAGATTCATCAGGAAACAAGAGATGGAACCGTGGCAATTCCATGCCATTTCTAAAAAGCTACTTTGAGGGGTTGGGAGTGGGGACAAACAAGAGGAGAAATAGCAATTATACTTTCAGTCCCTGGCCAGAGAGAGCCAGAACATTAACATTTTGTTTTCGGCTTATTATGTGCGCCTTGGGCGATGTGGGAATCTGGTCTTTCCCTTTGCGACTTACTTATCCAGCTGAACTGATGTGTTTCCCTGAGAAACAGTGAGACGACTAAAAACATTCAGTTCATTACGGGGCCGGCTTGGTGGGGAGGAAGGAGGTGACAGACTAGCCTCTGAGGTTCCAGAATCTGAGCTACAAGAAAAAAATCAAACATTAAAAGCTTCTTCAAATTAAAAGAAAAAAAGAAAAGAAAATGAAATTGTTAGAGAGGTTAAAAAAACTAATGAAACATGCCTCAGAACAACTCATTGGTGCCCTGCTTGCTTAATTAAGAAATGCAGTTTGCATGCTCCCCTGGCAGAACAGAAATATAATCCTTACACAGTTATTTTTAAAAATCTGCTGGCCACAAGATGGCAGTGTACTCAAACATTTATTGATTTTTAAAAGTTAAGCAATACCTAGAAAAGGGCAGAGTAAAATGAAAGAATTCAAGGATGAAAAAATATAGGGCTGTGTATCTTTCAAAGACATTGAAGCCTTAAAAAAAAACCAAATAATGACAGATGTTGCATTGATATTCAATGCAATGAAAAGAAACTTCTTGAAGGAAAACAAGTATTTATCTATTGCATTTATATCCCATTTTTCTTCCAAGGAGCTCCAGGTGGCGTACATTTTATCTTGACAACAATGCTTTCAATATTTGTAACTCTCAAGCAACATTATGTTTATTAATATACAATATCTATACATATATATCTTACTGTTTTTGCTCTTTTGACTTTGGTTTATCTGGAGATTTCTCATAGGTTTTTCTCTTTGATAAAGGTGAGGGTTCTGGTAGTTTCTTTTCTGTCAGAGATGACTGCCTAGACCTGAGAGAACAGAAAACATCGCCTATTTCTTATTCTCTTCACTGTATTTTATTTTCTTTCTTTTTACACTCTGAGTTCCAATTCTATACAACAGAAGCAGACAAAAACAAATAAACGAATAAACATGTTTTGAGGTAAATTCACAAGTATGCATTTAAAAAACCAGCAGAATGGCATTAGGTTCTTTCGAGTTCCCTTTGTCCAGCTGCTCTGACTGTTCTTCATGTACGACATCTAAAGTCCATGCCATCGTTGTCCAAGTTTCCAAATGACTACTTCATTTCACCCCAGTCACAAGATTTCAATGGAAGCTTTGTATATATTCAGTTGCAAGTCAGAGCTGGTTCATATATGCATTGCTTATCACTTGATTCCTGAATGGGTAAGTAAAGTCTATAATGGGTAAGTAAAGTCTATGGGACGCGGGTGGCGCTGTGGGTTAAACCACAGAGCCTAGGACTTGCCGATCAGAAGGTTGGCGGTTTGAATCCCCGTAATGGGGTGAGCTCCCGTTGCTCGGTCCCTGCTCCTGCCAACCTAGCAGTTCGAAAGCACGTCAAGTGCAAGTAGATAAATAGGTACCACTCTGGCTGGAAGGTAAACGGCGTTTCCGTGCACTGCTCTGGTTCGCCAGAAGCGGCTTAGTCATGCTGGCCACATGACCCGAAAGCTGTACGCCGGCTCTCTTGGCCAATAAAGCGAGATGAGCGCCGCAACCCCAGAGTCGGTCACGACTGGACCTAATGGTCAGGGGTCCTTTTCCTTTACCTAAAGTCTATAAACCTCCAGATGTTGCCAAGAGAGAATTCCCATTATCCCTCACCATTGACCATGCAGGTTGGGGCCAATGGGAGTTGGGAGTCCAAACAACACCTGGAGTTTCTCCATCCCTGATTAAAATAATTTCTATATGACCTCTTTACTTAAGTATCAAAGCGATGTGCACATTAAAAGACATGGCAGTATACAAAATAAAAAATAATTAAATATTAAATACAAAACTATATATAGAATAAAATGCAGGCATAGGCGGGATCTCTCCCTAGATGCCAAGATGAAATTCTCTACACTAGGCAACCTTCCCAATATTTAGGTTTCATGTTTACATATAGGAAGCTTTTTTCTACTTTTGATGGAGGAACAGCCAATCACTGCAGTCTGAGCAGTACATCCCAGACACAAGTATTTTTTCACCTCAGAGGGAGGGAGATCTAAGAGGCCACCTTTCATCAACTTGTAAGTAGTCACACCTTTAATTTTTGAGCTGATATGTGAAGTAACTGTAGAACAAGGCATCTGCAAGGAGGAGACAGGAAACTGTGGTTTGAAGTCGGCTTGTTTCAAATAAAAAATATGGCTAAAATTATCCAGTTTGTTGGGTGTGCAGAAATTCAGGAGCTTTTACTTCTGGTTTTGATGAACCATAGTTTGTTGTTATTTTCTGCATTGTGGCCATAATGCCAAAATGAAGTCATGTGGCATCTTAAAGACCAACAAATTTATTGTGGCATAGGTTCCTGTGGAGTGCGCCTGATTAAATGTTTTAAATCTTTAAGGTATCACAAGACCCTTTCTTGTTTTTGATGTAACATACTAAGATGGCCAAGGGACGCGGGTGGCACCACAGAGCCTAGGACTTGCCAATCAGAAGGTTGGCGGTTCGAATCCCCGCGACGGGGTGAGCTCCCATTGCTCGGTCCCTGCTCCTGCCAACCTAGCAGTTCAAAAGCACGTCAAAGTGCAAGTAGATAAATAGGTACCACTCCGGCAGGAAGGTAAATGGCGTTTCCGTGCGCTGCTCTGGTTCGCCAGAAGCGGCTTAGTCATGCTGGCCACATGACCCGGAAGCTGTACACTGGCTCCCTCGGCCAATAAAGGAAGATGAGCGCCGCAACCCCAGAGTCGGCCACGACTGGACCTAATGGTCAGGGGTCCCTTAACCTTTTTACTAAGATGGCCAGCCTCTGGAAATAATGCTATGAAGATAAGGGACTGAGGCAAAGACAAGCAGAGTCGCCTACCTGCAAATTGCTTGACGACACAGTGATGTTCACAGGGGTCTTCAGAAGCCCTTTTCAAAGCTTTACAGACAACCTTTCAATCTCTGAAAATGCCATTTTCCCAGAGCCTTGCCCTTACCTGCTCCACACATGACATTATTTATGACCTCTTGCTCAGTGATGTCATACATGACGTCATGTGTGGGGCAGGTGGGCATGGCTTGACCCAAAAAGGCCTCACGGGCCAAATGGGGAGGGGGCAACTGGTGGCCCCGATTAGGCAGGTGAGCCAGAGATTCCCCATCCCTGACTTTAAGCATCTTAAGTGTACACCCTAAAATAAATTAAAAGTGGTTCTCAGTAAATCAACCCCTTCTAAACACTTTTGTATTTGTTGTGGAAACTAAAAGCAAACAAATATTGCACTGGAGCAAAGGGAATCGGTACACTGACTTCCAAAACTAAAGAAATGCGTTAAAAATTGCAGCAGTGGGGAGGGGTCAGATTACCTGGACCCTGGATTCCATGGCAAAATAACTGATTTTTGTAAGTTGTGTGATGCTCGAAGATCATTGCTGGGTTCTCAGTCTTTACTCTCTACTGTTTACCCTGAGTAAAGCATTTTTTTAAAGAGTGGTTGCAAAAGCATTGAAGCCAAGACTATTAATAACAGTGCCTCCCAGGAGCACTGCCACAAGCAACATGCATAAAAAGTGAAATTATTAGAAATCATTCTAAGCTGCTTGCTGCTGCAAAAAGAATCAATAGCTTTATTGTAGCAAGTAGATTAATACAGGAAGTTACACATATTTTTCACTGTTCACAATTTAGTTAATTTTACCAAGATCTTCCTCATATATGTGAGGGATTTGTATCTAAAAAGTTCTGTGTTATTTTACATTATCTAGTTCAAAATTCCTTTGTGGTGCAGGAAAAAGATTCCTACACGCTGTGGGTTAAACCACAGAGCCTATAAGGTCGGCGGTTCGAATCCCCACAACGGGGTGAGCTCCCGTTGTTTGGTCCCAGCTCCTGCCCACCTAGCAGTTCGAAAGCTCGTCAAAGTGCAAGTAGATAAATAGGTACCGCTCCAGCGGGAAGGTAAACGGCATTTCCGTGCACTGCTCTGGTTTGCCAGAAGCGGCTTAGTCATGCTGGCCGCATGACCCGGAAGCTGTACGGCGGCTCCCTCGGCCAGTAAAGCGAGATGAGCGCCGCAACCCCAGAGTCGTCTATGACTGGACCTAATGGTCAGGGGTCCCTTTACCTGCTAACTGCTAACAGTAGTCTCATGAACCTTAATTAACCAATACCATTTACATAAAGAATGCAGCTCATGTTTGGAAAACAAGTGGAACGCTTCATGGGGCGTTTGCCTAAGCTGTCAGTCTCAACTTTCTGTGTTCCATCATATGCAGCAGCAAAAATGGAGTATGATATTGCTAGGGTCCCAAGATATTTTAAAAACACGTAATGGAAGTTCACTTCAGTGGGGAGATGGCCAATGTTTCCATTCTGTTTGTGGACCAACTTCACCTAGCAGAGACCTCTAGTAACTTAAAAGAAAGGGCAGCCTCCGCCACAACCTTCCATAGTGTTTTAAAGCGTCTTCCCAGACTTCAGGAACAGATTTTCAGGGGCCTGCTATCTAAGCAAGTGGGTGCTTCTGCTGGATCATATGAGCAGATCAAATGAGTGGAAGAGCCACATCGGATATGATCTAATGCAGGGATGGCCAACTCCCAAGAGACTGTGATCTACTTTCAGAATTAAAATCTGACAGTGGTCTACCCCTGTCTTTTTAGGGTTCAGCTCAAAGTTGTAGAGCTTTTTTTGGGAGGAGAAAAGCCTCATTTTTTGGGGGGGGGTTAAGGTGGGTGCAGGCTTCTTTGGAGAGGGGAGTTCCGTTTTTTGGGGGGGAGAGGCAAGGGAACTAGGGGTTGAGTCACTCACAAAAACATCGCTATGGATGGCATGGAAGCTCCATCTTCCCTTCCTGAGTTGAAACAACAATGGAGTGCAGGACAAGGGGGTGAGGCAGAAGTCAGTTTTACCTACGCAGAGGAAAGGGAGCCAGAGATCAACCACGATCTACCAAAACATCATGGGGATCTACCAGTAGATCGCAACCGACCTGTTGGACATCCCTGATCTAATGGATCCGCCCCATTCAAAGTATTTCAGATAGACTTTAAAACAATTTGGTTTTACAACAGCACTAAAAAAAAAAAAATCTTGCAGAAACTGGGGCTTATGGTACATGAATTAGTGCTTACCAAAGGGGGGGGGAAAGAAAGATCAACTTAAAAAACTAAGCAGCCATTTTGAGGTAACAGCAGAGCAGAAGTTAGAGGGTGACGACGGCGACAGATTTTCCCTGATGAGATCCTAATTAGCACTCCAGGCAGAGTTCATAAAAAGCCACGGGTCGTTGCAACCTAGCAATCATGCATGTTAGGGTGCCAAACAAAAGTTAGTGCATTGTGTGAAACTTACATGCCGGCAGTCTTAGAAGGCAAGGCTGCCTGCGAGGCCTCCCTGTCCCTAACAGCAGGCTCTCTCAGGTCAATGTTCACTGCACCTTCCTGAGCTTCTGCAACAGGCGGAAGAGGGCCAGCCATAGCCGTGCTATCTGCACTGACTTCAAGGGTTATGTCACTGGCTAGGTCACTGCTATCAGCATAAAGCAATTCCATCTGGGTCGTCGTCCTACGGCGGGCCTGCAATCAATTGGAAGAGGAGAATAAAAACACTTTTGCATGAAGCACCAAACGGTTTGCATATATTGTATGTGTGCTGGATCCCAGGGTCCTTATTCCTAAACCCTGCCTGACTACAATTTAAAAATACAAATCTGCTCCATTTTACTTTGTTATAAAAAAAAAAAAATCTGTCACCATTACTAAGTACCAGATCTACTTCCAGATTCACCTTCAGTACCTGGACAGAATCAGGATTCCCAAAGCAAGCTTAGGAGCCTCCCTAGTTTCACTGTAGCCCAGACCGCTGACAGACACATGCAATGCAAAAAAAAACCAAGCTTAGTGCAAAAGTCATTTCTGCTTTTTTGGTGGGGGAGCTGATTTGCACAACATGTTAAGCCAAACTAAGGCTGTACAATATCAGAGCTCACAGCCTCTTCACCCCTCTCAGGTTCATTTTAATCTCTCGCTAAGCCATAGATGGGCTCCTGGTGTCAAGCAAACCAGAAAGGTTGCAAAAGTTGTTTAAACGGTACTTGTATTTGGGGGGTGGGGGTAGAAGGAGGTAACAGAAGATGCCATAACTGCACAAAAGACTGCTATATTAGTATCCACACATCTTACCTTGTTTTTAGGCTTGACTTCGCCGCAAAGCTTCATGAGGTCTGAAGATAAAGAACTGTAAACGAAATTAGCAATTTAGCGGGGATCTCTGAGAAACAAGGCAACTCCCTCCCTCCTTGGGCAGCTAGCCATGACAGCAGCTACAGAGAGACAGCTTTGAGTGTTATTTCATTGTTAATACCTACACATAAATAAACAGACTTCTCTCACCCAAGCACATAGCTTTCTTCTAACTATGACTTTTGAGCTGACTTTACGTTAGTTCAGATATGCAAGGCTTCACTTGACGCTACAGTCGTTGGGAGATCATAGTGCACGGCACCCTTTTTCAGCCTGAAGGTGGGCTGGGTGGCCCGGAAAATGAGATGGGTGGGGGGAAAGGCTCAATATGTTGTTCCCAGCAGCAGGAGGAAAAGGAAGCTGCTGATATATTTGAGGCAGGTCTCAGGGCAAGGGGAAAGGGCACCAGGGGTGAGAATTGGGTGAGGAAGGAAAGATGGTTTGAGGGAGAAGGAGAACAGAGTATAGCAGGAAGGAAGAGGGGAAAAGAAGAAGCTGAGACAGCAGAGAGGGAGAGAGATAAGGAAGATTTGCCACAGAGGCAAGGGACTGGCAAGCCTGAAGAGGTAGGAGAAAGGTTTGGGGAAGGCGACTATGCTACAAAACAGACATTTAAAGCGAGAGGTGAAGAAAGGGGTACCCAGACTGGCAGAGCAAGGGAGCTACCAGACAGTGTCTGAAGTGAAGGCAACACCTTGGGGCTCTGAGGACCTCAGAGCTCTTCAGAAAGGATAGGAAACTTATCAAAACCATCTTCAAGTGAAGAGTAGGCATGTCTGACATGGCCCCAAATTTTGGGTTTGTTCCCGGAGTATGTAGAGGAAGGACAAACAAAGGGTGTGATTGGCCCAGGAAGTTGGTGAAGCAGCCGCTGTAGGGGAGATAAAGAGATTCGAGGTTCTTTTTCATTCAGTTATCTGGGAGACCCGGCTAAAACCAGGCCTCCCAGTTTATGGATATGTGAAAATAAGCCAAGGGTTGGAGCCAAACAGTGTTGCTGCTAGTTAGAGGGGGAAGTTCACTATTCTTGCGAGTTACCCCCTTGCCAAATAGCTCATTCCTCAGTTTGCTTAGAACTGGCTAAGGAACATTCCGAGAGAGGGTCACACTAATTCATTGCAAATAAAAGCCATTTGGTTACTGTTTATGTTCTTTTCTCACCTTCCTTCTGCCCCAGGGCTATTCAAAGGAGCATCTTCATCAGTACTATCTTCCACATTTTCTGGAAAATTCCCAAAGTCGTTCTTTTGTTAGACAGTTTCACACTCAGCATATATCTACCCCAAAGGCTCCTCTTATTACCCAAAACAAGAATAACATGCACTGCCTTCCATATATTAAACTCTCACACTTAATTCATTTTTTACTTAAGGTAAGAGTTAAACTGAACTAGTTTCCCATAATGTCCCTGATGCTGAATCTAGTTGCTCGACTTCTTTACTTTCCCCAAATACCCAGGAAGAATAGGTTTTCTGTTTGTTTTTTGTTTTGAATTGACAAACCATCACATAGGAAAATTATAAACGTATCACTAGGAAAGCAGGAAGGACAGACATAATATATTTGGCATAGACATATAATATCCCTGTATACCCGTTTTTCATTATGGCTCTGAATAAATATTCACTTGAGGGGCAGTGAGAAAGATAGATGGGGTGTATTCTGCTTTGCATTCCTTTAGCTTCTACTTTGACAAAATACTGCACTTGACAGACAAACAACCATTTGGGCCCTATAAAGCGAGATGATTTCACTACTCTACATTTACACAACAGCTTCCTAAACATCTACAACATCAATAGAGGGAACAGGAAGGAAGAAAAGCTACATAAGATGAAATGGAACCTGCAACAAACAGTGCCAGTGAGAACTATTCGTCTGCTCACACAAGAAACACTAGCATGCTTGTCAATTACAGCCACAATACATCATAAATACGCCGGCATGCAGGGAAATGCCAAATGGACGAGCCCATAATAAAATGTACCACCCGTCACTGAATGTATACCAAGTTTATTTCAGAAACATATAGAGAGAACAGTGGGGAGACAAGACAAAAAGGTAACTGTGATGTCTCTAGGGTCCTTTGGGGTCCTTTACCCTGCTGCCACTCAAGGAAGGCACTTGGTGAACCAGACTGAACAGACGTCTAGCTACTATGGTTTTACCAATGGAACTATATTCACCATAACACACATCCAAACCAAAGTCAGTACCTGGAATCAGCACATGCACAAAGCAACTGCTAGGGTCAAGGTTGTAAGCTGCACCATTCAGGCAATCTTTTCCCACCCTCATCGTGCTCCTCAAAGCACCATGTTACCCACATCTCTCATTGTACTTCTTCTCTTCGCCCCACACACCCCACAGTTGTCTACTTCTTCTTACACATTCCTATCTCCTGGAAGACTGTGGATATTGTTAAGTTGTGGGTGAACATATCAGACAACACAGCGATTCTTCAAACAGCTCTTGTTTATTCACAGACCAGAACAGAACTGAACTGAAGGGTTCAGCCAGCCTGCTTATATAGAGCTCCAGTACAACGTAACTGTAACCATTTTCTGTAACTAGCCAATCATTGAACGTCACTTTCGATCCCTTATTTGCATATGTGGACCTGAACTATCTACAGTATCCCCCTGCTGGCCCAGGGGGAGAACTTCAGTACATAACAGATATGTCTGCTCATTACTTAGCTCCAGGATTGTAACTTGGAAGAGAGACGCTGCGCTTCCAGCTCACACGCTCCCTTCCCTCTGACTGGAAGGACAAGGGAGCCACTGAACTGTGGAAGACGAAGAACCTTCTGTTAATTGTTCTACTCACAAACTAAGGGTAGGAGATTGTGAGCCTGAAACCTACTCCAAGTCTCATCCTGGGTTCGGTTTTAGGGACCAAGAAACATACACCCTTTAAAGCACAGCACCACATTAACTTGAGACTGCATTCTAGTGGGTATGCATGGAGCAAACCTTGACCCATTCATATATTTATGTGGTACGGCACTAAAATAGTGTGGTTGAGGAGCTTGACATAAGCTCCAGCTCTCCAGATTGCCTTCAGGCCATCAACGCAATGGACACTAATGCGGAGGAAGCTATACAGAACATCTCGATGAAATAAATTTGAACAGAATAGCCTGACCAGTAGCTTTCTTTGATTACTGTATGGCAATTTTAAAAAACCAGAAAACCACACACCTGTTTTACAGTTCAGTATGAATGTTTTCACTGCCCATTTGCATGTACTGAGTTATAGCCATTGCTTAACTATGCAATACACAACTTGATAAGGCACGTTCACCCTAACACATGAATTTTAAAACAAGATTCCTATAAAGCACTCATCGTCTCTGTGTTGCTAAAATGAATTTTAGAGTTAATGTGGGGGGGGGGTTTCTGGGGGGAAATGGTTATGTGTGTTACAGCTACAGTAAAAGAGAGCAGCACATAAATGTATCAGCAGATAGTGTATCAGCCACAGCGTCCCGGGTGAAGAACGAAAAGCTTTTAAGTACATTCACACTGTTTGCATTCGTGCCTGTCTCAGTTGTTAACATCCAATATTTTGTAAGAAGTTTGTGTCTAAGGAAAGAGGACTCTGAGCGTATCTCCTAAACAGTGCATGCAAACTTTTATGTATGCGTACATTCTAAGATGCGCCAGTTAGTGTACACGTGTATCATTAGTATCTCATGCAGCTGTGAAGTACACAGAAAGCTACATATACTTACCCAGCGGAACGCTATCTAGGTCTGTGTAAAACAACAGCGAGGAGGAAACAAAAAGCAACACTCCAATCAAAACCAATCCATTTGCAGAGTGGGAAATAAGAGAGTCCTATGTTACACTATAATCAGATTAAACCTATCAGAACTAGCAGAATAGATGCCATAAAGTACACATCACAAGTTTGTTTCTTTTATAAGAGAAGTTAAGAATTTTATTTTTTAAATTATTCCAATTTGTAAGACACCTAATTTTGTTTTGTTTTGCTTTTTTAAATTACCCAAATATTGAATTCAAGCTATAAAACAGTGATTAACTATGAGATTTCCTGATTTTCATTGCTGGGCGCACTGTTATTTGGGGGGAATACCTTTACATGCACAAAAAGTACAGCATCTATTCACAAAGCACCTTATTTGAAACACACCTAATAAAACATGCATCATCGGCAAACCTAGCATGCAGTATAATTCCATTTTGTAGAGTATTCAAATTACCTTGCAAGGCATGGCCTAGTAGAGCATCAAGTTCAGGATTTAATTCTGCCTTCTCTTTCAACATGTGAAACAGCAGCTGGTTTTGCGTTGCACTGGTAATTTCTGTTTGTTTGAGGCGTCCTTCAAGTACTTTAATCTGAGCTTCCTTCTGAGCTGCTTGGAGACCCTGTTAAAGATGAAAAAAAAATAGCTTGATTATCTATTCCAAATAACTTTGTGTAAGTGGACGGGCATAGATATTTATTGTATCTATGGGGTGCCATCCTGAGAGAGGGGTTACTGTATATATTGGGCACCATCCCACAATGCCTCCCAATACAATGGGACTTTTGGTTTCTCTCTTCCTCCCTCCAACATCCCCCATGCACTTCCCAAATCTGTCTCAAAGCACTGTCTCCCTACCCTATGGGGCAGATTTGGGCAGCGCTGGGGGCAGGGAGGAAAGGAAGGCATATCCACATTCGGCAAGTGGGTGCCTGCTTGTGCTATTTTGGATTTCTTTCACATTTTTGGACTATACCGTTTTAAAGTCTAACACTCTTGTGAAGATCCGGCGATGTCACCCAGCCATTAGCCCATGCAATGGTAATCCAGTACAAGACACAACAGGGTTCCCACCAGGTGTGTTACCTTATTAATGCCCATTGTAAGGAAATGGTCAAGTAGATACCGAGCTTCTGTTAGAGTGCAGGCATTGATTACCGCAGTGACGTCCAGAATCTCTCCTTCTTCCTGCATAAATCAAAGACAGCAAGAGTGGTTAGTCAGGGGAAAAAATCACATGAATGCTATATGGCTGTTGTTGTTGTTTAGTCGTTTAGTCGTGTCCGACTCTTCGTGACCGCATGGACCAGAGCATGCCAGGCACTCCTGTCTTCCACTGCCTCCCGCAGTTTGGTCAAAGTCATGCTGGTAGCTTCGAGAACACTGTCCAACCATCTCGTCCTCTGCTGTCCTCTTCTCCTTGTGCCCTTCATCTTTCCCAACATCAGGGTCTTTTCCAGGGAGTCTTCTCTTCTCATGAGGTGGCCAAAGTCTTGGAGCCTCAGCTTCAGGATCTGTCCTTCCAGTGAGCATTCAGGGCTGATTTCCTTCAGAATGGAGAGGTTTGATCTTCTTGCAGTCCATGGGACTCTCAAGAGTCTCCTCCAGCACCAGAATTCAAAAGCATCAATTCTTCGGCGATCAGCCTTCTTTATGGTCCAGCTCTCACTTCCATACATCAGTACTGGGAAAACCATAGTTTTAACTATACGGACCTTTGTAGGCAAGGTGATGTCTCTGCTTTTTAAGATGCTGTCTAGTTTTGTCATTGCTTTTCTCCCAAGAAGCAGGCGTCTTTTAATTTCGTGACTGCTGTCACCATCTGCAGTGATCATGGAGCCCAAGAAAGTCAAATCTCTCACTGCCTCCATTTCTTCCCCTTCTATTTGTCAGGAGGTGATGGGCCCAGTGGCCATGATCTTTGTTTTTGTTTTTTATGTTGAGCTTCAGACCATATTTTGCGCTCTCCTCTTTCACCCTCATTAAAAGGTTCTTTAATTGCTCCTCACTTTCTACCATCAAGGTTGTGTCATCTGCATATCTGAGGTTGTTGATATTTCTTCCGGCAATCTTAATTCCGGCTTGGGATTCATCCAGCCCAGCCTTTCGCATGATGAATTTGGCTATATGGCTACGGGAATGTTATTCCAATAGGAACTTTTCAAAATTAAAGTGAATTCTATTAAGCCAGAATATTTAGAAAAGTAACACAAACAAAGCTTCTTTTAAGAGATATGATTATTCGGACTTGCAAAAATCAACTAAGTGCCAAATTTTCAGCACATTCAGCTATATGAAAGTATAAGTATATTTCAAGCAAAATATATTGAAAATGCAAAATTGGGAAAGGATGAGAGACAGTCCATAATTTACAGTTCAATATCACACATGTTTACTCTGAAGTTGTGTTCAATGTGACTTACTCACAGTCAAGCGCCTATAGGGTTGCAGCCTTGCATAGCTATGTAGGAGGGTGTTCACTTACTTATGGCTTTGATTTAGAAATAAAATTATTATGAAACCGTACAAATGAAAGTTATAGCTAGATCTTTAATCTAGTTCATAAATGCAACAAAAGCTGGCTCTGATGTTTAAATTTGCATGCAATCCGTACAGCACATAAATGCAGAAAACTGCAGAGTGCAATTAATAGCTGAATAAAAGAAAATTAATTCCCTATCTGAACATAATTCTTTCACAAAACCTTTGGGGCTGACATACCTTTGCTTCCTCCATCTGCATGATATTTGCTTGACAGTCAGAAATACTGTCATTGATGTAATCTATATTTGCAGTCAGTGACTCCATCTCTTCATTGATGTTGTGGATGTTTTTATCGGTCTCTGGGCCACCTTCTTTGATAACTCTCTCCCTCCTTTTGGAAAGCTTCTCTTTCCTTTTGGTAAGTTCTTCACGTTGCTGTAATTAAAATGTGTATGTGAAACACAAGCTGTGAAAATCGGCCAGTCAAATGTTTTACAGGAGAATAAATGACCCCTGACCATTAGGTCCAGTCGTGACCGACTCTGGGGTTGCGGCGCTCATCTCGCTCTATGGGCCGAGGGAGCTGGCGTTTGTCCGCAGACAGCTTCCGGGTCATGTGGCCAGCATGACTAAGCCGCTTCTGGCGAACCAGAGCAGCGCACGGAAACGCCATTTACCTTCCCGCCAGAGCGGTGCCTATTTATCTACTTGCACTTTGACGTGCTTTCAAACTGCTAGGTTGGCAGGAGCAGGGACCGAGCAACGGGAGCTCACCCCGTCACAGGGATTCAAACCGCCGACCTTCTGATCGGCAAGTCCTAGGCTCTGTGGTTTAACCCACAGCGCCACCTGTGTCTTACAGGAGAATACTAAATGAGATAAAGCAGACATGACTTTTCATTGCATTTCTGTGGGAGGAAGAAACATTAAGCAGCAAATATGCAACTTAACAGCTGGTCTTATGACATTAAAGGGTGGTTCATACATGCATAGCTAATTAATATACACTTAATGACTGGAAACTGAATATAAAACAGGTTCCACTGAAAAGCTCTGTGAAAGCTGGAGGTAATATGAAAATTCAATGATGGCCTTATATTTTCCAGGTCCATTTGTTCACATGCCAAAACTAGCAAAAACAGCATCATGTCTCAACATGATGGACATACAGTGGTACCTCAGGTTAAGAACTTAATTCGTTCTGGAGGTCTGTTCTTAACCTGAAACTGTTCTCAACCTGAAGCACCACTTTAGCTAATGGGGCCTCCCGCTGCCGCCGCGCCGCCGTCGTGCCATTTCTGTTCTCAGCCTGAAGCAAAGTTCTTAACGTAATATTTCTGGGTTAGCAGAGTCTATAACCTGAAGCATATGTAACCTGAAGCGTGTGTAACCCGAGGTACCACTGTACATGCACTGACCAGGGCAAAAGTACTTTACTTTTCACCCAACAGAAAAGTGGCATTTTCCCAGATGTTGCAAGTAGCCGAAGGGGTGTGAAAGAAAGAAAGAAAGAAAGAAAGAAAGAAAGAAAGAAAGAAAGAGAAAGCTCTACCTTAAGTAGTCTATTCATGTCAGTCTCCATATTGGATATGGTCATTTTCTGCATAATGATTTCAGTCACCCTCCGTTCGAGTAACTGCCACTTCATTCTTGCTCCCTTGGAGGTATAAACTCTTGTGGTCATCGCTTTTCTTTGATATTTACTCCTGCAAGCAATTCAAAGATTTACGTCGTTCACATAAAATGCTATAACATTTTTATGCAGTACCAGTAATCATAAAAGAGAACACTTTTAATATTTGAAATCTGAGGGGGATGTGCGACTCTTTTTCAAAAAATCTTAAATCATGTGTGTTCAGTATTGCAGATTGCTTAAAACAGCCACTTGTTTCCTTTCAGTGTCCTTCTCACTGTATTCAAACTATTCCTTCAACTGCCTCATGATAGAGAGATAAAGGAGCAGACCTCAAATATTCCATTGTATGAAGGTACTTTACTCAAACATCTGTCATTGTTTTAAACCATGGGTAGGCAAACTAAGGCCCGAGGGCCAGATCCGGCCCAATCGTTTTCTAAATCTGGCCCATGGACGGTACGGGAATCAGCGTGTTTTTACATGAGTAGAATGTGTCCTTTTATTTGAAATGCATCTCTGGGTTATTTGTGGGGCCTGCCTGGTGTTTTTACATGAGTAGAATGTGTCCTTTTATTTGAAATGCATCTCTGGGTTATTTGTGGGGCATAGGAATTTGAATAGAAATATAGTCCGCCTACCCCCCAATGTCTGAGGGACAGTGGACCGGCCTCCTGCTGAAAAAGTTTGCTGACCCCTGCTTTAAACCATCACTTGTACTCTCTTCTCACTCCCATGCAATCACCACTGTTGTTGTACAACCTGCCTTCTCCTTTGCTCCCCATCACATCCCAACCCCATCCACATCCAGGATTATAACACAGCACCATAAATCCTCCCGTGGGAGTTGGAAAATGACAGTTTTTTATGTCTACAGGAAGACAAGACTACAAAAGAAGCAAGATAATAACAGGTTTGCCCATCATTACCTGGTTCCATTGGTCGTGGCTGCTGGCAATGCTTGGACCCTTGCTACGGGTATCCGCATCTTCTGTTGTGACACTGCTCTCGATCCTTCATTGTCTACCGATGACACGCTAGAACTTGGTTCGTGATTAGCCTGCTCAGGCAGACTCAGCTTCCGGCTTGCCCTCCCAGCCACCTTATCAGACAAAGGTCTTGCCTGCCGACGAAGAGCTGTAACCTAAAGCAGTGAGACAACAGTGTCTAATAAGGACCTATTTAATGTACAAATTATAGGAATTTCAAATAATAGGTTGCACTTAATTGCAACACTGAAATAATCCGGCACCTCTTCTGTTTTCCGGCGCAGAACAACTTCCTGATTCCTCTTCTGAGCCTCCAGAAGTTTTAGCTGATGCTGTAAAGAAAAGCCAATAAGAAGTCAAGGATTTGGATACTTTTTAAAATTGTTTTTTTTAAATCTATGTCATTTTAAATTCTTATTGATATTAATGTTGTTTTAGATTTTATGATTTATGTGGGGGGAAATTTCCATTTGGTTGTACCTTTTGATGTGCTTTATTTATTATGACTTTTGTTAAGTTGGTAATTATGTAAATCTTGTCATGCTGTAAGCCGCCTTGAGTATTGTTTTAACTATGAAAGCAGCATACAAACAAAATGATGATGATGAGATACAATTCTCTCAATACCATCATTCAATTAATTGGTACAACCAGCCAAGGAAGGGGGACATTTGTTGATATTTCCTCTATAAAGGTAAAGGGACCCCTGACCATTAGGTCCAGTCGTGGCCGACTCTGGGGTTGCGGCGCTGATCTCACTTTAGTGGCCAAGGGAGCCGGCGTACAGCTTCCGGGTCATGTGGCCAGCATGACTAAGCCACTTCTGGCGAACCAGAGCAGCGCATGGAAACGCTGTTTACCTTCCCGCCAGAGCGGTACCTATTTATCTACTTGCACTTTGACGTGCTTTCAAACTGCTAGGTGGGCAGGAGCTGGGACTGAGCAACGGGAGCTCACCCCGTCGCGGGGATTCGAACCGCCGACCTTCTGATTGGCAAGTCTTAGGCTCTGTGGTTTAACCCAGGTTTAATGCTTATAGGGGTAAGCATTAAATAGTAATCCCACTTCACATACAAGAACAGCACAGTCCTATGGACTCAGAAGTTCGTTCCACTATCTTTGAAAGGCTTGTTGCCAAATAAGTATGCACAGGATTGAAATCTTCCACAATGTGTTAGCAAGCCAGCCCCATGAATTAACTGCTTACCAATACCATATGAAATATCTTGCAGAAACGTATCAGCTGAAAACTTTATTCTACTTTCATTGCTGGCTTAGTACAATGAGTAGTCAACCAAATTCAATCCACCTATTCGTTGCTAAAGCAGTAATAAAATAGCACATGTCAACACCTGAAAACCTTTACAAAGCTTTCGGGAGCTTTTGAAATTCATACAACATAAAAAAACCCACAGTAGATACATTTATTAATCACCTCTCGTTTTCGCTGCTCCTTTTTCAGCTGAGCAATCTCTCTATTTCTTCTAGATTCATTCATCCTGGCTTTCTCTTGCTCTTCTTTCATTTGCTTCATAAGACGAACCTGTATAAAATTATTCAAATTTTTTATTTTTTATTATTCAAATAAAATTATGCAGCTTTGCTTTTCACACACTCAAATCACGTGGGAGAAAGCTGTTTTTGTTTTGCTTTTTGCTACAAGGCTGATGCCCTTTTACCATACTTAATAATCCTTCACTGTAATCACTCTCTTGGCGAGTATTGCTGCAATGTGATTTGCTACCTTAACGCTAACAAGCAGTTAGGTAACAGGACCGTCTTCTGAGACATTTTCGAATTCCACAGTTAGCAAGAGGAATTCAGGCAACTGTTTGCAAAGTGGGAGGCAGAATTGTCTGCAGTCTCTGCCCTAGCAGTGAGAGTGTCATGCAATTGCACCCAGCCAGAAATACAAGGAAGCAAGGAAGCTTTGAAAAGAAACTTTCCTCACCATTTGGGTGAACGCTTACAGAATAAATTGCTTCTCCAAGAAACTGTATACCACAGTAAGTTACTACTTGGTAGGCGGTCATCCTAACTAGATGATCAAAATGGAGAATAATTTCAGTCTTGAACTGACCAGCTTTAACACTCCTTTTTAAGCAGAAAAAATAAATCCATAATGCCAGGGGATATAGTTCATTGTTCAGGTAGACACGTGCAGCATTGGATTCTGTGCTTTTAAAAAAAAAAAGTACCTTTGTTTTCTTCATCTCTGCCACATCCTGCTGCAATTTTTTCAGTTGTTTTTCATACTGAGATTGATTTTTAAGTAATCGTGCGTGTTCTTTCTGAGCAGCCTGAAGCCTCTGCAGCTCTTTATTCATGGATTGGAGCTTCTTTTCATACTCTGTTTTAACCTTTTTTGCCTTTTCTTCTGAGCAAGATTCCACCGAACCTAAAGAAATGGCAATGGATTTCTCAGTTTATAAATCATGAACCAATACATTCAGTGCCTAACTTGCAATGCCAAGATTTCATTTGCACATCCTTTTTTCTTTTTTTTTTTGCCAAGGCTTTAGTGTGAACGAAAAAGGGATATGCAAAAAATAATTTCCAATATCACATCAATTCCATCCGTCCTCTAAGTTTAGAGTTTTCCAAACTGTGTGTCATGACATGTTAGTATGTCGGCTGCAGTGTGTAGGTGGGTCGCGTGAAAGCTCCCCATGCTCCTACCGGAGCATGTCTAAAAAATGTGTCACCAACATGGAAAGTCGGGAAAGCTCTGCTCTAAGCGCTGCTCAGTGCTAGAGGGCAGTTAACCCATGTTAGGCTGACAACAAGACTATGAGGTAGCTTAGATTGAGAGAAGGCAAGTGACAGATTCTGTGGGAGTTTGAACCAAGGTCTCCTAGTGAGTGATTACACTGGCTGTCTTATTTTATTAAAATTTGTATCCCACTACATTTTGAAGGTCGGCGGTTTGAATCCACTCGACGGGGTGGGCTCCCGTTGCTTGGTACCTGCTCCTGCCAACCTAGCAGTTCGAAAGCACATCAAAGTGCAAGTAGATAAATAGGTACCACTCCGGTGGGAAGGTAAACAGCATTTCCATGCACTGCTATGGTTCGCCAGAAGTGGCTCAGTCATGCTGGCCACATGACCCAGAAAAACTGTCTGTGGCCAAGATGGTTCCCTCAGCCAGTAAAGCAAGATGAGCGCTGCAACCCCAGAGTCGTCTGCGACTGGACTTAACTGTCAGGGGTCTTTTCCCTTTACTTTACATTTTGAGATGATATGGAAGTCATGTCATAAGTATGACTGACACTGGCATGTCCTCACTAAGTTCTCAATGTGGCCTATACAACAGCTTCACAATGGCATTCTTCTTACCCAGATTTTGAAGCACCTGATCTCTTTCAAGTTGGGTATCTCGAATCTTATGTTGTAGCATCATTAGCTTCTCTTCATATTGTCTTTTTAAGGTCTGAAGTCTTCGTTGGCTGTTTTCCAGTTCATCTATCAGCTTCTGTTTTATGGCAATTTCACATGTGATGTTTGCTAGGTCTGCCTGATAGCTTGCTGTCGTTAAAAAAACACAAATAAATACAAGCAACACTGTAGCCAATCAGCCTATACAGCTGCAAAAGTTATGTAAACTAGGAATGCACCTGATAAAAGGATGCTAATTCAAGCAAACATTGTACACACTGGTTTTTGCAACAATGGTACACTCCAAATACAGTAGCTTAGTGTAAGTACTAGAACTCTGAAGCAAAAATCCCAGGTCTGGCAGATGTCAAAATGTCTCCATTACATACTTAGACTAGTCATTCAAAAATACTTACATCAACATGTATTTCCTGGAAATGATCATTCAAATTACTAGCCTTTAACATGAAGTTCCCCATCCCTAATTTAACTCAGGACATAGCTGTTAACAGCAGCCTGCACACTGCTTCCCCTAACCCAAAGATGCCCATTTAGGTCTTTGGAAAATTTGACACGAGTTCTCTGCATAAACAGCTGCAAAAATCTCTAACGTTATTGGAGTTGGTGTCACCTTTTTCATCAGAATCAGAATCGGAATCATCCGAGCTTTCCACAACTTCCATGTCATCTTCATCTTCCTCGTCATCTTCCTCGTCATCTTCACGGTCACTAAGCTCCTGACCTTCTTCCTAAAGTAAGAAAAGGAGAAAGAGGATAAAAATGGAATTGCTCCACAAATTCCTTATTTTAAGTACAAAGACAATTTTAACTTTAACCAGTTCATAATTGACTAAATATTCTGCTGAAATACACAACTATTATAAGACTACCTGTGACAGAATTAGTTGCATGTGCTTTGCTTTAATTAATATTTACTTATGAAGTTTACTTATGTCCTTTCTCTGATTGCAGGCTAAGACCCTACCTGCCCGCGGACTGTCTCGCCAGAGTGGTGCATGCTCTAGTTATCTCCCGCTTCGACTACTGCGGGACTACCTTTGAAGGTGACCCGGAAACTGCAATTAATCCAGAATGCGGCAGCTAGACTGGTGACTGGGAGTGGCCGCCGGGACCACATAACACCGGTTCTGAGAGATCTGCATTGGCTCCCAGTACGTTTCCGAGCACAATTCAAAGTGTTGGTGCTGACCTTTAAAGCCCTAAACGGCCTCAGTCCTGTATACCTGAAGGAGCGTCTCCACCCCCATCGTTCTGCCTGGACACTGAGATCCAGCGCCGAGGGCCTTCTGGCAGTTTCCTCATTGCGAGAAGTGAGGTTACAGGGAACCAGACAGAGGGCCTTCTCGGTAGTGGCGCCCGCCCTGTGGAACACCCTCCCTTCAGATGTGAAGGAAATAAGCAGCTATCCTATCTGTAAAAGACATCTGAAGGCAACCCTGTTCAGGGAAGTTTTTAATATTTAACGCTGTACTGTTTTTAACACTTGATTGGGAGCTGCCCAGAGTGGCTGGGGAAACTCAGCCAGATGGGTGGGATATAAATAATAAATTATTACTATTATTATTATTATTATTATTATTTCAAGTTTTGCCTTTCTGAATCATAAAAAGGCAGGGAGGCAGTGCAAGAGTTTTATTAGTATTGACGGAATATATTAAGATCACAATACTTACTGCTTCCACTTCATTATTCTCTCTTTCAGAAGCGCCCTTTTCGTCCCTCTTCTCCTGCTCATTGTCTGTGCTCTCCTCTTTAACAGTACTATGATAAGAAATACAAAAGGGGTCATAAAATACAAGAAGGAGGTTATTTCCCCTCTCCTCAAACCAACAACCTGGCTAAAGCACCAGCCACAACCTGGTGCTTCACTGAAAGGAGAATGTGAAAGGCAAGGGGCATCACAGTATTCAACATTTTAGCTTCATGGCTTCTTGCAAGATCAAATGGTTTGAAATGGCAAGGAGAACCATAAAGATCCCAACAACTGTTTCCCCCATCATGCATAAAGTTGCATTCTGGAGATTCAGAAGTGGAGCTAAAAGTTAATGGATGGTAAAGTTCAAATGGGAAAAGGGAAAGCATTGCAGACAGACAACCAGAAAGGCACTGGAGAACCGCAGAGTGCCTAAAACCAGCCTTTGCCAACCTTGTGCCCTCCTGATGTTTTGGACTACAACTCCCATCAGCCCCAGCCAGTTGTAGTCCGAAATATCTGGAGCCACCAGGTTGGCAAAGGCTGGTCTACAGCATGCCAGAGCAGCTTAGAGTTAAGCTGGGTGTAATATATAAGCTGGAACCACAGAAGCCAGAAAAATATCCCTAAAATCACAGGCCTGTACATAAAATGATTATGTACTACCCACGGAGATCATTTAAGGAGCAGAAGGAAAATCAAAACAGCATACCAAGAAATGCAGGTTTAGCAAGTGTGTGTGTGTGTGTGTGTTTGTAACAAATGCAAGAAAATCCTAGCTATATTTACCCAGAAATAAGTCCCACTGAGTTCAACGGCACTCAGTCCCTTGCAAGTGTGTTTTGGCTTGCAACCTTAATCATGGAGGAATGGGCCCCAGACAATTTATGGATTCTTCAAAATTAGCTGTCCCACACATATGGATCTTAGATGAGCTGCTTGTGTGATGGCTCCCCCAAACCCTTTTTGGCCAGTTTAAAAGGTGGGCAGAGCCAATCCCCCAACATCAGTCCTATGCCAGGTGACAAATTCCCCTGCAGTGGGGCAAACTATGGGCTACCAAAGAAAACGCAAGTGGCTCACAGGATGCCCACTCCTGTACACTCTGGATAGAAGTATCCTGATTACAGTTATCCACACTACAATAATCTCTAAGTTGCAAAATATAATATGCAGTGTGCCTTTGACTTCCAGCTAGTACAAAGTAGAGAGTTAACACTGACTGGTGAATGCAAGCATATTATGCCACACATTTGTCACAAGCTATGGCTTATAGTCTGTTTACAGGTCCAATTCAGAGTGCCGGTGCTAGACTGAGCCTAGGTCACATGAAGGATTGCCTCTTCACACATGCAAGGACCCTAAGATTATCTTAAGAGGTCCTTCTACGAGTACCCCTATAAAACGAGAGGCACCTATTGAAAAAGTTCCTCTGCTAACAAACCTTGTAGTAAAAACCTTTCCTAGTCTGCATCTGTGCCAGAATGTGTTTTTTTTTACTCTTTTAAGTTTTTTATTGTTTGTTTGTTTGCCACCCTGGGCTCCTTTGGGAAGAAGGAAGGGTATGATATAAATTTAATTTAAAACAATAATGATAAAAGTAATAAGGAGAAGCCTGTTATCTTCTCCGGCTTTTTAATCTTAAAACATTTTAAATATATATTTTTGGATCTGTTATATTAATCATATTCTCCACTACTGGTCTTAGTATGGGTTTGTTCTGTTGCTCTTTGTATTCTGTTTTATATTTTATTTTCATGTTGTGTGGTATTAATTTATTTTTCCTTCTAAACCATCTTGAGAACTGTTATGTACTGAAGTTCTCACCCTGGGCCAGCAGGGGGATACTGTAGATAGTTCAGGTCCACATATGCAAATAAGGGATCGAAAGTGACGTTCAGTGATTGGATAGTTATAGAAAATAACTGTTACTGTTACTGTTGCATTCTAGTGGAGCTCTATATAAGCAGGCTGGCTGAGCCCTTCAGTTCAGTTCTGTTCTGGCCTGTGAATAAACAAGAGCTGTTTGAAGAATCGCTGTGTTGTCTGATATGTTCACCCACAACTTAACAAGAACTGTGGCCATTGAACAGTATTTAAATACTGAAAACAATGAAGAAGAAGAAGAAGAAGAAGAAGAAGAAGAAGAAGAAGATTCATCCACACATATATAACGTTATTTTTTATCTATCTTGAGCCTTCAGGAGTGGGCGAAAAGAAATGTAAATAAATAACATCTAACACATTACAAATTTTAGTCAGACTTATCTATTGCGATAGGGTAGTAAAGAGGAAATAATTGTAAAGCCAGCTAAAAATGTGATCCGCAAACAACAGAGGTCATAAAACGAAGGGCAAAGAAGATGCAAATAAGCCAGTGGTGCTGCTATAGGACGAGAAACACGTCTACAACATTTAGCAAGCTCATGTATTCAATGGAGAAAAACAAACAGATAGAACAAGGTCACCAGCCAATCAAATGCTAAACCTAAGCACTGAGCCTTTCTTGGTCTCAGCTGAAAGCCACCCTTTCTTAATACCTTCTTTCCCAATATGACTAATTCTAGTGACACAAGAGGAAGAGGGGCAAGTAGCTTTTTAAAAACTGACACTAGCTGCATGGAGCTCCCGAACAAAGTTTTTTCCAGACAGTTTCCATGGAGCCCATCTGTGCTAAAAGGCAAGTGAGATGCTTTGCTGCCACAGCTGTTATCCTTTAGATTCCCCAGACCTAAACAGATGAATAGGTGGCTTATAGCCTTTTCTTCTCCTATTCACATGCTTCCAATGTTCTCCCCTCTACGGTGTATTAATAATCCACACAGTCATCTTGGTCCGCCCGCTTCTTGGTATGTTAAGATCATCCTTGCAATTCTTTGAACTTGCATCAATGCTCTTGTAAAATGTAAGTTCACAACTGACTCACGCTCTATACTCAAGATCATTAATACTTTACAAGAAATCCCATGCCTAATGCATCCTGGGAACAGATTGGCTTTCCAGGAAGCCCCAATCCCATCATGACTCCCTTCGCCCCTGAAGCTAGATTGCAAAACTGACTGCAAAGCTAGTTATTCCCAATGTACACACTGTGGCTAACCTAATCCTAACTCCACAATCCTGAATTCAATAGGACTTACTTCTCAGTAGGCATAGGCAAAGGTAAAGGGACCCCTGACCGTTAGGTCCAGTCACGGACGACTCTGGGGTTGCGGTGCTCATCTTGCTTTACTTGCTGAGAGAGCCGGCGTTTGTCCGCAGACAGCTTCTGGGTCATGTGGCCAGCATGACTTATGGCGAACCAGAGCAGCGCACGGAAACGCCGTTTACCTTCCTGCTGGAGCGGTACCTATTTATCTACTTGCACTTTGACGTGCTTTCGAACTGCTTGGTTGGCAGGAGCAGGGACCGAGCAATGGGAGCTCACCCCGTTGCGCGGATTTGAACCGCCGACCTTCTGATCAGCAAGACCTAGGCTCAGTGGTTTAGACCACAGCGCCACCCGCATCCCATTAGTTAGTTTTGCACAATTGATGTGCTCGTCTGATTTCATCCTGGCTTGACAAACAGTTACTCCACCAATGACATCACCCTACTCATCCTGAAGATATTATTCCCCCAAAGCTTCTCAATTTTTTTTTTTTTTTTACATTTTGGACTGAAGGCCCTGGGATGTCTAGCAATCATCCTACCCTCTTACCCTATTCTTCATCTATTTCAAATTGCAAAATAGGGGAAATAATCTCTGAAGGCCACTGTTGGCAGTGGACAGATAAGATCAGGACAAAGGCCCATCAAGTCCGGAATCATGTCCACACAGCGACCAACCAGGACTTGAGTGGAACAGCCCTCTCCCCATCTGATATTCGGGGGGGGGGGAATATAACACAGCCATCGCGGTCAGGAGCCACTGACAGCTAGCAAAGCACAGACCTATGGAACACAGATTGCAATTTTAGCAGAGCAGATTTTAAGGTTAGATTACCATTAACCTTTGCTTATGAACTTGTAAAAAAACAAAAAAACCTGCAGCATTTAGGCTTAAGAAAGAAGGTTTGGGTCTAGGTTTAGGAAAGAAGTGAAGTATTTCGGAAGATGTGCACGTTCTGCATTGCAGGGGGTTAGGCTAGAAATCAGGGTCCCTTCCAATTCTGATTCTACGTAAGTATAACAGGCAAAGTGCTATCCATGGGAATCCTCTCTCTTTGTTGGTAGTTTTATTAATTGTTTTAAATAAAAAAGTTATAGGCTATATCTTAATTGTGTTCATATTTCTTTTGAATCTTGATAAGTATTTATAATTATCAGTGGAATTATTAGTACCACTCTGGACCTAAGCCAACCAGTGTCCTTGCCTTACATGGTGCAGGAAGCTCTACTTTGCCTTAAAGTAGATATGTAAAGGAAGTTTGGCATAACCCAATTCACTGAATCTGAGCCAAAATGAAAATTGTTTGATGTTCATGAAGTTAAAATAGTTATACTCTAGAGTTACTGCATATGCTGTGGTTTACTGATCCACTTTTCAGTTGAATTAGGCCGCTGTTAGCAAAATCAGTTGAATATAGAAACAATGACATTTGTCTCCAGATTATGCATTGATCTCAACAATGGGTATTTTGAAATGGGTTCTAGTTTACACCCAGCCCCTTTAAACTGCTCTGGTTAACTTGAAACCGAGGTATATGTGTCAGTGTTTTATGTGCTAGCAGTGTGTGTGTGTGTGTGTGTGTGTGTGTGTGTGCGTGTGTATAACAGGGAGGGGAATTAGTCTTGCAATAAAAAATAAAAACCACAATCATGTGATTAAATTCTAGGGTTAGATCTATGTGGCACAGTTTGTGGTTCGTTTGCTCGCTTAAAAAAATGACAGTTTAATTAAAAACCTGTGAAACATTCCAACCTTCTTTCTTCTTGACTGCTTTCCTCAAGTTTCTGCAGCCTTCAAAAGCAGGAGGGTACAGTATTGGAAGGGCCAAGCCAATGAAGGACAAACCAGACAGTGAAAAGCGAGAGCGACAAGAAGGTTAAGAAAAGATGACACATGAGCTTGTGGTTTTCAAATGATTTTCTTTTTTTTCTTTTAAAAGGAAAAATACACTGTCAAAAGAGCACAAGTTGTAAAAAGGCAATACATTCTTCACAAACGGGACCCTGCAACAAGATGTTGCAGCGCAAAGGCCTCCCTGTTCAGGACTCCATACGCTACATTCCATGCACCTTGTCTGTCCCCCACTGTTTTCCGTCCCTCCGGAAACATTCGTTCAGCATTCTGTGGCCTAAACCTATTTTGTACTCCTGAAAATAATCGGGTTTTTCCAAGCCTGCTGCTAACTTTCTCTTGTCTGTGGGTGGAGGCAGAACTTAACAGCTTGGATATTGGATATAGAGGGAACGACAGTTGGAAAATTCATAGAAAACAGAACAGATCCTGCATACAGGGAAGGTTTCCTGTGCAGGTCCCACTGAAATGAACGTAAGCTGCACAGAAAGGCTTCCTAGGGGTGATGCATCTATCCATGCATTTTCAATAGGAGGAAGCCATTTACTGCCATCATTTACTGCCAAACAAGCTGGCTTGTTTGCTCCTATCACAACTGCCTCCTGAAGGCACACAATCAGCTTTAGTAGTGAAACTACGTCCTTTAGCTGCGAGTTTTTTTCAAAGTTCTTTGGAAGAACAGCAGACTAAATGACATATATATATAGCTATTTTGTTTGGTGTTTTCGTTTGGGTTGTTGTTTTTTAAAAAAGGACAATTTTATCATATTTGGCGGTGGGTTATAATGGTTTGCAAACTGGACATTTCCTTCTGCAGGAAAACTTAGTTAATGGACAGGTTACACATGTTTTCAGTTTCAGGAAGTGCTGTCTTTAAACCATATTGTGAGAATGGATGACTACCATATTATGAGAATTGAGCTCTAAGATTTTGAAACACACACACTTTAAAAACTTACTCCACCATGCATTCTGAAAACCCCCAACTCTTTACATCGTTGTAATGCTGAGATATTTTTTTTAAGAATTCATTATATGACCATTAGTGCTTGTTAGAAAAACAAAAAACACATCTCAGAAGAAATGAAAAGGTGAATTTTTTATGCATTAGATATAGGCATCCTAGCAGTGGAGATCTATGTGCATGATTAAGTTTGAGACTGCTGAAATCTTAATATGGGACTGAAATTATAGACCAACTTGAAATGGAGAATATAATGGAATATGCAGTAGCGAATGATAACAATGCAGAATTTTTTAATACCTTAGCTGAGAAAGATACAGGTATTTTGGAAGAATCTTCCAAACCTCATTAAGCTCTAAGCATTTACAGTATCATTTGAACTTGCAGTGTAAAATACCTCTTATTTCTGGCTAAATATTTTTAAAAGCAGGTTGCTAAAACTCTTTCCGAGCACAATTCAAAGTGTTGGTGCTGACCTTTAAAGCCCTAAACAGCCTCAGTCCAGTATACCTGAAGGAGCCTCTCCACTCCCATCGTTCTGCTGAGGTCCAGCTCTGAGAGCCTTCTGGCGGTTCCCTCACTGCAAGAAGCGAAGTTACAGGGAACCAGGCAGAGGGCCTTCTCGGGAGTGGCGCCCGCTCTGTGGAACACCCTCCCGCCAGATGTCAAAGGAAAAAACAACTACCAGACTTTTAGGAGACATCTGAAGGCAGCCCTGTTTAGGGAAGCTTTTAATATCTGAAGGACTATTGTATTTTAATATTTTGTTGGAAGCCGCCCAGAGTGGCTGGGGAAACCCAGCCAGATGGGCGGGGTATAAATAATAAATTATTATTTTATTTTTATTATTTCCATTGCTCTCTAGACAACTATGACCGTGATTTTGAGAAACTACAACAAACGACCTTAGGAAAAAGAAGAGTACAAGTACTGCAGAAATGCACGTCCAGACGACAGCAAGCGTAGGCGACCTTTTCAATCTCACCTATCAATCACATGACATCATTATGACTGGCAGCTGGGTGTTGGGAACTGTAGCACAAGCGGCGTTGCCAGTTCTGCGCTCATCACTTTTAAGAAGTGCCAAGTGTATGACTAGCAAAGCACTTCCTTCTCCCCACTTCCTGCCCATCAGCTGATGGAGAAAGACCCCTGCATTCTGTAGACCACTTCTGTAGACCACAATTGGGACACAGCCAAACTGAGAAGGTTTTCACCCCCACTTACTGCTTTGGCTGTGAGCGCCTGTTCCCTGCTGACTGACAGGTGGCTATGGTTTGAGGGAAATGCCCTCATGGGCCAAACAAGACTCTCTGGCAGTCCAAGACTGGCCTGAAGGCCGAAGGTTCCCCATTCCAAACCATTAGGGAAGTAAATTGGTTTTCCTCTGCATTGCAAACCTTTCCTTGCACGCCACCCCAGCCTTGACCAAAGTGCTTTTGTGGTTTGTCTGTCCTCCTCTTTTTCTCCCACCATTGGATTTTTTGAAAGCAGCCTTGTTAAAGTTCAGAGCGCACGTCCGACTACGCTCCATTTTCCCTTGCTTCTGTATAACGAAACTCAAGAAAACATGATCACTTGCACCCAAGATTCCCTGTACTTTCACTTTGCCAATCAGTTTCTCCCTGTTGGTGAGGACCAGGTCCAAGACAGATAACCCCCCTTGCTGCTTCTTCCACCTTCTGGGAAATGAAATTGTGAGCGAGGCAACTGAGAAATTTGTTGGACCTTACATTCTTGGCAGAGTTCCAACAGATATCAGGGTAGTTGAAGTCTCCCATGAGTACTTCAGAACCCGGCACCACAACATGTTTTAGGAACATAGTGTTTGTGGTGAACAAGAGGCCTTTTCAGATCATGCAAATCTTATTACTGGGGGGAAAACTGATAAGCTTCCAAGGGCATCTATGTTTCTTCAAGGGGAAGCCTGAAACTGCAGCCATACATCAAAGTTCAGCAACAAGGTGACAGGCACAATGTATCTCAGAGACACGGTCACAATACTAAAATACAAAACTGGGCTACAAGTAAATTGTGCTTTTCTGACACAACTTCCTAGTTCAGTTATCCTTATGCACTTATGCAGAGTTGTCAAGTCTTGTGAACTTGACCTGAGAATTAGTTTTAACTCAAAACTAACCAGTCTATCTTTTCTTTCCTCAGTTACCATTATTATCATTATTATCATTAAAGACACTGGGGATTTTCAATCAAAAGTTGATAATGATTATGAATTAGACAAAAAGCAGGTTTAAATGGCTCATCTTCAGTCATGTAAAACTAAGTCATTCCAATGAAGCTCTGGAGTTCAGATCTGTTTCCTGGCTACAGAAGAAAATGGCCAACACAGAGAGAGAAACTAATGACCCAGTTTAGGATACCTTCGAGATATAATCACCATATTTGAGGGAAGACCTTTCAATAAGGTCTTCACCTTAGGCTGCTACTTCCACAGCAACTGGCTGTTATATTTTACATTTAGCCAACAAAAAAACCAGCCAGTTAGCAAGCAAGCAGTATACACTCATAATCAAACAGAAAATGAATGTGTTTGCTCTGACTGATGTATTTGTTTCACTGTAAGCTTGTTGCACATAGATAAAACACAATGTAAGTGTCATTAAATAGGAAATGAAGGACAACTGTCTACCTGTAGGGGAACTGCTTGTAGTTCCTTGTTCCTTGTTTTACTTATTAACACAGCCTAAAATAATCTAGTGGTTGATGGAAAATTTGGGAGGATTAGAACTTAAGGGGGGAATCAAATGGAGTATGGAAATGCAGTGATGTTGCAAGTCAGGCATAGGCTGGGTATGAAGAAAGAAAAACAAGCCATTTTAACAATAACCAATGTAAATCTCAATGGCTGCTATATGTGTCTTTCAAATTAAGCAACTAGTAGAACTTTTATTTTTAACTGGAGCTTCCAAAACATTCATAGCTCAGTATTCTCTTCCAAGTAAGAATATGTACATAATCCACTGAGCTAGTTCACGTGCAACACTAAACCATGATTTGGCACCATATGCACAAAATAGAATGAGCCTGACAAAAGGTTTGCACATTCCCTTCTCAGCTGGCAGAAAAACTTTGTTGCACTTAGTTTCACTTCAAAGAATCCTAGCTTACTGTAATATATGGACAAAAGGTTGTAGTTTAAAATGAACTCTGCTTAGTTTAACAAGCCAATTTCACAACCCATGGTCTGGTGTTATCCTGCTTAGACGTTAACCAGGGTTTGCTTCAAACCATCGTGGGTTTGTACATAACACGCCAGAATTCTTTGAAGTGAAACTAAACACTAGAAAAGCCAGATGCATAGGAGAAGAAGGTGAGGTGGGGGCAAACAAGCCCAACGCTATGCTCAGACTCATTTTAGCTTGCGTTATGTAGTGTTAACCAAGGTTCAACATTACATGCAAACCAGGCCATAGCTGCAGACTGTAGAGATGAAGACTTGGCTAAGTGTGTGCAGGATTTATGTGGCAGTTATTGCAAAGGAGGACTTTTCTTCATCTCACAATTAACAGTTCCCTGGTTAAAACAGACAGCATTCTTTGCAAACGTAGTTTTAAATAGTACCTCTTTTTCTTCTTCTTTTCTTTTTTCTTCAGTTTTTCCAAGTCTTTTTTCGCTAAGTCAATAATCTCGATTGTCTCTTTATCAGAGGGAAGCATCGAAGCAGAAAATGAAGAGGAGCCACCAAAGTACGTTGACCTCGTTGAGGCCCTCGACAAGTTGCGGCGAAGATTTTCATTCACTGCCTCACTTTCCAGTAGTTTTGCCCTGGGCACAGAAAATTGTAGAAATGAAAGCGGAAACGGAAAATGTCAGTATACGTTTTTGTTAAATATTTTTCTAAAAGAATATTCAAGGTTCTAGCCAACTGCTTCAAACAAACATTTTTTTAAAAAAATAAAATTACAGTGGTACCTCAGGTTAAGTACTTAATTCGTTCCGGAGGTCCGTTCTTAACCTGAAACTGTTCTTAACCTGAGACACCATATTAGCTAATGGGGCCTCCCGCTGCAGCCGTGCCACCGAAGCACAATTTCTGTTCTCATCCTGAAGCAAAGTTCTTAACCCGAGGTACTATTTCTGGGTTAGCGGAGTCTGTAACCTGAAGTGTATGTAACCTGAAGCATATGTAACCTGAGGTACCACTGTACTAAAATGGGTTCCTGGGGTGCCATATGTAAGCAATATTATATTAATGCCAGATGTTTTCACAAGTGCTGATTAAGCACCTTGTTCCAATGTACTGTCTTGCTAATGTATTATAGCAGCAGCAACACACTAATAAACTTATTTCATGGAATCTTAGAACTGTAGAGGTGGAAGGGACCAGAAGTATCATCTAATCCAGTCCCTTGCAATGCAGAGATCTTTTGCCCAACGTGGGGATCCAACCTACAACCCTGAGATTAAGAGTCTCATGCTCTACCAACAGCTTTCATTAGATTCATAGAGTGGGCAATAAGGGAATACATTTACGGGTGCATGTGATCTACTTCAGATATAATGCTCAAATATGGTTCTCCGTCTTAGCTGAAGGCTACTGAAACAAGCCAATGTCATAAATCTTGATTTGAAATTTTCTCAGTTCAGTAAACCAATAGTCAACTAACCACAGTTTGTCTAGGTTTGAACTCAGCACTGTGGTTAGCTAAAAATGGAATCAAAAGCTTCTGTCCTTCTCCTTGAGGCCATACTAAATGAAGAAAGGGGACGTATGAGCACATGAGCAGCTACATTCACAGACTGCTAAATCATGGTCTATCATTTCCAAGCAAGGTCACACACTCACTAGCGGTAAGAATAAGGCAAAAAAATAAAATAAAAAATAAGTGGAGTCCTTTGGTGTATCCCACTCTGATACCAAACACAGATTAACCGAAGATCCGGTGGGAAATGCTCACAGAGCTATGTGAATCCACTTAAGGCAGCTCAAATACAGGAACTGATAATGTTCTGTTCTAATTATACTTTCTAGAAAGTCAGCTATTTAATTATTGGACAACTGCTGTTCAGGGTCATTAGAAATAACCTTGGGATGAAGAACAATGCTTTTTAGAGCCATGGTGTGTGCTGAACCACTAACAAGAGTCCTTCCACGTTACACATATAGACAATACATTTTAACCACAAAGACTGGTAGAGTTACACATAGATTCTACATTATAGGGGGGAAACACAAGCGAGACAAAATCACAAAAGATGTCAAATGAATAATACCTGAGATCCTCAATTTCCTTGATGTAGTTATGAATCATGTTGCTGATTTCTTCATTACCTTCTCCTTTAAAAAGACAACAACCAATATTAAAGTGTGTTTATTAGAATGGCAGACAGACACAAAATGTTGTTATCAGGATTGCATGGGGACCAGCATTTAATATTCAGAAGGGGAAATTAAATGTTCACAGGCAAGGAGGCAAGGGAGGGCTGGCCCACCCATGAGGCAAGGTGAGATGACGCCTCAGGTGGCACAATCCACAGGGGCAGCAGAACCAGTTTCCAAGGAATGCATTGCTTGCTGTTTCTGTCGCTGCACTCTCCCCTTATGCCTGATGTAGATCTTCACTCCCAAAATATATTGGGCCAGCCCTGTGCCAAGGGGTTCACAGGAAATATGGATTTATGTAGACAAATCAGTGGTAAGTTACAGGGAACCAGGCAGAGGGCCTTCTTGGTAGTGGTGCCCACCCTGTGGAACACCCTCCCATCAGATGTCAAAGAAATAATGTATTTTTAACCTTCTGCTGGAAGCCGCCCAGAGTGGCTGGGGAAACCCAGCCAGATGGGCAGGGTAGAAATAATAAATTATGATTAACATTATTACTGAATGTGTACAAGAAAGGGTTAGTTCGCAGAATGTACAGTTTCAGTTTTACTGAACAGTTCAGGTTTACTCAAATTATCTATGTTTGGGAATGGGCAGAATGTAGATAGGGATCCACTGGGCATCTCTGGGGCAATTTGCAGTAGATTGGAAAGGGTTTCCAATTCTCTCTCGATTAACAATAGCAACAAACAAAGCAACATTTTACATCTAAATTAGGCTGCTGAAATGAAGACTTTCGTGTGAGGTTTTTGTTTGTTTGTTTGTTTATGCCGTTTATATGCCAAAACAGCTTCTAAGCAGTCTGCAGCTATAAAATCAATTACAGAATACGTGTGTGTGCGTGTGTGTGCGTGTGTGTGTGTGTGTGTGTGTGTGAGAGAGAGAGAGAGAGAGAGAGAGAGAATGAAATATATGCATATGTATGCTTTGTTCTTTGTTCAATTCTGGTAGTGAAAATAAATTTCGTAGTTCAAATTGTGCTCAGGCATGCCCTGTTCTTTAATTGTAGCTGCATGTCTTTCGCACCTAGTTTTAGTTGGCAAACCTTTGGGTTCCAGTAACACACACACACACACACACACACACCCCTAGTAGATCTCACAAACCTGAGGTCTGCACTCCCTCTGCCTCTGTGCATTACTAACTTGAGGAAGCCCCTATACTTGTGAAACAAGGAGGTGAACAATGGCCAAGAGCCTTTGTAGACAAAGTTTGATACATACAACATTTTTCAGTGAGAAGAATACACATTACCTGCCCTGGCCAGGACCTGGTTGGCCTGATCACTCACAAGCTGTGTGATTCGGGCTCTCAGTGCATCAATAGTCTCTTGCATTGCCTTTATCCTGACTCGGAGGTTGTTGTTTTCTGTTTGCAGCATGGCATTTTCATGAAACATGTCATTGACGCTTTCCATACCTTCCTCATCAATAATCCTTTTGCCCTAACAGATGATAAAGACAAATTACACATTGTTAATGGATCTCAGTAAAATGACTTGATGGCTAGAGCAGGGTGAAAAAGAAACCCATTAGTGCAAGGATTTGTGTTTGTGCCCTCCATCCCCAATTCTGCTGCAGAGGTTGGGGAACCACTAGAACAGATTTAGAAGGAAGTGGGGGAAGGAGAGAGTAAACTCCGCTGCGCAAACGTGAATCCTTACACTGATTAAAGCACATCAGATACAAGTCCTGGATTTTAGCATTTCTGAGAAGAAATGAGTCAAGATTTGGGGCTCTGTGAGAAGGTCTCCAATACGTTTATCAGCAAGCGAGGTTTAGTATAAACTGTTGCTACTCTGGTCCTCAATTCTGGCCAGGTTACATAAAATCTACCCAGAAGTTCACTGGTTTCAAATGTGCCACAAATGCACATACAGTGGTACCTCAGGTTAAGTACTTAATTCGTTCCGGAGGTCCGTTCTTAACCTGAAACCGTTCTTAACCTGAAGTACCGCTTTAGCTAATGGGGTCTCCCATTGCTGCCACGGTGCCAGCATGCGATTTCTGTTCTCATCCTGAGGTAAAGTTCTTAACCCGAGGTTCTACTTCCAGGTTAGCGGAGTCTGTAACCCGAAGTGTTTGTAACACAAGGTACCACTGTATATTACATATGTGGTGGGAGTGCCAGATCATTTGTGACAGGCATGGCCAAACTTGGCCCTCCAGATGTTTTGGGACTACAACTCCCATCATCCCTAGCTAACAGGACCAGTGGTCAGGGATGATGGGAACTGTAGTCCCAAAACATCTGGAGGGCCAAGTTTGGCCGTGCCTGATTTATGATTTTCGGAGACAAATTAATAATAGCATACAGCGGGATTCACTCTCTCCTGTGTTATTCTTATTTCACTGGTTTGCGAAGCATATCCCTGCAAACCTGATATTTTTAATCAGGTTTTTGCCAACAGCAGAAAGGACAGTGTGGACCCGCAGCTGGAAAGAGTCACAAGCTCTGTCTGTTAGGAAATGGCTACTTAAATGTCTGGAGCTAGCAGAAACTGATATGAAATAGCTTATCTGGCTTATAGGAAACATTGGAGTTTCCAGAATGTAAACTAAGCTTTGCTGATGGAAACGAAGTACCAACTTGTCCCACTCTGAAGTATATGGGGGGTTTTTTAATTTAAAAAAAATCAATTATATGAGGAACACATGCCTCTCTTTACCATGGAGGGAGGTGGAGAGGAGGGACAAACCTGGACATGCAAAATGGTTTAATGTAGCAGCCAAGGACTACTGAGGAAAACATTATAATGAGTATTACCGTTTTATACTCCATGAGTTCCATCTGGAGCCGCGTGATCTCGCTCCGCAGAGCATTAATCTGCTGGCTAGCCCTGTCCTGATTAACCATCACCTTGTTCTTGATATTTCGTGCCCGGTTTGCATACTTCAAAGTGTTCAAGGTTTCCATGAAATCTCTGTCTGAGGGGCTTACGCAGGCGATCATGACGGTTTGGCTGCAGGTTAAAAACAGTGCAGGTTTTATCAACGGAAGCAGAAAAGCAAGGGCAGCGCTGTGTGCCACTGCTACATATAAACAAAAGACGATAAATGCACTAACATGCTTCATCAGAACTTTAAAACCAAGCAAAACTGTTTGTATTGTTCCCAACCAAAGGTATGTAACATGTATCCAGAAATTATTTGCACCTTGCTAATAATACGGGGGGGGAGGGGGAGTTCTTTCTAAATGAATAAATAAATGAAAGTTGCAGCTCTCAGCATTTTAACAAGGCACAATGGTGAACACAGCTGCACAAAACAAAATGAAAATCACGAGTGTATCAGCTGATGAATTTCATCTCGGGCAGAAGACCAAAACTGACCTATTTTTGTTTCTTTATAGAAGCTGCTGGAAGTATAGCTGTATCTTGTAACACTACTCTGAAGGCCTGCACACTTATCTGATCCTATCAAAATATATATACACAGGCATATCTGCAAGAAGCTCCAAGCAATGAAGTGAATATACTTAGCAAAACACCATATGGGTAGCAGTGGGTTAACTCTTAGAACGTTAACTGGGCTGAGAACAAAACACAAGCATAATATTATGTCGGTTTGTCCATAATCCGAAGTGCTGACTATTAAAATGCTCTCCGATTTTAGTAGCAGATTACAAAGCATCCAAATGAAAGTGCATAATTATGTGTAGAAATGCCACCTTGTGGAAATAGTCACAAATACATTTCCACAGGATCTTTTGTTTGTTCTAGTCCCCCTGCCGCCAACCCGCCCCTGCTATTATGGCTCTCCGATTTTTATTTTTTGCTTACACTGCAATTCATTTTGTCCCTATCACTCAATAGTAAGTTGTGACCTTTCCCAACATCCTCCACCCTCCTCTCCAGCAAAAATATACTATAGCTTAACTAAGGAATGAATGAAAAATTGTTACCCATCTGTATTATTACACTACACCGTGAATTTGTCTTATTGCAAGTTACAGTCTCTGAAACGGAGACTGCCTTCTTGCCTTTACTTTAAATACTTTCACTCTGCATTTATATATTAAAAAATAATAATCAAATAGGCTTCTATAACGTCAATGCTTATTTGTATTCTGAATACAGTAGTACGTCTGAGGGTTATTTTAGATTAGGCTTCTTTGCAGTGTATACCAATAGAATGTGGTCAATATTCAGCAGATATTAGATGCATGAATAAGGTTTAGCACAGCAATGTACTTATTTTCATTTCCGCCAAAGGCACTTGCACTGCTGGACTGAACAGCCATCTTTCAAAAGCAGCCTGTTCTTTCAGTGGCTACAGTGGAAAAATAAGAAATCAGAAGCATGTGCATAGTTTCACTTCACTGGAGCCATTGGGTTGGAGCCAAAGATTGAACAGGCAGGAGGCTGCTTGTACAATCGGTGGTGTGTAGCGATAGTGGGCACCTGTTAATATTTCTGCAGCAGGGCCCCTCGTCTGCAAATCCGAGAGTGACCCAATGAGCATGAAAGGGAAGCTTTTAAGCCACTATATGCTCCAAAACTAAGCAATTAAGAACGGTGAAAACACAAGGGAGCTTCAGTTTCAAGATAATGGTTTGCAAGTTCTGTTACGTCCAATGGCACCTGATGGAAAACACTATCTGAAAGAAGATACTACAAATCATTTGCCCATGTATGTGCACAGAAAACAGCAGATCTAGCTGAAAGGCAACACACGGATCAGCACTGAATGTTGCAATGCACCCCTAATTGTTATTACTGCACAACTGTAAGATTATTGTATAGTATCAGAAGGGGCATGGCTGTGTAGGCGCACGGCTGCATCCACAGAAGTATAGCATCCCTATTAAGGGAAGTGAAGAGTCCTGCTCTCTTCTGCCTTGGTCAGACCACACCTGGATTACTATGTCCAGTTCTGGGCACCACAATTGAAGAAGACCATTGACAAGCTGGAACATGTGCAGAGGAGGGCAACCAAGATGATGAAGAATCTGGATGTTGCAGGAGGATGGGATCAAAATTAAGGGGAAAAGTATACAGTAGGTATTCCCACAGAAGAATCCCAGTGCTATTCCTGTGGCAAAGCTTAAGGTAAAGGTAAAGGGACCCCTGACCATTAGGTCCAGTCGTGGCTGACTCTGGGGTCGCGGCGCTCATCTCACTTTATTGGCCGAGGGAGCTGACGTACAGCTTCCAGGTCATGTGGCCAGCATGACTAAGCCGCTTCTGGTGAACCAGAGCAGCTCACGGAAATGCCGTTTAACTTCCCACCGGAGTGGTACCTATTTATCTATTTGCACTTTGACGTGCTTTCGAACTGCTAGGTGGGCAGGAGCAGGGACCGAGCAACGGGAGCTCACCCTGTCACGGGGATTCGAACAGCCAACCTTCTGATCAGCAAGTCCTAGGCTCTGTGGTTTAACCCACAGCACCACCCGCGTCCCGTGGCAAAGCTTACTAACTCTTTAATAAACTGGCTGAGCTGAGGATTCTCAACTGCACAGTCTCTCATTAAGTTGCAAGTGTTAGAGTTCTACAGCACAACAAATTCAAGGAAACTCTTGACTTCTAAATGGCCTTGTTTTTGAAGCCTTTACTGGAAAACCACTCCCTTAAGCTTTCATCCAATTGAGGCTTAACTGCATTACCGTCTCTCTAAAAGGGTTCAGAGTAAGTATTCCTATTAAACAGATCATTTACTTGTGCTCTACATTAGTTTGTTTTCTCTTGTGAGTTTTTTTCTGTCCGTGCTACTGGATTTTATAAAGGGGTAAGTGGTAATTTCCTCTTTTATTTATGGGGCTGCATCATTTTCCAGGCAACCCAGAGCAAAAAGATGAAATGTGCTACCGTGTTTTATCTGCTGAGGCAGAAAAACCAATTCTATTAATTCAGCTCAGCTATACGAAATAGAGAGAGAGAGAGAGAGAGAGAGAGAGAGAGAGAGAGACAGTGTGGTTCTTGTTTTATTGTATTCTAATACACTTTAGTTCCATCAATAGCAAATTAATCAAAATTCTTGTGACATCTCTTTCAAACATGGTTTCAAATAAAAAAATTTGCTTGTACCTGTTTCCTCCAAGGGAGTCTTGCAACAGCCGTGTTAATTTTGAATCTCTGTATGGTACGTGAGTGACCCTCTTGCTCTTATCTCCCAGTGCACTTATTACGTTGCCCAACGCCAGCTATAAAATATGCAACATTTGTTTTAATAAAATTCTGCCCCAAAAAACCAGCACCACCCAACACACATAAGTATTGACACAATCAGAATCAGCAGCATTGTGCAGAGTCAGAAAATGTGAGGGAGAGAAAAGTGCAGTCAGCAGAACTATACTTTGTCCTTTTCCACTGCGGTAGCTTTCACTGTCAAAGACGTAAGCCATTGTTCTATTTTAGAAATGAGTTGCCCGTTTAGTCACAAGACTTGATGCAAGGGAAACTGCCAGGAAAGCTTCACACAGTTCTCTCCTGCAAATGGAATGCATCCATCTTTGCATCCCAGGCAAGGTAATCATGTACAGAACCGTTTTCCCCAGTACAGAGTTGGCTCTGGAATATCTTTCAGGCTTACTTTTGTAAAAAAGCAACAACCCCCAAAAAACCAAGTATAATTTAATATCAACATTTTTTGCTCCAGTGTCAGACAGTGTAATGTTGCTAGCTCCAATAGCAAGTCAAAGTCAACGTTTATGGCAATGCAGTGTTTATAGCCACTATATTGCAGTACAGCTATTTTACCGTAGGGAAGCAATTCCTGTTTCATCAACTATCTCAATTATAGGGACATGACGGCCGGGCTAAACTGCAACAACTAAATGAAGAGTCCCGTGGCACATTTAAAGAGCTGTTCGTTTGTAATGGCATGGTGGTAGAATGCAAACAGTGGGACAAACATTAAAAAGTGGGACAAACATTAAAAACTAGCCACAGTTGACTAGTTACATCCCCCACATAGCTTTGAAATAAATGGCAAGAATGTGATCCAAGCACTGCAATCCTTGGTCCTGTGCATTAAGTATATTTCTGCCTCAGGGATTCTTCTAAGGTTTTAGTATTGGCTTATGAGGCCATAAACAGCTGGGGGAGGCCCTATTAAACATGACATGGCTTGCAGACATCTATCTCACTGTGGTACAGAGAAGGAATTTCTCCACGCTGGTGCCTACCATGTTGAATTTGCTCCCTTTGGAAAACAGGTTGGCACTAACTCTGGGGCTCTTCCATGAAAAATGTACCTATTTTACCTGGGTATTTCCTGACCATTAATATCAGTTCCTGGCATTTCTGCCTACTGTAAATGATATTGCTATTTTAACTCCTGTTTTGCCATTATGGATTTTATTGTTGTATTCCCCCCCATTGTCTTAACAATAATAATAATAAATAATAATAATAATAATTTATTTCTACCCTGCCCATCCAGCTGGGTTTCCCCAGCCACTCTGGGTGGCTTCCAACAAAGATTAAAAATACATTAAAATGTCACACATTCAAAACTTCCCTAAACAGGGCTGCCTTCAGATGTCTTCTAAAAGTCAGATACAGTGGTACCTCGGGTTAAGTACTTAATTCGTTCTGGAGGTCCGTACTTAACCTGAAACTGTTCTTAACCTGAAGCACCACTTTAGCTGATGGGGCCTCCTGCTGCCAGTGCACCGCTGCTGCACGATTTCTGTTCTCATCCTGAAGCAAAGTTCTTAACCCGAGGTAATATTTCTGGGTTAGTGGAGTCTGTAACCTGAAGCGTATGTAACCTGAAGCGTATGTAACCCGAGGTACCACTGTAGTTGTTTATTTCCTTGACATCTGATGAGAGGGCGTTCCACAGGACAGGTGCCACTACCGAGAAGGCCCTCTGCTTGGTTCCCTGTAACTTGGCTTCTCGCAGCGAGGGAACCACCAGAAGGCCCTCGGCACTGGACCTCAGTGTCCGGGCAGAACGATGGGGATGGAGACGCTCCTTCTTACTGCCTGGTGAACTGCCTTGGTATTTCTTATGTAATGAAAGGTGGTATGTAATGATTTTAGGAAACGAGGAGGATCAAAATGCTGTCAAGGTAGTACTTACTAGTCCGCAATTGATGGAAATGCCTTCTTTTGCTCTCTCCCCAGTGGCCCCTGTGCGCTTCAATCGTTCGGACCCTGCCAAATCCACAAAGTGAAACTTAGCAGTAAGGGTTTCAAACTCATTTAGCTGAGATGACTCCGATATCATTCTGTTATCTGTCATGTTGTCCTGTGGTGAAGAAAGAAGACCGGTGAGGCTGCAAAGAGAGCGACGTGTTTTTAAAGACCAACAAACTGCCTCTCCCTATTTAAGCCATGCTCCCAGCAACGCAGGGCAAAAAGAGAGGAAAACTAGAACAGCAAATGTGGGCCCATCAAAATCCTCTTTAGGAAAGCAAGTTTTAGAAATCTCTGCAGAAGAAGAGACAGTGAAATGGAGGCAGGGAAAAGAATACAACTGCCTCTATGCTTTCGCCTGTTCCCAGAGAATTACAGACAGCATTCACTAGATGATAAACTAGAATAAAGAAGCTATTATCCTCATTAACCAGAGTCCTAAGCTAGAGCCATATATTAAGCTGAAGGTTTACATTTAAAATAATTTTTACAGTTTGCACATGTGACCCACTCTTGCCTCTGGGTAAATAAGTTTTTGCATTGTTTCAAAAAGCTATAATGTCTACTGCATCTGAAGCGACAGCGGGACTCTTCCAAACCACCTTCAACTCTTAAAAAAATTCCATCCTTAGGAAAAAGAGACCCTGTAATATTTCCAGCTACCAGTAGAGGGGGGAAATGTGAGTTGTTCATGAATGTTTCAGAAGAGAAGGATCAAACTCCAGGCAATAAAAGTATAACCTCATAAACCACTTCTACATAACAATTAATAGGTTTCAGAATCTACAATCTTGCCACTGACAACGACATTTGTAGCAAACATTTGTTATTAGCATGAATTATTTTTCTGTAAGTGAAAGGATTTTTGTACAGAACTCAAGAGGATAAATGACAAAAATATAAATTATCCTGACATCTGTCGTCATAAGCACACTACAGTTTTCACGTAGCTGAAACATTTCCAGTATATAAACAAAAGTGCTTGAGAAAAATATGTTCATAATGGCAAAGAGCTTTCTTTCTTTTCTGTTAACTCAGCAGAAAGCAAGTCAAAGGCTTTCCGCTCCTGTGACCACCCCATTTTCATTTTAAATGCATACTTTCTATTTTAAAGCCAATTAAAACCAAGGTTCACATCTTCAAACATATGCCTACATGCATGGATGGATAATATATTTTGGAAGCGAAGCAAATCCTTCTAATAAGCATACTTCGCATGTTTTCAAATCAAATTAAATCGCTTTTAAAAAGGAAGCTGAAACACTGAAGGACTATACTGCTCATGGTCACAATGTTTGTAATTTAAAACAAAAGCGTTCTGTACTTGCCTATTCCTAACATAACAGTTTATAATATAGTATTTAGAATCTTTAGAATGCCTATAAAGACACCAGACACATCAAGAACAAGGGCCCAATTATTTCTTAGTGCACTTAGCTTTAGGCTATGAAAGTTTTAAGTGTCAATATACTTTCTGTTATGTACTGAAGTTCTCACCCTGGGCCAGCAGGGGGATACTGTAGATAGTTATGCAAATAAGAGGTCGAAAGTGACATTCAGTGATTGGATAGTTTTAGAAAATTGTTACAGTTACATTGTACTGGAGCTCTATATAAGCAGGCTGACTGAACCCTTCAGTTCAGTTCTGTCCTGGCCTGTGAATAAACAAGAGCTGTTTGAAGAATCGCTGTGTCGTCTGATATGTTCACCCACAACCTAACACTTTCCTTACAGAGATATCCCCCACAGCTTATACAAACATACACAACTTTAAACGCACACCACCACTTTCAACTTCCCCAACAAAACAAAACTCTAATCCCACAATATTTGGGAATGTAACTGTCAAATATTTGAGTTATTTAGACCCGAGACCTACAGTGCAGGAAGGTCGAGGCCTTTAGCAACCAAGGCAGATCTGTTGCTATGGGAACAGGTGGACATCTCAATCAATTTGATTTTAAGTGTAAGTTATTTACCGTATTTTTCGCTCTATAAGACGCACCAGACCACAAGACGTACCTAGTTTTTGGAGGAGGAAAACAAGAAAAAGAATATTCTGAATCTCAGAAGCCAGAACAGCAAGAGGGATCGCTGCGCAGCGAAAGCAGCAATCCCACTTGCTGTTCTGGCTTCTGGAATAGCTGCGCAGCCTGCATTCGCTCCATAAGACGCACACACATTTCCCCTTACTTTTTAGGAGGGAAAAAGTGAGTCTTATAGAGCAAAAAATATGGTAAATATTATAAATGGAAGGATGGCAACGCTGTTTAAACGTAAGTGGACCTTTGAATTACTTAGGCCTCGTATCTTATTACTGCAACACTGCTGTTTCTTTCTTGTACCACCAGAATCCTTGAGAGGCCGTGGGCTAAATGGAAAGAGCCAATATGGCATACAAAATACAATATTGCATCTCCAGGAGAGCCAGTGTGGTGTAGTGGTTAAGAGCAGTAGATTTGTAATCTGGTGAACCGGGTTCGCGTCTCCGCTCCTCCACATGCAGCTGATGGGTGACCTTGGGCTAATCACACTTCTTTGAAATCTCAAAGCCCCACTCACCTCACAGAGTGTTTGTTGTGGGGGAGGAAGGGAAAGGAGAATGTTAGCCGCTTTGAGACTCCTTAGGGTAGTGATAAAGAGGGATATCAAATCCAAATCCAAACTCTTCTTCCATACGAAAAGGGCAATGGTGGCATGAGCCACCATTCTAACATCACACTGCAACAATTCCCACACCAAGCAGTATAACTTAAGAAGGTGGACCAAGAAAATCAGTTTTGGCTATTACTCTAATACAAGATATTCCTCCAGGGTACACACACACACTGCAGTGTTATTGATTTTTTCCAAGACAAAAATAGCATAATACATACCGCATCAATTGGAGGGCAAACTCTCGTTTGACACAAGTGGACAGTGAAGATGGCATGTGAACGTGAGCTCTGAACATTCATCTGAGTGCTGGCAGTGGTTCGAGATAAAGCGCCCAGCTTCAAACATTGCATCATCTGTAAAAATGGTGGGGAAAAGGATATATGGCTGAAATTAAACCTACACACATACACTGGTCTTGAAAGAGCTACATTGGCTCCCAATACATTTCTGAGCACAGTTCAAAGTGTGGATGCTGACCTTTAAAGCCCTAAACGGCCTCGGTCCAGTATACCTGAAGGAGCGTCTCCACCCCCATCTTACAAATCAAAGATAGCAGCAATTATGCCTGCCTTTTATCTCTTTCACTTATGCGTGCGGGGGCCTAGAATGTAACCCCCCTGTAAGTGGGGAGTCACCTGTACTGTATTCCTAAGCCTGTTCTTGGGCAAGGGTCAATGTGGTGTAGCAGTTAGACTGAAACTATAACCAGGGAGCTCCAAGTTCAGCCAGTTATCTTGCACTAATCCCTGTTTCTCAGCCTAACCTACCACTCAGGATTGCTGCAAGGATAGTGTTAAGTTGTGGGTGAACATATCAGACGACACAGCGATTCTTCAAACAGCTCTTGTTTATTCACAGGCCAGAACAGAACTGAACTGAAGGGTTCAGTCAGCCTGCTTATATAGAGCTCCAGTACAACGTAACTGTAACAATTTTCTAAAACTATCCAATCACTGAACGTCACTTTTGATCCCTTATTTGCATAACTATCTACAGTATCCCCCTGCTGGCCCAGGGTGAGAACTTCAGTACATAACAGATAGGGAAGAGGGAGGGCGAAATCATGCCTGCTGTCTTGAGCTCCTGAGTGGAAAGGAAGAATATCTATATCTGTATCTATATTGAAAAATAGATACATACACACACACACACACACACACACACAGTAGTATGTTTTACAAAAGCCATCTCATTTTCATTGAGAATAAAAATATTACCTCAGATTCTGAATTTACAGTCCGTGTTGTGACCCCCACCGTGTATATTCCACCCGCTGAATCTTCGTGGATTTTTATGTTTGATTTTTTGTTCTTTGAATCCATGTCACGCGTTGTGTCGAAGAGATCAAGGACTTCTTCATTGTAAAGCTAATTTGAAAGAAAAAAAGAGGCCAACATCAGCAAGGAAAATATAATTAACACAAAATTCAAGATGTACTGTGGTTTGACCAAAATAATTAAGACACAGTTTTCCCTATCATGGCTGCTGGGTATAGTCATTCTCCAGAAACATGACTGGCCAACAATGACAAAGCTTGCTAATGGAATTACAGAAAATAGTTCAGGACATTGTGAGCAGGAGAAGGATATGCTATGTTACAGCAGGCTGATCAGTACTTGGAAAATGACACAGGCTTATATTCAAGTAAATCCTACACAGAATAGACCAACTGAAATCAATTAACGTAAGTTACTCACATCCATTGACATCAGTGGGTCTACTCTGAGTAGCATTGACTACCACCCATAGCAAGTAAGGGGTGGGTGGGAGGGTGTTGCTGCCATAGCTCCTGCCCAAGTCTGGGGTATCATCACATTTGTCCCTCAAATTTCTTGAGCGTTTTGCTTATCTGCAAAAAGTTGCTTCTCAATGCAGAACGGGGAGCAAGTTGCACTATTCCACATTTCTCTCCATTTTTATTCTATAAGTGTCTCCCATCTCCAGTTTTCCCAAACTCACTCTGAAACAACTGGTAAAAGTTTGGTAGAGCCAAATTTCCAAAAAAATACAGGACCTATTAAGAGACAGTGGTACCTCGGGTTAAGTACTTAATTCTATTCTTAATCTGAAACTGTTCTTAACCTGAAGCGCCACTTTAGCTATGGGGCCTTCTGCTGCTGCTGCGCCGCCGGAGCACGATTTCTGTTCTCATCCTGAAGCAAAGTTCTTAACCTGAAGCACTATTTCTGGGTTAGCGGAGTCTGTAACCTGAAGCGTATGTAACCTGAAGCCTATGTATCCTGAGGTACCACTGTATTACACTTGACCCACAGTAGTATTGGGGGTGAGGGAGCAGAGGTTTGCTTCCATGTTGCTCTCTCTACCTCTTACCTGAGAAATAACCAAATTGAACATGGGAACCCACATTGATTTGAATGCAGGATAGTATCTGACCGTGAGAGCTAAACCCTCTTTAAGGGCAAGGGAGGAAACAACGTCAGAACACTATTGTGGTCACCATGAGGCACGGTAAAGGTAAAGGGACCCCTGACCACTAGGTCCAGTCGCGGACGACTCTGGGGTTGCCGCGCTCATCTTGCTTCACTGGCTGAGGGAGCCGGCGTACAGCTTCCGGGTCATGTGGCCAGCAGGACTAATGCTTTCAGTGAGGTTCTTCAGATCCTTTGCACTCTTGAATCTTTCTATATACACAGTATGCATGTTCCCCAGAGAACGGTGCAAGGATGCAAATGCTCTTCTGGGCCTTTGCATGGGAAATGAAGCAGGAGGAGAATTTCCATAACCACACACCGACTGCATAACGGAACAACGTTCCTGGCCAATGTTTATTCGCTAACCCTCAGAGAGGCATTTAATGCAATCTTGTTCTGACTTTCAACAAGCAGATTGGCCATGCATGTTAAATGCAGACCAGGACCTTCCAGACAACGGAATGAGACACTTGAAATCACTTTGATTTGGGGATTCTTCCAATTAGCAGTTCTAAGGCAATATTGAAAACACGATTCAGCAGGGTTTATACTGCATAATTAGCTGGCACCAGTTTAATCTGTCAATGCAATGAAAAGTATCTAAAAACTGAAAGCTTGGATATATTTAGTGTTTTATGGTGAAAGAGGATATTGTTTTACACATACTTGGTTCCTAGAAGTAAAGAGATTGCATCACTCATTATATCATCTAACTAGCACTTAAGCTTGCCAGACCTGTTAGCTACTGATAGGGATACAACTTCATCTTCTTCCTTTCCCCCCCATATTTCTATGAAGAGTGCCTCTTTTTTTAAAAAAATGGCAGCACTGTAAATGCTTTTTTAAATGAAAAAAAAGTTAAGCATTCCTCCAAGGCTTGTTTTTCTGGACAAAGTGATTTGCACCTCTGTTTCTGTATTTTAAAATATATCACAGAAACACTTTATGGCAGACGTTTTTGTTAAAATACATAGAATCTATTTTTGGAAATAGTAAGTATAAACATTCTACAATTATCAGCTGAAGATGCACTGGAAGTCCAAAGTCACTAAAAATGGCTTTGTTTTGCTTACAAACTATCAGGACCCTGGGGGAGGGGGAAAGCAACTGTTTAACTATCAAAGAGTTCGGAAAACAAAGTCCAAATTAAGGGGAACTAAGGGGCTGCCTTTATACTGTGCAGTTTGCGATTTGTTCCTCTGGACAAATATTAGCCAGAAAGCTTAAATCCAGTGCCCTTAGGTCAAGAGCAACAGGTATAGACTAGTCCAACTCCATAATGTATTTGGTTAATATTTTGGCAGAAATGCCAACAGGAGTCCAACGATAATTACCTGAGTCGGAATTCAAGCACCTGTAACTTGGTTACCCTGCTGTTGCTAAACCCTAACTCAGAAAAATAACTCCCATTAGAATTGCAAATGTAAAAGTGGCAAACACAGTTCATTGACCTTATTCAACAACACCAAGAGAGGGGGCATCTTACTGACCTCAATTAATAAAACATGTTTCCTAAGCTTTGAATCAGGCGTCATAAATCATCTGAGCTTTAGTGAAAAGGGCAAAATGTCCTCTCTCTCCACCCTAGTGTGGGTGTTAAATAGTTTGCAACACGATGTTCCAAAACATAGATTTCTAACGTAAGATAAGCAAATCTCAACTTCCCTGCCATTCTTCCTGCCTAAATTACATAATAAACAATAATAAACATATTGCCACAATTCATTCCATTGGGTTTTCTGCAATATTTAAATTGTATGTTGACAAAACAGATTTAAAATTTACCTCCTTGCCAATCAAAATTGAATATGTTGTGATTAGGATGCCCCAATATCTTTGCTACATGGGGGAAATAATTATTACTATGAAAGCTTACCTCTAAGAACTGAGCATTCACTTTAAATTCTGGAGGTGGAACCCCTTGTTGAATAGCTGCATGCGTTTTTCCTTCAATACATTTATACAGGTGTTTTACAGCTCGTGGTATAATGCCCTGTTCCTCTTCCATTATGTTAACATCAAATCCGGTCCCCATGGTATATGTTTTACCGGCTCCTGTCTAAATTTAAAAGACCAAACAGCATTAATGTGCAACTAAATAATGTTTATTATATACATCTTAACCTATGGTCAAATAACACGAAAAACACTCTATTGCTGATCAAAAAGACTTCTGACTCCAGCAGCTCACTTTACAACTTTCTAAATAGGTTGTCTCAAGAAAAAAGTAAGATCTGTACAGCATTTGGATGGCATAAAAAAACATCTGGACTGCAGAAATGCATAGTGAATGGAGATGAGGATCTAAACCACCACCGCCTGCCCCCCAGGAAACAAGGGGTGATATTCCAGGAGTCCTGCTAGCTGAAGCAGGATTAGACTGGCTTCCTATCCATAAAACACATTTTCCAACGTTTTGCAGTGGTTATAAAGAAAAAGGAAAACTGGGTTATTAGGTAGATTATGTCATGCTAAATTTAAAATGAAGAAAAGGGTGTGTTAAGTAACATACTGCAGGAAAATAATGCTCTAAGAAGGCAGCCACCCACTGGAACTCCAAACTCACCTTCTCCTCATTCTAGTAGTCCATCAGGTGTCAAAGCATCAGGACCAAACAAAAGAACAACACAGTTGCTTAGGCAACATGTGGCTGCCTGCCCGCCCGACACTAGTAGTTCCCAAGCAGTACTGGAACCAAAACACTGGGAACTAATTTAAAACCCCGGGAGGAAAACTCATAACTTGTTTTTGTTTTATTATGTATTTTGAGCTCTCGTTTTGTACTGAACCGCCCTGTGGTCTTCAGATAAAGGGTGCTATACAAATTTAATTAATGACAAATGTGGATCTGCCTGGTCAGTGCCTGGATAGGAGACTGCCGGGAAGAAAAGATAAAAAGAACACAACTTGATATCCCAATATTGATAATAGAGATAACCATCAGTCAAGTCATTTGAGCAGGAGCGGCTAACTTGTGGCAACTCCAGATACTAAAATGCTCTCAGAGTCCCTGGCTATATTGAAACAGCGTTTATGCCAAATGGGGAGAGGAGGGACAAAAGTGAAGAGGAAAGTCCTCTTTTGAACAGACCTATTAGAATTCAAGGCCACTGTAATTCAAGCTGAAGGATTGCACTTCTGAGCACCTTCTGCCTCAAATGTACTGCTCTGCACCTGTTTAAAAATACACCACCGTTTTAATATACCCAAAAATGAGCCTTGAAATCTTGATAATTTTCCCATGTTGAAATCTACTTGTTTTCACCTCTACTAAAAGGTGAAATTCAAGCATACCTGCTTGAATTATTACAAATACTCCTTATGAGCAGCTTTATTATTTTTTTTAAATCAGAACATTGTTTGGATTCTGTCAGGGAACTGCCATCAGCTTAGAGGCGAGGAATAGAAGGGCAGTTGTGTTACAGGGAGCCTCCGAAAATCTTGCGAAGCAGTTCCTCTTCCGGGGAGGAGGAAAGCCCCACCTCTAGTGGGGAAGAGGTGCAAGGACCAGAGGATGCTTGTGGGAGCCTTAACACCGCTCCTGGGCAAGGCGGACAGGAGGGAAACACGCCCTTGCCATCGCCCATTCTGCGCAGTAGCCTAAGGTGCAAAGAGGGAAGGGGAAGGTTGGGGGAAGTCCAAAAAAAAGACCACTCCCGGATTCTGCTAGCGATTGAGCCAGACATGAGCTTCGGGGCTCTTCACTGTAAATAAAGGTAAAGGTAAAGGGACCCCTGACCATTAGGTCCAGTTGTGGCCGACTCTGGGGTTGCGGCGCTCATTTCGTTTTATTGGCCGAGGGAGCCGGCGTACAGCTTCCGGGTCATGTGGCCAGCATGACTAAGCTGCGGAAAAGCCGTTTACCTTCCCGCCGGAGCGGTACCTATTTATCTACCTGCACTTTGACGTGCTTTCGAACTGCTAGGTTGGCAGGAGCAGGGACCGAGCAATGGGAGCTCACCCTGTCGCGGGGTTTCGAACTGCCAACCTTCTGATCAGCAAGTCCTAGGCTCTGTGGTTTAACCCACAGCACCACCCGCGTCACTGTAAATAGTTTGCGCCAAAATAAAACCTGTAAAATACGGGTTTGGAGTCCTGCCTGCTTACTCTTGAGCAGCCGCAACAGCCATCTGACAGAGTCACTGAAAAGCAAACAATTAATTTTGAAACGTTCGTAAAGTTTACCTGCCCATAAGCAAACACGGTAGCATTGTATCCTTCAAAGCAGCCTTCAATCAGTTTTTCTATGCACTGTATATAGATTTCTTCTTGCTGGGATTCAATATCAAATACATAATCAAAGGTGAAGGCCTTATCTTTTCCCAGGAACACTTGAGGTTCTCCAGGTGTGACAGATGTGCAGATATGGCATCCTTCAATCTTTTCTTTGGCTAGTTGAGGTCTGATTCTGGGGTGGGGGGCGGGGGTTGGAGAAGGAGGAGAAATAAAATGCCAAATATTACATCACTGGAACAGAACACAACTTAACGCTTCTTATTTCAAGAGTCCCCCAATAAATTTAAATCAGATATGCCCAAGAGGGACTGAAGTCGCGCAGAATACTCACTGCTCACCTGCAACAATGGAAAGAACTATCTACTTAATATTTAAGGACAAAAACAACCACCCTTTCTGCTGTACCAGTGGTACTCAAGTCTCCAAGGTGACTTTGTCCGTCTCAAGTTGGCCTGGTTGTATTCTAAGATTACAGCCCCATTTACGTTTTCTCATGAGTAATCCCTGTTGAACTCAGTGGGATTTCTGAGTGAAGCGGCATATAACCGGTAATTAATAACTTACAAAAATCAGCCAAAGAAAAAAACCATGGCAGAACAGAGGACAATCAGGCCTAATATATCCACATTATTTTTGAACCGCAGGAGCCTGCCAAAGATAACAACTTTGACTTGAATAGACCTACTATGGTAACAAGAATAGAAGGGAGATTATTTCAATTTAATTTTAAAAGCCTTTGCCCCACGGCGGAGTAAAAACAAATTATTTTTGTTTGTTTTTTAAAACAAGTAGACCCCAGATGCTCAATAGTTTAAGAGGAGGTTATTCTAGCTTGGATTATATGGCGCAGGACTAAGCTAACAAGGGTCTGTTTTATCTCCCAAGCAGCACAAAAACGACAACCTAGTTTTCTCATTATTTGTGAAAATCCTAACAGACGTTAACCCAAGTATGAGCATAAGACTTTTCTTTCTTTCTTTCTTTCTTTCTTTCTTTCTTTCTTTCTTTCTTTCTTTTTGCTACCATTTAGAAAGTTACTTGTTTCCACAAGAACCCAACTGGAATTCATGGTAACTTCTGGGCAAACAACTTGTCATACACAAGTACAGTGGTACCTTGGGTTAAGTACTTAATTCGTTCCAGAGGTCCGTACTTAACCTGAAACTGTTCTTAACCTGAAGCACCACTTTAGCTAATGGGGCCTTCCGCTGCCGCCGCGCCGCCGGAGCATGATTTCTGTTCTCATCCTGAAGCAAAGTTCTTAACCTGAAGCACTATTTCTGGGTTAGCGGAGTCTGTAACCTGAAGCGTATGTAACCTGAAGCGTATGTAACCCGAGGTACCACTGTATGTTTTTTATTTAAGACACAACTTCAGTAGGCTATAATTCTGCTTAGGACTACCACGTTTGTGTGTGTGTGTGTCTGTGTGTGTGTGTGTGTGTGTGTGTGTGTAACCATGCTTTCACTCAAAAATTTCAGCTCCCAGTGGCTCCTTTTTCTGAAAAACTATTGAAAGTGACTTCATTGCGGAATTGAGAGAAGATGGCGGCTGCCAGCAGCGAAAAGATTTTTGGATTGATTCGGCAGAAATACCAGCGTGTGAGGGGATGCTGCCTGGACAGAGGGGTATCATACACATAAAATCCACACAGAAACACATCATTTTACTTCAGCTCGCTTGTGGAAACAACTCAGAGGCCGTGAAAGAAGGAAAACAACAGGAAGATTTAAAGGAACTATTAGAAATGACTATCAAAAGCAGCAGAGATATGAGATGATCAGAGCCCCCCCGAACTTGAAGCATGGAAAGTACCAACAAAAAATTTATAATTTGGCAGAATATTTGGATTAATTGATATGTATATGTATAATCTGGAATATTTAATGTGATTTGATTGGATTGTTAAAATGGAAAACTTAATAAAAATGATTTTTTTTAAAAAAAGGAAGTGACTTCATTGCATGCGTTTGCCTTCAGTATGTGGTTTGAAACTTGCCACCACCATTTCAAAATCTGATACAAGCTAGGTGGTTTGTATCTATAATATAATGAATCAAATGCCAATCGCACAAGGGGCACCAAAGAAATTATTCTGAATTTACCTAAGATTGAATTTCACCCACCAAGCACAAGTTTTAGCTCAGTTGCTAGATCATAAGACTCTTAATATCAAGGTCACGGGTTCGAGCTCTATGTTGGGTAAAAGATTCCTGCATTGCAGGCGGTTAGACTAGATGACATTCGTGGTCCCTCTTCCAACTCTACAATTCTATGGTTCTATGAACTTGGACTTCTTCAGAACTGTAAACATAGACTGTGCAGCTGCAGTGATTGATGACAGACTGTGAATTCAGCTTCTTTGTGTCTGGTAATGAATTACGTTTTTCTATCAATAACTGGAAATTTGAAAGCATCTAGGAGCAATCCTACATTGGGAGTTAGAACAATATAATGCAGTTCCCTTTCACTTAATTTTACCCCCAAATTTTACACACAAATGGCAGAAAGCGTGCAGATGATCCAACAATAAAAGCTTCACAACTACAAGGTATCATACCGCACATCATGACAGCCCATACAATAGTTTATTTATAATACTATTGTCGATTTAATCCCTTTCCAAGTAGACAAAGTTAGCACATGTCCTGAGCAAAACCTGCAGTACATGATGAAACTGGAAGAACCATTTATGACTATTCTTAAGGGAACAATAGTTTTTATTTTTAAAAAACCAAAGCACGCTCCGACAACCTGTCCAGTAGGGAAACAAATTTACAATACGGAAGTCTACTGTGCCAATATAAACATTCATGTAATCTTATAGTGCAAGTGATTTCTCCCTTCTACAAGTCTACTCTACAAAACATCTCCTGTGATTTATGCCGGTAGTAACTTGGGAGAGGCAAAATGTTTCAAGATTTGTCGTTAGAAAAATACCAAGTCCAAGGTCCTTATTCTGTCATCTGTCCACTTGTAGAAGGAGCTTGCTATCAGCTTGCTATCTGTGAACTAACAGTTGTATAAATGAGCCCCAGGGTGGTCTTTTCGACATTCTTCCATCCTCATGATTGCTAATAATCTATTAGTAGTTCTCACACCATAGGAAGAACATTTAGAATGACTCACTGGCACCGGAGGAGTGATTCGGTCACAATCAATTAGGTTCTGAATCTGACTGTTTGGGGTTCAGTCCCCAATGTGGTGCCCATGAACTCCATGTAGACATACACACATACACTTGATGCCTGCCAAGATCCCCACTGCTCCTATTTAAAGGAAATATGGAGGAGGAGGAGTAATAATAATAATAATAATAATAGTATATTCGGTCTTTTTTGTTGTATTCCTCCCTTGGGTGGCATTGTGTGGGAGTGCAGAGTCTTCGAAGTACTGAAGTTTATCTTGCAATATGGTTTTATTTTTGCTCCTTTTAACATTATTTATTGTTATTTTCATTGTACGTATATTCAGGCATTGTTTTGACTGCTCTGGGAAATTGCAGCAGTCTGAACAGTGGAGTATAACTCTCCTAAATAAAGCAGGTCACATATTAGGTTCCCCTCTCCTTTTTAAACACAGTTAGGAAATAATAATTTAAGGTTCTCTTTTTAAAAAAATATTCCTAGTTGGTGGATTTTGATTTATTTTCTTAAATGTGCTTTGTTTGTATTGGGTTGGATGAAAAGTAGAGGAAACATTTTGCATCACAGCAGGGCTTTTCTGCCTCTTCTTCTCACTTCTGTTCCTTGCACACACAGATGATCCCAGTTTTGGGGCAGGAGACCCTCCAAGATGGGATGGGATGAGGCAGAGGGGGCAGTAGTTCGATGGGTGACACCTTATGTGGCTGAAAGTCTTGTGAAAAACTTCATGCAAAGACCTTTGGTGGTTCTCTCTCTTCTGCTTTTATTGTGATTAAGTTTTGCTTGTTGCTTTTTGTTGTTTTTTCAATGGCTTTTACATTGTGTTACCTCTCAGAGAATGTTTGTTACTGGGTGGCATACTAATGTCAAGATATATGAAGGAAGCCTGGGGGAATGGAGGGGGTTGTTTTTGTTTTTAATTATACACACAAACCCTCATTTTTCCAGGTTGCTTTTCCAGGTCTTCACATCTCTACAAACACAATTTTAAAAGAAGTACAGTGGTACCTCGGGTTACATATGCTTCAGGTTACATACGCTTCAGGTTACAGACTCTGCTAACCCAGAAATAGTGCTTCAGGTTAAGAACTTTGCTTCAGGATGAGAACAGAAATCGTGCTCCGGCGGCGCAGCAGCAGCAGGAGGCCCCATTAGCTAAAGTGGTGCTTCAGGTTAAGAACAGTTTCAGGTTAAGAACAGACCTCCAGAACGAATTAAGTACTTAACCCAAGGTACCACTGTACATATACTTTTAAAGACTGCAATCTACTTTGAGCTCCCCTTCCAAGCCAGAGGGGGGAAAACACAATTTATTTTTAATAACATTTATATTGGCTAGTTCCTAGCAAAGACATTAATTTCAGCAAGTTATACAGGGGCAAATAAACCAATTCCTAGACATTCTGTAATGGACCTAAGTTTGTTTTTTTGTTCTGTGAACTGCCCTGAGACCTCTGGGTATAGGGAGGTATGTAAATTCAATTAATAATAACAACAACAATAATAAATAGGAATATCTATTTAAAGGAGCTATATTAAAAACCCGGAAACTGACAAGCTGTCACTTTTCACTGGCAGATGAGAAAGAGGAGTAATAGTAATAATTTAATTAAAAGCAAAATATGGCACTGGAGTAATGAATGAATCATTATTTGCGTCAGCCATCGGCCATAGCAATAAAACAATAATATACAAAGAATAGAAATAAAAAGTCAATTATATAAAATACATTTTAGGGTTTGGAATCAATAGTCAAATAGTGGATCTTATTCTGATTGCCCCAGCTAAAAACCTCGCAACCTTTGCTGTCACCGGAGTAATTGCATTTGTCTGGCGACAGTTCACATATGTTGCTGTCACGGTTTGGCTTGGCTTAATAAGATTTATTTTCTTAAATTAATTATCCTTTTCTGGACCTCTCATCAGAACAAGCTTCTGTAGCCATTAAGTGAATTCACAAGAGCCAGGCTTATTCAACTGCGCCATAGTTTCAGAGGCAACCCATTTATATATGTTGATTTGGTTTCCTTGGACCTCTTGCCTTCATCACTGGGCAGTTGCTAGCCTTAGCTGGAAGGATGTCAAGCTGTGTTCTTCTCCCCCTTTCCCCCAAAATAATCCTTTGGCCATTTTGTAATGGTCTGCCAGACAGCTCAGTACAGACGGCATCCTCTTGCTGCTTGACAGGGTCTTTTGTTTGCTTGCCAAGGAAAAAGCAAGGAGGTGAGGGGGGAGAGAGACTGAGTGTTGGCTGTCAAGTAAATAGATCTTCTCTAAGCAGGTACCCAACTTTCTCTTGGAAGCCGTACACAGCAGACATGTCACATGGAAAACGTATCCAGTATTTCCACGTAAATTCTTCCTATATCATTTCAACGCATTGCTCACTTTAATGTGTTTCATTAGCAATGTCATCATAACTGTTTGGCTGCATAACAGTGTGATAACTGTAGCAGCAAAGCAATATAAAGAAGCTCATGGCAACTTAGAGACTACCACCCTTATATCTCTTGAAATTTTTCACTCACAATAAGCAATGTGAGAGTCGGGGAGGTGAACTCATGAAAGGCTGGGGATCTCATGTTTCTTATATGAAAGTAGGATGCTTCAGTTTTTCACAAAAGTTTTCAAATAACTTTAGGGTTGCCTTTCATAGTTCAGCTTTGAGATACAAAGTGGTTGGGTTGTGTGTGTTTTTAAGGATTCCTCCCCACAAATGGAAATAGCACAGGGAAGGTAAAGAAAACATTTACTCTATCCTATACCAAATTGTCTTGGTCACCCCCATTTAACATCCACAATCCATTTCTAACATTTCATTTCATTTGTTTTTTGCCTTTTTGACTGTCATTTGGTGGGTCTGTCAATCAGCTTTTACAAATTGTTACATATTTAATACTGCAGGAGAGAAAAAAATCCTTTACAGTTTATTGTTGACTATTTCAAGTGAACAGAAGCTGCTCTGTTTTTAAACAGAAGGTAGGCTGTTCGCGCAAGGGCTGAAATGCTGCCATGAGCTGGTGAAATCTCACCATGAAGCAGGCAGAAAAATGTTAGGATCACAAAATAGCCCAGGCTGAAAATTACATGCTTGCTCATACTGTACTTGGAGCAGAGTTACATTTTTGAACATTCCTGAATAGCAACGCTTGGTTGTGACTCCACTAAACATGTTACTCTCTGGAAGAGATGGGAGAAGCACACTCAGCTACAAGGGAAAGGAAAGGGGGGAGAGATAACAACCACATTGCTCTCCACTTCTGCAGTTTCTATTGACAGAGATTTACACTGGCTTGATATTAACTCCAGGATTTTCTTAAGGTCTTAATCACGTTTGTTTGTTTGTTTGTTTGTTTGTTTGCTTGTTTGCTTGTTTGTTTAAAAGTCCTATATCTGCTGAATGGGTTTATGTTTGTAAAGCTGTGTTATTTTCTTACATAGATACACCTGAACAAAATGGAAATACCTGGAGAGTTATTGAAAGGCATGCTTTGAGGAAGATAACCAACACTGGGACTCTCATACTGGAATTTCAGATATAGGGAATACTACAGCAATCACACCGATTTTTCAGAGGCTGCCACCAAAGCAAATATAGGATATTCCTTAGGTTTCTGAATTCTGAAGGCCATTTCACGTGTTACAATAAAGTGGGTAGACCAGATGCACACAAATGTTGCACTGCTATCACACTTGTGATGCATGCCTCTGCCCTGACTTTTGCAGGGCATCCCTGCAGGCTTGTTTTTGCACTTTACACAACTAATGTGTGCACTGCCCTCTCATTGCAATGTACAAAGCTGTCCTGAACCTTCATGAGGAGGGAATACTTGGGAAACAGAGGGTAGATTTAGGTTGAGCTTCTTTTCTTCTTTGATCCAGAGATTAAGATGTTGCTTTTAAAAGGGGACATATATAAACGACATGTATAATGATCCATCTGGAAATTTGATGCACCTTCAGGTATTACAAAATTAATCCATCTAGCTCAGTATTGTCTACACCAGTGGTGAGACACCTCAAGCCTGCAGGTCCCTCTGGGGTTGGCCCACAAGGCCATTTCTGGTATAACTAGCCTCATCTTTCCTGCTTCTGCTGTCACATGACATTAGGCACAGGAAAGTTCCAGCCATGGAAGTTCAAAAATATTTCAAGCCACAGCCATAAAGGAAGAATCAAGGTGAGTATGCCACTTGCTTCCTTTGATCTGTTGCCTCGCATGGCGAGAGAAAAAGCCACCAAATTCAGAAAGTGCTGAATTCAAGCTCCGACTGTGAAAGGAAGACTCTTGAAGTTTCAATTACCTGGCATCATATGACAGCAGGCGACTGACAGGTGGACAATTCCACCAACCTATCAAGTGACCCAGATCAGGTTGGTCTACGCCAATTGTCTACTGCTCTCCTGAGTTTCAGCCTGGGGTCCTTCCCAGTGTTACGTGGAGATTGTAGGGAGTGACACTGGGATTTTCGGCTTGCAAAGCATTGCTTTACCTCTAAGCCAAGGTAAAGAGGACCTTTGGAAACATGAGGCCCACAGTCCTTCTTGGGCAATCTTCCAGGAGCCAAGTATCAAAACTGGGGAATGCCACAGGCAAAAGTGGGCCAAACTCCTGCCGCACCTAACTGTCAGACTTTACACACACACACACACACACACACACACACACACCTCTATTCAAGTAAGCAAGCATGCATCATTATCACAGATCAATAATTATAAGGCATAGAGCAATGGGACGCGGGTGGCGCTGTGGGTTAAACCACAGAGCCTAGGACTTGCCGAGCAAAAGGTTGGCGGTTCAAATCCCCACGATGGGGTGAGCTCCCGTTGCTCAGTCCCTGCTCCTGCCAACCTAGCAGTTCAAAAGCACGTCAAAGCGCAAGTAGATAAATAGGTACCGCTCCGACGGGAAGGTAAACAGCGTTTCTGTGCGCTGCTCTGCTTCGCCAGAAGCGGCTTAGTCATGCTGGCCACATGACCCGGAAGCTGTACGCCGGCTCCCTCGGCCAGTAAAGCAAGATGAGCACCACAACCCCAGAGTCGGCCACGACTGGACCTAATGGTCAGGGGTCCCTTTACTTTTTTAAGGCATAGAGCAGGGCTTGGGAGAAGTGTGGTCTGGAACAGGGGCTTGGCTTGGAAAGGTCCCAAGGGCAGCATTTGACCTCAGGCTTGGAGGTATGAGGGTCATAGCTTAGAGCAAGACTGGGGAACCCTCAAGTCAATATTATATTGTCCGATTTCATAATATGCACATTCAAAATGAGGACTCAGCAGCACACCAACCCACTCTCACTACCTTTCCTTTACAATTATGCATAGGGCAATTTTGAGCACCCATCACCACGCAATGACCTAAATGCATAGATTAGCCCTTCAGAGTTAGATACAAAGGGTATACGTTTATGTCTGTCAAAACATACACCAGACATGTTGAGGGGGATCCTAATTTCTAACCAATTTCATCTGTTCGTCTTACAGTGTTAAGTCGCTTTGAGACCTTTTCATATAAAGCACCTAAGAAATGCAGTAAACAACAAAATAATTTTGTCCATGCATGTTCAAGTTGTGTTGTACGAAATTCATACAACTGCTGAGGATTTAGCTGGTTATATTGCATAGCATGCTACAGTCATTTTTTTTTTCTTTGCATAATTTGTGGAACAATTCTCCCCTTATTCACACAGCTGCTGCCAGTTCATTTCTCTGCCAGTCTCTTTCCACCCCATACAAAGTGGTAAACACCTGATCCTGGAGTCTCGCCTATCAGTTCAACGCCTTACTGCTGTTCCTTGGCAGCAGGAGTGGGAGAGAGTCTAGCTTTCTCAGGGTCAAAAACTCTTCTGTTAAATCAGTCCTCATTTAAGGGGGAGGAGGGGGACAGAGGAAGAATGAGAACAGTTCCAAATCATGCATTTCTCAGCTGCTGTATAAAAACCATTAAAAGCAAATTACTTCTGGCTTGGCTGTTTAACAGGAGTGCCCCCACAAGCACTAGGAAGGGGGAAAGACTTTCTAAAATGCAAGCTTAACTTCCTCAGCTGTGCGTTTATGTTCAAAGATAATGTGTCTGCCTAAATCAGTTCTCAAATAAGCAATAAAAATTGTTACTGCAATAAGTTGCACTACACACGAGAACAATACAAGTTTTGAAGCTTTTCCCTCAACTCCCCAGCTCCCCAAAACCTTCAGCACTGAATTAAAGAATAAGAGCTCAATGGGCACAGTGGCAGCTATGCCATTCTGAAAGAGGTTGACACCCGGGTATTCAGCTCTTTTACCTTAATACAGTGGTACCTCAGGTTGCAGACACTTAAGGTTACAGACGCTTCAGATTATAGACTCCGCTAACCCAAAAATAGTACCTCGGGTTAAGAACTTTGCTTCAGGATGAGAACAGAAATCGCGCAGCGGCAGCGGGAGGCCTCATAAGCTAAAGTGGTGTCTCAGGTTAAGAACGGACCTCCAGAACGAATTAAGTTCTTAACCTGAGGTACCACTGTATATTGGTACAATTCAAAACATCACTGTAAACCATGATTAAAGTTGTTTCGTGAATGTACCAATCAAGGCTGCTCATGTCGTCCCTGTTCTCACAATCCCTCACTTAACATTATAGGAGGACCAGGGATTGCAGTTTGTATTCTTCCAACAGGGATCGTGTTTTTGTTTCCTCTCAGTATGAACGAAGAGGGTGCTATTCTCTAGAACATGAACATAGGAAGACTAAAGTAAAAAGGAAAGCAATTTGCTGTAACTTAGGGCCTGGAGAGGCAATTTGTTACAACTGCCAACCAAACCACTCTCAACAGCATCCCTGCTTGCCCCCAGCATCTGACATGAATGCTGAAAAACACGCCCACTTTTTTCTACTTCTCCATTTCCAGTGGTCCACCTGCTTCCTGCATCCCTGCATCTCTATTTATTGCCATGTTTCTATGATGTCAACCTATAAGGTGCTTCCTACTGTGAAAGGACTCAGAGAGAGCTGCAACAATAGGTTAACACCTTCCTATTCAAAGGTAGCCCACTGACTGCACTAGGAGACAAAACAGGAGTACAAGGTCAACCTTGGGTCCCCAGATGTTGTTGGACTACAACTCCCATCATCCCTGACCACGGGTCCTGCTACCTAGGGATGATGGGAGTTGTAGTCCAACAACATCTAGGGACCCAAGGTTGAGAAAGGCTAGTCTATGGGGCTGCTCATGACCTTATACTCCTGTTTTGTCTCCTAATGCAACATGATAGATCAGTCGATAGAGCATGAGACTCTTAATCTCATGGGGTCCTGGGTTCGAGCCCTACCTTGGGTAAAAATTCCTGCATTGCAGGGGTTTAGACTAGATGAGTCTGTGGTCTCTTCCAACTCTACAATTCTATGATTCAAAAGCAGAAGTTATATTAGTTCTCTGCCTGATCCTAGTTAATATTAGATTATATAACAATGTTCAGTTTAGCCACTAAATTTTAAGAATCTAAGAGAGAGCCATAAAGATGATCAAGAGGTCAAAAGCCATAAAGTGTGGTATGGGACGCAGGTGGCGCTGTGGGTTAAACCACAGAGCCTAGGGCTTGCCGATCAGAAGGTCGGTGGTTCGAATCCCTGCTACGGGGTGAGCTCCCATTGCTCGGTCCCTGCTCCTGCCAACCTAGCAGTTCGAAAGCACCTCAAACTGCAAGTAGATAAATAGGTACTGCTCCGGTGGGAAGGTAAACGGCGTTTCTGTGCACTGCTCTGATTCGCCAGAAGCAGCTTAGTCATGCTGGCCACATGATCCGGAAGCTGTATGCCGGCTCCCTCAGCCAATAAAGAGAGATGAGCGCCGCAACCCCAGAGTTGGCCACGACTGGACATAATGGTCAGGGGTCCCTTTACCTTTAAGTGTGGTATAGTGGTTAGAGTAGTCTTCCACAACACACTGTCCTCCAGATTTTTGAACTACTATCTCCCGTTGCCCCTGACCTTTTGGAATGCTGGCTAGAACTAATGGGAATTGGAGCCTGGCAACATTTGGAGGGCACCAGGTGAAGAGCACTGGTTTCAAATGCCAGATTAGGAATGGCGATGCCAGAGTTCAAATCCCCACTCAGCCATGAAGTTCACTGGCAACCTTGGGCTTAACCTCATTCTCTTCGCCTTCCGCACCTCACAGGGTTGTTCTGAGGATGAGGGAGAAAAATTTCAAAGGCAAAAAATGGAGGATATACATATAATAATTAAAGTGCTGGTATTAGTTCATGTTGGGACGTGGGTGGCGCTGTGGGTTAAACCACAGAGCCTAGGGCTTGCTGATCAGAAGGTCGGCAGTTCGAATCCCCGCAACCGGGTGAGCTCCCGTTGCTCAGTCCCTGCTCCTGCCAACCTAGCAGTTCGAAAGCACGTCAAAGTGCAAATAGATAAATAGGTACTGCTCCAGCGGGAAGGTAAATGGCGTTTCCGTGCGCTGCTCTGGTTCAGCAGAAGCGGCTTAGTCATGCTGGCCACATGACCCAGAAGCTGTACACCAACTCCCCCGGCCAATAAAGCGAGATGAGCGCCGCAACCCCAGAGTCGGTCACAAGTTGACCTAATGGTCAGGGGTCCCTTTACCTTATTAGTTCATGTTAATTGATATCAACCTTCCATGAACTATTTGACAGCAAGCAGTGATCCTCTCACATAGTATTGGTGATCCACTGTTAAGCCCCAGCATGTCATCTGGCAAGACATCACTGTAGAGTTTCCTTTCAAGTCTCTCTCCCATCATGTAAGCCCAGGGGGAGGGAAACTTTCCCAGCAAGTAGGTGGATCCCAACATCTCCCACTCCAGTAGCCCATTTTGACATGTGGGTGGGGGTGCTCGCCTATCACCTGATGTCATTACATCAGGTGATAACGTCAAAGTGGCCAGCTAACAGGGGTTGCAAATCGACAAAGCTGGGTCTTCCCCAATGGCAAACTCCTTGGCAGTGTAGCCCATTTGCAAAGGAACAACCAGGAGCTCTCTTTAAGCTCCCGTCTGACCAAACTGCGGGAGGCAGTGGAAGACAGGAGTGCCTGGCGTGCTCTGGTCCATGGGGTCACGAAGAGTCGGACACGACTAAACGGCTAAACACAAACAAGTTCCTTTACTGGTGCATCCTTACCTGTCCCTCATCACATATGTCAGGTGAGCAGCGGATAAGTAAGGTTTGGAAGGAAACTGCCTTGCGGACCAAATCAGGACCTGTCCCAGGCCAATTTAGGTCCCCCACCCTCAAAATAGACTAGTCCAATAGCTTTCAAACTTTCTAACTTGAGTAGACTCTTTCTACTCTCACCTATCTGCTGAGGGATGCCTGTATCTCTGCACCACATGCCTTTCTCTTACTTGAAAAGAGCATTGCACTGACGACTTACAATACGTACGTAATCCAAAACCCTTCTGAGCTTTGCCACTGGTTAATAAAGCTCCACTCTCTGTTCTTTTCCTCTACAATATGTTTATCTGAAACAGAATGCCACCTTAACTGCTTTCATCCTAATTATCAAGCTTGTTATAATTCTAATCTGTCATCTGAAGTTTCTCTCAGTCACTCCCGTTTTTATTTTGTATCCTCTGTCTCATCTACAAATTTGTTAAGAATACTCAGTCATCCTAAACTTAAAAGCCTTATGTCCTAAGTCTATAATTTGATACTTGTACAGACAAGGCCGTGCAGCCGAGAGGAAAAAGGAAAGAACAAAGAGAAAAGGAGACTGAAATATTCATTTAGTGAACTTTAGAGCGATTCCTTAAGATGAGCCATGAAGAGTCACAAGCACATAAATGAAGTTTATAAAAATAAATAAAGAGAGGGTGACAACGTGAGTCTCCAGTACATGACCAGACAGCACTAACTTTATGTAGTCAATTGTGTGTAAGGAAATAAACCTTCTGTCTCTTTGGGATCAAAGAGGCAGGAAAGGATGGGAGAGTAATTTTATTCACTTTACATTTAAAGGTGAATTTACTAAATTTGCATTTAAAAAAAAAAATACCACCAAGAGCTACCTGACCGTCAGCTGCATCTTGCCAGGAGAAGGTAAGCGCCCATTGCTCCCCTACTATTCTTCATGCCTGATGCCCTGCAGAGGCACTGATTCTGCGGGGTCCTGCTTTGCAAGCAACTTCCCTGCAGAGTAGCACCCCACGCCACAGGACCTATGTCTCTGCACAAGAGCTGAAGTGGAGGCACTGATCCTGCAGAATGCAGGGTGCTCACTTGCAGAGAAGCCATGGCTTTTTTTAAAAAAAATTAAAAACCTAATGAGACATTAGCCTGCCCCTGAACTAATTTGGAACTGGATCCAGGGGAGGCTGGGTTGTCCCAAGATGGTCTAAGGTGAGTTAGCCTGACTGAGGCTCCTTGAATTGGAGCATGGGTAGGCAAACTAAGGCCCGGGGGCTGGATCTAACCCAATCGCCTTCTCAATCTGGCCAGCGGACAATCCGGGAATCAGTGTGTTTTTACATGAGTAGAATGTGTCCTTTTATTTAAAATGCATCTCTGGGTTATTTGCGGCGCCTGCCTGGTGATTTTACATGAGCAGAATGTGTGCGTTTATTTAAAATGCATCTCTGGGTTATTTGACATAGGAATTACCGTATTTTTTGCTCTATAAGACTTACTTTTTCCCTCCGAAAAAGCAAGGGGAAATGTGTGTGCGTCTTATGGGGTGAATGCAGGCTACGCAGCTATCCCAGAATCCAGAACAGCAAGAGGGATCGCTGCTTTCGCTGCGCAGCGATCCCTCTTGTTGTTCTGGCTTCTGAGATACAGAATATTTTTTTTCTTGTTTTCCTCCTCCAAAAACTAGTTGCGCCTTATGGTGTGGTGCGCCTTATAGAGCAAAAAATACGGTAGTTCATTTTTTCTTTTCAAAATATAGTCCGGCCCCCCACAAGGTCTGAGGGACAGTGGACCGGCCCCCTGCTGAAAAAGCTTGCTGACCACTGTTGGAGCCATGGGGAGGGGCGTGGCCGTAAACAGCTGCACTAGAAACCCCATCTCTCTCCACACTCTTCATCATAAAGCTGAGAGGCAGAAGAAAAAGCCTCACTTTTATTTTGAATTTAGTTTATTTATGTTTCTTTTCCACAGTGAAATGAGCCCAAAGTGGCTAACAAACATCTATTCACATAATTTAACGTTTTTTGGGGGAAGTGGGACACATTTGTTACAAAACCTGCAACACAAGACTAAAAACAATTCAGTCAACAAGAAGTCCCAGCAAAGGAAGAATGGATACAAAAACGTGTGGAATATGCAGAAATGGCAAAACTTGCCAGAAGAGTAAGAAATCAAGATAACCAACTTTTTATAAAGGAATGGAAATGGTTTATTGAATATTTACAGATGAATTGTAAATGGATAAGAACACTGGCAGGATTATTGTAATAAACTGCAACTTCTTAAGTGTATATATTTAAAGAAGATGAATAAATGAGTAAATTAAGTTAATTTGGATATGCAGAAGATATTAAAAATAAATTTAAATAATTTATTTCCTTAAGAAAGAGGAGGAAGAAAGTCAAATCTTGAAATGTCAAACTGATTGTAAAATCAGTGAAATGTATAAACCTGAAAAGTATAAATATTTTTTAAAAAAAAATTAAACAAAAAAACAATTCAGTAAACATGAGCTACATTTAATGTTACAGTAAAATATAGTCTTGACACATACCAAGTAAAATGCAAAGTCAAAATTAACAGGCCAAAACAAGCCCTACTGCTGCCACAGCTTAAATAAAGCTCAGAAGAGGTGGGGTCTTCTGACCAGACGAGGTGATTTACAGTCTGGTCCCTCATCTCTCCCTTCAGTCAAGTCTGAAAGCCACAAAAAGCAGGGGCAGGGGGAGGCATTGATGGTAAGTAGTCTTCCACAGCTGCTAGTGCTGATTTTAATGCACTACTTTGAATCAAGGCCCAGGACAAAGCAGAACCAGAAGTCTCCTCCATTGGCCTAAAGGAAAGGATAACTTGCTAACATATAAAGAACAATGAAACCATCTGTTCGCGAATGCCAATGTATATCATTTATACAGCTACAGTTTTATAATTCGGAACGGACAAGAAAGAGTTAACCGAAGAATCATCTCTGTGTTTTCCAGCCCAGTATTTCCAAAGTAATTGATTGATGGTAAAGAAGACTTAGCCCTCACTTATCAGTTGCAAGAGTTCAGCGAACACAAATTCGCTTCGACCACGCTTACCCATCAGAGGTATTAAAATTGATCCTGATGGATAGGCTTCCTAATTGAGTCAGACATAAATGCAAATGGCGTCCCGTCCAGCATGGAATAGACAGGTGGCTCACCCCCTTCCTCATCGCCCAATGTCTAAGACGAACAAACAGAAACATTTGTGCAGAAGCTTCTTTATGTCCAAATAAGGGAAATCTGGGTGGGGGCAGTTGCAGCTGTTCCTTTGTTCATACCACATACAATGATTCCTCAGGGGCACCTTAATCTATGGATAAAATGAGGTATAATCACACTTAACACATGTTATTCGAAAACCCAACCACATTTCTGTGAATCCTGAAATGTGCTCTTGGTCCAAAATATAGCAACTGAATAATAATAATAATAATAAATCCCCCTCCATTGTTCTCAGATATTATTTTTAGCCCCCACCCCCACCCCAGTTAAACACATTTCCTCAAGAAAGACCCTGAGATCTTATTGTTCAAGAGGCATAAAACAAATAAAGTAGAATTTTATTTCCATTTACCTTCACATCAACTGGGGGGGGGTCAATGTGGTTGTGCTATGTTGGTGGCAGATGCCCAATGCTCTGTGTCATGAAATATCCCTGGTACAAAGAACCTTGGAAACTGAAGAGCCTCGTGGGAAGGTTTGTTGCATGATCAGACTAGAGACTGCCACATTATAATAGAACATCCATTTCATGCATCTGATGAAGCAGAGCTTATTCCACAACTTCTGTAAATGATATTTCCCATTGGGTCAATGCTTCTGAGAAAGTCGTGTGAAACTCAAAAGCTGTTGGTAACACACCAACCCAAGCTTGCCTAATAATAGGTGTTCATTTTTTGCCTACTTGCCCATCTTCTTTACGTATTTCCATATTCCAATATAATTTTAAGTATTGAGTAACTAGGGCTGGCGCAACAAGTCAACTGATCAGCAAGTATTTGACCAAGGTGCTAGTGCAGAGGAGAAACTAGCCTCAATCCCTGGTTCAGCATTGCGTGTGAATTTGAGACTATGGTTAGACAAACAAACCATGATAAATAAGCCAAGAACAAGTCTATGGTTTACTGTAAAAGCCGAATGTGTGTGGGAACCACTGCAGTATTTGAAGCAAGAAGTTAGTTTTCAACTACCATTTTTTCAAGTTCAGGAAGGTGGATTCTATAAAAGGGCTGCTAACCTTTGGAGCTACCATTCAGAAATTAAGAGTTGAAGTTTGTTTGCCTCACACAATGTCAGAGTTAGCTAATGTTATCATCTTTAGCCAAGAGAGTAACTAAATCTTTTCCAAACTTCAGGAAAATTCTGTAAAAATATGTTATATGCCTGCAACTTCATTTTTAGCAGTTTATTTACCAAAAAGAAGTCATGTTGAAGAGGAGCAATATCCTTACAGTTCAAATTCTAATATTAACAGAAAACTCATCCCCCTTTTAACTTCCAAATCACGCCTACAATTAATCTCTAACAAGGCCTGGGTTAGATACCAGTTTTTCTAGAGAGATGATCTACAAAAGCTTGATTAGGAATCAATACCCTAAAATTCATTGTCCCTTTTTTCAATAAACCCTCAAGAATTTTGTTGAATGTCATGTAGAAGACAACTCAACATTAAGTACATACAATATAGAATAATTACATTCATAGATCAGTTTTGTCATATGAAAGTAATTCAAGTGTATATAAGTAATAAGTATTAGCAGCACTATATCTTTGGGAAGGTATTGTATGTGTACCTACAAAATTTATAAACAGAGCCCATATCCCCGCCCCCAAAAAATACAAATAAAAAATAAGCAAGATTTGCCACCCTACTGAGTTACAAACTTTAGCACCAATAAAAGGCTTGATGCAAAATAATTGCTTTACAAACAGCTCTATGCAATTCTAGCTATACTGCTTTCAGACCACAATGAATTTCCCTGTCAATTTATATACCTTCTGTCACTGCACGATTCATATACATTCCAACAATCGCTGCTGTTTCAGCAAAAAATAAGATTGCCCTTTCTGATTAATCATTTATTCTAAATATGCAAGAGACAGACCAACAGGTTTCAATCTATAACAATGAAACTCTTGAGACTATTACTGAATACTCTTAGCAAGCACTGAGATGGGGGCAGAATAAGAGGAACTTGGAACACAAAAATGGCAAAATTGTTGCACCACAGAAAACTAAATTCTGGGCTGCCCCATAGAACTGAAACATTTCAAAAGCTCTTGCAAATATCCATAGCCTAAGGATCCCTTTGCTAACTTCCATATATGCAGGCTTTCCTTGTTTAATGTCATTGCCATGGTGACATCCTTGAAATCTAATTCCACAGCCATTCATGTTGTGGCAACTCAGAGGTTCATTCAATGCCTGGAAGAAGACAGGGTGCTAAGGATCTAGCATGGCTTTTCAAAGAAGCTGAATGAAGGAAAAGTAAGGAAAAGTTAAGGGTGAATGGGGAAAGAATGTTTAAGTTAGGAAAATACAGAACAGTCCAAGTAAGTTCTGTAGTTCTGCCTCTTTCTGTGAAAGTCAAGAATGCTTTAGCACTAAATACCGTATTTTTTGCTCTATAAGGTTCACTTTTTCCCTCCTAAAAAGTAAGGGGAAATGTGTGTGCGTCTTATGGAGCGAATGCAGGCTGCACAGCTATCCCAGAAGCCAGAACAGCAAGAGGGATTGCTGCTTTCACTGCGCAGTGATCCCTCTTGCTGTTCTGGCTTCTGAGATACAGAATATTTTTTTTCTTGCCGTAATGATGTTTGCCCATCAGGTATCAGCTATGCCATAGAAACACGGAAAACCACTGAACCTAACTTCCTGCAGCTAAATCAGAGTTGCCTACAGCAAAACAATCTATACACATTTATCCAAGCTCTGTTGGAAATGACCACAGAGATTCCTTATGCATGAACAAATTTCCAGTGTTCAACTGACTTAATGTTCAGAACCAACCTCCCTTGTATCTACATTTGTGTTTAAGGTGAGTAGGGCAGCCTTCCCTCAACACAATAATCTCCAGAGGTTTAGGACTAAAATTCCCAAGATGCCTGGCCATATGGGCTTTGCTGACTGGGGTTCATGAGAACTGCAGCAAAAATAGTAATAATACAGGACATCAGGTTGGAGAGCACTGGACTTATGGACTTTCATGGACTGATTGGACGCAGAGGAATGATGGAAGGAACCAGCTGGGGAACCAACCAGGGAAGAAGAAGGCTCAGAGCCCTGGGAGTGAGACAACAATGAGAGGTCAAAGGGAGAAGACTGGGAAGTGGAGGTATTGGAAGCTGAAGAGGTAACAGGGCTTATTTGAGCTGGGAATCTGTGAGAGAGAAGTCCAGAATCAGAGGCAGAATCTGAAACAGGAGGGTGGGAGTAGGGAGCCCAAGAGGCAGAAATGAATCAGGCTAGTCATGGGTGTCTTCCCCCTCCTTCTGCAACAAGGTCCCATCCCCCCTAGTCTCCCAGAACCAGAAGAGGTATGAAAAGGGCAGCAAAGAGGGCGGCTGCACACAGGCGCAGCCTCCAATTGCTTGGAAAAAGTCCTGGAGAGGAGAGGACTTAGATGGCTGAGAGGAGGCCTGGACTTTCAGTCTTGGCAACTGACTTTCATGGAGTAAGGCCACTAGGAATGAGATGCTTTGCTCATTAGGCTTGACACTCAAACAAGTCTATGAAGATCGTGTTTTTGCTAATGAAGAGTTAACTGAGTTGAACAGTGTGATTTACTGTCGGCTCGCTTTCTGACACTGTAGCAGGGAATGTTGGGAAGACTTGCCCTTCGCTGTCAGCACACAAGCTTGTTCCACACTGCTTGTGGGTTCCCAGCCATCCTACCAAAATGCCCACGCACTGAAATACCCATGAGTCCATACCCGCTATTATACAATAAATGGGAGCAAGTATTAAAGAATTCTGTTATCCTCAAAATTAGAGACATTAAAAAACCAAGAATGTTCAACCTATGACTTCACATAAAAAAAGATGGCACCAAATCTAGTTTACTACGAATTAGTAGCATTCATGGCATGAGAACCATTTCCCTGTGGTGTGAACAGCTACCATTACAGCATGTCCCGCAGGTGAGGTATAAGGATAAATAAGTTGTGTGCAGGTGAATTATAAGGACAGGTGAGTCGCATGGCTGTGTGGGCCTTACGTATCGATTCAGTACCTAGGACGGAAGCAAAATTGGTTCTAGTTATAAATCTAAGCATCATTGGTCATGGGCTACCCATGTGTATGTCCAACCACACTACTTGACAGCCGCAAGCACTAAACAGCTTGGTGTAAAACACGTGGCCACACTCAGATCTTGAGATTATATAGGCATGAGCAGAGCATGGTGGAAGTAGACCACAGTCCACTACCACAGATCCACAATAAGGCTAAAAACCTTTGTAATGAGACAGGACCATATATCCTGTACTTCCTCCAGGTAGTATGAAATAGTATGAATACTGATGAGTATGAATACTGGTGAGAACAGTATTAGGGAGCATTGCAATACCTCCCCTGAACAGAGACTGTTCCTGACAGTAAGCTAATCTGCACACACAACATACATTTAAAGAGCATTTTTTCCTCCCAAAGAGTCCTGTAGTTTGTGAAGGGTGTGAGGAATTGCAGCTCCATGAGGATTTCCAGGATTATTTGGGGTGGGGAGGTTCTTTAAACATTTGGCGTGTATGCAGCACTGGAAAGCAGCAAAATTTTCTTACTGCTTTTTGAGCACGGAAGTTTTATGGAAGTCTCCAGGGAAATTCATTAGGAGACAAACAGGATGTTAATGTCAAATACGTTTAAAAGTCATCACACCAAGAAGCTTACAGTCTAGAATATAATTAGATTGCTGTTTCAGCACCAAATCCTAGAGAGATTTAATTCCTATTGAATAAGTGCGGTACTCAGACCTCCAAATGGATTAGATATACAAATCCCTTCTCCACTGAATGATCAATAGTCTGATGCAGAGGGTAAGTTCCATAAATAATGCCCAGGAAAAGAAACATCATTTGAATTCTCCATCTTGAATAAAACGTCAGCGACTATTAATCTGATTTTTATTTTTATTTTTTATAAGATATTTATTAGGATTTTCAAAATATTACAAAATAGAAAAAGAAAAAAGAAAAATACAAAATAAAATAGTTAAAAACAATTCAGTCTTTCAATCACTTATCTTTCATTTGCTTGTTTCCCAGACCTCCTCACGCCTCCCTTTTCTGTATTCCACTTCAATTGTTAGTTTAGCAAATCCCTCCCCTCTTTGTTTATCCTAGACTTCAATCTTAAAGTATTGTAACATTAAATTTTTACCTATTAATAGTCCATTTTTTCATATTCCCTTATAATATTACAGCTAAAAACCACTTAATTTCTATCCAACATCATTCTAACATTCATAAATTTTACAATATTTCTGTAAATATTCTTTGAACTTTTTCCAATCTTCTTCCACCGACTCTTCTCCCTGGTCTCAGATTCTGCCAGTCATTTCCGCCAATTCCATATAGTCCATCACCTTCATCTGCCATTCTTCCAGAGTGGGTAGGTCTTGTGTCTTCCAATACTTTGCAATAAGTATTCTTGCTGCTGTTGTTGCATACATAAAGAAAGTTCTATACTTCTTTAGCACCAATTGGCTGACTATGCCCAACAGAAAGGCCTCTGGTTTCTTTAGAAAGGTATAGTTAAATACCTTTTTCAATTCATTATAGATCATCTCCCAGAAAGCCTTAATCTTTGGGCACGTCCACCAAAGGTGAAAGAATGTACCTTCGTTTTCTTTACATTTCCAACATTTATTATCGGGCAAATGGTAGATTTTTGCAAGCTTGACTGGTGTCATGTACCACCTGTATATCATTTTCATAATATTCTCTCTTAGGGCATTGCATGCCGTAAATTTCATACCTGTGGTCCACAACTGTTCCCAGTCAGCAAACATAATATTATGTCCAACATCTTGTGCCCATTTAATCATAGCAGATTTCACCGTTTCATCCTGAGTATTCCATTTCATATTAATCTGATTTTTAAATGGCTTTCTTCCAGTTTTTTTACTGCTGGAAAATACTGCTCAGTCATAACTGTATTAGGCGAGACTAAAGATACAGGCAGTGACTGTGCAATATGTGTGCAACCACACATTTGTGCGTAACACCGAACCCAGAAGTGACCCAAAAATGGCAGAAAAGGGGGTGGAACGGGGTGGGGATGGAGCAGGATGGGGCAGCCTTACATGGGCCCTGCCAACACGAATGGGGGTCCAGAACGTAACCCCACACAAATTGGTTGTTTCCTGTACTGTAAGGGTAAAGGGATCCCTGACTGTTAAGCCCAGTCGTGGACAACTCTAGGGTTGCGGCGCTCATCTCACTTTACTGGCCATGGGAGCCGGTGTTTTGTCTGCAGACAGCTTCCGGATCATGTGGCCAGTATGACTAAGCTGCTTCTGGAGAACCAGAGCAGTGCATGGAAACACCATTTACCTTCCCACCGGAGCGGTACCTATTTATCTACTTGCACTTTGACATGCTTTCGAACTGGTAGGTGGGCAGGAGCAGGGACCGAGCAACGGGAGCTCACCCCGTCGCGGGGATTCAAACTACCAACCTTCTGATCAGCAAGCCCTAGGCTCTGTGGTTTAGACCACAGCGCCACCCGCGTCCCAGTGCCTGTACTGTAGTGTCACATTAAAATGCCCTATATGCAGCACAAGGGAATAAACATTTTAGGTAAAAACAAAAAAACACTAGAACATGTACTCTAGATCATTATAACAAATCATGCTGTTATTATGATGTTACAGGCAAGGCAGGACTTCATTTCAGGCAGAAATTGCATAGGAACAATTGCGTAGGAACATGCTGGGGAAGAAAGGGTTTTCAAATTAGCACACCCATATTCTATGGAGGAAGAGTTAGCTTGTCAATTAAGTTAATACCTTGTGATCTGTCTGAATCAAGGAAAGCATTGGTAAGCTTGTGCATTATGTGTTTCTGCAGTGCTCTTGTGAGCTAATGGGATATTTCAAGTCCAGGTAAATGGAGACAAGGCTCTTGGTTGAAGCCTACAAGAGAGGTATTTTCATTTACTGGCTTCCTTAAGAAGACGGAGGCTACAATCCTAAACAAACTTAAGTTGTGCTAATAGCCGCTAAACTTGCTGATAAAGTAAACATGGTTAAGATCAGCAATTCTACATTTATACTCCAGTTTTCATGCTGACCCTGTTACTTTATTTTTAAATAAACTACTGGATGGTGAATTCAGATCAGCTTATCACCCATCTCAGTGATCTTTTCAAGCAGTGCTTATGACTACTAATCGCTGACTGTTTACTTACTTTTACCGTATCACTGGGGCACTGAAGTCACAAACCATTGCACAGTTACTATGGAGTCCCATTGAGCTAAGTGGTAGTTATTTCTCAGTAATCATGATTGGGGAGTAAGAAACATTTCCAACATCTGTCATTTCCCTGCAGTTTATTCCCAGCTCCCTTATCACTATCACTACTAGTAAAATATACAGAATGCGGAAGAACTAGGAGCACAGGAAAAAGGACAAGTCAGGAAGGGTTTGGAGAGACCCCTTAAATATGTAGAAAATTGTGAGCTTGCTCAACACAATGAGTCTCAAGACTATCTACAGGAATTCATAAACACATATTAAAATAATAAAATAATAAAATTGCCACAGTCTGTACCTGTATCAAATTATGCACCTTGCACAGTATAACTGCAGAATCATGAAGCACACATCATGCTATGCTGCTGATCCTATTACCTCTTGCTATCTGTACTTAGGGACGCGGGTGGCTCTGTGGGCTAAACCACAGAGCCTAGGACTTGCTGATCAGAAGTGGCGGATTGAATCCCCACGGTGGGTGATCCGTTGCTCCAGTCCTGCTCCTGCCAACCTAGCAGTTCAAGCGTCAATTGATAGATAAATAGTTACCACTTTGTGGGGAAGGTAAACGGCGTTTCTGTGCACTGCTCTGGTTAAAGCCAGAAGCAGCTTAGATACATGCTGGCCACATGACCCGGAGCTGTATGCGGCTCCCTCAGCCAATAGCGAGATGGCGCCGCAACCAAGTTGGTCTGGACCTAATAGTCAGGGGTCCCTTTACCTTTTATCTGTGCTTAGAGCTGCAACAAGTCACAAAATGGGGGAAATTATTTCTATGTTTTACGATAGTCACCACCAAACGACAGGCTTAATGTTCTTACATTTCAGAACATGACAACATTTGCAAGAGTTTATCTTTGCTAAAGGAATAATAGTGGTTGGAAAGATGGAGAACTGCTAGATGGATCTTTCCAATCTTAAAAATAAGAGGTTTTTTAAAAAAAATGGAAGAGTAAAATATTTTGATAAGTAGGACTGTGTGCAGCTCTTAAGTTAGCTCCTTTGTCTTGCAAGTTATAGCATGCAGATATACTTCTTTTGAGCTATCCTTGAACTCTTTGTTAGACAAGAATGAAAGCCACTAAATAAAGTTGATTGAATTCACCACAAGACACCAAGTTCAGTATTTTCTGCTGGGGAGTTCTCAGACAATTCCGGGATTCACATTTTTATTGCTTTCCAGAAAATTGGGCTCTTTAACTGGCTCCAAAGTTTGGTCCATTAAATAAATGGGAAGACCCAACTGGTAAGAACACTGATGGGACTATGATGACCTTGCCCAAGACCATCCTTCCATTGATGTAAAATTGAAATACTGATAAACTGTTTTTACAAAACACGACACACAACACTCACTGTGCTAACATGATGTAATGCCAGAGACAATGTTCCAGCTTTCCCAATTATTGCAACCCTGAAGCTATCATCTTGCACACAGACTATTCCAAAACAGTATGCATAATTATGGGGTAGCGAGCAGTGTACCAGATATTCCTGTTGAGTGAAGCCTGAAAGCCCTAAAAAGCCTTCTGGCAAATAATCTAAGCAACTAATATCAAACTTCCCAGAACAACAGTCATTCACTGCTGTCATTCCCTAATGCAAGACAGTAGCTTCAAATTATGACTTGGTGATGAACCACAGATTCAGCTAAAAGGTTTGCCATTTCCTCTGCGTCTTTGATCATGTACAACTTCTCAGGCAGTATGTTCCAAGTTAATCACAATCAAGCTTTTGCAACGTTATCCAGGCATTTAAAATCTAAATGGTATCTTTGGTGGGTATTACACAGAAAAGAAATCAATGTTTGATTATACTTAAGAAGTTTCAGGTGCCTATTTAAAAAACAAGACATTTGATACCTGCTGACCTGAATCACATATTGATTCCCCTACCCCTATATGTATATAATACATAGGAATCCAAAAGAAACACAATTTCAGTTCCAATTCAACTGCTCTAACCAAATACAGTGGTACCTCGGGTTAAGTATTTAATTCATCCGGAGGGGAGGTCCGTTCTTAACCTGAAACTGTTCTTAACCTGAGGTACCACTTTAGCTAATGGGGCCTCCTGCTGCTGCCACGCCGCCAGAGCACGATTTCTGTTCTCATCCTGAAGAAAAGTTCTTAACCCAAGGTATTATTTCTGGGTTAGCGGAGTCTGTAACCTGAAGCATCTGTAACCCGAGGTACCACTGTAGGTAAAAAGGTAAAGGTAAAGGACCCCGGGATGGTTAAGTCCAGTCAAAGGTGACTTTGGGATTGCGGCGCTCATCTTGCTTTCAGGCCGAGGGAGCCGGCGTTTGTCCACAGACAGTTTTCCGGGTCATGTGGCCAGCATGACTAAACTGCTACTGGTGCACAGAGAACAGTGATGAGTGCCAGAGCGCACAGAAATGCCGATTACCTTCCTGTCACAGTGGTATCTATTTATCTACTCGCACTGGCGTGCTTTCGAACTGCTAGGTTGGCAGGAGCTGGGACAAAGCAATGGGAGCTCACCCTGTTGCGGGGATTCAAACCACCAGCCTTCTGATCAGCAAGCCCAAGAGGCTCAGTGGTTTAGACCTCAGTGCCAGCCGCGTCCCTTGCTATTCAAATATCTAGTTTTATATCTCAAGGTCTCTTGGAATCCAGTGAACTATGTGATCAACGCCTCTTTCATGTGTATCCACAGCAGTTCCGGAACTGTTTCCTCGTGTAGCATAGCCCCATAAAGGTCTGCTATGTAAATATGGAATGCCAACTCAATGGGTCTCGTTCATCTATTTTTTTTTTAATTAATATTTATTAAAGTTTCAAAAAAAAATAGAATCACATTAATAAACAAGAAAAATTTAAAAAGAAAAAAGAAAAATACACAATACAAAATACAAAAAGATAAAAAGAAAAAAAAACAGTTAAAAACAATTCCGTCTTTTCATAACTTCTTTTACATTTACTTGTTTCCCGGACTTCCTCATACCTCCCTCTTTTGTATTCCAATTCAGTTTGTTAGTCCAGCAATTTCTTTCCCTCCTTTTTAATCCCAATCCTTAATCTTAATATATTATAACATTAGATTTTTACCTATTTAAAACCAATTTTTCCATTCTTTTAACCTTTTTAATCCTAATCCTTAATCTTGATATATTTATAACTTTAAAACCTGTACAGCTAGAAGCCACTTAACTTCAATCCAACATCACTCTAACATTCATTAATTTTGCAATGTTTCTGTAAATAATCTTTGAATTTCTTCCAATCTTCTTCCACCGACTCTTCTCCCTGGTCACGGATTCTGCCAGTCATTTCCACCAATTCCATGTAGTCCATCATTTTCATCTGCCATTCCTCCAGTGTGGGTAGCTCTTGTGTCTTCCAATACTTTGCGATGAGTATTCTTGCTGGGGTCTCGTTCATCTAAACACTGCCCCAGTTCAAAAACAAAACCCTGCAATACCTTTCTATGTGTGGAAATACATTTTTGAAACTTGCAGGTTTCAAAAATATGTTGCAATACAACATGGGAAGGGGCTGTTCCAAACCCAAGTTAAAGTTCCTGATTGAAATATACAAGACTTCAGACATAACCAATGAAGCTCTTTGGATTGTATCTGAGATATACTGTTCCAATACTAGCAGCAGCAGCAGAAATATCATTAAAAGTATCCTATGTCATGGACCAAGCACGGTTCCCACATTAAAGCCGTATCTTGTTAATTTCTATCGAGAAGGCTGGAATACTGCTTTGGTCTTATTTCTCACAACAGTTAAGTGCATAACACAACAGGCCTGTCACACAATTAAAATTTGTTTCTTTTTCCAAGGAAAGGATTCTAAGCTTGCATGAGCCTAACTGTGATATTTGATCTGAATCGCTGTGCCTCTTCTTATGCCATATATATTCATTCTATTATTCAAAAACGGTTTTGCTATGTGGCATCAGGAGCTGCTGTTAGAGATACAAATCAAAAGCCCTTTGAGATGAGGCAAGCTAGTTTCATGCTTCTCCAGAACACAAGCCATCACCTCAAAGTAGGAAAGAGCTGGTTACAGTATGATGTTTCACTTTTTATATGCATACATTGTTCTCTTCATACACACAACACATTGGTGCAAACTCCAGGCGTCCCCTTGTTTGATAGCTGGGTAGCTCAGTTGGTTAGAGCGTGGTGCTGGCAATGCCAAGGTTGCAAGTTCAATACCTGTATGGGACAGCTGCATATTCCTGCAATTTGCAGGGGGTTGCACCAGATGACCCTCAGCTCTATGATTCTCTGTGATATCCCTGCCCAACAACGAGCTTATCTGAAAGGAGAGCTTCTCCCAAGACTTTCCTACTCATATGCTAAAATCTGCTGATAATAATTTCCACTATTTGCAAGAATTTAGACACAGCTGGCCATATTCCACCCCACTCACAGGGAGACATTGCTAGCTGCTATTCTTATTAAATTTAAGAGAGCAGCTAAAACTTCTCTTTTTAGAAAAATGTTTCGATTGCTAGAATACCCGATTAAACCTATTTGTGTTGTTTATGCTTGAATTTTAATTGACTTTGTATTGCCTTCTATTCTATTTTAAACAATAATTTAAAAAAAACTACTGTAGTAGTGCATTCCAAGGATGCAGATATAAGAGGTGGGGGTCAGCAGACTTTTTCAGCAGGGGGCCGGTCCACTGTCCCTCAGACCTTGCGGGGGGCCGGTCTATATTTTGAAAAAAACAAACAAACAAATTCCTATGCCCCACAAATAACCCAGAGATGCATTTTAAATAAAAGGACACATTCTACTCACGTAAAAACACACTGATTCCCAGACCGTCCGTGGGCCAGATTGAGAAGGCGATCGGGCTGGATTCGGCCCATGGGCCTTAGTTTGCCTACCCATGGGTTAAAGCATAGGTAGTATCCTAGTGGCTGGATCAAATCATATGATATACCAATGTTACAGAAGGGCATCCCATGTCACAGCTGGTGATGCTGTGCCGAAGTTGGAAGGATGTTATAATTAACATTTTGACATCAATATTAAAGACTGGGCTGTAATCATTTCCACCTATGACCAATTAATTCCCTCCCCCCTACTGTAGTCATCTATCAACAGTAAGTATGGCTACTGTAAGTACAATGCAATTCACTGATTTTAAGTACAAAAACCATCAACCTATAGCAATATGAGGCATTTCCTTGATATGACTATTGCCCAGTTACAGAGCCGGTGACACCCACCATGAGCCCTAAAGCAAATGCACGTGAATTCAGTGACAACATTAATGTGACATCACCACATCACTTTGAAGAAAACGAATCCTTGCAGTATTCACTGAGTTTCATCCTCCAGCTCACTAGGCGTTGCCTTTTCATGCACGAGAAGCTCTGCCAAACTCACTTGCTATACAAGTATTACCAAACGTCAGTAACCAAAACCTCTGCATGTTCAATATCAAGATGTCGTTTAGCCTCATGAATGCTAAATAAGTGAAATAAGAACAGTGGAAGCTAAATATGTTTCTTGCAGCATGATGTTCCAGCTAAAAGACATCATTGCGATTAATTGATTTCATTCGTTCTTTTATACAGCGCATTGTTTTTTGAACTATATCGTTATTTCATACAGTTGAAACCCAGATAAAGGCGGGGGGGTCTGTGTATTTTGTAAATGCGTTGTTACTTCTATTAGAATTTTATGAAACAGAAAGCACTCAGGGGGCAGCATCTGAATGGGTTTCACACTGCAGGATCACCCTTGTATTGGTGGGACAAAGTGATGGCTGTACAAGTTTAGGCAGAAACTTTTGCTGTCATGTTTTAGCCAGGTAAATGACTAACACACTTACAATGTTCAGAATTCATCCCCCCCCCCCCAAAGTTTCATATACTTGGAAAGGTTAATTTCCAGGCATTTATAAACTGCTTGATATTTTTGAAACACCTCTTTGAACTGGATGTGTTAAGCCTGGATCGTCCAGTTCTCAGTTCTTGTACCTGTGTGAAGTTAAGGTTTGCTTACTGGTGCCCCTCACAGATGGCAAAGGTGTAAGAGTCTTACCAGACAACTTCAAAATCCCTGCCTCCTTCAGTTAACTATGGCACTATGGGGCACTAACCCCAAACCCTTTATTCATTCTTAGAGTGCTGCTTGATCAAACTGGACACACTACTCTCATATATGTTCTTGGGAATATTACTAGATTATTAAATGTGCCCATCTTTCCAACGAGAAAACTATTAACGTGGAAAAACTTATTTGATAATTTCCGAGGGAGGGGATGTGGCAAGTTCTCCGCAGCAGCCTAGCCAACACGCAGGTTCTATTGTAAAGGCTTCATTAATTTTTTAGTGCCGGAGGATGATGTTGCAATTTTCCATCCCTGAGCAGAAAGCACGCATGAATTCACTGGCTGGTACTTCTTTACAATTGCAACTAGCCAATCCAGTTACAGTCCTGGGCTGGCTGCAACAAAAGCCCCACAGACCCAGCACAGCAGTCTCTGGAATGCAATTCAGCACAAGCCAAAAAAGGGACAGCTTAAAAAACAAACAAACACTGCACACACTGCCCGTGCAATCGCTTAGTGTTTCAAATCCCAGGCAGGAATACATTCATCAACCACCTTTCTTTAAGTCTTGCCACAGACCAGGCCTAAAAGTCTGGATTCTCCTTCCTCCCCTCGTCCACACCATGCACACGCATCAGTTTCTCGGACACAGCTGATGCATCATTAAACACCAGAGATTAAACATGCAGCATCCGAAGGAAACCGAATTCCTCCGTGCAACAGCTGCAAGCAGAGAGAGCCCAGCTCTCGGGTCAGGCCAGCAGCTGAAGCTCCTGCAGGGAAGGCTCATCCCGCCAGCATCCCAGTCCCTCCTCGCTAACTTGGCGATCGGGCAGCAGTTTCCCAGATCCACCTATGGCGAAGCCCCTCTGCGGGACCAGCCAAGCCCTTCCTTCAATTAACCTGGCGGCCAACGGCCTCGGTCGGACTGCTGGCCCTCGCAGCAGGCCGTTAGTTGGCGAGGCGGCGGCTCCCTACTGCCGCCTCAGCTACCTGCCAGCCCCGCTCCAAATGCGAGGAGGGAGCGACGGGCTGCGAGCAACATGTCCCCCTCTCGGACCTCCTCGGGCCTGCGTCCCAGAGCCAGACCCCCGCCACTCTTCACCCCCTCTCTCCCAGCCAAATCTCCCCAGCTCTATATCCCCCACAAGAGATAGCAGGTAACAAAGAAAAGAGGGAGAGAGAAAGGAAGGAAAGAAGGAAGGAGGAAGGAAGGAGGGGGGTGTCCTCGAACAAGAAGCAACAACACGACGCCTTACCTGACAGCAACCCGGACGGAGCTCTCGTCTTGGCCGGCCGACATGGCTCAGAGCTGGGAGGCGCGGCGGGCTCGGGAGAAAGAGCGTGTCATTTAATTCGAATTGCGCACGGAAACCAAAGGTGAGAAGGGACGAGCGGAGGAGGCGGGAGCCGCTGTTCGGCGGGGAGGCGGCCCGAGGGAGCTGCGCGCCTCACCTCCGGCGCCTCCTCCACCTCCTCGTCTCTCCAGCCATTTTAGGTGACTGGCTGAATGAATAGGTAGCAGCCAAGCAGCAGCGGCGGCGGCGGAGAGGGTTGACACTCCGCCCACCGCGGCTCGTTGCGCTCCCGGCCCCTCGAGGCGGAGCGGCGCTGGGTTTAGCCAGCCCTCGTGCCCTCCCTCCTGGCTCCGGGCCGCTGCCCCTTCTCAGCCCGCCTCCCCGACCAGCAGTCGCCTCGCTCTGCGCCAGGCGCGCGGCGTGGCTGTCTGTCTGTCTGTCTCTGGCTGTGCCCGGGCGGCGGCGGCAGCTTCAGGTTTTCTGCAGCCGCAATGCGTAACCAAGCCCGCCCTCCCCGCTCGCCTCAGCAGCTCGCAGGCCCATCTCGGCCGAGGGCTCCCAGGCGGAGCCGCGCACTTGCCTGCCCGCTCTTGCCGCTCGCGCGCGCTCCGCACGCAGCTGGCAGGCTCTTTCCGAGCGCGCGTTGCTTTCCCCTCAGCTGAAGCATTTCCTCGGTCCCTGCCGTCGTTCGATTCGTCATTATCGCCGGACCCTACATTTTCGAAGAATAACAACTTTATTCAACACATATGAAAGCATAATAAAATGTCAAACATTAAAAAAACTTTCCTAAACTGTACAGGGTTGCCAAAGGTTGTGTGGTTCTTTATTTCCTTGACACCTGATGGGAGGGCGTTCCACAGGGCGGGTGCCACTACCGAGAAGGCCCTCTGCCTGGTCCCCTGTAACCTCACTTCTAGCAGACAGGGAACTGCCAGAAGGCCCTCGGAGCTGGACCTCATGTTCAAGCAGAACAATGGTAGTAGAGACACTCCTTCAGGTACAGTAGTACCTCGGGTTACATACATACGCTTCAGGTTACATACGCTTCAGGTTACAGACTCCACTAACCCAGAAATAGTACCTTGGGTTAAGAACTTTGCTTCAGAATGAGAACAGAAATCGCGCGGCAGCGGGAGGCCCCATTAGCTAAAGTGGTACCTCAGGTTAAGAACAGTTTCAGGTTAAGAACAGACCTCCAGAACAAATTAAGTACGTAACCAGAGGTACCACTGTATACTGGGTTGAGGCAGTTTAGGGCTTTCAAGGTCAGCACCAACCGACCAACACTTTGAAGTGTGCTTGGAAATGTACTGGAAGCCAATGTGAGTATTTCAGGACTGGTGTCATATGGTCCCGGCGGCTGCTCCCGGTCGCCAGTCTGGCTGCCGCATTTTGGATTAGTTGCAGTTTCTGCGTCTCCTTCAAAGGTAACCTCATGGAGAGCGCATTGCTGTAGTCCAAGCAGGAGATGACCAGAGCACGCACCACTCTGGCAAGACAGTCCACAGGCAGGTAGGGTCTCAGCCTGCGTACCAGATGGAGCTGGCAGACAGCCGCCCTGGACACAGAATTGACCTGCGCCTCCATGGACAGCTGTGAGTCCAAAATGACTCCCAGTCTGCGCACCTGGTTCTTCAGGGCACAGTTACAGTACTCCACTCAGGACCAGGGAGTCCTCCACACTCACCCACCCCCTGTCTCCCAGAAACAGTAAAGGTAAAGATACCCCTGACCATTAGGTCCAGTCACAGACAACTCTGGGGTTGCATGCTCATCTCGCTCTATAGTCCAAGGGAGCCGGCGTTTGTCCACAGAAAGCTTCCGGGTCATGTAGCCAGCATGACTAAGCCGCTTCTGGCGAAACCAGAGCAGCGCATGGAAATGCCGTTTACCTTCCCACCAGAGTGGTACCTGTTTATCTACTTGCACCTGACGTGCTTGCAAATTGCTAGGTTGGCAGGAGCTGGGACCGAACAACAGGAGCTCACCCCGTCGCGGGGATTCAAACCTCCAACCTTCTGATTGGCAAGCCCAAGAGTCTCAGTGGTTTAGACCACAGTGCCACCCGCGTCCCTTTCCCAGAAACAGTATTTCTGTCTAAAAGGGGAGGTGAGAGAAATCTGTCCTGAAAGCTTTTGGAACATAATTTGTATATTTAACAAGGTGTGCGCACACCTCTAATCCCACAAGCACATTTCATCTCCCCCTCAGAAACGACTGGGCCAGACATAGAACTCAGAGCCAGACATTTTGGCATCTCAGGTGAACCACAGAATGGTGCCCCTTCCCCAACAAGGAAGAAGGGGCAAGTGAAGATCTACAACAGAAGGGGGAAATTAAGATCTATATTGAAGGGTGTTGAACTAGATGACCCTCTGCGTCCCTTGCAATTCTAGGATTCTCTTATCTGCATGCTGCTGCCCCTGGGGATCCTGCTGCCAGAAGCAGTCTTCTCCCCTTGTCTCATAGGTGGGCCGGCCCTGGTAGAACTACCTGTTAAGCAGCGGTGCCTTGAGGGCATAAGTCCAAGACAGAATGAGCAAGTTTAACATGTTTTGATATACATGGTATATGCTCAATAAACAGATGACCTGGAAGCAATAAAAATGGCATATTGCATATACAGTGGTACCTCAGGTTACATACGCTTCAGGTTACATACGCTTCAAGTTACATACGCTTCAGATTATAGACTCCGCTAACCCAGAAATAGTGCTTCAGGTTAAGAACTTTGCTTCAGGATGAGAACAGAAATCGTGCTCCGGTAGCGTGGCGGCAGCAGGAGGCCCCATTAGCTAAAGTGGTGCTTCAGGTTAAGAACAGTTTCACGTTAAGAATGGACCTCCGGAACGAATTAAGTACTTAACCCGAGGTACCACTGTAGAACTGAGCAGGGTACTTCATGGTACTGGATTTAAGGCTGCAAAATGGAACTTTGCATTTGTATAACGGGCATCCATTTTTGGTTCCTTTCACCAATCTTTCTAAAGGGTCATTATTTTCCTGCCCCCCACCAACTCAAGATGTTGTTGAACTGTTGGTATAGCAAGAGGCAGATATGCAGATCAACAAGGTTAGCTGTGAGACCCCAATTAGATGTTTGAGCTCACCAATTCAGCAAATCCAAAGACGTCTCTCAATATTAACTGATTCACATTGTCACTATCAATCTCAGCAAATGTCACCCACTGGGCCAAATTAGTGTTATGACCCCAGAGTTCTACAGTGAGCAAGACCCTAACTAAGGGGCTGCATCTAGCTAAGGTTTGTGACACTGAGCCTGGTACTGGCGATCAGGTCCACTAAATCTAAGATTCATGTACAGCAACCTCCATCCTGGCCCAGATCTCCCAACACCAGGGGGCATAGAGGCAGAACTGGGACCCTCACAGGCACCTTTCCCTGGGTGTAAGAAACCAAGCACCTCCCCACGTACCTCACCATTGCACTAGAGCAGGGAGCACACAAGGCAGAAGATCAGGAAGGACAGAAGAAGTGTCTGTCTGCAGGATTGAGAGTTGGCCCCTTAAGGGCTGCAGTTCTCACAAAAGGTGTGGAGCAGGAGGACGGTGGTCTGGAGGCAGAGGCTCAAATGGCCTCATTCCATCACTAGCCACTGTTGGGGCAGGTTGCTCACTCTGTGGTGCTACAGCATCTGACTTTGCCCACTAACTTATTTGCTAGGACAGGACATTGATGTTGTAGACCTTTGCTGCCAGCCATGGCAGAGCTCAGTGGAGGGAATCTCAGGGGCAGTACTTGCCTGGAGGCAAAGTCCATATATACAAGGTTCAGTCCAGTCCTAAGGTCAGGAATATCTCAGTTCACATAGTCAGAAGATCCAGGGTGGGTCAAGAAAGCTGAGGGTCCAAGGTCACAAGAAGCAGCAAGGCCTGGCCAGGAATAACAAATGTTGTTTCCAGCAACTGGCTGAGGCTGGAAGCCCTGCTTAAGAAAGCTGGAGCCAGCTGGTTCTCATCAGCAAGAAGGCTGATCAGCAGCAGGTAAAGTCACTTCGCCTTCTTCTCCTTCAGGCTGCTGCTCAGCAGGTGAAGTCGACTCCTGGCCCATGACAATTTAGGTCTCCTCCACGTAGCCAGGTCAGAAACCAGCCCAAAAGTGGTTGAAGAAGGATCTACCACTCATGAACCCCAGGAGTTGCAGCATATGTTACCACCCTTCCTTAGAAGAGAAGACCTAACACTAGCTTATTTTATTTTATAAGTGACTGAATCACTGCAGTCTTTAAGGAGGTCAGAATTCTCAAACTTTGCCTTTCAGGAGCCATGATGGGCAAAACTAAATGTGATAGCCTTCAAAGTGTGAAATAACTTGTTGACATTTTCAAGAGAGATTAGGCTTCATTGCCACAAGCAATCCCCAAACCTGGTGATTAAATCTTAAATACTTAGGATATTGATGTAAGATATTGCTGCATGCATTCTGACAGGTCCTACTTGTAAAATAAATCTCCTTATGCAGTTCAATCCAGAGCAGTAGTAGGTGGACGTGTCGATGATTCAAACCTCAATAATGTTAAAACAACTTGGTGACCGAGTATATTGTGGAACACACTAATTTTCAGAATTGAGAAACTTCAGGCTTTGACCTTCGACGGTTATAAGGGAAAGAACAATGCAGCGCTTAAAAGCAACAGAGAAACAGGTGTATCCTGTAGTCTTCATTAGCCATTTCTGAGCAGCAGTTTATATCATATAAATTAGTCATCCTAGTCATCATTCAATGACTCAATGTAATCCTTTTAGAGCTGATCACCACAAAACCAATGCTCGCTCCAGGATATAATAAGAGTTAAAGTAGGCAATGCAAGGCAAATTATTTCAAGCTGGCAAGGTCTCATTTTCAACTATGTAGCATACATATATATAATCTTTAAGATGATAACAATGCCAGAAATATGCTACTCAGTAACTTTTCAGCTTTAAGTGAGGATACCATGAATCCCAGGGACATGATCATGATATTTATAAATAAAATATTTTTTAAAATGTTCCTGAGGAAATGGACTATTACTTCTTTGCATTAAAGAAAAAGTTGAAGGACTGAGAATGCCTCAGAATGATACTTCCATGCTTAAATCCTGATCTAGTTCCCAATAAATTTGAAATTTATTCCTAATCCTAGCTGTAACCACTAAACTAACAAATTACCTCAATTTACTTTGGATACTGATTCTGAAATCAGAAGGCTGTGGGGTTTTTTTTACTACGGTTCACATGGAACCGTAAAGTTACTTGTACTTTATAGACTTCTAATTAAATGATTTGAGGGTTTTGATCTATGTTTATTTATCTATAAACCTCTTCTGCATTTTTACAGCTACGGTTACCATGCCTGAGCTCAGCAGCTTTTCCTGGCATGTAAACAAATGGGAAAAACTTCAATTCTGATTAAAACCTGCGCATTGGGTTGTTAGCTGTTAAAGGCGCAGGAGAAAGAACTCAGTTCTCTTTGGTTGGTCCTATTCACAGAAGTCCGCACTATCAGAGCTGCAGAACATGAATCTAAGCTGTACTATTTTAAGAAGTGTGCGCAAAGGGCGGAGACCTAATAAATAAGTGTTTGTAAAGCACTGTGAGAACTTCACACAGAAAGCGTT